CCAACAAGTCACCTTTTTGCAAGCTATGGAGGTCCAGAACAAGCTGGGTCTGTTGAGCATAAGAAAGCGTGCTGAAACCCTGCTGAAGGGTTGTCCAGGCAGCCGCCGACGTCGTGCAGCCCTGGAGAACGGGAAAAATGTCTTCAGCAACGGAAGAAAGAATCCAAGAGAGGACCAGCTGATCCTTTTGCTGCCAGATATCAAACTCAGGATTGAGTTGGGGCGCGGCACCACTGACGGAAGGGAGAAAACATGGTGGTGCAGGGTCGGTGCCGTCGACAATACCGGCAACACGAAACATAGTCAATAAAGGAGTAAACTGAAGACGCCAAGACGAATAGTTGGCTCGAGATTGCAACTTCACAGTGAAAGAAGGATTGAAAGATTGTAGACTAGGTTGAAGAAGTGATACTGGTGTCTGTGACGAAGGTGCCGCTGGCCGAAGCTGGGTAGCCTGGTCGGTGGATGAAAGGTCGGTGATAGTCATCGTTGAAAGGAAGCAATCAAGACTTAATAAAGCCCAAGTGGTTTTTTTTGTTTTTTTTTTTTGAGTTTTTTTTTTTTTTTTTTGTTGGGTGCTGGTTGACAAGAAGCAGTAGCACGTGAGCAAAAAAAAAACAGTGAGGGCGGCGACAGAACAAAGAACAGAAGTAGGCGATGATGAACACGGCAACCGACGATGTGTGTGGCTGTGTGTGGAAAAGAAACCGGCAGGGAGGAATCGGCAGGGAGAAACGAAACCGGCCGTGTGTGGCTGTGTGTGTGTGGCGGCCAAAGAAGAAGAAACCGGTGGCACGAGAAGAAGAACCCTGTGTGTGGATGAACACCGGCAACAAGGATGAAGAAGAAACTCCGGCAACAAGGATGAACACCGGCAGCAAGGATGAAGAAGAAGCAGGCGGCAGCAAGGACACCGACAGAAGAGAAACTCCGGCAGCAAGGATGAACACCGGCAGCAAGGATGAAGAAGAAGCAGGCGGCAGCAAGAACACCGGCAGAAGCAGCAACAGGCGGCCAAAGAAGAAAAAAACGGCGGCGGGAAGAGAAAAGAAAAGAGAGAGAGAAAAAAAATTTTGGTTGTTTTAAACCTTGCTCGATACCAACTTAGAATAGGAAAATTGTATTGAATTCATTATATGTTGTGCACAATATACAGACTATACATAGACAATAACAAACCCTAAACTAGAACATAATAGGAAATATACTAAATATTACAATACTTTTCAACACACAAAGCAATGAACTCATTATCAGAAACAAATGGATGGACCTAACAATCTTCAGGTTAAACAAACACTTAAGAAAACAACGCCAGATAGAAACAGACATACCGCTGAAGAAACCCCCAGTTTCACCATCGTCACTAACTGCTAATGCAGCTCTGGACAATGCACCAGCGGCCAAAACTCTAGCTTCATCGAAAGACATATCGTAATGGTACCTACACAAACAAAGGAAAATCAGAAAGCCCAAAACAGTCACAAAAGAATTAAGTTATTGTATCACGTACTAAACAAGAACAAGGAAAAGGACGAATACCCGACAAGAGCAGAAGCATATCCTGATCAGACCCAATGCTCAAATTACTTTTTCTCATCAGTTTTTTCAGTTTCACCTCACCATTCATGCCATACAAGGCAGGACCCTACACAAAGACGAGCCCATGGTAAATAGTGGTAGAAGGGCTGAACCAAAATCGTTAAAGCTGAAAAAAACAAATAAGAAAAATACCATTGCATCCCACCCTGCAACCATTACTCCTGACAAACCCTTCAAATGGCCATATATATGAGAGGGCTTTGACCAACATCTGTGATTTCGCTGCAAGAGAGGTACTGCCATTCGTATCTCCATCCAGGGAGAGCTACCATATAGAATAAAACCATTTAATCTTAGCCATATGAACATAAGGAAAACAAAGTTAGAGAAACTCCAGTTACACATATAAGCATTTTTCCCCAATACAAAGCTAACCATTCAAAAAAGACACTTACATTACATAGTAATATAGTAACACAAAATATATAGACTGATCGATTAAAAGAAATCACGAAATTCTCCACTCAAACCTCTAAAGTCTTGAATCACTTTAGAAATGGTCCCAAGTGCTTGATCATCAAAATCTCATTAACTACGTCACCGTTTGGACATATCATCTGTAAGGCTCTGGAGGTAGAACCTGAGGCCAATCATAGATGAGTAAAAAAAACGTCCAACTCATTAGCTACGTCAATCATGGCCGTGCAAAACGAGTCTACGACGAACCCTGTTAATCTGGTTGAATTATAGAGAAGGAGAAGGTTTCAATCGGTCTCGGGTTTTCTCGCTCTCTCTATCATTAGTCCATCGATCTATCCTTTATTCTTTTTTCTTCTAATTACATTGTTTTCCCAGAAAAGTATCATGTACTGTAAGGTAGTACCAAATATTGTAAGCTAGCTTTTTATTGCTGGTTGAAGATTTTGGAACCCCTTCGTCATCACTTCTTCATCATTTATTATGGCTAAGATTTTGCCACTATATTTTCAGTGACGGTAGATAGGTTCAAAGTCGATGATGTAACGTGAACATAATTATAATGAATAATTATCCATTGATTTTATCCTCCTCTCATCATGTCACCAAAAATGGGAGGCAATAAATATTAAAATATATATAAAATAATTGTCTAATCCATGCATACTTCTAGAAACCATAACAATAATTATGATCAAATATTTAGAAATCTAACATCCATATTAATACATGTTCTAGAATGTTACGACGAAAAATATTAAAATTGACTCCACAAACCATCACAACATATCCAAAAAACAAGCTCCACCCTTTACTATTTTACCAAGAAACCACATATAAAATAACGATCTTGCGCATGTCCAAGTTTCTTAAAAAGAAAAAGAAGAAGAGAAAGAAAGAATTATTAGGAGATATGGGAGGAACAAGCAAAATGGTAGTATTTCCTTGCCTTATTGTGATAATGCTATTATTATGCCCGAGTTTTGGAGAGGGTGGGGACATTTCGAACGGTGCAATTATACGAGATGACCCAGACGACTGTCATAAACATCCACAACTTTGTCAACCAGGTAACCCGGAAAATCATTACAACCGAGGTTGTGAACCAGCCGAACGTTGTCGAGGCGGTGGTTCACGGCGTCAGCGTGATACTCATTCAAACTGAATTTCAAACTCACAAATTGTTCTTAATCACTTGAGGTTATTCTCTCTTGAGACGATGTTCTCCTTCTTCCACATTCAATTTCTTTTCTATCGGGATTTTGTGATTTTTTTTTTTTTTTTTTGGGATGCCCTTTTGTAGGCTGTTTAGTTTCATTGGAGTTGGAAGATAATGTACACACATTTTTTTTTTACTCTGTAATAATAATCTTGTTTATTGAATTGTATTATCACGTTTTATCCTTTTGTGACAGTATGAGTGTATGACTGTATCCTTATTTCATGTCATTGCAGAGGATTATGTGTATGAGCCATAGTTATCAAATCGTGATACGTATCGTGTATCGGAAACCTAAATTTATGATACGCATATCGTATTGTGTATCGTATCGTAAAATACGTTTTAATATAATAATATGTATAAAATAAATAATAAATATCATAAAATCCATATGTCATTGATATATTTATACTTTTTTTTATTTTTCAGCTATAAACAAATAAATTGATTAAGTTGAATTCAAGATTATTTGAAAGTCACAGAAATTACTCATTCATTGCAAGAATAATGGTCGTACAACATATGTAATAAATATCATATTTCATGATAATTGTTATTATAGCCATAAATTTAATAGTGAGAAAATTAATATAAACATGTATTGCACTTATTCAACATGCTATTAGTTATACTTGATTTGGAAAATGATATTATGAATAAAATAATATTTTTAAATGTATTATTTTTTAGACTATGATAATTTATTAAGCGCTTCTGTCTTAAATTGAGAAAAATTATGTTTGCGAAAGAAATAAATCAATAATATCTATTTAAAATAAATTGTAAATGAAATTCGCTCTTAATTTAAAATTCAATCGGTTATTATAAAAAAAAAGTTTAAATTTTTTTAATAATATTTTTTTCCCTATGTTTTTGTATCGTACGATAAACAATCGTATCGTGTATCGTATGTATCGTACGATACGTATCGATAATTGATCGATATACAAACGATTGCGATACGTAACATGATACGAATCGAAATCCTTAATTTTGATACGTATCGTGCGATACATATCGCGTATCGTACGATACTTACTACTATGGTATGAGCCCATTAACGAATACTCCCTCCGGTCCTTAATATAAGGCATTTTGATTTGTCCTAACTTTCACCTAATACGTATTTTTTATTAATAAAAAAAACCTTAAAACTTTTATCATAACAATCAAGAGAACACAACGAATATGAAAAAATATTTTAAAGATTTTTTTATTAATTAAAAATACGTACAAGGTAAAATTTAGGAAAAATTAAAATGCCTTATAATAAAGACAGGAGGGAGTATCTACATTTTAATCCAGTAAATAAATTAATACTCTCGCCTTTTTTTTTTCCTTAATTGTATTGATCCATTCTCATTTCTCAAGTTTTCCAACTAGAGGATGATGGTGTGCAGCTTGCATATTATTAGTTATTGTCCCAATGCTAATTTAATTTTATAAAATTAATTGGTTAAATTGATTCGAGAATTCGAGAGTACAACGCATACTCATGGTGCTGATTTTGAGAGAGCTCATGGTTTTCTCTGTTACTCCAACTTGGTGCAATTTTAAAGCATTCCCCATCTATTTTGGTGATCAGAATTGACCCATATTTTAAAATTGTAACCGGAACCATCAAATCTTCCAAAAAACAAGCTCTACCTCTTCGTAATGTGGCTCCTTTCATGTAGTTAATATCCCTATGTAATACTAGCAATAAGAACAATATATAATCATCAAGGTTGTCATTAACAAACCTCTATATTATTCACAAAGAAACAGAAAGAAAAATGGCTAGAACAAGCAAAATAATGATCTCTTGCCTCGCTGTAACGTTAGTATGCTTAACTTTTGCAAATGCAGTTCATGCAGAGGATATCTCTGATGGTGCTCTTGAGAGAGATATTCCAAACTGTGACCCAGAGATCGGCGACCCGGAACTTTGTCAACCTGACAAACCGGAAAACCCTCATCACCGAGGCTGTGAAGCTTCTGAACGTTGCCGGAGCGGTTCACTTGATCCACCACCCAAGAGCCGAAAGATGAAGCAAATCCAATCAAAGTGATTGCTTTTTGAAGTTCTCCTATACACATGTAATTAATTTTAATCAACATTTGACCTGATTATTTATCTCTAATTAACAAAATTTTATAGTTTTTGTGCCATTTTAATCCACTCTTGACTATCTTTAGTTATGCTTTTAATTAAGGCATGTTTTTGTAACAGCATCGCTTTTATTCGTCATTACAGGAGAATGTTCATTCTATTTATTTGTCGTTACATTCCATCAGTTCAAACAAGATGGGATGTTGAGATGTAGTTTTAGCTATCAAGTATAAACTGCGGTTTCTCGCTTAACTTGGTAATCAATAAATGGTTTATGAGAGTCATGAACACAAATTATACACAGGCCGTCCTAAAGTGCCAAGGGCAAATGAGTAGAACTGCCCACATTTACAAATATCTCAATGTCGTCCTGTAAATTACAACATTTGACTATTCCTAAAGTAAAAAAAAAAAAAACGTGGAGAAACAATGGTGCTATTATCTTAGAGGCAGTTACTGTAATTAGCAACCCTCTCCAAAAGTTGCCTCTTCTCTTCCTCAAAATGACGCATATCACGTGATTTAAAGTGCCCCGACAGAAGCACATTTATGCGTGGGTAAGTATAGCAATATATCTAATCACTTCACTCAGTATTGTATGGCGCTGACAGATACCTGAAGCCAATCTGGTATTGGTAACTGTCAAAAAATGATGTAACCAACTCTTCACGGTATACCTAAGAAGTATGAGCTGGAGCAGCTAACATATAGTCCAATATTAGGAAGGTACAACAGCATCGGCCTGTCTTCTTGCCAGTCGTGAATATAAACCGTCTTTGCGCAGAAGTTCTGAGTGGCTGCCAACCTGAATTTAGAAAGAAAGCAACGTTAGTAAGCTTTACAAAGAATAGACTTCATATTTCAAACGCCATCTGTTTACCTAACGGCACAAACCATCTAAGATGCAGTGACAATAGGTGAAGAACATTGGGAGAAAGTGAATTGGAGGTTGCCTCATATATCACAGCATAAAATTTAAGCAACATGCATACCTCCACAATTGTACCATTTTCCATGACGATTATTCTGTCTGCAGCCTGTATTGTTGAAAGCCTGCAGAAAGTGTACCATGTAAGCATGCTGTTAGCCTCATTTCCCTCAAAATGTCACAGGAATTCAAGAGACCCTAAATGTGTCGAAATATACCTGTGTGCGATGACAATGACAGTTCTCTTTGTCTTTCGGTCCTGTCTAAGCGCACGAAGGACACCCTATACAATGGACAAAACCAGAAGTAAGCAGATATCCAAGTTTTACGAACTTTGTGCTCCAAATATCCGACAAAGTACCTTCACATTGTGCTCACTCTCCGCGTCAAGTGCACTAGTGGCTTCATCCAGTATCAAAATGTCTGGGTCTCTGAGAAGTGCCCTGGCAATGGCAATTCTTTGCTTTTGCCCTCCACTAAGCAAGTCATCATCAACTAGTGTTTGATATCCTTGAGGCAAAGCTAATATGAAGTCATGAGCATAAGCTTGTTTGGCCGCCCATTCAACATCCTCCTGAGTGACAATCCTAGTACATCCATAGCTTATGTTTGAGCTGATGTCCATACGAAAAAGACGAGGTTCCTGTAAAAGAAAATCCTAGTGAGAAAATACTAAATAATTACCAGCAACTCAACTGTGTAAGGCCAAGAAGTGTACCTGTCCCACATATCCGACCCTCTCCCTAAACCATTTGACATCTAAATCCTGGATTGGGTAGCCATCAAGTTTTATCTACAATGAGAGAAACCCCAAATACAACTGCACTGATAAGTTCCTTGCATGTGGAGCATAAATATTAAAGAATGAATCTAGAGACAATTTAGCCTCAAATACTACCTGGCCACTTGTTGGCTCATACAAACGAAGCAGCAGACTCACTAGAGTGCTCTTCCCACTTCCGCTAAGCCCAACCTAGATGAAGTAAAGAAATGTGATTAACTTCTCAAGTTTTATACAGCCTAGCTAATACAACAAGAAGCAAGAATTGATATATCTGTACCCATAATCAAAATAAGGTCATTTCACAAGAGGTTTCAGTAAGAGATATAAGGCAATAACAACTGCTGTAAGAATATTACTTTCACGTTTTATATTACGTATAAATCTCAAGTACACAATTTTTCTCAAATAGTGAAAAGCATTCAAATATAGGCATTTTATACATCTAAAGATACTTATAGGCAAAAGAAAAACCTACAATTGCAACTGATTCATGAGGATACACGTCAAGATTGATATGTTGCAGAACTGGCACCTGTTCAATGGTCAAAAAGTCAGCCAGGAAGCATGGGTGAAAACAATTAAGTATCTGGTCTAAATGAGCATGTGTTTCAGAAAAAAAGTAGGTTATATGACTAGAATCCTGGATTAATTAAAGGCTTGGCCTTGGGCTTCCTATGTTTTACTTCTCACTCATTAGAGAAACAACGATCACAAGCCAATAAGTGTGACAGACCCCAAATGTATCCAGATACGAAGCCTACCGTAGGCCTGGAAGCGTATCGAAACGATACATCGGACAATTGTATGTGCCCTGCCAGTCTCTGCAATTGTGATCCTGTAAAAAAGATAACATTTATTGAATATTGTCAACCAGAATGCCAATTCCAATTCATCCAACATGCCTCTAAGAGTAAACATTTGTTTGAACAACACCGTCAGGTGTATACCTTTTGCCTTACAATTGTTTTAGCAGTGAAAATTCAGAACTAAAGTTTATACAATGGTACAGTAAGATTCTGCACTTACCCTCTGACACGAACTGATTGCTTGATGGAAGATCCATCAGTTGGAAAACTTTTTCACTTGCCCCTACAGACTGCATCAACGATGACAAGTTGTCCCCTACCCACCATGTTGAATAAATCAGCCATTCACTGTATAATATGAACTTGGTAAGTTGCTCTGCCGTTATACGACCAGTCAGAATAAAAGTTCCTCCTATCAGCACAGCGATAACCTAGAAATACATAAGTGGGGTAGATCAAACACGTGAAAACACCTAAGTCTACTTGGATCATGTTTAAATAAATCCTACCCTCACATGGACATATATACAGTCATACTACTTGAGTTGTTTCAAGTTAGCAGCATTAGTGTCTCTGCATAAATGATACTCTTTTTGAGTAACATTATAGGGACAAAACCTTTACCTGGGTTGAATGATAGAGTGTGTTGAAGCTGAAATTCCAAAGCCCATATGCTGCACTCTGCTTGAAACTTATATCTGCTACTCTCTCAAGCCAGTGTTTATATCTTGTGAAAAGACAAAAACGTTAAATCATTATCGGAGAAGAGATAATTGAAATGTTTATAATTCCATTAAATATGTGTCAGGTACCTCTCTAGTTCTTGTTGTTCAGTACCATACACTCTAACTGTCCTCATTAATGATAGAGTCTCTTGCGCGACCTAGACGACATCAAGAGCAACATTACAACACGTTAACTATCTTGAACAATCTAGTCATTCGAGTTCAGCTTTTTGACTTACTTCATTGGCTGAAGCCCCACAGTCTTGGATTAACTTTGCTGCTTTCTTTTGGTACCTAAGAATGACAAGAACATAACCAAGAGCAATATGAATAGAGAAGAAGAGAACCAACACAAACCTATGTGTGTGTTTCTCCTAAAAAGCTAAAAAAACACTTTGTAAGCCTAGTTACACTTCCAGCTCTGAACTACTTGACTAAATAGCTTAGACGGATTCAAATCCTATAGCCAAGGTCTTATAGACACCATCAGTTTCTGCATTTATTATCTTCGACCCTTTTCATTGGACAGGTCATTTTGACATCACTACTATCGCAACTGCTAAGTGCATCAAAATCTTACACGCCATATAACAGCATTACGGTTGCCAAAGTAGAGCATATCACAAAGGTACACAGTGCAAGTTGCCAGGACAAGATGACCAAGTAGATGAATGCACCTGTCCCCTGAGTAAGTAAAACAGAATGAGCTTCTTTCATTGTTAAAAAAATCAGGACAGATACTCGAGATAACTAACCTGTAGAAGATTACGTGATATAAGATTTAGGTCATTGCCAATAACACGGGACACTTGCTGGCAATCTGCACTAAGCCTACTTGTCAGGTCACCAACTGTCTCAGAGTCAAAGAAGGAAATATCCTACAGCGTAGTTCATGAAACAAATAAATAGTGGTTTTTATTTCAAAAGTCCAATTGCGACGAAGACAACAAACAAATGTCTGAAGAAAAAAGAAATTAACATATGATAGAAACCTGTAGAAGAAGAGTAGAGTATAATTTTTCTCTCATTCTTTTGACCTGCACACATAAATTGAACCATTCAGTAACTGAACGAAGTGACAGTACAATAAACTAGTATCAAAATGGCCACCAAGATGGCTAATCAAAATGAAAAGACATTTTATCAGAACACAATTCTCCTATTTCATTAGCCTATACAAACTACCCAAGGAGAATTTGAGTTGGTACTCCCCGAAAAACTTGCAGAAAGCATTCCACAATCCAAAAAGAAGGATCATTCTCAAAGATGGCACATCTTATCAGATGCTAAACTCACCAGAATCATATTGGCAACACCAAAATAGAATCCCCGTATACCACTGTCAATTTCATCAGAGGAAACATATGAGACAACTGCAAAAGTTATCATAGATCTTGCCAATTTGAAGTCACATACAAAAGCAGCAAATATGGACGAAACTGCTGAACATTGATTGCAAACATTTCAGTAGCACCCTAGTTACACTAACAGAATCAGGGAGGATTGACCGTACAAGATCTTAACCTGCATATTCCTGAGGTAATACATAGAAACATCAAAAGGCGCACATTTCGATGGAACACCGGGACATTCTGACTTTGTGCAGAGAAGATTGATGCTGTCAGATAATGTGGAATTGTAATCTCCGAAAGCTGAACCAACAACAGAATAAATCTCGAGTCAAGCAAATGTTCACTAATGAACATAACAACACCCTTAAAGAAACACCAATACAGTAAGCTCTATAAAACTTTTACCGCTTTTTTCCCAATATCTTCTACTTATTCAAATATGTCTAACAACTGAAAGAAAACAAAAAGAGAAGTAACTTACAGCAGTTAGAATCAAGGTGAGGAAAGCAATAAAAATGACCCAGCGATCTTCGCTTATCAATTCCCACATCCGCTGAAGAGCACGAACCACAGTCACCGGCTTTGCTGTCAACTTAAGATCAACGTTCTGGCCGGTGGGAGAGAGCCTCCACCAGTTGCCACCTGGCAATCTGTCTCTGATAAACTCAATCAAATTCTTCGGGTTCTGAACCAATTCCCCGCTACCCTCATTCAAGAAATCATCTTTTGGATTACTGGGGTTGTTGTTTGTGACATACCCATTAAATGAAGCAGATTTTACAGGAGAAAAAACGCGGGATAATCTGTGACTACTGGGAGGAACGAATTGGGGATTGGTTCTGGTGGGGAAAAGGGAAGGTCTGAATTCAGTTCTAATCAAATACAGTTGTTTTTGATGAATTGGTGAGAGGAAACTTGTTTGAAGATTGCAAAAAGTGAGAGGAAGAGCCATAGTCGTGTTTTCCTGTGAGTCTCTCAAGGACTCGCAAGATGAAGAAAAATAGAAAATGATTGTCTTCTTCTCCTCTTTCGTAACCGCTTAAAACTAAGACCCGATTAGAATTTAGTGATTTCCCTTTCAATGGGTCTGGTGACTGGCGGTTGATTGTACAAGGAAAATGTTCATCTCCGACATCTGCATCTTCAGCATGTGAAGCAATAAACTACACTAATTAAGGAAAGGCCAAATAAGAAAAGACTTTGATGATGTGTTCTCACCACCCAAAATAATACTACCTAGTTTGGCTGAAAATTAAAAATCCATTCTTTGAATCTCAAAATTTGAAACTTCTTCCCTGTTTTTGATGCCCAGGTTACCATAAATAAGAAGAACTGCCATTCATTAGTTTGCCTTTTTGGCTTTTTGGAGCAAAGGTTGGTCTGGGAGGGCATGTATCACCATTAGCCGCCACTCATTTTTCACAGCAAAAACACGACAGCCTCTCTGTATTTTCAATAATAATTTATTATAAATTCTGAAAGCTCTTTTTATATTATTGTTCTCTTTATCTTTTTTGAGTTTTTACGGTAGAAAGAATGAACTTGTCCGAAAGAGAGAAATACACACAGTCACACAGAGGAGCCAAAGCAATCACTGTTGCCGAGTAAATTCAACTTTGAACACTGTTCTGCGCCACGTATCCACACCACACCAAACATATCCGAAAGGTCCAACTAAAAAACTTGCCCACAATTGCTTGCTTTCTTCAAAGAATGTGCTTTTCCGTCTTTTCACGTACTCCTCCAGACCTCTGGTCGTCCTTTTCCCAGAAAAATATCTCCTCAGATTGATACTTCTTTCGGTTCTTCCTCTTCCTCTTCCTCTTCTTCCTCATCGACCGTACAAACTTCGATTCCTTCATTACGGCGGCGTTTCGATCACCATGGCTGTGGCGTTAGGCAAGATAGCACTGATACTTGACCCGGGTCACGTGACTTCTCCACGTATTTGTACATTACCGGACCGGAAATCCCACCACCGTCCCGCCGCTGCCGTCACACCAATCCTCTCCGATATCGTATTGAACCTGTTCAAGATAGAATCTTTTGATGGTGGGGATGTTCGGAAGGAGAAGTATTTTGTGAAGAAAGGGAAGGGGTTAAAGTCCAAGGTGGATGCTGTGGACTATGAGAATTCCAGCGACGACGAGAATGGGAACGGAAACGGGTATAACGGGGATGGTGATGAAGAAGGAGAGAATGGGTTTGATTGGGAGAAAGAGATGAGGAAAAGGGTAAAAGAAATTGAGGAATTCAGGGAGCTGGAAAAGAAGGCGGAAGAAGTGCAGAACAGAGTGGACGAGGAGTTTAAGGAAAGTGGTGAGGAGGATAAGGAAGAGACTGAGGAAGAAAAACGTATGAGAGTCCGAAAAGAGCTTGAAAAGGTAAGTCCCTGTTCTTACTTTTTGATTCTCTTATTCTTTTGTTAATTGGTTGTGCCCCTTGTTTGAATTCTTGGGATTAAGTAATAACAACAGTTGTTAGTAGAAAACGTATATTTCAGAGGCTGTTAATTATTCTTTATAGTTTTTGATTGACTTGTTCTTGAATGATCCGAATGTGTTTTTGTCGTAATATTGCACTTAGAATCGAGTTTTGGGCAGCGGCTTATTTTGGACAAAAATGATGGCTTGGGGTTTGACGGTTAGGGAAATGTTGATTCAGAAAGTTCGCATATTTCTTCTAGTAGATTGTTACAATTTCCAGCGTGCAGAAGTTTTGTTTGTAATTGTATCGAGTCTGGATAGTAGTAATTGTGCGTTTATTGATCAAAATGCTACTGTTTTTAATGATTGCTATGCCGCAAACTTTTGGTGGATTTATGATGTAAGATAGTGAATGTACTTTAGTGTTCTTGGCAGCTCAAATTAAAGTGCAAAGCCTTGTTCTTTGTTTTTACTTGAAAATAGGTAGCAAAGGAGCAAGCTGAACGAAGAAAAATGGCTGAGTTGATGTTTGATTTGGGCCAGAAGGCTTATGGGAGGGGAACGTATGGACGTGCCATTGAGTTTCTTGAAGCAGCACTAACCATCATTCCCCGGCCAACTTTGTTTGGTGGCGAGGTTAGAAATCATCCACAGACAAGCTGAAATTTGTCATTTTAAAGTAGAAAGTTTCCCTTTAGCTTTTATCTGTACCGTTGCGACTCTTCTTTCTTGTTTAACAGATACAAATATGGCTTGCTATGGCCTATGAAGCGAACAATCGCCATGCTGATTGCATAGCTCTTTACAAGCAGCTGGAACAAAAACATCCATCTGTCAGTATCCGGCGGCAAGCTGCAGAGCTGCGTTACATTTTGCAAGCTCCTAAAATAAAGATTACTCAGGAAGAGATGGTCAGCATACCATTGATAGGATCAAGCTATGACAGGTAGTTGTTGCATCTATCCTCGAATGCTTGAAAGTTGTGGCGGTTCATGTGGTGCATGCTGGTGTCTTTTAATATCTATATTCCAATAAATTACTGATGTTCTTACAAATAAATGTCACTTGTTTCCAGATTTGACTCCATATTTGTTGTCTTAGGTAGTTTGATGTGCCTCAATATTCAGCAAGTTAGCATCTAAGTTGTATGATTTGCTTCTATAGTGAGGTGTTAAATTGCAAACTCCTTCCCTTGCTTAGATTTAGAGAGGATGTTCTCATGCGCATGCAAACAGATCTTGGTTTGTCTGTCTAAGGTTCACGGCCCTTTAGCTATTAAGATAAGACATAGTTTTCATTCCGTGGTCATTCCTTGTTTGCTATAACCGAGAAATTGCTTGTGTTACTCATTCATTTAGAATTTTGCAGTTATGCAGGAACATGGAGTGATAAATACAAGGACAAAGATGAAAAGAGAAGTTACTCCACCACGAATCAGCTCCCATCGAACAGAGACTACTTGGGGGACCTTCTGCAGTGGAAGCCCCCAATTGGTCTGGAAAAAAGCCAAACTTTTTGGATAGCTTTGACACTCTGGGTAGGGCTCGTTGGAGCTGCCTTATTTCTGCAAAATTAAAAACGCTTCCATTCTTTTCCAATGGTATCTTTTTCTTGGAAATTAATGAGCAGGCAGATTGGTTGCAGATAGAAGGATGTCTGTTGATAGGTGTATGTAATATTGCCGACCTAATTTCTTGTTCTTGTAGATTCAATGTAAAAGTTGTTGCCCTACTTGTATATTGGTCATCTCCAAATACGATGTATACCTTCACCATTTGGTCGTTCTGCAAGTTAGTATTTTCTAACGTTTCATTGATGATAATATTAATGGTTCGCTTCATGAATGAAGAAGAGTCACGTAGTTTCATTGATGTGTATGGTCGTTCTACAAATTGTGGGATTTGAGTTTTTGTTAGCAATCCTTTTACGTCGCGAGTTAAGAGTTTCACTCGTTAAGTTATAATCATTCTTGAAACTGCGAAAAATGGCTTACTCTTGCCTATCCTTCTTCCATTGACGCTCAAAACTGTTTTGCGAACCCTTCCTTGATTTAAAAATTGGAATTGTTTTCTTCCGGAAAAGGTTTATGGTTAGGAAAGCAAACTTTGCCGCTGATCATATGGCGGAGTTTGCTACAAAGAGTCCCGAACATTTGAAACGTTATATTACACATTAGTTAGAACATGATGTTGTAGGTGTATATTTTTTTTTTTAATCCCCGTAACGTTTTATTTTTTACTCTCTTGCAATTAGGTCTTGGCATCAATCATTGTAAAAAAAAAAAAAAAAAGTCTAGTTGGGAACAACCAACAAAAAAAAGGGCCTATACATTCATTTTTCAAAACTTTGGAGTTTTTATCTTATTAAGGGGAATCATAAAAGACTATTTTTTTATTTATTTTTTATTAAAAAAAGTGAGATATTGTAATCTTAATTAATTCACGAGGTTACAGTTATTCTCCAAAATCCAAATTGACGTGAGATAAATATCTGAATGGAAAATGAAATGAGAAATAGAAAAAGTGTTTGCAGTGTAGCCCAAGTATATAGCCCGGCTACATTAAGGCCCATATCCATTCATTTGGTTAACCAAAAACCCTAATGGGCCTAAAAGAAAGCAACGCCTCCAGCTCCACCCTCGAAGACCTAGTATAAATAAAGCACAAACCCTAACTTCACCATTTCTTCATTCCGCTCGGCCGCTTCCTCCCCAAAAACCCTCACACAGTCACACACTTCAGGGTTTCCGTCATGACAACCAGGTTCAAGAAGAACAGGAAGAAGAGGGGTCACGTCAGCGCCGGACATGGGCGTATCGGAAAGCACAGGAAGCATCCCGGAGGTCGCGGTAACGCCGGAGGCATGCACCACCACAGGATCCTCTTCGACAAGTACCATCCAGGTTACTTCGGTAAAGTTGGTATGAGGTATTTCCATAAGCTCCGCAACAAGTTCCATTGCCCCATCGTCAACGTGGACAAGCTCTGGTCATTGGTCCCCCAGGAATCCAAGGATAAGGCCACCAAGGACAACGTTCCCTTGATCGATGTCACCCAGTATGGCTACTTCAAGGTTCTCGGCAAGGGTGTTTTACCGGAAAACCAGCCCGTCGTTGTTAAGGCTAAGCTGATTTCCAAGATTGCAGAGAAGAAGATCAAAGAGGCTGGTGGTGCTGTCGTACTTACTGCTTAGGTCGTCTCGCTCTAGCTTTTAATTTTTGAAATAGCCTAAAAACATTGCCTTTTATATCTCTATTTGGATCTTTGAATTTTGTTTTAATGGACCCTTTTGTGGAGGAGAAATGTCAATGAGTTTGCTTAGCAGGTGGATTCAGTATTATTATTATTATTGCTATTGTGGATTTGGTATCAAATGGCTTGCGTTGATTTTGAATTTCTTTAGCTTTGTTTGATTAGTTTACTGGTGTTTACATACCTGATTGTTGGTTGGATTGGTTTGTGTATCAGGGTTGTTCATCTGTGGTTATTTTGTTAGAAATTATGACTTCTATTATGTTCTGTGAATTTGTTCATGGTTTATGTTTGATCGTCTAGATACCAGTTGAAAGGTGATGGATTACTAATCCAACTTGTCTCTCTTTTTATGTGTTAAGGCTTTAGATTAAATGAAGAGTTTGAGACGGGTTGATGAATTTGATTTTATTGTAGACCTGCTAACTTTGGGTTTATGTATATGCTTGCTTGCACTGAATTGCACTGAATTGCTTTTGGTGCTTATCTTTTTACAAACTGTCTGTCTGTTTTATGCCTGTAATAATCTAGATTGATGGCTGTTTTTGTTACCGGATCTGTAGTCCATACTTTTAGAGTATATAACAATGTAAGAGTTTTGCTTACCTGAACTGGGTTCAATATATTCTTTCTTGTATGTCGGAGTTCCTTCTGAATTGTCAAAGAAGGTTTATCACCACTTCTTGAAATACCGTTAATTAGGAATTCGTCCAGAAAGATTGTTGACTATGATTTTTCCTCTACAAGAATTTGTACATGTTTTTCCCTGGAAATGGAATTTGATTTGGTTATGATCCATTTTTAAATGTTTAGTTCTCTATGTGGGGGTATTTTTCTGTGCCTTGACAAGATTCTCTGGTGATTATATGTTTGAGTCTTATCAATATACTTATGCTCGGTTGTTGGAGGTTGTAGATGCTTTGCGTTTATTTGTTAGTATTTACACCTTACTCAATGATGATGTGTCGAGTCTTGTTTATTTGTCAGTATATACACCTTACTCTAGATGATTTGTAGAGTCTTTTGCGTAAAATTCTCTGATTGTAGTGTTTGTAATCAAACTATCATAGGAATCCAGGTGATCGTCAGTGGCTAGATTAGTCATGATTACTGTTGTTTACATTTCCTCCACACGTGGCTCCCTATATGAATTTCATTGTTCTGATGAATTACTTACTGTACTTGTTGTGATTGCTGTCTCTAGTCCTGATTTCTTAATAAGTTTCAGAGCAAACACTCAGTTTAGTTAAGGAAAATTTGTGGGTAATGTTAAAACTGATCTGATGTCTGAAGGGTTTCTTTACCTTTTCTTTGGCCCTCCTGCAAAAGAATGTGTGGACGAAAACGTTTGTACTGTGTCTCTTTGTTTGGATATTAGGTTCAAATGTTAGGTTTTATTGGTTATAAATGGAATCTTGACTGTGTTTGCATCTGTAAATGAGATTATAAAAGAACACGAAATCAGTCTGATCTGATTGACAGCGTTTGGCCTGTTGCACTAATTTCGCGAAGTTGTTCCTAATTTTTTCTTGATTTTCAAAGATGCTAACTGCAGCTCTGTGATTGAATAAATGGAACAAGAACATTGTGATCATTTGAGCAGTTTATTTTATTTTCTTGAGGTTCATTTGAGCATGTTAGTTGACTGTGAAGCACAAATGGAGTTGTCTGATTACTAGTACTACTGCGTTAAAAGTACAGATTTTCTGTGCATAATTTTTAGGAAAATTGTTGTATTATCTTTGTTTTTTAAATGTTAAAGAATTTCTATACACAATCATTTAAAATAGGTGACTAATTAATTAATCAATTATATTTTAATACTTGTGTTGCTCAAAGTGGACTTTTACTGTATCTTGAAAGTAGATAATCATTTTAATCAATCATTTAAAATAGCTGACTAATTAATTAATCATTTTATCTTTCATTTTTGACTAATGACCACGCTAAAACATTAGTGGGACTATTACAAGCTCAAGGTCGCAGCAACCCTTTCAGCTCTTGCTAATCTATGAGGCCTTCCAAAATCGTAGTAAGCAGTGCAAGAATCTGAATATGCCACATTATTGTCACAGACTATAAAGTAAAAAGTGCTTGGTGTAAATGCTCCGGCCACCCGGTTCGTTACAACTTCCAAAAACAAGTACAAACCATGAACTTCCAATAGCAAGTAGTAACAAACTCATATAGTGCCTAACATCTTCCAAGTTCCATCTTCTAGTAGTAGGGTTTAAGGGACACAGGAAAATAAATTACTAGTGAAACTCATGAAGAATAAGCTCTTGAGGAAGAGGAAGAGGAATATGACTAAGGCAAAAATGGCAGGCATCCGAAGTGATGAGCTTAAAGCTTTTGATTGACACCAAGGTGAAGAGGGTTCTTTTGCTGAAGCAGACAAGACCGCTGTTGATTTCCTCTTCCACATCCTTACTGCGGATGCAATCACACGCCTTCTGACCAAGCAACAAAAAATGGTGGGTTGCTTAGGAAACCTCACCTTCACGAAATCTATATTCAGCCAAACCAAACCAAAGACACACTTCTCCAACCCAAAATCCCTGTTGGCCGAACCACCTATTCAACTACCCTTCTTACCCTTTCCCCTGAAGACGTGAAATGGGAAAAAGTCGTTTACAGATGCGGCAACTGCGGTTACTCTCCAGGGTATTTCAGCGAGGAGCCTGGTGTTATCTGTCCTAATTGCAAGAACTACATGCATGACAAGTTGAAATGTGTTCCTTCTCCGGAAGTGAGTGAAAGACAAACAAGTACTGGCGGAAACGTGGAGCTAGAAAATGCCGGATTTGTGAAAGGGATAGTTACCAATATGGTGATGGACGACTTGGTGGTGAAGCCGATGTCTACCATTTCTAGCATCGCTCTTTTGAATAAGCTGAATGTGCAGGAAGTTGGAGCCCTTCAAGAGAAATTGGTCGACCTACCGCATTGATGAGGTACCTCAAAATCAAAGCTATAGTATTTTACATTTTTGGATACTCTGCTCACAATCTAGGGTAAACAGTTTTTTTTCCTCCTCAATGTGGATGTCAGGCTCTGGAGTTGCGTAAAACATCCCTGATGTCCAACACAGTTCTTACAACAGTGTTCTTGAAGAGTGCCACCAAGGGAAAGTGATGTTATGAGTATCACTATGGTACAGCAGGTGAGCAGGGCTCTACTTCTTTTTGGATAGAAAATGATGTATGAAGGAACGCCTAATTAGTTTAGTGTTCTGTATGGCATGGCCATTCCTGGTTTTGAACCAGCTTAGTGAATTTCGATTACTGAATGTTGTCGGTTGTTTTGTACTGTTGTAGTTCCTAGCAAAAGGTTGTAGAGATGAACTTCATGGCCTTTATTTTGAATGTGGTGGACTGTTAATTTGTGTAATGAAGTAAATGGTCCTGGTATTCAAGGCAGCTAAGGTGTTTGAAAGTTAGAAGTTGCCTTACATAACCTTGTTTGGTCGGGAAACTAGCTTGTTAAGCTTGCGCAACTGAGCTGAGTCAGTGGTTTGCTACTTTTTTGCTTAATGAACCTGAGACGTAACGGATGGCAATTTGGTTCAAAATGCAACACAGCAATACTTCCCCCTACTTCAATTTTTTCTTTCCCTTTCAGAAAGTGTTTGAACTTTGAACCAGATAGCTTGCTTGTGGGGAATATTGCTTCACAAGGTATAACTGGAATACATTGATTCACGACTGTAACAAATGCCACGGGTTTACAAATTATTAATTGTGCAAAATGGTGCTCGTTTCCCTCGCGAGAAGCCAACCTTTTGGGTTAGAGCCAAAAAAAATAAAGTTAGGATTTGCGGATAATGTCAAGTGGGACAATTCGTATTTTGTATTGAATGGCCCCCCCAGAATTATTTTGTCCATCTGGAGTAAGTGGACTAATTAGAATCATTTTCCTCGTGCTGCCCCAATTTCATGGCACAGTGAAAATGAACAGCTTACATGTTGTTTTCGTCCATCTATCATTCTTCAATCTCCTCTATTTCACCTCCCCATATCTTCAGCCTCTTCTCTGCACTGCGTGCCTGCATCGTCACGTAAACATGAATGAATTGAACCCTGCTGTTGAGCCTCGTTAACTTGAAGAAGATACATAATAAGCAACATACAGCATGGAAAAAACTTTTTGAGGTCACCAAAATGCAAAGTGTTCTTATAGTGCATTAAGCTATATAAATTAACTATTAGTGTGAAGATAATAATGTACCTCCTGATTCCAATTTGTGGTGCAAGTCACCCAGAGCAGTGTCCCTGACTGCAGTGCTAATCCAAGCAACATTCCATACCAGATCCCCTAAAGAATTACAAGTTGCAAATGCTCGAAACGTTTAGCATCATTTCCATTAATTCTGGGCAAAATGAATGAATGCAACAAATGACTGGAAAATTTTTAACCTTCACGCCCATATCATAAACTAAGCCCAGTAAAATGCTCAAGGGGACACCCAACAGAAAGTAGCAAGCTGCATTGATATATGCTACAAAGTTCTGCCACCCGGCTCCAATGGCCACCCCTGCCAAAAAAAAAAAAAACCATACCCAAATTTTGTCACCATTAAATTTATCAGAATTTTTGCAGCAAATGATTTAAGAAAACAACTCTTGCGATTCTACAGAAGAAGTACCTGAGAGAGCATACTGGAGAGCTGTTAACAGTATGCTGACTCCCAAAAACGGGGTCAAATCCGCCACCAAAACTTGAACTTCTTTGCTAGTCGTAAAAAATGCAGGGAAACGGTATCGTCCCACAAGCAGAATCAATGCAACGAAAAGACTCAGCAGTAAGGAAGTTAGTCCAACCACAAGGACTGAGAATTTAGCAGCTCTGGGCTGTCCAGATCCCAATTTATTGGATACCCTAACACTGCAAAGATCAGATTAAGAAAACGGGTTACACATGTATAATGAGCTTCACTTGGTGAAGGATTTCATGATTTTCGACAAACCTTATGGCCACGTTGAATCCCAACCCTACCATGGCGCTCCAGCCAACAATGTTCATACTGCCAATGAAACAGAACAAAACGGTATAAGGGTACAAACATTGATGTAATCTTTTACTCCTCCATTAAGTTTGTAGGATTAGTAGTAATTAGACTTACCATATTGACAAAGCAGCCACAGAGATTTCAGCATTGGGTAAATATCCAGCAACAAGAGTCAGAGCCATGATATACCATATCTCCAAGCTGCAAAAATACATTCGCAATTTGCATTAGTCTTCCATGATCAGAAGTTTTCCACCATGAATTATATGTTTTAAAAAATAAAAACCCTTTTGGAGTACACTTACCAATACATTATGGCAGATGAAACAGATAATTTAACAAACTCCCAAAGATTAGAAAATGCTTTCCATGAAAAACCAGACCAAGCTTGACCACAGCTTCCAGACACAGCATAAAAGAACTGCCCAAGTGCAATGAACCACCAGGATGAATTCAACACCAAAGCCGCACCGGAAAGTCCCCAATTCAGCTTCAGCATAAGCAGCCAGCCTAAAAAAGCGTGCAAACAGAGCGCAGCCGCGGCGATAACCGCCATTTCCAGAACCTTACTCTGTGCCTGTAAGAATTTCGCCAGGGGAACCGCCAATGCGTATGCGAATTGTTGCGGAAACATCATCAGCGAATATTTCCCTGCTTCCACTGATATCGATTCTTCCTGCCCGAGTAATCTCAAAATCGGGGTTGCGAAAAAGAACATGAAAATGGTTCCCAGGCAAGTTGCATTGAGAATAAGCCATGATCTTTGCATATATACTCCCAATACATCAAAATGTTTAGCTCCAAATGCTTGCCCGCAGAGCGTCTCAAGCGCACTTCCCATTCCCAGCTGCAAGATGAAAAGAATTAACCAAAATCAGGCCATCAAATCGAAAAGGACGATTTTGCTTTTCATCAGAAATCAAAAAACCGGGAAAATTACCAGTATGCCACAGCCTAATCCGGCAATGACAGAGTTTTCCATGGAAACGGCGGCGAGTTGGATGGTGCCCAGTTGGCCGGCGTAGATTTGAGTGAGAGCGCCAAGGCCATACTGACAAACGGTGGTGAGGATGGAGGGACCGGCCAAGTACCAGACTTTCTTAGACTCAATGAAGAATTCCCGGAAAAAATCAGTAACGCCGGTGATGGTGCCAGTGTCACTTTCTTCACTCTCTGCTCGACTGATAATGCTGGTTGACGTTTCGTTGAGTAGAGGAAGCTTATGAGTATTATGGTCCTCCATTAATGGTCACCTTCAAGTTGTGTAGTAATCACTTCTGCAATTGGAACCGAGGAGAAGTGATTTATATGAATTAAGAAGGAAAGGGTTGTTCGCATAATTGAGTTTTTGTTAGTGACCAAAAAAAAAAAAAAAAAAAGTGGCCCACGATGAATTTTCATGGCCATTTTTTAACCAAATTATTTTTTGTCCATTTTTAATTTTTTTTCCCCCCTCTTTTGCAATGATTTTCCAACAGTAAAGTCTAGTGGGATGATACAATTATTGGATTGCTGTTGTAACTTTCTTTCTTTTCTTCTTGTTTTCTTCGGAAAACATGTATTTTTCCAAGTCTACTACTTGATGAAGAATGTGTATTCCCTCTCTATCCAAAAATTATAGTATGTTGAATTAAAATAATACTATTTACCCTCTTTTAAAAAATAGTTCAATTTATTTCACTATTTTAATTTTGAAAAATGGATTATTTATTCAAAAGAAAAAAAAAACAGAAAGAGTACAATTTACATGATATTTTTTTTTTTTGTTGGACGAAACGGCAAAAGTAGCAAGGATAGTCAAATTCAAAGAAATGAAAAGGGTACACACAAAAATGACCGATGCGCAAAATGGTTTGCTGACCTTATAGTTGCTCTAAATTTTATCCCAACAAACTAACGTGGTTTTGATATTTGTATTTTGTTCGGACGGTTCCTTGAAGTATTCTTGAGTTGTGGTGTCAATTTCCGGTTGTTTTTGTGGAGTGAAAGGTGTTGTATGCGCCATTGTATTTTTTCATATTTTCATAATATCTAGGGCGAAATATATTTTGCTCACCCAGTTTTGACTAGATCTACTATAAATTTCCTAGTTTAAAATATACTACCAAATACTTCTGTAATTCATAATCAACCTATCAAAATCGTTTGACATAATAACACCATTAGCAATTTGGTGTAAACAGTAAAAAAAAAATACCCTCCATTCTATATTCTTGAAATTATACAATTTAAAAATATATCATAAATTAAGTTTTAAAAAAATCCCATATTGATCTTTTTATAATAATGCACTTAAATGATAAATTTTCAAAATTTAACTATATCATTTATTTTGAAATAAAATAATTTGTGTCAATTAATTTATATTATTAATTAGAGAGTAACTTTTATTTAGTAACTTATATTATTAATAGTGGATTTTTTTTTTGTAAATTTTTAATATGATTAAATGTAAAAAAATGATAAATTAAGTAAATTTTTATTTTAATTGTCAAAATACAAAGAAAAAAACCCAAAAGAAAAAGAAAATAAAATGAAGTGTATGTATGGTTAATATAGTCATTTCAATGATTAACCCCAAATCATGGGATATATGGTAGTATTATTAAAATTCAGGGAGTTTATGGTAGATTATGCCAAAACTCGGGGTAGAATGTAGCTCACCCTAATGTCTAACATATTTTCTTTTTTATATTCTCGGTAGTTTGGATACAATTTTTATCATTTTTAACAAAAAGAAAAGAAAAAAAAACCATATACAAACGCCTTCCAAACAGAGGTTCGAGTCTAGAATTTGTGTGACTGGCATCTTTTTAAACTTTGGGTCAAGTGATGATCAACAACATTACACACTTTTGGTAACAAAAAAAAAAAAAAAAAAAACCTTGCGCACTTGTTTGTATGATGCTTCACTTTTGGTACAATTTTGGTATAAAACCTTGTAATGTGGATTGTCAACTTTAACTAGAATTAAGTGGACAATTTGTCCACAATTGAAGCAACCTAAAAGTACAATATTAGCGACCCTAGTCCATAATAAATCGGACTTTTGGCATTTGTACCATCCTTAGAAAGCCTTTTTCCCCACCTCTTGGACTAGGTCCAAATACTTGATTGTTTACATGTAGAAGCTCAGCTCATATGCGAGTCTTTCAATTCTTCATCAATTGATCAATCTTCACATCTTGCCCAAGAGTTTGAGTCTCGCTCGAACAGTATCCGCCTGCATATTGTATTTGACCAAAGCCATGAACTTTGAAGTTTGAATCATATCAAATTCATACTAGGAAAATCATGTCAGGTTACTTGCAACCGAGTGCATTACAGAATAGGATCGGAAGGAGTAAATATTTTGAAAGACAGTTTTATTTTTACCTCAACTTCCCAGTTTTTGTTACAAGCTACCAGCAGTATTGTTGCCGCCTGTAGGAAAAGTCCTAGCAGCAAACCATACCAAATCCCCTGAACCAGAAAAAGAATCCAAGTTTAAAGAAATTTGATTGCAAATTAACTCAAAATGACTCACCATGAAACAAAAGAGGGAAATGAACAAGAAAATTAGTGCGAATTGAATGACACCTTGATGCCCATATCAAACTTGAAACCCAGTAAAACTCCCAAAGGAACACCCAAAAACAAATAGCAAGCTGCATTTATATAGCCCACCAAATTTTGCCATCCTGCTCCAATTGTCACCCCTGCAATTAACATTAAATTGATCTTATTGTTATACAAAAACCATTACATTCAGAATATTTTTTGAAAGAACAATGACATTAACCAGAGTGACTAGTTAGGTTATTAAAATGAGAGAATGAATGAAATATTTCTGATGAAAATACATATTTCGTAGAAAAGAATAACTGATAATTTTGTAATTTATCGTCTAATAAATCATTTACACTTTCATTTCATTAAAAGAAAAAAAAAACTCAGTGTCTGTAATTGGATTTACCATATAAAGCATTTTGAAGACAATTGAGGACAATGGTGACTCCCAAGAATGGAGTCAAATCCTCCACCAGCAGCTGGATTTGTTTATTATCAGTGAATAATGCTGGGAATCGCTTTCTTTCCAAAAGTAAAATTGAAGCAACCACAAAACCAAACAGAAACGATGTCGCTCCGACCACTATCACCGAAAACTTTGCAGCTCTAGGATGGCCTGACCCCAGTGTGTTGGATACTCGAACACTAGTATGCAAAAATACACATACATGGAGTACAATGTCAGTAATTTTGTTTTTTACAATTATTTTTCTTTTTTTTTTAAAAAAAGAAACCAACTAATTATGAATCATGTATCTGTAGTTTGCAATTAAGATTTTTAACAGGGATGACTACAAAAAAAAAAACATCACGCGGACATAAACCGACAAATAAGATTGAATATATTGTCAGAGGAAGAAAAGTTTAAAACACGGCCATAACAAAACATTGATTCTGTGACAAAAGGGAATCTCTCCTTACACTCTGAAAAATTGATCAAAGCATAATTGAAATTTTCTAATAACGAAAAACGTCGTAAAGTGCAAAACCTTATTGCTGAATTGAAGCCGATGCCCACCATACCGCTCCAGCCGTTTATGTTCATGCTGCAAGAATAAGTCAAATTGGGTTTAATTATTCTAATTCCTAAGCTATACCTTGCGGAATACAGAGTTAGTCAAATGTGTTTAAATTTAGTCGTTCTTGTTTAACAGAGTTAGTAGTATAATTGATTGATTGAAAGGAGTAGTATTACATTAAAAGACAAGTTGTCTATGTTTGTTCATGTTTAGACAAAAGTACAATCATCAATGTTTCCATTGTCCAAATAAAAATTGCAACTAACCAGATTGACAAAGCTGCAACTGAAACCTTGGGATTGGGCAAGTATCCAGCAGCCAGGGTCATAGCCATCACATACCACATTTCCAAGCTGCAATGATCATGTACTAATTATAATTATTACTCCCTTTGTCCCAAAATTATTTTCCAGTTTGAGATTTCACTTTTAGTACAATTTGAACTAGAAATGAAAACTCAAACTGGACAATAATTATGAGACGGAGGAAGTACTATGTATTGATTGCTTAAAAAAAAAAAAGAAGAAGAAGAAGAAGATGATGGCCAAAATACAAACCAGATCATTAAAGCTGCAGAAATGGAGAGCTTGAAGAAGTCGAAAAGATTGGAGAATGCTTTCCATGAGAAACCAGACCAAGCTCCACCACAATATCCAGACACAACAAACAACAATGGACACATTACAATGAACCACCAAGTTGAATTCAATACCAAAGCCGCACCAAAGAGTCCCCATCTCAGCTTCATCATCAAAATCCACCCTGAAATGGCGTGCAAACAAACTGCAATTCCCGCTATCCCAGCCATCTCCAAGACCTTGCTCTGTGCCTGCAGAAACTTGGCCAGGGGAACATACATTGCAAAAGCAAAATGCTGCGGGATCATCATTCGCGCGAACTTCCCTGCCTCCACTGATATTTCAGGATCCTGCCTTAGCAAATTCAAGATCTGGGTCGCGAAAAGGAACAAAAAAACTAATCCAATTGCAACAGAGTTGAGTATAATCCAAGATTTTTGCAAGTATATTCCCAGCATATCAAGATGTTTAGCTCCGTATGCTTGTCCGCATAGAGTCTCCAATCCACTCCCCAATCCCCCCTAACAAAAAGTTTCAAAAATCATCACATATACTCTGTTCAGGATTAGTGTGGATGATACATAATTGACACTCAAGTTAAGACAAAGAAGTAACGGTTTTAAATTAGTTTGCTTACCAATAAGCCGACGCTGATGGAAGAAATGACAAAATTTTCCATGGAAATCGCAGCGAGTTGGGTGGTGCTCAGATGACCGGAATAGATTTGAGTCAGAACACCACAACCATAAATGGCCACATTGTTGAAGATAGTTGGAGCAGCCAAGTACCAAAGCTTTCTTGATTCACTAAAGAATTCTCTGAAGAAGTCTGCCACGCTATTGATTTCCCTGATGTCCCCATCGTCCAAGGATTCGATTGGTACGAGGTCATGAACAGTGTTATCTTCCGATAAAAGCGGCTTCTTATGTTCATGTTCCATGGAAAGCGAGCTTCTTGGAGGAGAAACAGAGTAAGAGGTATATTAGGTGGTACCTTTAAAGGAATATATTATTTTTAAAAACGTGATTTTTTTTCTTGGTGGCATTGGTTCATGTGGCCCAACTCAACTAATCATGTGCTTTATTATGCATTTCTTAGATCATTAGGACCGTCTGAATGTGTTTGATGACAAGGAAGTGGTTCGCTCAGGATTCCTTTCCCAATCATTTTTTTTTAATTAAATATAAATTTTGATTCTTTATTTGAAAACAAACTTAACTTTTTGGGATAAACTAACATTTTAAACGAATATGACGAACGCCACCATTGCTTTTTATTCGGTATTGATTTTAAATTTGGTTTGGCCATTCACCTTCAATGATTAAAGTTCAAATTTTTATATATTAAGGAGGCTAAATGCCTAAAGAGTTCAATTATTTCCTACCATAACTTCCCGGATACTATTATCGTCTAGTAGTTAATTGGTGAGCAACATCCTACTATTATCATAAGACATTTCAATTTTTTTAATCTTATGTATAAAATACTAGGTTTTCTCTGCCCGGGATTACACGAGGACGGTTTTTTCACTTTAATAAATTTAATATATATTAAAATTATACTCTGGCTTCATTTTTTTAATTGAGTTATTTAAACATAATTTTTAAATTATTATCTTCAGAATAATATTTCATACTTATCCCCCATTATTTTTGTCATATATGTATGATTTTGTATTGAGTGTTGACATATTCTTTGAACAAAATTATAATTTAAACTTTTGTAACGCTTACTCCTTGTAGAATATTTTTCTATTTATCTTACCATTTTCTTACCACGTCGATCAACTAATTCATATTTCTCCCTTTTTTTAAATACAATATATATATATTTTTTTTGGGATAACAGCATTATCCAAAAAACAGATATGAAGGTTAATTATTTTTATTTAATCATATTTTATCCACAGATTAGTTATTAAAAAAAACAGAAAAAAAATAGCCAGTTTTAAAAGGGGGAAAAATAGAGAAAATGAGATTTATTGAAGCTCAAAAGTTGAGGTTAGAAAATGGGATTTAAAGGCCTACGCTTTTTGTCCAGACTTGAAAAGATTTACCATCATCTGTGCATAATTTAAATGTAAAATTATAAAAATATTCTCGTTTTAGTAATAGATGTTCCAGCGACAAAGGTACTGTAGTTTTTTGGGTTCTTGCTTTTATATAGTAGGAGATTTGATGCCTTAAGGTCAATTATAGTGTACTTTTTTTTATCCCACTTTAAATTGATTAGACTTTGATTTGATAAAAACATTTTTAATATGGATAGTAATATGGAAAATTCACCAAAAAAAATAACTAATTAAGGATCAGAAAGAGCACGACATAGAAGTTTTAATTTCATAACACATCTTCTAAGGTATTTATTACCTTAGTCCAAAGGGATTACAGACCAACGAGGTCAACGTAAGTCCAAAGCGATTACCTTAGTCTCAAGGATTTCTACATTAACGTTTAAAATGTTGCTTTTTGGCCGTACGTAGAGGCGCTTGGAAGAATGCTCTTCTGCGATATAATGATTGTCAAATGTTTCGAAATATTCTATGATTTTTCATTAGAGCATCCTTATTTTTACCTTTACTCGTGTGTGTCCTGCGTTTTGCGCGGATTTGTCAATGTTGAAAATTTATATTTCAAAAGAATTAATTAGATAATGTAGTTACAAATATACAGTCCTTATTCTATTAAAAAAATATAGTTACTAATATTTCTTAAAACTGTAATATTTTTTTGATTAATCAGTTCTAGATCAAAATAAGAGGTATTGATATTATTTATGAGAGATATATTTGTAAAATCTGGCACAAAGATTTTCAAAAGTTGTATAATAAAAATTGTCACCACTAACTAATGTTATGTTTGGTTTAAAAAATATATTTAAAAAATATGTAAATTACGTCTAGATGCATATGGCTTATTTTTATAGGCAAGTGGACTTTGGGGATTAGATGTAGTTCCAATAAAATATGAGACACAGTTAATCGTCCTTGAAAATGTGAAATCGATAAACTTGAAAATTAAATAGCACACAAATAGAACTTTAAGGGCCAAAATGACAATAGGTTAAAGTTTAAACTCATAAATTAGAGGACTTTTGAAGTCGGGAGTTTCTCAGCAATTTTTAAAAATATTCATTTTCAAGCTCGCAATCAAGAATTTGTAATATCTGTAAAAATCTTATATACTCCCTCCATCCCACAAAAATAGTTCAGTTTGAAACTGTACAACTTTTTTAATTTGGTCAACACACCAAATGTACAACTCATTTCATTCCCCTAACTTCCACTAATGTCCCTTCTAGTTATTTCTATAAAAATTAACTACATATGCATTTATTTTACAACTTAAATTTGATCAAAGTTTTATCTAAAAAAATATTGACAATGGATCTTGATGGAAAGATCTCGTTACGTAGATTAATTAGATACATGACATATTTTTTAATTATTCATGTATTAAAAGATATAATCATTTAAAAAAATAAGAGAAAATTAAAAAAAATGAAAATCAAAGGAAATGGAACTTGTTTTTCATATCACTACTCTTTTGGATATTTAAGTCATTTCAATTCAATTAATTTTGACTTTTGTTAAACTGGACTATTTTTTTAGGACAAGATTTTTTATTAAATTGGATTATTTTTGTGGTACGGAGGGAGTAGTAAATAATTTATTAACTGTGTACAAAAAATTTTAACTGATTAATGATCAACTAATTAACAAATAACACGTGTTAATTGAGACTTTGATGGTCTCAATGAGCGATACGTGTCGATTATTTTTCTTTTCTTTAATATATATAATGACTCACCTTAACCTTGGAGAGAAATTATTAAAGTTTAAAATTAGTCTTTATAATTCATGTGAACTCCACGAAAGAAAATCAATTTAAAAAAAATATAGTAGAAAATGAAACAAAACAAAACAAAAGGAGCAAGTATATCATTTTCCTACAAGCTAATATCAATAGCTGGGCTCGGTTGCGTGAGCCTGTAACCCAAGTGCGGAGCGGGGGGCATTAAACTGGTGGAATAGTGGACCACTTAGCCGGTCTACATGCTCTGGACTCGAGCTCGGAAAAAAAAAAAAAAAAAAAAAAAGAAAGAACCTTCTCTTTTTCTCTAGAAAAAAAATTCCTCTTCAAAATTTCTTTCTCCTCTCCCATCCACTACTAATGATGGATGGGGGAGCTCAATTCTTTTACTATATTTTCTAGTTTTAATTTTTGCTCTTCCCGTATGTGAAAGTTTCGCTCTCCCTTTATGGGGTATTGCTCTTCCCTATGGAAGTTTTGGTTCGTCCCATTTGGGAGAGCTTTTTTCTTTAGATGTACTTTTAGTAGGTTTTCTTTAACAGATCTGATCCAGAAGAAGAAAATCCACAACTCTTTAAAGAAATTGAAGAAGAATATGAGGTTAAATGATTTTGCAAATGAAGGATCTATATAGATCCAAGACTTCTAGCCATATAGATCTAAATTATCGATTTAGATCTGGAGTTTTAGTCCCTTCTGAGCGATGTTTGGATTTAATTTGTAAAAGTGTATTATTATCCTCTTTATATTTTTTGAGTTCTTGGAATTTTCTCACTCTGTCATTAGAAATGTTGCTACAATTTAGCCAATTTAGCTTAGCTTAGGATTAAACACAGTGTTGGGATTGTCCATCTCTTCTTCTGTGGCGAGATATAGCGCGTAAGGCGAATTGTAATATATCAACCGTAGGTTGTTGTAGCTTAACACATTATGATTGTATTTACTTATTTTCTTTATATATGATTATCGCTTTTGATAAAATAAAAATATCAATAAAAAGATAAATAAATAAAATTCAAGTTTGTCGGGGTTGACATTTAAAGATATGGACACGTACGGTCACACATGTACCCATGAACGAATAAATGGCCCGCAGGAATAAATTGATGACGGGCGTTGCTAATCAACAAAGTCGGGCTTCATTTCCTGCTTTTTCCTCAAATGAGTAAAATTGTTTCTTGTTTAAAAAGTTTTACCATGTGTCCATGTCGCTTAAAAAAAAAAAAATGTTTACCATGTAGGACATGATGTTGCTTATTAAAAAAAATAAAGCATCAATCAACTTAAAAAATAAAAATCTAAACTAGAAAATAATTTCAGGATGAAAAGAATAGTATCTAGCATCTTAGTAACGTGATCCAGATTTATTTGATTTCAAATATTGGGAGCAATGAGTGAATTTGATCTCAATTGTTGTGAGTAGATATCAATTTTTATATCGTTTCATAATCTTGTGTACGTGACTCTTCATCAAGAACATTAACAAGAAACTAATTAGTTTGTCATTGGTTCATACTATCATTGATTTTGAGAGTGAGTGAAAATTAAATTTGTGTAATTCGGGAGCACTGAATTCTTAACTGCTTTTTATTAGTCCAGAGAGCGAAAGAGTACATTATCCGGTCTCAACCCGGGACTAGTAAAAAAAAATGATAAAAGTTGATAAAATAATAATATTTTAGAAATTTTTTTAAATATCTATAAGTCCCAACAAAATTAAAAATTAATAAAATAAATACCACAAATGCAAAAAAGAAAAGAAAAGAAATGATAATAACTATAAATATGTTGTAAAATATAACTATTGATACTTGTCTTTTAGTTCATAGAGATAATATGGACTGTGTATGGATTTTTTAGTATTCAAAAGAATTTTAATACTTCTTCTGGTCCTTATTATAAGGCATTTCGATTTGTCCTAGCTTTAACTTAGGATATTTTTTTAATTGAAAAAAAAAGACCTTAAAAATATATAATAAGGACCGGAGGAGTATTTGATTAATTTGGAAGTAAAGACAATTGCAAACTAAGTAAGTTAGTGAGAGTTCTTTTTTCCTCATACAAATTCTTTAAATAAATAACTTATTAATTTATCAATTATTTAATAATTTTTTAAATTGATAGATTTTGATGATCCCAACACTATTAATTTATAGAAATTCTAATGTAATTTGCTGGTACATCTTGTCCAAACAACTGTGGTGTCCACAATGACCACAAAAACTAACCTAGATTAACAGTACTAGCTAGTATATTAAAATACAATATGGTGAAATACTACTATTTTTTTTTTCATATTTGTAGGGTGTTTACCGTCGGTAACAATGACTAATCTCACTCGCTAAATTGTAGGCACCTCAATGAGTGGGACAACTGGCCAAAGTATTTAAGGTTACTTCATGCCAATTGCAAGGTTCGAACCCTCAACTTATGGTTAAGGGTGGATAAGTTCCTTTCACTCCACCATAACCAATATGGTTAAATATTACTTATTATTACCACCGAATCAGTGTAACTACAATGAAATGATTATAGGATAATAAATTTTAAGTTACTAATCTAATTTTAAGTTTTAACTTAAACAAGTGGAGACATAATTAATTTCAAACTCGGGATAATTATTTAGCCCAAATTGACTAAATTACAAGTCAAATCTGGTTTATGTAAGAAAGGAACTCTTGTTGATGCGTCATTGGCAAGTGGCAACTAAGACAGCTACAGTTGTGTAGTCTTCCAAATTAGTATAATTCATTAGCGAGAAATAATAAATAGTATAATTAGGCGCAAGTTTTACTTCTCCACTACCTCTTCTTCTTCTTCTTCTTCTTCTTCTTTTTCTCTCGTTTTCTCTAACAATGGCTTTGGATCAGGATTCTAATCTGCCACTCTTATACAACGTTGAAGATCAAAAGCCAATTAGTTGTAGACATAATTTCGCATTCGAAGCCGATGAAGATGACATCGACCCCATCAACGGAACTGGAGATTTCTTCAGAGAATTCGTCATCGAGTCCAAGAAACTCTGGTACCTTGCCGGCCCGGCCATCTTCACTTCTTTTGCCCAATATTCCGTTACCGCCATGACTCAGGTCTTCGCCGGCCAAATCGGAACAACCGAACTCGCAGCTTTCTCCATAGAGAACAACGTTGTTACCGGATTCGCATTCGGCATTATGGTAAAAAAAAAAAAATCAACATTTTTTTCTTGTTGTCTTATAAATTATTACTAGGTTTTGGACCCGTGCACTCGCACGGGTTTGACATTGAAATTTCATATAATCAATTTTAAAAAGATTTTAATAAAGGTTAGCTGAATACATGTTCAAAGTAGTTGAACCATGAATACAGTCTCTATTTTTTTTTTTAAGATTAGTAAACAACCTAAAAATACTTTTATAATAAATATATTTCATTTAATGTCAAATAGTTTTCAGTTTTCCTATAACTTTTTTCCCGAAACTACCATCGTGTTCATTAACTTGACACTATCAGTAGAAAAACCCTTACACAATGTAGACTACATTATGATTATTTACTAATTTAATTAATGGCCGTCTAAACTAACAAATGAACATATTGGTGTATAATTTCACTATGGCCTTCGTTATAATTGCCATCATTTTTTAATATTTTTTAATTTTTTTTTCCTACAATTAGATGTACACTTGGATGAAAAGGCACTGGAGAAAACTGGCTTCGAATTTTTTAATATTTTTTAATTTTTTTTTCCTACAATTAGATGTACACTTGGATGAAAATTAGAGCATGTTTTTTTTTTATTTTTTTTAATTTTTGACAATGGCAAACTACCCTTATGAGTTCTATATTATGCTGTATAAAACTGTCATTCGGATTTTTATTTATTTTTAATTTTTTTTGTGTTTTTCTTTTTAGAAAAATTGAGAGAGTAGATTTTTAAGGAAATAATGACACTTGGATTTTTATGAGAAAAATGGTTTTTGTTATAACGGGGGTTATAGATTAGGTACAATTATTATCAATTATTATCAATATGAATATTGCAGTTCGGAATGGGAAGTGCATTGGAAACTCTTTGTGGGCAAGCTTACGGAGCCGGGCGGCTAAATATGCTGGGAATATATATGCAAAGATCATGGGTTATATTAAACGCCACCGCATTATTGCTAATGGTTTTCCAGGTTTTCTCAGCTCAAATATTGAGACTAATCGGACAAACACCGGAAATATCCAAGTGGGCCGGGACATTTGCTATATGGATGATCCCTCAAGTATTTGCCTTTGCATTTAATTTCCCGATCCAGAAATTCTTGCAAGCTCAGAGCAAGATCATGGTCATGGCCGTGATTGCCGCCGTGGCTCTGGCGGCGCATACCCTCTTCAGCTGGCTGTTTATGCTGAAGCTGCGGTGGGGCATGGTCGGCGGCGCGGTGGTTCTGAATGCGTCTTGGTGGTTTATAGTGGTGGCTCAGCTGGTTTACATTTTCTGGGGGACTTGTGGGGAAGCGTGGTCCGGTTTCTCGTGGAAGGCGTTTCAGAATCTTTGGGGATTCGTTAAGCTGTCGTTTGCTTCTGCTATAATGATGTGGTTAGTCCAATTAATCCCTGCTTTTTTTTTTTTACCTTCTTTGTTGAAAATTATTTAAGTTTATCTAAGAAAGTATATACTTAATCTAACAACGTAGCCTCTCTGCTAAACATACTAAAACTAGTTTTCACTACGTAAAACTTTGGTAAACAAATGCTCAATTATCGCAAATAGTTTATTGTTGGATGATTTTTCAGTTCACTTTGTTATTTACTTTATTGAATTGAAATATTATGATAATTAAAGTACTCTCTCAGTCCAATTTCAACTGAATTAAAAGTGAAATTTCAAACTGGACTATAATTTTGGGACGGAGGAAGTAGTATTTTTGATAAATGGAATACTATATTAGACACTTGATGGGAGTGAAAGTTATTTAAACATATCTTGGGTCAATGTTCATATAGTTTTAGGGTTTAATAAGTATACACGAGAGGTTGTTTGTAATGTAATAAATCCCAAAAAGTTGACTTTTCAAAAGTGCTAACTGTGATTCTGATCTGATTTGACCAAATTAAAGATTTCTTGGGAATTTGTGTATTCTATTCATGCCGACGCCTTTAGATCCAAAACTCGGGGAATTGGAGACCACGATCCACATTCCACATGGAACACGATTCACTATCTATATGTGTATGTCCAAAACCATTAATATGCATCCTCGTAATTACACTTTTTCTATCTTAAATAATACTGGTTGAAATATTTTTGTATCCAAAGAGGCTCATTTATTTATGTATTGTATACATTTAAATATGGCATTCACACTGAGATAGAGTTTTGATTATTATTTTTTAAATTAAAAAATATACTAATAATTAAACTTTTATAAATTTTAAATGTTTAAATGTTTATGCTCATTGATCTATAAATTATAAGAATATATTAATAAATGTGGTATTATGGGGATGGACGATTCTTACAAGCACTTAGGCTATTACATGTGTGACTATGGGGGAGAGGGACCTACTACTAGCCTAGTCTAGTAGGAGACAACCCCACGCGTGCAATGCCTTTTTTCATGCGTCCATTGAGTGCTTGAAGAGTTTTCAAGTGCAACCTGCAAAAAAAATAGCATTTTGATGTCGTGAAATTTTGAATTCGAAATTTTCAAATTAGATGCCTAGCCCTTTACAACTTAAGTAATTTATTGGCGTGGGGATGGACGATTTATATATGCTCCATCGATCCCACACTGATGATGTTTGTTGCAGTTAGCTCCCCATTTAAATGTTTTGTGTCCAATTCCATGTCAGTCACTTCATCCACCAATAAAAGTAAAACTACTGTAAATTAACTAGACTCAAACTAATCAATGTGGCTGTGTATCAGTTTTTGTAGCAAGACATCTCACGTTTGTTTTTATTTTTATTTTTTTTGGGGGTCTGAAAATTGACTCGATCAGCTTGGAGTATTGGTACTTCATGGTATTAATTTTGTTTGCCGGATACTTGAAGAATGCCGAAATCGCGGTGGATGCCATCTCTGTTTGGTGAGTTTTTCATTTATTTTGTACACCCTCTTTTCACAATTTCAATTTGCTCAACTGCTACTACTTGTTCTCATCCTTGTTTCTGGCAAACAATCTTAAGTTTGGAGTTGTGAGAAATGAACATGGTATAGTACACAAAAATTTAGCCTGATGTTTCAATTTGTTATTGCAGCATGAATGTATTTGGCTGGACAATCATGGTAGCAATTGGATTCAATGTAGCTATAAGGTTTGTACTAATATATTTAATTTTCAGATTATGACACGAAATGACTCATAACCTTCTATACTTACACTTTACTTTAAAGGATTTATATATTTAAGAGTTAGGGGACTTAAGATTCAGTAATATTATTCTTTGTAAATTTTCGTGTCAAATTTTCCTGGCATGTATCATCAGTCTTAATTTTCCGCTAATAATCAAACAACATAAGAATGTCATGAATCACTGTGAAGTTAAATGATAGAAAATAGTGAAAACTCAAAATTACCAACCTTTCCCTTCTAAAACTGTGAAATACGTACTATAATAAACTGTGTTTTTATATCTTTTCAAACATGTCAAAAGTGGTTATTAGATGATTTTAGTGCTATCATTACTCTACCGTACCATCCTGTCTTTAAAAAAATAATTCAACTTTAAAGTGCATAATTTATCTTTCTTTTTTTTTTTTTTTGAGACTGTAGAAATTATTAGTACTTAGAAAAAAAAAACCAATATAAAATGGTCTCTCCATGTATACAGCGTGAGGGTGTCCAATGAACTGGGAGCTGGGCATCCAAGAAGCGCAAAGTTTTCAGTGGTGGTGGTGACAATAACCTCATTTGTTATTGGGATTTTGCTGGGTTCGGTTCTAATGGTGACCCGAAATCAGTACCCGGCATTATTCTCCAACAGCAAGCAAGTTCAACAAGTTGTATATGATCTCACACCTCTACTGGCAATGTGTATTATTATCAACAGTGTGCAGCCAACTCTCTCAGGTACCATTTGTGCAACAGTTAATCACATCGATATGAAAAACTTTACGTGACAGAGACAAAAATTTGAGAAGAAGCAGCTCTGAAATTTACAAAAATAATATTATAATACTTTTGAAGCAGGTGCAAAAATGAACAAAATGTACAATATTCCAGTAGGAATTTAGTACTACATCTCTATTAAGTACACAGAAAACATGGAGTTTTTTTTTGTTAAAAAAAAAAATTATAAGAAAACATGAAGATAAAAGATATTATTATATATTGCTACATTTATGATTGAAGATTCACGAATTTCGTAATGGATGGATGGTAGGAGTGGCGATTGGAGCAGGATGGCAAGCCTATGTGGCTTATGTCAATATCATTTGCTATTACTTCTTGGGCCTTCCAATTGGTTTATTTTTGGGGTACACGTTGAACATGGGTGTCCAGGTACCCCTTCCTGTATATCTGTTTAAGAAGTCGAGTTAGTTATCTGTTCTTTTCGTCTCGAATAATTGTCTAATTTAAATTATATTATAAGTGAAAATTTAAATTAAATAATAACTTTAGGACATGAAAAATTTTATATTAACTGCATGGAGGATTAAATGGAATATGATACGTTGTGAAAAAGTTACTATCGATAGGTTCAAATCTCGTCGGGATCATTAAAAGAAACTGTTGTTTTCTGTATTTGAAATCTATATATACTTCGTTGATCTCATTCACAATTTTGATCATTTCATTTAAATTCAGGGCATTTGGATCGGGATGTCATCCGGGACAGTAGTCCAATCTTTAGTCTTGCTCTGGATGATATATAAAACTAATTGGGAGGAAGAGGTTAGTCTAAATCTCTTGCATTACTTACATTAAATTACTCTGCAAAATATTCGCCCCCGTCTTTGTTATAATTTAACAAAAAATTATTGTTTTTGGAGGAAGGAAGAAAATACTAATTACAAATGGCACTTTCTTTCTGTCTTTGCCGATATGATTGTGTTCTAATAAAATCTACGCCGTAATTACCTTATTATGTATGCAGGCGTCTGCCGCGGGAGACAGAATTAAACAATGGGGAGGAGAGAAATAAATTCACAAAGAATTATAACGAAGAGATAAGGGACTCCCAAACTTGAGTGCAATCCCAGGTATCAGCAAATGTAACGCCTAAATTTCATTCATGAGGTGTAATTTTTTTGCCAACATAAGAGAAAAATAAAATATTAAAAAGTAGAAATTGGTCGACTTAATTAATGTGTATGCATGGGTTAAAAGTTTCAGCAATTTGTTTTGAGTTGTATTATTATTTTGCATTAAATCATTTTTGTCTCACATAATTTGGGGTGAGACTCCCAATTAATACAATAAAAATACAACCTGTACACATATAAACAATTTCTTTATCAATTTTGTTCAACCAATCTATACAACAATTTTGGACTGACTGAAGAATTTTTTTTCATGTTTGTATTAAGTAGTAAAATAAGAAACAAGTATAAATTTAAAAAACGATACAAATATTGTACTTGTTGAACAATGTCTGACCTTTTTGCTTATTTTTCTTCATCTAATTGAGCATCCATTTCTCCACCCCATTGCTTTAGTCTCTCTTCAGCAACCTGCGCCTGTGTGTACATGGTCATGAGTTATATGTAGTTATTTATTCCATTTGTAAAATGCTAGTAATATCATAATCAATCACGACTCCATCTTCATGCCATGTTAGTTGATAATAGTTAAATAATGAATTCTAAGTAAAAGTGAACCTAATCTGGGGAAGGCTGCATTTATATTTGTTTTCATTGATTAACGAAAGGATAAATTAAAAGTACCTCTTTTCTCCAGTTTGTGATGCAAACCACCCAGAAAATAAGGCAAGTCTGAAGGCATAGACCTATCACCATTCCATACCAAATCCCCTGAAACACCACCAACAAACATACATAAATTGTTCAAATCTTCTTCTTCGTCTTCCATGGTAATGCATATTTTATTTTCCTGATTTAACAAGTAACAACTTCCGCATGGAAAATGATCTCTTATAGTATCATATTGACACTATCAATATAACTAATTTTAACAATAATACTTGAAATTCTTTTTTTAAAAAAATTCTAAAAATATTAAACTTCTTCTAAACCAAAATTATCATATTTATTATACTAAGATAGCATGACAAACATTATGATCCATTGTAATGCAAGAATTAGGGGAGGTCACCTTAACCCCCATATTGAACTTGTAGCACATCAAGATTCCACAAGGAACTCCTAACAAAAAGTAGCAACCGGCATTGATGTAACCCACGAAATTTTGCCATCCTGCTCCGATCACCACCCCTGCATCATTCAATCAAGCATTCATTAACCAATGAAAATGAAAATGAATTCTTCCAGAAAAGGGTTTTGGATATCAAATGCATAGTTATTATCTAGGGTTTAGGGTTTATAAAAATGGCAAAAAAAAAAAATTGGCAAAACAATTACCCGATAGTGCATATTGAACACAAGTAAAAATGACACTAACTCCTAGCAGTGGTGTGAGGTCTTCCACCAGCAACTGAACTTCAGTGCTATTTGTGAATAAAGCTGGGAATTGCTTTCTGTACAGAAAAAGAATGATGGCAAAGGCTAAACCACATAAATAAGAAGTCATTCCGGCCACCATCACTGAAAATTTTGCTGTCTTGTAATGTCCACATCCCAATTCGTTTGACACTCGAACGCTGTTAATTGATTAAACCGATAAATTAAAATTTTGGCAAATCACGTAAAAATTTGTCAAAATGAGTTAAAAGTCATATCTACACATATAGCTGAGTTATTAAGGAAAAAATGATCAAAGATGATTGTTTAATTATATTTAAGAAACTAATCAATTATTATTAACCTTATGGCAACGTTGAACCCCAAGCCCACCATGCCGCTCCAGCCGATGATGTTCACGCTGCATTCATCATCAACGGGGGGATGTCACAATCAAACGAATACGTTATATTAATTTGGTTGCCAAATTACACTGTACATTTTGCTCAGCATTTTCTTGGATAAGCATCAAACTCGTCACTGATAATTTAATTAACTAACCAACCGCAATTGGAGTGTCACAAGGATAAGTACGTATTGCGATTGAGAGGAATACTTCAATTATTAATAATAAATATTAATACTAACATTCATCAGTGATTTTTTTTTGGTATTAATTTTTTAAAAAAAAGATTCACTAATTAGTGACCTTTGATGATTTTAAATTTTTTTTTTTCTAACTTCCGGGGAAGGAAGAAAGCGAGCCTTTAAAGTTTCAATTCACACATTAGCCACTTTTCCCTCTTTTATTATTATCATGGTTTTGTTAGTTCCACCTACAATTGTTAATGAGTTGGAAGCAGTAAGGAGTTCTCCTTTGTCAATGCTTCAAACTATACTACTTATTAGCATCTACCTCCAGTCAATATCTACAGAATTTACGTGCATAAATCCTTTGACCTAGTGATCAGGCTTTTCATCAATCTAGTAAGAGCAAATTTATAAGTTTATCTTCTTTCGTTAGCTATCTTAAGGAAATGAAGGGAAAACTCCAAAAAAAAAATAAAAATAATAATAATAAATAAGAAAATAAGAAAAAAACTAAAATGAAGATCCGGTAGATGGATTCATTTCATTACTTCTTGAAGGTGTCTTGCTTTGGTACTCATGTTCTAGTCAAACAATATTGCTCTTTATTTCTTTCTTTATTTTATGTTTAGTTTTACAGGGAGGCTTACATTTATAATTGGCCCTTAACAGAAAATATGTAGACATTCAGGCGGCTTTTCAGTTCTTAGTTTATTGCAGAAAGAAAAATATAGGAAGGACACGTTTTAGGTCGATATATTGCGTACAGAAATGGCTAGTGCAAAAAAAAAAAAAAAAAGTCATTAAAAATTGAGAAATTCAATCTTCAAACTCACCATATTGACAAAGCATCCAAAGAAACTTCAGCATTTTCTAAATGACCAGCAACAAGTGTCAGCGCCATAAGATACCATATTTCCAAGCTGCAATCATTTGTGACCACTTGATTCAATGATAAAATTTGTGTATGTCATCACATTAATTCTAGACTGCTGCATTATCATCTAATCTCAATGATTGTATCAAAACGGAAACTTCAATATTTACTTTGCTATTTGAGTGGCAATTAACTCTATACAACAAAAATTCGAACCTTTTTGAAAAACGGCCAAGCAAACTGAAAAAGTCTAAGATATGATCTCTTAAAATCAACAAAATTTTGACAAAGCTAATAAGAGCTTATCTTGAGACGGAAGTAAATGTATATAATATAATTAATTACCTAAGCATTACAGCTGATGAAATGGACAGTTTGACGAATCCTGAGAGATTAGAAAATGCTTTCCAAGAAAAACCCGACCAAGCCCGACCACAACTCCCCACCATGACGTACAAGAACTGAGCTCCGGTGATGAACCACCACGACACATTCAGCATCAAGGCGGCGGCGGCCAATCCCATCCTCATTTTCACCATTAAAATCCACCCCAACATCGCATTCAGGCAAAGTGCGACCACTGAAATCAGGGCCATTTCCAACACTTTGCTCTGTGCTTGTAGGAATTTGGTTAGTGGGATCATCATTGCATAAGCAAATTGTTGTGGAATCATCCACAAGGCAAATTTCCCGACTTCACGGGAGATGTTACTGTCCTGGCCTAAAAAGTTTAATATTGGGGTCGAAAATATGAACACAAAAACCATCCCAATTGCCACGGTGTTGAGCACAATCCAAGCTCTTTGCATGTATATTCCAAGCATGTTGTGCTGGTTTGCTCCATATGCTTGTCCACATAGTGTTTCAAGTGCACTCCCCATTCCCATCTAAAATATATGTCACACTCAAATGAAATATTAAAAAATTTATAAATTGCTATGTCAGTCACTATATATGAACGTCTTCAAACAAGCCATATTATATATTCTGTACGTACCAGTAGGCCATAACCGAACCCCGCGACTACGGAATTTTCGACGGAAATCGCCGCAAGTGTGGTGGTGCCGAGATGGCCGGCAAAGGCTAGAGTGAGAGCTCCGATTGCATACTGGCATAACAAAGTGAAAATGGATGGACCCGCAAGGTACATCAACTTCTTCCATTCATTAAAGAACTCGAAATAAAGGTCCCTGATTCCAAGAATGATCCCAATTTCACCTTCATCTCCAATAATTAAGGACGATGATGAAGTTGAAGGAATGTCTTTGGAATTTCCCACATGGCGTTGATGATGATGATGATGATGAATATGATCCTTGAAATTTTGGAAAGAGGAAAGAAGTGGTTGCTCTGCATCCTCCATTAGAGTTGACTAGCAGAGCTTGTTTGTGCGCACGTAATACTTTGTTAAACTACTAAATAAAATGATGTCACAACAAATTTATGTTTAAAAACTTGTCTGCAATTTGGGGTGTTTGATTTGTGGTGACTTATATAGGTGAACAAATTTGTGATCAAGGAGAATTTAATTGGTGCAGGCCCTTAAATTTTGGAATAAATTACAACACCCCCAAATTAAGCAAAAAACCGCCCAAATTCATTCTCTTAAAATCAGGTATAGTGCGTTTCGTCAAGGTCAAACGACCCGATTTCTAACCTATTTTATTTAGACTTAGAGAGTCAATTTTTATAGTTAGGAATTAGGATCTAAAACAGCCACTTGTACCCCGATTAGTTGGTTTGAAACTTGGAGTTAAAACAGCTCCATTTTCTATTTCTTTGAAAAGCTTTGAGAAAACGTCAAAATTAACAGGAAAAACGAGAAAAAGAAATTTCAGTATTCTTACTAATTGCCATAATATGCAATATTAAGAAAAGCTAAAAGCATGAGGTATTAATTGGTGATTTAGTTAAAACTAGCAAGCTTCAGTTTTCTAGGACATGGATAATTTCTTTCCGTCCCAAAATGATTAGGAATAAGAGAAATAATTAGGGGAATAAAGTTGTGATTAGATGCAGTGTACAAGAGCTTCCATTTATAGTTTAATCCTTGAGGGTGTAGTAATTTATTCAGGCCACATGAGAGTGAAAAAGGGTTGTTATTTCGGTTGAGTCAACGACTTGTTAACCACCGTTTGACTTCGAAGTTCCATCAATGAACTAATCTCAATTCCTTAGAAGATTTCAGTATCTAGAGCGACTTTTGAAGAATAAATTCCTAAGAAACTTTTCCAATTATTTGGTACTACAAAATTTTGGTGCCGCGTGAAGCCGTGAACTGATTTTGATTCCCACAAAAATTAGAAAAAAAAAATGATAATAAAAAAAGTCGGTTACCTTTAAAAGAAAATCCACTAAAATATTATACATCATGACGAGCTAACATTGTAACATTTCGCTTTTTACATTGATGGATAAATTTTTAAATAACCATCAAGAATCAACCAATAATGCCTGTAAAAGAAGTTGGTCGGAATCATCAAGCCTTTTGTTTGGGGGTAGTTTCCCCGAGTAAAATTGACATGTACAAAGTTTTTTTTTTTTTGTCTTGGTGATTTAATTTTCTTCATCGCCTAGAGCAAGGGTTTCTCCTTCAAATTTCTTCAGTCTCTTCTTAGCTACATGTGCCTGCAACCAAAATTAAATCCATCCTAAGTTAATTCTTTAATAAAAGAGATAAAATATAAAAGCATCTTTTTAATCCCACTTCAAAAAAAAAAAAATAATAATGCATTAGTGAATAATAAAAATAATCCTATCGATGTACCTCTTTGTGCCAATTGGTAAGGAAAATCAGTAACAATACTCCAAGTGTTTGAAGGCAAACTCCAGAAAGCATCCCAAGCCAAAGCCCCTGATGAGTGTTGAAGAAGAAAACCATTAAAGTCAATGGGCATATATGCTACATCAAATTTTCCCTTAAAATCGAAGAAATGTTTAAGAAGCAATTAATCAGCTCACCTGAAGCCCTTTGTTAAACTTGTAACACATTAATATTCCGACAGGAGCACCAAAAATAAAGTAGCTCCCCACATTCATATAAGCAACAATAGTTTGCCACCCTGCTCCCACCGCCACTCCTGCAAGTTAATTAATTTCCTCGATTTGTTACTCTTATAAATTGAAAAAAAAAAATCAAAACAAAGTTAGCCATATTACTCTACTATACTCTATTTCCTACGCAAATTCCTACGTTTAACAACTTGCTGTCCACCCGCAACTAACATATTATGCGATGACTTCGTTGTCTAAATTCATATCCAATTGTTTTCTTTTCTCTTTTTTTTTTTTTTGAAAAATAAAAAGAGAAGAAAAAGACTTCTAACGGCTTAAGGGCCTGAATGACTAATTACATTGGTATAACCATGAGTTGTTGGAGATTGTAGCCATTGACACAAATCAAAACGGGGAAAAACGAAGCAAGAATTAATAAAGGGGAATGTATCATAAAATACCATTTAAAGGAATGCAACCGAAGATGATGCTGACGGCCAGCATTGGTGTAAGCTCATCAACAAGCTGCTTAACTTCATTATCATTAGAAAATAATGCCGGGTATTGCTTCCTTTGTAGCAACAGCACCAGAGCAAACAAAAGACCAAACAAAGTCGACGTTATTCCCACCACCATCACCGCAAATTTTGCAGCTCTTGATCTTCCAGAACCCAGTTCATTTGACACTCTCACACTGTGTCCCATTCATTAATTAAAAGTTTATAAAAATTGTGTTCAAAATATGGAAAAAAAAATAAAATAAAATAAAAGTAAAGTATGATTTTCAAATCCCAACATATGTTACTCATTGAAAACATTACCTGATGGCAGCATTAAACCCGCTGCCAACCATGCTGGCCCAACCCAGAATATTCAAACTGCAAATGTAACGGACACACAAGAACTAACAAAAGTCAAAAATCGTGATTAATTAGCAATTAACGTAATTACGCCTGCTTAATTAACTTTAGTTGTTCATTTTGTCTTATAATTTTTTTGGCCACCTAACCTTAAATACTAGCACATTGATCTTAAGTTCTTATCCAGGGAAATGGCGCTGAAATGAATACTATAGTGGATGCAAACTCACCACGTGGAGTTGATTTCGTGCTTAATTACATGCTTGATTTCATTAATCTGCTTGTTAATACTTTCTTAATTTCGGGCTAATTCTTTTTTTTGGGGTTGACAAACGTTACTTGTACACAAGGGAATGACGTTTCTTAATTTCCGTGTGCGGTGCAACAAAAGACAGCAGGCTCTTTTCTAGCATATGTTGCACGCCAATTACGTTCGTTCGGAATTAGTATGTGCATATCATATCAAATCATCATGTACAAAGAAGAAGACGAAGAAGAACTCACCATACAGATAATGCAGCCACTGAAACTTCTGCATTCTTCAGAAAACCAGCTACAAGGATCACTCCCATCATGTACCACATTCCCAAACTGCCACCATTTTTTTAATCACTCATATATTACTACTATTTCTAATAAAATATTTTATTTGTTTCAAAAAAAAATAATTCACATTTACTAGCGAGAGATTATTGACCAAATCCAAAATTAAGTGAAATTATTTTGACCAGGTTCCACTACATTTACTGAAAAGTCAAAGTGGATAGTAGTAAGTGTCCAGTTCAAGGTAGATCGAACCCACTCCACTACTTCATTCCGATTTCAATTTTTTTTTAAGTAACCGTATGATTAAAGCATAATAAATCATCCTTTTGCTACAACTTTCACGGTTTCACCTAAAATGCGTAGCAGGAATTAATATTAGTTGTATTAAACAAAGTGAAATATTTTTGTGGGATATATAAAGGGAATATTAATTCGTAAAATGTTTGAATTACCAGCTCATTAGAGCGGAGGAAACCGAAAGCTTGAAAAATCCGGAAAGGTTTGTGAGAGCTTTTGAAGAAAACCCGGACCAAGCCTGAGCACCGCCGGTCCAGAGCACAACGTACAAGAACTGAGCCACTGCCATGAACCACCAAGACGCGTTTAACATCACGGCGGCCGCCGGAAGTCCCCATCCGAGCTTCAATATCACAAACCAACCCAAAATCGAATGCGTGCAAAGCGCGAAAGCCGCAATCACGGCCATCTCCATCACTTTGCTTTGAGCTTGCAAGAACTTAGAAAGTGGAATAAACGTTGCGTATGCAAATTGTTGAGGAATCATCCATAAAGCGAAAGTTCCGGCTTCTTTGGAAATGGTGGCGTCTTGGCCAAGAAATCTTAAGACTGGAGTTGCGAAAATGAACAGCAAAATCATTGGTACTACGGAGATGTTGAGGAGAAACCATGATTTTTGCATGTAAATTCCCAGCATCCTATATTGTTTAGCTCCATATGCTTGTCCACATAGTGTCTCTAATGCACTTCCCATTCCCGCCTATATATTGTTTATAACACCACCAACCAAAAAAAAAAAAAAAAAAAAAAAGTAGTACCCTCAAGGAAAAACAATAAATCTCCGAAAACGCACTAAAAAAACAAGACAAGAAATACGATTTTAGTAATTTCTGTCCCAAAATTATTATCCAGTTTGAATTTTCACTTTTAGTTCAATTTGTACTAAAAATAAAAATCTAAACTGAACAATAATTTCAAGACAGAGGGAATATTAAACTTTTAACTCTGTAGTGGGAATAACGAATTATATCGGAAGTGAGTTTGATGAAACGGAATGAAAGAACTAAAAATCAACCAAACTACCATATGATCTTTTAATGAAGGATCTCCATTTTCGGGTTTTTTTTTTTTTTGTTTACTTACCAGTATGCTATAACCGAAATCAGCAATGACGGAATTTTCGACAGAGAATGCAGCCAGTTGAACGGTTCCAAGCTGACCAACGTAGATTTGAGTGAAAGCTCCGATCCCATATTGGCATACGGAGCTGAAGATGGACGGACCGGCTAAATTCCAGACCTTCTTCAATTCAGCCAAGAATTCTTTCAACAAATCCCCAACGTTACCATTCTTCAAAGGATCGTCTCTACTATAAGATATGGATGGCATCGAGTGAGGTTCCTCATTTTCTGGGAGAAATGTTTTATGATCATCTTCGTGAATAATAATTTGGCCATCTTCTGAATTTGAAAGAAGGGGTTCATTGTAATGATCCTCCATTATTAATTGTCTATAAGAAAATTGAAATGGGAAAGATGGTCGGTTTTTTTTTTTTTCTTAAAGGAGTATATATGACAAGAAAGAGAGATTTAAAAGGTTAAAAAAATGGTGTCGAAGGAAAATAAATAAATAAAACTAGTTCGTTAGTGTCATGCAAGTTTCAGCAGATGCTAAAAATGTTACAAACGTGGTGTGGACGAAAAAACAATGACTTCATAATCAAGTCATCATAACTTTGTCTTCTTTCGATTTTTCATCATAAAAGTCATGATAATTTCTTCTTGTGATGACTTTTAGATGCAAACTGTAGTTGAATTCACATAGTACCAGTTAACGTTATTGTTTGATATTACATCTATATGTTGGTAGGATTCTTGGACATGGTTAGATTCATTTCTTGGCAACCTTGGCTTCCACGACACATTAACCGTCGTGTTGTGTACTATAATGTATTCGCTACAATTTGCATACACTATACTGTAATGTATAGCATTTTTAATTGGCATTTTCTTCGCTTCTTATACATACACTGCAATGTATTCGCTAAGTTCTTTTGAAATTTTAAATTTTAATACGTGAACAGCGAGATAATCCTAGAGGATCGCATATACACTTATATTAATCTCTTCTGGAGCTGGACATGTTTACCTTTGGAAAGAAAAAGTTTCTCAACCAGTATTTTGATCACTTCAAAATTGATGTAGTAGGAAAAATGTAGTTTATTAATGTTGGTAAATGATAACTGAGAGTCCCTTCATCTGAGGAAAAATAACCGCCATTATATTTTAGTGAAATTCACAAATTCTAACGTGGACGTATTCTTTTGTGATAGTGAGAGCACACTACTTTTTAATATATTAAGATTTATATTAAAAACAGTACAAATTTTAAAATTCAAAATAGACTTTTTTTTTTTTTTTGGAGAGACAGAGTGAGTAATAAAATAAAGAAATCAAGCGTGCAAGTCTTTCTTTAGCACCTGAAAGAAGTTATAAGCTTGCTTCTCCGCTTCTCCCTTGAGGATAACCGTTTTCAACCATTATTGTCTATTTCTGAAGCATTTTTAGTTACTATTGTTGATGTATTCTGAATTCTGCTTGCCTCCATAGGTACTTTTGAAGGTAGTAGTACTCTTCTCACCTACAAGAAAGAGTAACAACAATACCTGTACATTATACTCGCATCTTTTATAAATATTTTATTATGTTTGGACGCAAATTACGTACTCCCTCCGTCCCATAATTATTGTCCAGTTTTACTAAAATGAAAGATTTTATTTTTTGTCAAACTTAACTATATTTTACCTTAAACAACCGGATATATCCCTACATAAGTAATTGTTTAACCATTAAGATTTTATGGATAATGTTTTTTACTAAGAACAAATGTGTAATTTGATCCATAAAAAGTCAAATTGGACAATAATTTTGGGACAAAATTTTTTAGGTAAAGTGGATAATGATTATGGGACGGAGGGAGTATAAGATTTGTTAGAAAAACATGAAGTCGGAGATTCACTATCTACAACCTTTGATTTATAATATACAATACAACCACGAGATTGATGAGTTATGAATATGAATTAATCGTTTTTTTGAAAAAAGGATTAGAGCCAAGTTTGTTTTGCCCATTTTTTATATGTAGAATTTACTTAGAACAATTCCTGACTAGATGTCAAATGCAAAATTGATTCAAGAACTGCAGTAAAGTCGAACAGCATTCTCAAACTGAGTTGTTTACAGCACACTAGTCAAACGCCCATTTCACTATGTAATACAAAGAAATCATTTTGAAAAATAAATAAATCCTAGAATTTATGAGAAGTAAAGAAAGTTACTGTGAAATGATATGTACTGAACACACCAAACTCGAGCAGTAGAACACCAGGTTTTAGATAGAAATCGTGATTACTGATTAGGAATGTCATTGGTGACCATTTCTGGCGAAGAACAGGACAGCAATACTCAAGACTACTCCAACTATCCAAGCCAAGACCAAGATATTCCTATGATGGAACAGAACCAAACAGCTACTTGCCTACTTCTGTTCGAAAACCTTGAAAAATCCTCTACCAGCCATTTTAGAGGACATCAACACAATGACTTTTGCTTTGAAAAGCTTCCAGGGCTCAGAATTCTTAAAAAATGGCATTTACTCTGTTATAACAACAAAAGGCAGCAAAAAACACCAGAAATAATAAATTAGATTTCTCTTTACTTACATACATGTATTCTCGCAAATGTGATGAATTTGTAGAGTGCAAGACTTGAACATAAATCTTTGAGATAACATGGAATTCAGCATGCGTAACTTTTCCAATGAGTATGGAGATCTTACCAGTCAATTCATTAGCATCATCCCTGTGATGGAGCTGAACTTGCAAGTGCATTGGGAAGTGGACAGATCTTCTCCCCCTTTGGGCATGCTAAGCCCTACTCAACTGAGCCAAGTAGTTATGCAGTTTGTTAAGGTTGGAGTCAGGGAATAATTTCCAGTTAAATTCATCAAATCTGGTATCATCAGTGAGTTGAAGGCTAATTTTAAGCCTGAATCAACATCATTGACTGCTAAAGATCTCAGGCTTTGGTGCAGAGGTGCTTTTTGTGGAAAAGCAAACTCTCGAATACTCACCTAAACTCTAGCAAGTCTACATTTCCCAGATCCATTTTGCCTCTCGAATTTGCTCTACCATATCAGGATCTTCAACTCTTCTCAAGTCCCTGGTTTCAATCACCCATCTGTTGTCCTTGAATTTGTTCTCTGGACACAAAGCGGAGTCCAAAGGCATAAACAGTTAGTCACTTAACCAGATCCAATTTTTGCCGCTTCAGAAGTTACAGTCTGGGGAAATCTTCTTCCTCCACATCCTGCAGGCACAAGTTCTTGATCTTCCAGGCAATATCTATCACTAAGATCTGTAGACGACCACAAAACTTCCCATACAATTTCTTTCTGACCATGATATATGTAAACACCAGAACTTCTTTCATTATCCATATACCTTGTGACTTTGATATACGCAGATGCTTTAATGTCTTCATATCGAATATCTAACCATGAACGCAATGTTCATGGTATCAAAGAAAAAAAAACTCCAAATCCGAGAGCCTACTCGGCTGCTCCACATCATGCCCCATGCCTCAAGTAAACCAGGAATTCCATTTCACTCTCAAATCAGAAACCATATCACCATGCATGCTTAATTATAACTAAACTTCTCATAGTCTTCACTATCATACAATCCTCTTAGTTTCTCGGTGTTCTCTGTAAAACCTATGACAAGGATTATTAGGGGAGTATAAAGAAGGAAAAAAACTCAAAATCTGAGAGCATACTCGGCTGCTCCACATCTTGCCCCGTACCTCAAGTGAACCAGGAATTCCATTTCAGTCACAAATGAGAAATCATATCGTCCTCCATGCTTAATCATTACTAAACTTCTCATAGTCTACGCTATCAAACAATCCTCCCATTTTCTCGGAATTCTCCATAAATCCTCTTAGGATTAGAAGGGGAGGATAATAACAAAAGCTTTAAATGCTCCAAAGTAAAGAAAGCATGACTTCTACATAAGTTAATATGTCTGATATCAAACCTATTCATGCATTGTGCAAGCCATCTTTTTTGATAATTGCAAGTAATATAACATTAAATATGCGGGCGGTAATCTCTTACAATGTTAGCCAACTTGTATTGCAATTCTACTTGACCGTTTCAAACAAAAATTGATTGGAGGACAGGCTCCCATCTTTCTCCGGGGTAACTCCCAACCCTCAAAACAACTTTGGAATGAACAATGTACATCAAGAGGTAGAAAAGGAAAAGAGTGCATCAAATCCTTCAGCGATCCAACCACTACAAAATCCAACCATGCAATACATTAAGAGAAACAGAACCCCCAATTTTGCTATGCTCCCGCACAAATCATGATGGCCGGTAGGAGCATTATTATAAATTCTTCAAACATAAGTTGTGTTACCAAATCCAGACCTAAGTAATTGAAAGGAACAAAACCCAACGAATTTCTTCTCCTCCTCTTAAGCCAATCAACTATCTTCTGTGCCTCATCATCAAAATCTCCCATTCCATTAGTATCTCGAGTACTACCTAATGATGCCATTTTAAAGCTTATAGATGTCGTTAATACAATAAACTTTCACTTCGAAATGCATCAGAATCAGAAACACATTTCATCTCTTCTGCGATTACAATTTAACAGTAACACAAAGTGAAAACCATATAGAGAAGACAAATGAAAATCCTAGTTACATATCAGTGCAGATTCATAAAGAGAAAATCTTTTGAGACGAATCTGAAAAGTTTATAAGTGCAGATTCCTGGTTACATGGGATTGAAAAATCTTACCCAGATTATCATCACAATCATCAACCTGCGGCATAGCTGAGCTAGTCAGTGAATATGAAAAGTCAACGTATCCGCCATCCTTAAGGGATCGGGAACTAAAACTTCTGGGATTTCACAAAACTCACAAAGACTCTGATCAAGGTCAACGAGATTAGACTAACGTTTGTCGGGCTCAGTAACGCGAGCCTATAACCAAGTGGGGGAATTAAATTGACTGGAGTAGGCTGGGCCTCAATTGGGCCGAGGCCAATCCAACGTTTCATTTCTATACTTTTTCATATTTTTGTTGAGTTAGTACTTTTGTAATCTAAGTGCAAGCTTCCCCAGTACATAAAAGAATATATATATATATATATATATATATATATATATATTTGTTGAGATGTCATTGATTAATTAAAAAAAAAATGCATTTGAGAATAATTTTGATCTTTCTAATGTTCTTTTCAGTAATTTTCTCTTATAATTTTTCATAGTCCCTTGAAGCTCTCATATAACCATCGGCGAAGGAAATCACAAATTCCGGTGACTCCACTGCCGTGATGACACCGAATTCGGCACCGGCCTCCGCTGGCCGAGGACTTACAGTAGGTAATAGACATTATCCCCATCCAAAATATGTACTCGGTGTTTCAGCCGGAGTATCAAGAATTTGTGGATTCTCATATTGAAAATGCCCAGACTGAAGCGATTGATCATGTGGATCGCCCTACTTATTGTTGGTCAATTGATCTATAGCAGTAGCTAAGGTCTTCAATTGATCATTAATCTCTTCCCAAAATGTCTTACTTTCAGCAGTATTTCGAAGCTCTGACTTCTCTGGCGTGTGTTGCTCCCGCCAGCGAAGTTCAGCGTCTGTGTTCGCCGGAGGTTGCGAAGCCACCGACATTCCATGTAGATGATCAAAAGCTCTAATTATTTATTTGTCATGATCGAAATTTAAGGATTCCGTATGCAAATAGGAATTAGGATTAGAGAGAAAGAAAGGGGGAATAATTTCATACATTTTTTTCAATAATCCGTTCGATACAGGAATGACGTCTTTTATGCCAACGAGAACTACCTCACTATTACATAATTACACCTTATTCCTCCTAATCTGACTAATATCAATTAAAACTCTCTATTTCATGACACGGACTAAGAAATATTTTTTTTACCTATGAAGCAGCAATTTTTGGGCCTTAGTCCTAAATCCGTTTTCATTAGTTTTTTTGCCCAATTTTATTTTAATTTCTTTTGGTCTGTATATTAATCAAGAAAATCGCTGTGGCTATAAGGGAGGCATCATTATATTCCCATGGGATTAAAAATAGTAAAATGGGTGACATTATAAGATGTGGGATTCAACGTCTTCAAATCCTTAACAGTTTCAACAACCAAAATTCAATAATGAAAGTAAAGATTTTCAACACTCTTCCATGTGCACTTAATTTGATTGATGAATGGTGAGAACAAAGAGTTACTACAATTTACAAGGCCCGGGACGATGATTCTTAAAGTTTCCATGAAAATTATTTCTTGCGAAAAAAAAAAGTTCTATGTTTCCCCACGTAATTTTCAATCAGTCAAATTAGTATTGAAGCTATCCGGTTCAATTCGATCCTTCAGTCTAATTCCCTTAATTTTTTTAAATCAAAGATCTAACAGAATTCAGAAGTTAAGAGCAGAGAATCGATAACGAAAAGATTGAAACATACAAATTCATCATCAAGAGAAACTAAATTGAAAATTTCCTTGAGATTGAAACACTCTGAGACACTTTTATTAAGATAAAAAGAAAGACACAAACAACTCCTGTTGAAAACGAAACTACATGCACACTTAGAAAACTAGCAGATTCTATTAAGAGATTATTCAAACGAAACGAAACTAGACTCTCTCCACAATTACATAATTAAACAAAGAGAAGTAATAGAAATGATAATTGTAACTATTCTTGTCCAAAGAGGGGATGATATCAATGCCTGCATGAAAGCCGGCCTGCATAACTCTTGTAAATCCAGCATGAGTCACTGGTTGGACGTTCCAAGTCGGCAATCTCCCTACAGCTTCAGCAAACTTCCACACATCCGCCTTCTTGGACAGCCAAACACGGTCAAGACCCATCAGATGCTCCTTCACAATGATCAGTTGATCGTCCAGAGTCCTTCACCCTGCCATTAGCTCATCATTCTCGTAGTTGAACTCTTGAGCCCGATCCCATGCTGCCATAGTCCTGGGGTAGACATCTGAATACTCTCGCAGAGTGTTTTTTGATCCATTGAGCTCATCCCAGATATCCATATAACTTTTTCCGAACAAATAATAAATAATAGGACCGGATGTACTTTTCGTCCCCCAGCTTTTAGGGGTAGCAAGATCGAGTCAACATGAATTTTCAATTGACAAAAATAGTCCCCTAAAATATTTTTTTTAATCAATTTTAGTTAATTTAACAGAATTTTTAAAGACTTAACAGTAAACCCTTTTTTCCGTTAACTATTTAATTTTTTATTATTTTCCTTATAAATGATGGGGTCCCCTAATTTGCCTCAAAAAAAAATCTTTTTTTCTTTTTTATTTTTTTTTTCGGTCGCAATTTTAATATTGAGATCTTGAGTTCGAATTACACTGAGAATTGAGAAATAGACTGTAACTTGAGAAATCTAGTTTCAAACATTTGTCATTCCAAGTTTTGATCTCTTTGGAATGAGAGGGAATATTTGTATTTGCACTTTTTTTTTTTACAAGGCGAGGCAAAGATTACATCTAATTACTTCTTACTTGTTCGTGATTTGAGTATGTACAACAATGGAAGATCCATCTAGAGTTTAGAAATCTTGCTATATGAACACCAAGACAAGAAGCAGCGTATGATTACCGTCCTGTATTTCAAGTCATGTGAACCAGGACTTGCTTCTGGCATTTTTGAATCCCCAAATTCCAAATGGTTTCTTCTGCTTCATTAATTTGCCATTTGCTCCTTTAGCAGGGAGTCAACATTTGATCTTGATGACCGTTTTCGGAGTTGTCACGGTATATCTCAGGTCCTGCAGAGATACATGTAAAAACCAATGGTTTGTAATGGTGCCTAATCCTTCAATTTCTGATGGGAGCTCACGGGAAAAAAAGACAATACACGCAACGACAAATAATCAGCCACCGCACACTCTTCCGCCGTCGTCACCACCACCGTCCATCGCAGACGGCGATCTCCATATGAGAAGCTCAACCAATTCAAGAAGAAAACCCACCAAATTTACTGAAATCAGATGACCAAAATAGCCTCTTATCCATTTTATCTGCTTCTTTCTTTCCAGTTACCAAATCCAAAAAAAAAATATATATTCATTCCAAAAACCAAAACGAAATGATTCATTCTCATCCTTCTTTTTCTCTCTTAAACTCAAAATCCAACCAAGAAAACAATGGTAAAAGTCTCTCGAAAACCTCCCTATCGGTGAAGGTCACACCCATAGAAAATTAATAAAGTATTCAGATATGAACGGAGAGTGGACATCTCCAGTTAATTTTACAAAAATTCTGTCAAATTAATCAAAATTGATAAAAAAATATTTTAGGGGACTATTTTTACTAATTGAAAATTCATAGTAGCTCGATCTTACTACCCCCTAAAGCTGGGGCACCAAAAGTGTATTTTGTCCTAAATAATATAACTTTTATTAATCTGAAAGTTTTAGAGAATGTTTGTCGAAATTGTTCCTTCGAATTAATTTTGACATATACAATTGACATATAAGGTTGACAAAAAAAATAATAAAATAATTCATAAGTAAATAAAGTTTTAGAATTTTTTTAGAAATTGTTAATTTTGACATACCTCATTCATATATTCAATTACGATACTATAATCTTTAACCTCTCAATACTAAAAGAAACTCAATAAAAATTGTTTTTAAAGATAATTATCTCAGCACCCAATGTAGGATTTCCAAAAATGTATGGACTTCACTCAATTTTAATTTCTTTTATTGTGTTATTATTTTTAAGTAATATATATATATATATATCTGTATATATATATATATGTGTGTGTGTGTATTATATATATATATGTATATATATATATATTACTAAAATTTGATTGGATGTTCAGAAACTATCGACTCGACTGTAAAATTTTTTGATTGAGAAATTGAAATTGAGTCATGACGAAGATTAGTAAAAACCCTGCAAATAGGTCAATATTGTTTCTAAAAAAATATATTACACAAAATATATATCAGAAAAAAATAAAGAAAAAAACCACACAAAAGAATGAATAAAAGTTATTAAGTCTTTTTATTATCTTGCCTAATCTCTAAACAATATAAACTTTTATATAACTCTTTAATTGGTTTAAACTTTCGTTAAAACGAATGGAATTCCAAAGTAGGGGGAGTACATGCATCGGAAAATGGTTTTATCATTTGAATGAATCAACAATTAGAAGAACTAAAAAGTTTGTTATAAAGTGATGTGATGTATGACAATGGGCAACAAAAATTGCTTTCATCCATTCATAACTTCATATCTTCTTTTTTCGTTAATTGAGCATGCTTAGCCATGAATGTCATGATAATTACATACTTATAGTTAATCAATCCGTACAATTTTTAAGGTGGGTAGTATTATCTTTGATCCATTTGCCACTTTTTGTTAAGAATTTTTTATCTTATAATAATTCACTTAAGTTATAATTTGCTATTTTTTCAAGTTTTCGACATCCAATTTCATTTTCGTGTTCTTTGGTTAAATATTTTTGTAACACTGATTTTATTAAAATCATAAAGAATCCAAATTAGTAAATTAATTAACATTGATTTTGCATTAAACAGTGACTTTATAAAATTATAACTTTGATTATAACAAAGTCATTTGTAAGATTGATTTTTCCCTTCATTTGCGTGTGTCATGGACGTGTATACTTAACACACAAATGGCTTTCGTTAATTTGTAAGATTGATTATTTGATTTTCTTTTTCATTTGCATGTGTCATGGACGTGTATACTCAACATACAAATGACTTTCGTTAATTATGTCCTTTGTTTCTTTGTTTTGTCTTTTGTTGCTATTGTGTTTCTTCTTTTATTTCTTTGGTTCGATTTAATATGCAGATGATATGGTCCACCACTAATATTCGAGAGAAAAGGGTAATTGCTATTCTTCAAAATGTTAACCTTTGTAAGTTGATAGGTTTTTACTACAAATCTATTTAGATATATATATATATATATATATGAAATTTTTCTTCAAATGACACAGGTCATTGTTCTATTTGTGGGTTATTTAATTGTAATTTTTAAAATATTTAATTAGAATAGTGACTGATATGACATGTATATAAATACATAATCACTTCCTATTTTATTGGTAGTTATTGGGAGTGTTGTGTGTTTTATATCTTTTCATTAATCACTATTTCATTTCAATAGTTACTATGTGTATCATTGCTCTAATATATTTTATGAATAATGATTCGTACAGAGAAAAAATGATAAGGAAAAATGACAATGAATTGATCATAACCATTCATTTTTAACACTTTCCATTTGGGACTTAAGCATTTAAGGTTAAGGCATAGTTTAGATGAATGACAACTCATTCTTTGTAAGTTTTCATTGTAAGTTTTTTCCTTGTAAATTTTCCATGTACGTATCATTACTCTTATTTATTTACTATTTATCTTTTGTTACCTTTTTTTTTAAAAAAAAAAAACCATCAATTTTCAGTTTCATCTTCCCAATTTTTCACACTTTTTTTAAAATAAAAGATAAATTTATTAATTTACCAAGTACAAACCAAAAATATGCGAATTTTGTCAAATTTGACATAGAAGAAAAAGAAAAAAAATCATTATAAACCAAATTCCTAAAAAGTCTCCTAAAAATTTTATTTTTGAATGTGGTATTATACTGTAGATGATAAATTATCTACTTATAACAAAATCAAATCTCTAGAGTCCTCCAAATAAAAAGCAATCTCTCAAAATTATAAATTTAAAGTTTCCTCAAAAGATAAATCAAGTCTTAATAATAAGATAGCAATTATGTTCCTTAAATATAATAGAATAACTATGATAAATTTAAAATAATTTTCTAAAGTAAATATATTTCTTCCTCAATTCTTTTATGTAATCTTCATATTTCTCGGATTTGCAAATTTATTCTGCTTTTTGAATTTCTTCCATTGCTTAATTTTTTAAAAATATTGCATATATCACAGAATAATAGTGCACATTGAATTGTGAGTTTTGTATTAAAAATGGAATAAATCTCAAAATTCAATATAAACTTTTTTTTGACAAATGGCGTAATAGTGAATTTATTAATAAAATTATAATCTCTATGATGTAATAAAATTTTATGACCCCAGCATTATGAATTTAGAGAATTTTATTATATCATAAATTTGTGTACAAAAAAGTCCTACCAATTAGTGAAAATAATTAAATTTTGAACGTAAACCATAAATATGAAAATATATATCAGTTTTTATAATCAAATGATATAAAAAAACAAGTTAACATATCTTAAAATTAGAGATATCATTATGCAACCAAAACATAATCTATATATAAAAATTATCCATGATTAATATGCCCCGTAACGCGCGGGCACAATACTAGTATTGTCACAAAGTAATAAAAAAATAAATAAAACACCACGGGAAATAATCACCCTCAATGAATCATAAATCACATCCTTGCCCCGGAAAAATAGTACTCCCTCCATTCCAAAATAAGTGTCGTCCTACACTTTGCACATAGTTTAAATTATCCACCAATAGTATCAACTCTTTTGAGGGTAATTTTGGAAACTTTTGATAAAAAGTGCATTGAAATGTGAGAACGATACTTATTTTGGAATTTCTCCATTTTGCTAAAACGACACTTATTTTGGAATGGAGGGAGTAAATTTTACAATTTGTATATGATAGTCCAGACTCCAAACTACGTAGTTACAAATTGAATGTGTGAAGCAATATGGCATGATTGAATTTATCACTCACGAAATGTATTGATGTAATATTCCAAAAGAAAGAATGATAAAACAAAACAAAAAATCAAAAAAAAGTTACATTACATAATCCACACTTAGTTAAATTTTTCAGTTTACTTTGCTCCTCAAGTTTTCGTAAATATATTGTTGTCAATTTTAAGCCTTAATAAAACGGATATAATGGCTATTAGAAGAAGCTAAAAGTGCAATTATTAAGAATTTACAATAATTACATATGACATATCATGAATAAATAATTGATGTTCATAGTGCATTCGGCATTCTGGCTAATGTGATGTCATTAACCTAATAACCTCGTAGTACTGCAGAATCCCTTCAAATTCTTTACTCAAAAAACAAAAGAAAAAAGAAAGAGGATTCTTTATGTATTAGAATTAGTATTCATGAAGCTAGTACATAAGTGGAATCATGGAACTCAGCTCCCAAATTGCTTCAAATGGCCACTACTACATTTGAAGAGAGGAAGCATTAATTACAGCGGCTAAGCTAAGAACTTCAAATGGAGCTCTGTTCTTCACCTGTTTCACGGTCTGTGGGCATGAATCCGTTATCCAAAAGTAAGCCATTCCATTTTCAGGATCGCCTGCAAAGTTTCCATGGAATCATATATGCATGTTAAGGTCACACAATGGCTTGAAGATAGCAATGTACTCATTATGTAAGCAACTTTCACATCGAACAATCAAGCTCAAGCGAAATGACTAAACCGAAGAATCAACAAACAACCATTGGGACATGCTAAAAACATGATGCAGTAGTAAGGAGAGCAAAAGTGAAGCTTGTTTTAGCCACAAATAAATAAAGGACATAACAAAGCAATAATTCAAGCAATACCTCCTTTGTCATGATCAAATCGCTCCCATGACCTGTTCGGGAAAATGCCATGGGTCACATAGGCGCTTATTTTTGTAGCTCCATGCTTTGCCAGCACTTTCTGGAACAATGGGAGTATGTCAGATACGAATTTAATGCTATTACACTAGCCGTTTTCCAAATGACAATTAATAATCAGACTCTTACCGCCAGGTGAGTAAATGAGGAAATACAAGTTTTACTGAGTTCAGCCTAGTTGCTTACTTACAAGTAAAAACGAGGGAAGAGAATATTTGGTTTCAGAAAAATGGGCAGAACCAGAAATTTCCTCACCTGCTGGCACTCTATCAAAGTGCTACCAGATTCTTTGGTACACCTTCCCTAACTTTAGCACAAATAATCTGCCAAACAAGTAGTGGACTTCAGAATGATACGCACATAGATTGATAAAAATTAAAAAAAATTAAAAAAAATCAGTTTCCAGAATGCAGAATTTTAGAGAAAACACTCCACATCTAGCGAGAAATGAAAAGTAGACTGAAAACTCATTGCAAATTACCCAAAGAATCCATTATAAGATCATGGCATTTTAGGAATAAAAACATAAAAACACACGGTCAGTGAACTGGAAATTATTTGTGTGAACCAGCGAGAGTACAATAAGAGAGCTGATAAATTGAGAAAACTTTTGTTATATTACTAGTTCTGTTTTTGTCGCGCTATGCACGACCAGTTCTTATTTTGAGGTGAGAAGGGACAAAAAAATAAAATGGTGTAAAGAGATTAACGGCACAGATACATAGTGTGACCAGCCATCAACGAAACAAAAACTTGACACAAAACCAAAAAACCAACAATTATACACCAAACAAAGTTCTGCGAGCAAATTATACTTTAGTAGATATTAAATCTCCCAATAGCATTTGAGAATCATTCTAAAATAGCAAATTTTCACCATGAAGCTTAAATCTTGAATGATACCCAAAACTCTTTTATTGTTTAAAAAAATTACAATACATTCTCATCTTGCAAATTTATTTTTGTTATTAGTAATAGGAAAGTTTTATTCTTCTACCTAGAACAATAAATTTAATTGCTTATAAGCACCAGAATCCTAAAGTTAGATTCAGAACCAAGAATAGATGCATAAAATTGAAAAGGTTCGGTTTAGTAAGGAAGAAAGAACACTTACATGCTTAGAATTGAGCTCCACAAGGACCGATTGCTCCTTCACCTAAAAGAAGTTGCCGCAGCCTTGATCTTAGCTGTTCCACCATATCCAAAACAAAAAAAAAAAAAAAAAAATAATCAAACCAAAATACAAACTGAAATGATTCAAAATTTCAAATTCGACAATATTAGAACTAAGTTACTGAAAAAGAAAAACTAAAAACTAATATTACAGTGAAAACTGGTTGGCTTTCAACCAAGTTCCTAAAGTGACAAGCGGTGCACTAAAACAACCTCTCCAATATGGTTGCTTTGGATAAATCTTCTGTTCATCTGAATTCATCGAACCGAAATACATGCAAAAATTGATTAATTTAAACTGAATAAACAAAACACACACAAAAGGGATACAAATAATTTCAACAAATTAGAAGTGGCGAACCCTTTTCAATATAATTAACCTTTGCAAGATGGATATAAATTGGATGAGCAAAAAGATCAAATAGGTCTCACCGAAGTGCTCTTTGATTTTTTTTTTTTTTTCCCGTTTTTCCGCCAGTGGTTGCTTTCATTGCCTTTTCCTTTTCATTTGAGAATCGGAGGCGAGAATCAGAATTGGAGTTTAGCTTTGAAAGGAAAGAGATGAAAGGAAGAGGAGACGACCTGGGATTAGAGATTTAACTTTATTTTTACACCAACGTAAACGTTAATTAACCAATTAAAATGTTCAATTTATTTATTGGCCAATGAGGTCGCTCAAATGAAACTTAAATAACTCCTAACCAATTCGGATCAAGATTCTAAACTCACCAAGAGACTTTTACTTGTGTACAGATAAGAGAATAATTCTAATAATTACCCATATTACCCTTAACTAAAATTTAGAGGTATTTACAAAAATGTATTTATCTTTATTTTTCTCATCCCTCAAATCTGGTCATTCTTGGTAACAACTTTGATTTTTTTTTTAAAAAAAAAAGTAATCATTTATTTACTGCAAAAACCAAATCACAAAAGCCAACTACATCTTTAAAAAAATGCTTTTCCTGAGAACAATTTCATAATTTAGAACTTCTAAAAGAACATTACTGTACATTACTTCATCAAATAAAACAACCAAAAAAATACATTTAATGAAATAAAATGAACCCAAATACAATATCCCCTCATTCTCATTGTCCACCGTATCAACTGCCAAGGAAAGTACACATTCATCAGTATGGGTCAAATAGAAAACCATTGTTCTTTAAATTACTACAGTTAACGGATTCTTTAGTGCACTATAAAAAAAATGATGCATCTTGATCAACAAAAAAACAAAAGAAAGAAAAAAGACAAAAAGTAGTAAGGCGTCAACTATATCCGTAAACAAGCAATCTTTAAGGGGAAAAAAAAAGAATTAATACCCCTTTGCCTCAAAACTGACCATTGGCGACTATTGCAACAAGAATAGGATTTTAACCACATTAACAAGAAATAAGCAACCCAAGGTCAAAATATAAATTGATATGTAACCACAAAATTTCAATTTGATCCCAATCTTTCACATGTCCCGTCTTTTAAACAAATCAGTTACGATTTAATATGTACTGGTAAATTTATTACGTTAGACAATTACCCAGAAAACTCATGACACCGCACAAGGGATGATGCGTCGGCGCTTGCTATCACTGAGTCAAAATTTCTAAATTGAATTCGGTAAAATATACTCTTTTTGTCCTAAAATTATTGTCCAGTTTGAGTTTTTACTTTTAATTTTTTTTATACTATAAATGAAAATCCAAATTGGACAATAATTTTGGGACGGAGGGAATAGAACTTTAGAAAGTTAGAGTTAGAACCTTTTGGGTTTGAGACCAAAAAATAAATTAAGGTGCCATGGATGAATGAATGCGCCCATTTCCCTGGTGAAGGAGAATGGCCGAGAACGAGGGGAGAAAATTAAGGGGGAAAATGGATAAATTCCCTAAAATTAACATATTTTTGCTCTCAATATAACAAAGGTGCTCTTAGTTTATTAATTCCCATACAATAAAATGCATGTACCTATAAGTCTGTACTTGATGCATTTACCACAATATAAGTTTCAATTTTTCTTTTAGTTTTTTTGTCTATCTTATTGGGAAAAGTTACAATGAATATTATAGCAGGTCCAAGTGGTAACAAAATTTTCAATGGCCAAATTCAGCAATATCTTGAAAGGCGGATTTTAGGAGTTGAAAAACAGCATGCCATCCTGCTTGTGTTGGATGTGCCTTGTCCCAAAAAAATGCGGACTCCGGTTTGTCACACAATGTATACATCTTCGTTCCATTGCTATCCACGTCACCGCAATCAAATGACCCTATTGGTAAACAACAAGGCTTCAAGGGAGTCGGCAATTCTAAGTTCTCTGCTGAATAACAATAAACACTTGATTAGTTAGAACGAAATAAAGGAAATGTATTTTGAAAATATTCAGTTGTATTACTGAGGGACAATAGAAATAATCATAGATAAAATTAAAATCGTTCTTCATAGTGATTGATGTATCGTTCACTTGTTGATTACTTTTTATAACAAATTCAATGTTATTGTACATAGACACCAATCCTTAATTATTGAAAAAAGAAATCATTGTAAAATCTAATTAATTAGGAGAAGTCATTACCATTAGGATCTCCTTTGTTGGAGAGGATAGTATTGAATGCAGCTTGAAGATTAATAACTGCAAATTCCGTAGCAATGATCTCGTCATTCAACTTAGACAAAGTTCCATTCAGTAAGACATTATGTTCACTCATCAAATTTACGAAGGAATTGCATTGTTGGAAGCCACTCAATTTTGTGAAAACGGGTAGACAACCCAAGGGTGGAACCGACCCCACAGCAATCCTCTTTATTCCCAACCCCGATATTCGTCTCAAGCAGGATTCAAGCTCATTCACCACTTTAGGGATGAATTTGGTAAAAATTTCCTGCCATGGATGACATATTTTCAGAAGACTTGTATCTAAATAATGCAGCATTGAAAAGCAAGGGGTAAACTTTGCCTTCCAAAAAGTAATATCTTCAAATTAGTCTGAGACGATGATTAAAGATTACGTGTAATATTAAAGGGGATTTAAACCAAAAAAAAATAATAAAAAAAGCAATGAAAATGGATTATACAGTGTAATAATGAACGGGGTAAAAGAAAAGAAACAATGAAAAAGGATTATGAACTTACGCCAATATTTCCTCCATTCAGAATATAAGAAGAATAATCATTTCCAGAAAGAGTGACAAGAGCAAGGGAATCTTCAAGGTCTCTTTGAGTGTATAATGAATATTGTTTGATGAGCCTTTCGAAATAATGGATTTGGGAGGAAAGGTTAGGCCTCAAATTCACAGTTTGGAATACACCAGCCCCTCCAAATGCAAAATTCATCCCATTGTGCAAATGCCTCTTTTGATATCTCCTCCATCTATATGGCACTGGACTTTTCACTCCCAAGTATTGTGCTGTCCATCCAAAAAAATTCTAACAAACCGTAACTTATTGCAAACTAAACAATAAGTAGTGGTTTGGTTTTCATTTGAATATCACAATCTCTAACTGTGTATCGTATAAAATTTATTTCGAAACAAAGAGAATATATAATTATAGTGAGCACTCAAAACAAATACAATACATTAACAATGGTTGAACAAACGAGAACAGTATGAAGGAATGAAATTTGAGATCGTAGTACTGACCGAGATAATCAGTAAGAATGTGGCCATTTGAATACCGACCAGCTGGCTTCCCCGGATAAGTGATACCATAGGGTTTCTCTCGAAACATTTGTATGACATTTCCTGTGTCAGCATAGGAATCTCCGAACACAAACAACTTTTTTATTCCAAACTTTGGAATTAAGCCTTCTTGCTGATCAAAGCAATGTCCTGATCAAAATTAAAAAATAAAAAAATAAAAAAATATATAGAAATATATAACACAAACCCTGAAAAAAAAAAAATCTTGACATGTGTAACTCCAGATTTGTATGTTTGGTGAATAGAATTTGTACCCCTCATCAAAAGCTTTAAGAATAAGAAGCATATGAATGTGACTTTAACCTCCATAATAACGAGTATACTCAAGAAGTGTCGCAGGATAAGTTTCACTTTCGTTCAAATTTCCGCAAATGAATAGATAAGGTTCGTTTTGTTTATGTTCCAACAGCGTTGACTTTTAGCACGTGAATAGATTAGTTAGTTTTCCGTATGTTTAAACTCTATGATTTTGTGTCAGAATCTACTGTTAGATCCCGTATTATCAGACTAAATCTACATAAGATTGACTCAAAATAATAAACAAATAATCGTATAGGTAATTTTCCTTTAATTATAACGAGAAATAATTGGAGAAAATATGTTCTCAAAGCAGAAATTGGCAATGTCGGTGAGGTTTTTTGTTTTTTGTTTTTTTTGGCCGTTGTTGTGCTCTATCTGGACTCCACTATAATTTCACTAATAATATTTATAATATTTTTTTGAATATTGAAACAACAAAATGGCTGGAATTACATTATTTGCCAAAGATATCATATCACCCGCCCATAATAATGAAATTAAGGCGAGTTCCATCATCGACGGTACAATTTTTTTAAATAAAAAAAAAAAATAAAAAAGGAAAACCCTATCTAAATCCCTCTAGATATTAATGGGCGTGCAAACATTTTAGTTTTTTCTTGAACGCCATAGTTGGACTGTCAAACGAAATCCACATCATTTCTCAACGTCATTTCCGTTTGCTTCTGGCTCCCCTCCCCACTGTCGTATTCTCTTGGCAGCAAATGACGCCTGTAAATTTGCACCAAAATTGAATTCAACGAATTCAAAATTAATAACGTATTCTAATAATAATATCATATATATATATATATATATCTCGTCCCATTTTAATAATTCATTTTTAGAGAAAATAGAACCGAGTAAGTATTATGTTCCATCATGACACACTGCCAATTCTTAATTATCATCAGCGATGAATACAAAACATAACAGAAATGTTACCTCTTTGTTCCAGTTGGTTCTGTAGACTATGTAGAACAACACAATAGTTTGGACAACCGTTCCGGTAACCATTCCGTACCAAATGCCCTGCACACCAAATTTCAACGTCTCGTTGTTAGTTCAACAAGAATGGATTGAAAGTTTGATTGAATTTATAAATATTCCAACATCTTATAAAGTGTTGGAATGTGCTTACTTTGACGCCCATGTTGATTTTGTAACCGAGCAACAAACCCAACGGAATACCAAACACATAGTAACATGCGATGTTTACATAAGCAACCAGCGCTTGCCATCCCGCTCCGATTGCCACTCCTGCCGATACCAAATCGTAAAGTTTTTAAGTGGAAAAGTTCATCAACTAATGGAAAAAAAGGTAATTAATGGGAAAGTAGTGAAATGAGGTATATACCAGAGAGAGCAGGTTGAACGTTGTTAAGCACTATACAAAATGCTAACAATGGGGTTAGGTCATAGACGAGGTTTTTAACTTCATCGCTTTCGGAGAACAAGGATGGATATTGTTTCCGGAAGACAAGTAGAAATATTGAGAGCCCAACTCCGATGAGAAAGGCTACTACCACCACCACCAGAACTGAAAACTTTGCGGTTCTTGGGTGAGCTGCCCCCAGTTCATTCGAAACTCTTACACTGTCAAAATGTCGTCAATAAAAATACTATCAACACCTTTCCACATTATAGTTGAAGATAAATATTCATTAAGGGCCTGTTGGAAAATACTATTGAGTGCTTAAATTTATTTTATTTAAGTATATTTTTGGTTTGTATGTTTGATAACAAAAACTGAAACTTTTAATCGATTAACGGGTGCTGAAACTACAGTGTATTGTTCTATAGAGGGTTGTTGGCTAACCTTATTGCTGCATTGCATCCAATGGCAACCATGACGGCCCAACCCAGGATGTTTGTGCTGCAAAAAAATTCAATGAAGTCAGGGCAATCATTCAAATCACTGACTGTTAAAATGTGGAAATTTAACAATAATTCAACCTGTGTGCTTTTCAATTATTTTAACCACTTCGTCCTCCTTCCATCTGTATAGTGGTGACAAATTGGAAGCCAATTCCACTTTGGCACCTAACCTTTATAGCCAAAAAATTGACTATCTACACCCCAAATGATAATGACTTCTTTTTAAACCTTTTCTGAATGATCATCTATTTTCAGCATCCCTTTTTTTTTTTAAACTATGAAACATTATAGAAAAGGACAACAATGCTTATCCAAAAGTAAGAAACAAACATCAGACAAATAAACGCCGTACAACAAAAGTAGATCCTCCCCTCCAAATCCAAGTAGAATTTTCTAAAAACGTATCTGGCAATGGCACCACCTACCTTAAAGGAACCACTAATATAGAGAGTAAAAATTGCAAGGTTGAAAAGGTACCAGATGGAAAGAGCATCCACGGCAACTTCTGCGTTCTTCAAATATCCAGCAAATAGAACTAAGGCCATGAAATACCATGTCTCTAAGCTACACAAATTCAAATCAAACATGTTACCCATATAGTAAACTACAAATAATTATATAAAAAAAAAATATGTTGATTTTTAGAAGAAAAATACACAAATTGCGCACCGGAGAAAAAGTCAGTGAACATCATATTGCAATATAAAACCAAATTAAGACAAGGACTAGGCTTGACTGTGGACGGGCGCCGAAAACGAATGGTACAAAATTCCAAATTATTAGTACTATAAAAAAAAAAATCCTACATAAAACAAGATCATTTATTTCATCAGTACTATAAAGGGGAGGCTGAGTATCAAACGTTTGATGCCATGCCGGAATGGTTGGCATTCATTTATTCCTTGGTCCATTTTCGGGGGGTTTGGTTAGCAAATTATGGTCCATATATTACAAATCACATGAATCATGATATCGTCGATTTATCTCACCTCAAAAGAAAACATAGTAGTAATTGTATGTAAGGTCATACGAATCCAAAAACAATTTTTTTTCCTTTCGAGGTAACAAACTCAGAAAATACTGTCAACAAGATTCGCAATTGGAACCAGCGAAAGTCAAATCTACAACTACAAAGTGTAGTTTTCGATTGTGTTTTTTTTTTTTAATACAAAAATAACATTTTATAATCCTACATTACAAAAATGTAAAGTGTAGATTCAACCATGCAAATGTTTTTCGTTATTCTAATTTGCAATTTATAATGTTAAAAACTACCAAACCACTTCCGCCGTGAATTCACAACTTCAGACTGTGATTTTAGCTTCAATGAGAAGAGACAATAAAATTATCCCCATTTGGCGGATTGGCATGATTCATGGGAAATGATTATCATATTATTTCATAAATAAATTGACTAAATATCATATATTTCCCACCTTAAGTTAGTTGAACTGCTGCAAGTAGACAAACTAACAAATTAAATAAAAAATTATAATAATAAATAAATGAATGGAGTTACTCACCACAGCATGATTGCCGATGCAAGTGAGAGTCTTACAAATCCCCAAAGATTCTGGAAAGCCCTCCAAGAAAACCCGGTCCAACACCGGCCGCAAGTCCCGCTAAATATGTAGAGCAGCTGCGCAATCACGATGAACCACCACGACGCGTTCAGCACGACGGCGGCGCCGGCGAGTCCCCAGCCCAACTTCAGCATAAACAGCCAGCTGAAGAAAGTATGCAACACCAGCCCCGCCGCCGCAATCCACGCCATCACCATAATCTTACTCTGCGCCTGCAAGAACTTCGCGATCGGAAAATTCACCGCGTACGCGAAGAGCTGCGGAATCATCCAGACCGCCAGCGTCCCCGCCGCCTTCGATATATCCTCCGTTTGACCAATCGCTCTCAGTAACGGCTCCGCGAAGATATACATAAACATAAGCAGAATTGCTGTGGTGATTAATATGACCCATGATCTTTGCATATAGATTCCCAGCATATCCAGCTGACCCGCCCCGAATGCTTGCCCGCAGAGCGTCTCTAACGCACTTCCCATTCCCAGCTGTCACCAACAAACCAAAAATTAAAATTCAAAATTAATCAGAAGATTTTTGAAATTTGTGGAACATAATGACGACGTCGTATTAGTACCATGACTCCGAAGGAGAAACCGGCGATGACGGAGTTTTCGATGGAGACGGCAGCGAGTTCGAGGGTGCCGACGTGGCCGGCGAACGTCTGGGTGATGGCGCCGAGGGAGTACTGACAAATGCTGGTGAAGATGGCCGGTCCGGCGAGGTACCAGAGTTTTCTGAACTCGACGTTGAACTCTCTGAAGAAATCACGGGGTCCGTTGATGGGACCGATGTCGTCGGCGTCGGCGACGAAGGAGATACTTGATCGGGAAAGGAGGTACTCTTGCGCCTGCTCTTCCGCGATGGTTTCATCTTCCCCCTTGGGGGAAAGGAGTGGTATTTTCGGGTCGTTTTCCATTTTAGTTACTATTTGATCGGAAGTGGAAAGAGAAGGCGGCGGGAAGAAATGTTGGAGGGGTAGAAATTATGTGGACTTGCAGAGAAGAAGATGATTGAAAACATATTTATAGCGAGTCAGTAGTATCCTTTTACCCTATTAAAGCAGAAAACAGGATGCTGATGTGGCAATTTCTTATTAAAAGATTTTGGCTCCAAATGCACCATATTGCATAAACCATTCTGCCACGTGTCACCTCCTTTTAAAAACAAAAAATATATTTATTACAATATTAACAAAGAGATCAGATGGCCATGTTCATTCAAATTTTGAATTTGACAGTGAATGGAACTTTCCTTCTCCACTTACTTAGGACTTTCTAAAAAATTAATTTTCGATCAATCAATTATCTTCATCAAAAATTAAATTCATTCCGAATCAGTTTTGATTATTTACATATTAATTTATTAGGTAGGAGGACGCCCCGGGCATTTGCCCGGGACAAGCATCTAGTTATTATTAATGTATTTTCACAAAAAATGTACATGTGGTTGATTGATACACCGGCTGATGTGGAAACGTTTGCACGTATATCATGTTCAATTTATTTCCCAAATCTGAATATCGCTGATTTTGGTTTAGTAGTAATTAATTTTTGGTATTGGTAAGGCGGCTCAAATTGCCCATAGTCGGCCAAAATAGAAGCTACTACTTATCAAATTCAAGATGGTTTTGAAATGTTGACTCCTTTTTATTCGTGCGTTTTTTTTTTCCCCCTCTGGGTTTTGGGATTCATTTCTGAATCATATTATTATTATTTGCCATAATTCTCATTAACTATTCCAGATCAAGTTACCACGTTGTCTGTCTTTCACTGTAGTCCTGTCAGAATTTTCGCTTCTGGTCTCCGTAACTAGGTTAACATGATTTGTCAGTCTTTTTCTTTCTTTAGATTTGTCAAATACTCCATTGATTACTTCTGACGTGTGGTACTTAAATTTGCTGAGCTATGCTAATTTAAGTTGCCGTAACACTCATAGACAATAAGGTAAAAAGCATAGTTCCCTCCCTTGATTTTTCTAACAAAAGTTTGCATTATTCACATAAATTTATTTAACAAGCATGTGATTACCGCTTTTTTTTTTATCTCCATAAATTTTCATTATATGTAACTTCTTTTTTTTTTTTTTTGGAACGGAGAAAGTATGCATAAATGTCTCACCCAAATTATACAGTGTTTATACATAAACTAATATCCTTGCACTTTTCTATCTAATTAATTAATTTATTTACCAGCGGGAAAAAAAAAAAGAGAATAAAGAGCAGTGATTCCGTGGATGACACTGTGGAAGGTTTTAAAGGACTCGAACAGATAGATAGACATAAATGTAGTGAACGACTAAACGAGAGAGTGATGTCGCAACAAATCGATCCAAATCAGACGCTGTCTTTTCCATTTAATTATATAGTAGAACAGAAGAGTAGTAATCAGATTTTTATAACAATAAATATTCCAACAACTAATATATTCTATTAATTAATTACAAGAGTCCTGAAAAATAAATAAATAATGACCGGAAAAAGGGACATCTACAGTCGCTAAGGAAAGGAAAAATCTTATAGATCTTTTTCCCAAGATGTGTAAACAAGAAGTATGATTGATAATCAATACAGAGCTTCTCCCAATTGCACCAAGATGAAAATGATTATTATTGGAAAAAGATTCGAGCCAGGGGACATCTCAAATTCTCAATCTCTCAGTCATTTACTAGAGCCGCCTACCTGTGAGCCTGTCCATTATTAGAAGGGCCCATCCGTAAAGAAGCCCAAGACAATTTAGACTTTTCTCCATCATCACATAATTTTAGAGATCTCTTCTCCCAATTGCACCAAACAAAAATCTTTTTTTCCTCCTAATATGCAAATTGCCAATTTTTATTTTTCTTGCTGCCAATGAGAAGGCCAATCGCCAAATGCAGATCCGAATTATGATATAGTACGCAGATATGCAACCCTAACATGTTATAATGAAGCAAATTGTCAAATTTCAAAAATTATTTATATTCACATATTTCTTCAACTGAGCGACAATCCTGATAATGTTAACGACGGGATTTTTCCTTAAAAGAAACCAATTCATCGTATTGTGTTAGAGTACGATTGATTCCCTCATCCCACAATTCCATATCCCCTTTTGTTTGTAGGGACTACACGTGTATGAAAATAGATCATTAGTACTTCCCGTACTAAGAACATGTGTGTTATTAACAAAAAAAAAAGAAGAAGAAAGAAGTGTTTTACCGGATACAATGTTTATTATAGCAAGAGGAAAAGAAACCTCGCAAGATGAACGTACTCCCTTTCTCTTAAATTTGTAAGGGCAAAAGAATAACATATTGATTGAAGCCTCTTGCAATACCGACTACTGATTTGTAGTTAGGTCGCTTGGGCTTTTGTTGGGCGGGGCTTAACTGGATCAATAATGGCCCGTAAAGATATTCCCTCCTGATGCGGTCTGCCTCCAATTAATATGATCAATTCTATCTTATCTATATATATTAATACAGGATGAAAATAGTTTATTTAGTATGAAATTTGAAGCTCACTTAAATTAGAAGTTAAAAAAAATAGATTTAATATTTTAATCATAAAAGATAATTTTATTTTAACTTTCTGCAACAACTTTTTAAATAATTCCAAGTTATCCTAGATTACTCATATCATAAATCTTATAAGGGATTTGTTAAATATTGTTCTATTTAAACTTTATGACAGTAAACAGTTCAAAACAATCAGGTATTTATCTCTGTTTCATTTTTCTTTAAAACTTTTATTCCTTTCTTAGAATTTTTTTTTTCAACAGATTGCTTTCATACAGATTTTTTTTTATTCAATACGTGTTTATGTTCAATGCAACTACTCTCAATAGATGTGGAGTACCTGTGCATAGTGCCAGAAAATATTATCAGTGATCATAGTGAGATTAATTATGAAGAAAATGAAGTGTACATGAGATTAAGGGTCCATTTCTTCATCTAGAAATTTATACTCATTGAAAGAAAGAGTTTCGAAAGGAGTAATATGGGTTATGAAAATTGAAGAATAAAATTGGAGGTGATTTTGCCCTAAAATCCCTCAACAGAAATCCATCATCTCGCAACCATTGAAAGTTCGACTTGAAAAGATGAAATTTTTTGACTTTGTTATGCCTCTAGTTTGGATTCTGGAGTTCTATTTGGTGCAGTTTCGAATCTAATTTCTTTCAAGTATTACACCCTTAATAGATTGAATGTAAGAAAATATGGAAGCATATGAATGCTAAACCTTACGCTTTTCAATTGCGGCCTGCAAGACAATATTGTCAATTAAGAGAATTTGTTTTATTTATTTTTCTTTACTCTATATATTCACTTTTCTCATATCATAAAGATAAAATAGACAACGAAAAATATTCATCTTACAAATTTTCTGACATGAAGAATAAGAGTAAAAGATTCAAATGCAAAGATTAAAATTACAGTACAAATGTTTGACTATTACTAGAGAAGTTTGAACTTGTACTGTATTTTAGGAGAAAATTTTGGATATATTTTTATGGCTAAGCGAGTATATATAAATGTATATTTCAACGCGATTACTTTTACATTTTTTTGATAATCTTTAATTTACACAAATAATGCAGGAAAAAAATTTTATGACCTATACAACGTGCGGATCACTCACTAGTATTTTATTAAAAAAAAAGAGAGAAAAACAACGAGATTATATTGGAAATAAAAAAGATTAGTTATCACTAGCTTAACCAGAGAACGAATTCGCATTTCTTTACAAAAATATAGAAAATTCGAGGGCCACTATATATTAACTTAACAAATCCATAAAACAAATGAACAATAAAAAGGGGAAGGGGGGTCAAATGATAATACATTTGTTAGCAAGCATAATGAAATTGTAATTTTTGTGTTAGTCCAATTAGTCAGTTCTACATTAATTCTCGTAGGATCCGTCACGCGACAGTTAAAAAACATTTATAGTGAGATGATTAATTTTTATTTCAGTCCAAAATAATAGACTCCGTGAGAAGGAGTATTTTCTTTATATTGTGATACTCTATTGTTGGGAGTTTTTCTTTTTCTTTTTTTTTTTTCAATCGCCGCTCTCTTTCGGTTCTTTTGTTGTTGTTGGAGGAAGTTAGAAAATGATTATCACAGTGAAGTCGGTGAAGTTTTAAGTCCCATTCGAAGCATTAATAATATGTACTAATATTTTAACCATTAAGTTACGATCGAACTTCGCTTTCTTTGGTATTGTCATATGAACTGTAATGCTGGCCTAATGACTTACAGATCACCTAATTCTCCCTCGCAAAACATAAGTTAGATAAATAAAATTGATAAATTATAAGAAGTGACTATAAATTTATTTTACTAATTTTATGAAAACGAAGGGATTGTTATTTATATGTGGATTTGTTGTATATTTTTGAAACCTATGTGGATGTAGTTATACATACATGAACACATCCACCCATTGTCCATTGATGTCTTTACCTAAAGCTAAAATAAGGACGAAGGCGGCCGCTCAATTTGTACTTACTTGTAGCCATGATGCAACATGATGCTAAAAGGTTGAAAATCACTAGTCAAATTTTGAAATTATGCCCTTTTACCTTTACCTAAGTGACATTAATTCAGAGAAGAGTAAAGACACCTTTAATTGAGAATAAAAGTAAGCACAAATGATAGAAAATGATGTGGATCAATACACTGGTTTGATAATTTGATTTAGGTTCCTAACTAATGTAATTGTAAATGTGTCAAATCAATTTTAGTGTCACATAGTCCCTAGCATTGATCATCTTAATTTTTTTAGTAGGGTATTTCCTTTCCCCCGAAATTTTAAAAAATACTTCTCCTGTCCCAAAATTATTGTCCAATTTGAGATTTCACTTTTAGTACAATCTAAACTAGAAATGAAAACTCAAACTGGACAATAATTATGGGACGGAGGGAGTAGTTCATATCGAGTTCATAATATCATTGAAGTTCCTGAACAGATTATTGTTGCATTCTGAGTCCATGCAAGAAGTAGACTCCATAAATTAATTTGCCCATATGACTGTTGCGTGACTTGCATTGATGCTGAAACCTCCCTTCCATATTCCATATGATCTGTAATTATCAAAACCTCTTACTCTCGCAAATCCAGTTGTCGATCAAGGTCTTATTCGTCTTCTTTAACCAATCGGTGAGGAGGTGGTTTCCCAGTTGCTGCTATCAAATGTACCTCTTTCGGTCTTTCCCATCTCACCTAATAATTTATTTACAAACTATTGGGAGGGGTATCAAGCAGAAGCATATATCAATACTTTAAGAATGATGTAAGTTCCAATACTTATCCCTTGATTTTTATAATAGTTTGAGATTTCCCTGGTGCAAAATCCCGGTTTACATAATCGCGACCACGGTTTTGTATATGCAAAATACTTTATCAAATGCGTCCCAATTAACTGATCATATCAACATTAGACAAGAGAATACTGTCTCTTCTTATATCAGTGAAGTTAACTTTAATAAGTATTCCATTTCTGTCGCATTTTGATAATTTTATTAATGTGGCTAAGGGGAGGATATATTACGCGAATTATATTTAGGATTCCATTTCTGCCACATTTTGATATTTTATTAATGTGGCTAAGGAGAGAATATATTACGCGAATTATATTTATGATATCAGTTTCATTAAAGATTTCACATATAGACAGTGTATCTCCACCATAAAAACCTCTTTTGTTTGTTTAGAGAAAATGTTATACTATTTGTTATATTGTTATTTTAATTCAACAAACCTTATTTTTCTTTTCTTTTTTTAAGACAATAGGGGTACACATATTTTTCAAGTTATACAAGTAAGACATTTATTTTTTATTTTCGTTGAACATATTTGTAGGATATTTACAATTGGTATATCATGAACATGCAAAAAACTAATTGAAGTGCAAGACGAGATGATAATATTGGGCTGAAAGGTCATACCAATTTCAAAGAAATGTATCTTAATTTGATGCAATTATTATTTTTTTTAACTTGATTGAACTAATCATTTTATGTTGTTTGTGAATAAGTACATATGTGTATCTATATTTTTCTTGAAAACTTCCGATTTAGTTTATGAGAAAAGGGGTTTTTTTTTTTGTAACAAATGAGAAGAGAGGGTTTTGGACCTGGTACACTAATTTAGTACGTGGAGAAATGTCCCACAATTATTGAGTTCCTAAACGTCCAATAAAGAATGCCCGCTCTAAGTATGGAAAGTCCGAATCAGATCCGAGCTGGATAACTTTTCCTTTTCGATTTCTCCTCCTTTTTTTTTCCCCCAGTTCCTCTCCTCCCTCTCTATTAATATTTTTAAACTAATCAACTTCATCCACTTCTGAGTTTCTGATCCATCATTTCCCCAAAAACTGCTGGGATCTTTAATCACCATCATCATCATCATCTTCATACAAATTAGCCATCTGGGTTTCATTAATTTCTTCATATAAACAGCTTTCATTTAGGAAACTCTGGTGTGGGGGGAAGTTGATCATCAAGAAAGATTAGTTCTTTCTTTTGCTGTATGTCAAAGATATTCAGTCATAATAACACTCATTGTTGTTGTTGTCTTTATACGATCAAAGAGGAGTATTTCGACCGGGGATTTAGCGAGGTAGACAACCCATTACAATGGCCTCAACTTCGGAAAAAGCGACGCCCCTTTTCCCGGAAGCTTCCATCTCTGCTTCCGCCACCGCTGCTGCCGGCGGCGCCGAGGTTTGGACCACAGCTGACAATAATGACCCCATGGCCCCTCAATTAAAAAAAGATGGTCCTTTGATGAAACCCATTGTTGATGATTCCATTACCAACTCATCTGCCACAACACATCCTAGTTCTACTCCCAAAGGTATGTATGCACATGATTAATTGTATCATGTAGAGTATGAAGAAGGTTGAGTTAATTTTTGTTTTTTTTTTTAATAAAAAAAAGGTGGAATCAATTGATAAAGACTGCTGCTTTTTTTTACTTAGCGCTGTAAAAACATTGACACATTGACTGTACCTTTTTGCTCCGTTTTGTTTTCTTTGGGTAGTGCCGTAGTGGTTAGTGACTTGGTGGTTCTGAATTGGTTTAATCTTTAAATTTTATGGAAAAAAAGAAGACATTCAGACAAATCGGGGAAAAGATAGGGCAATGTCTGGATTCTGATTATTATGAATTTATCTGTATTCTGATTATTTTAGTTTGGGTTATTTTTCTTTCTTTTCTTTTGGAGGTCTTTGACTTTAACCTTTAAGACGGGTTTTCTTGCTAGTATAATCTTAGATCAAGTCTGAAAAATCTTATTATGTGGATTATCGCAATAACACGAGAAACCCAAGTTCAATTGGTTCAGCTAGGATTTAGGAACTGTGCATTTTCCCATCTCCATACTTTAGAATTCCTTTTCCTGATGAAAGAATTTATGTATCAGTGACGACATTGTCCGTCCAATAATTTGATCCTCAGAAAGATTCATGTTCCAATTTGCTCTGCTAAAATAAGAGTTGATCTTTTTAGGCCCTGGGGGCACCCTTCCAAGTATGTTGAGGGTTCAAACTCGCCATCCCTTGGACCCCCTGACTGCTGCTGAAATCTCAGTAGCTGTGGCAACTGTCAGGGCTGCCGGATCAACTCCTGAGGTTATTCAAATTTCGTCACTCTTTTTGTCCCTTTTCCAAATTTCTCTGTTCTGTGATGCTAGTTTTCCGTGTTAATTATGTAGGTGAGAGATAGCATGCGATTCATAGAGGTGGGCTTAGTGGAGCCACCCAAAAATGTGGTGGCTTTAGCAGATGCATATTTTTTCCCTCCTTTCCAACCATCATTGCTGCTTAGAACCAAAGGTGGGCCTGCAATTCCTAGTAAACTTCCTCCGAGGCAAGCTAGACTTATCGTGTATAACAAGAAATCAAATGAGACCAGCATCTGGATTGTGGAGCTATCAGAAGTTCATGCGGTTACTCGAGGCGGGCATCACAGAGGCAAAGTAATTTCATCCAATGTAGTGCCCAATGTTCAGCCTCCAATGGTATGTTGTTCTCTAAAATTTCAGTTCCCTAGATATTGTCTTTTGCTTCGATAGCCGTGAAGGTGTGACTGAAGGATATTTAAATGCGTTAACTTTTAAGGGAAGACAAGTGTTTTAAAAGTCTTGAGTTATTCAGTAATATAGTTTGTTATTGTGATACAAAACTTGTTTTCCACAGGATGCTGTTGAATATGCTGAATGTGAAGCTGTTGTGAAGGAGTATCCTCCTTTTAGGGAAGCAATGAAGAAGAGGGGTATTGAGGATTTGGATCTTGTAATGGTTGATCCCTGGTAAGTATATATATTTTTGTTTATTCTTTTAGTTCTACCATAAAGTTTGAGTTTCTTTCTGGGAATAGTCTAAGAAGAGCGTTATTTTAAAATGCAGGTGTGTTGGTTACCATAGTGAAGCTGATGCACCTAATCGTAGGCTTGCTAAACCACTCATCTTCTGCCGAACTGAAAGTGACTGTCCAATGGAAAATGGTTATGCCCGTCCAGTGGAAGGTATCCATGTATTAGTTGATATTCAGAATATGGTGGTGCTTGAGTTTGAAGATCGTAAATTAGTGCCCCTTCCACCACCCGATCCTTTGAGAAATTACACAGCTGGTGAAACAAGGGGAGGCGTTGACAGAAGTGATGTGAAACCTTTACAAATTGTTCAACCTGATGGTCCAAGTTTTCGGGTTGATGGTCACTTTGTTCAGTGGCAAAAGGTATTTGGTTAGTTTTTGATGCAGAGCCATTGATAAAGGTATATCAAAGAACTAAAAGAAACCAACTAATAATCTATCATCTTTTACCTGTTTGCAGTGGAACTTCCGCATTGGTTTCACCCCTAGGGAAGGTTTGGTTATATATTCAGTAGCATATGTTGATGGTAGCCGAGGCCGTAGACCAGTAGCCCACAGATTAAGCTTTGTTGAGATGGTGGTCCCCTATGGAGATCCAAATGATCCACACTACAGAAAAAATGCTTTTGATGCTGGAGAAGATGGGCTTGGAAAAAATGCACATTCTCTGAAAAAGGTGAGAGAGCATTCTGTATGTAGTTTCCACTTTGTTTTAGTTGCCGTATCAATGTGAATGAGTCAATTGCAAATGTTTGTGAGCAAGTCGCATGAAGTAATATTTGAACTTGCTATTGCAGGGATGTGATTGTTTAGGCTTCATAAAGTACTTCGATGCACACTTTACAAATTTCACAGGAGGTGTGGAGACAATTGAAAACTGTGTTTGCTTGCATGAAGAGGACCACGGAATCTTATGGAAACATCAAGATTGGAGAACCGGTTTAGCTGAAGTTAGGCGGTCACGACGATTAACAGTTTCTTTCATATGTACAGTTGCGAACTATGAGTATGGATTTTTCTGGCATTTTTATCAGGCAAGTTAGAGGTTCTTGTTTCCTTCTTGATCAAAGTGCACTTAGAGAGCCTTAGTTTCCAGACCCTTTCTGGCTTGTTCTAGTGCTTATCTGAATATGGGTACTTTAAACCATTAACTGAGGTCTTCAGAATAATTTACATACAATCTAACAAATTTATGGTAATTCAATACTTTCTGAATCAATATGCCTCCCCTCAATTGATAATTTTAGTTCAATCATCTCATGTTACAGGATGGAAAAATTGAAGCTGAGGTTAAGCTAACAGGTATTCTCAGCCTGGGTGCTCTTCAACCTGGAGAAGTTCGAAAGTTTGGGACAACTATTGCACCAGGACTATATGCACCGGTGCATCAACACTTCTTTGTGGCACGGATGGATATGGCGGTTGATTGCAAGCCTGGGGAAGCTTATAACCAGGTAGACTTTCTCAGGCTTTTGGTCCCTTCCTTCTAAAATCCTTCTACTCATATTCGTGTTTTGAAAGACTTAAATAAACATTTCAACTCCTAAATCTTTATTATCTTTGCTCGTCAATTTAGAGAAACCTTTGTCCATGTCCTTACGTGGTTGAATATATTCACGAAATTATGTCAGAAGATTGTGTGCTAGTCTATCTGTATGGTGTTCCATTGCATTGTGTTATTGAGAGCTTTATAGATTATGAGCCCTATGGACATTGGACAGGCTAATGAAATGTTTCCTTTGAATTATTAAAGGTTGTTGAAGTAAATGTTAAGGTTGAAGAACCAGGAAAACATAATCCTCACAATAATGCATTCTATGCCGAAGAGAAACTGCTCAAAACTGAATTGGAAGCAATGCGTGATTGCAATCCTTCCGCTGCCAGGCATTGGATTGTAAGTTTTCTCACAGTTTTGCTGGAAGTTTATTCTTGCTATCCAGGCAAATATACTTGGATAAGATAGTACATATCAAAAACAGAAGCCTGCTATGGAACCTAGGTTTTTTTTTTTTTATTTTTTTATTTTTGAAAACTTAATCTTAGTACATGACTGACAGAGTCTTATGGTTCTTATTTTTCCCTTTTTGATATTTCAGATCAGGAACACAAGAACTGTGAACCGTACTGGCCAATTAACAGGTTACAAGTTAATGCCTGGTTCAAACTGTTTGCCGCTTGCTCGTGCTGAGGCGAAATTCCTGCGAAGAGCTGCTTTCCTGAAGCACAATCTTTGGGTGACACCATATTCACCAGACGAGAAGTTTCCAGGAGGAGAGTTTCCAAACCAAAATCCTCGAGTTGGAGAAGGGTTAGCGACATGGGTGAAGCAGAATCGGCCACTAGAAGAGACAGATATAGTTCTTTGGTTAGCATTGTCCATGCTGCATTTTTCATCTGCCATTTCAATGCAGTGTCATGTTATACTCTGAATTATTATCTAAAGTTTCCTTTCGAAATTCGCAGGTATATATTTGGAATTACACACGTACCACGCCTAGAAGACTGGCCAGTGATGCCAGTGGAGCACATTGGTTTTACCCTCATGGTATACCACTTTGATAAATCTAGTCAACTGTTTTTCCCCCTTTCATGTTCCAAGTCTTCTGGGAACTGGAAGAATATCTAGATAGAAAATGGCTGATTTTTCTTCATCTTTTTTTTTTTTTTTTTTGTGGTTGATGTTGCAGCCTCATGGATTTTTCAATTGCTCCCCTGCTGTGGACGTGCCTCCAAGCTCAGGTGAGTTTGATGTGAAGGAGAATGGGATAATGGCCAAACCCTGCCACAATGGAGGAGTAATGTCAAAGCTTTAAGAACTATTACTATTCATTTTGGGAATTGGTCCCTCCATATGGCTCAGCAATTAACATCCAGTTTATATGTTCCTAAATCCTAATAGACTCAGAACTATCTATATTTGGGTAGGCACTCTACGTGTTACTTCTATGAATGACCAAAAAATCCTTCAATCGCATATATATTGCAGCTTGCGCGATTCAAACTTGTGGTCTCTTATTGAGATTTTCGAACATCTAATGACAGAGCCAAAGGTTCGTTTCTATATGTGAATACTTCAACGTTGATTCTTATTCCCAAAAAAAAAAAAAAAAACTTTAACGTTGACAATGAAAAAGACTTTACATACTCTGAAATCATCATCTTACCCTATGATGCTCATTAGAAGAGAACGTTACTATCGGAATATATATATATATATATATATATATATATATATATGTATACTCCCTTCGTCACAAAAATAATCCATATCTCAATTTGTAAATCATACTGTTTTTAGTATGATTATCAAACTATCACGTGGATGATAATCCACGTTTTAGAACAGAAGAAGTATTTTAAAAAATAAAATAACTGAAATTCAATCAAACTTATTTGGAAGACCTCCCCTAATCCTGCCTCACCGAGTCTAAAGTATTCCCTCCTTTTTTTGTTGATAAGGCAAGTGCTTAACATTACACCATACTTTAGTTTAACTTCACAAGGCGAACTTTTTGAAGACAATGTGGATCGAGTTGTGAAGGCCGTCCAAAGTCAAAGGATACACACTGATTTCAGCTAATCATGAATGTTTTTTGTTATACAAAGAAACAATGAAACACACTAAAAAAGAACAAAAAAAAAAAAAAAAAAAAAAAACCAGCTAAAAAAGATACGCAAATCATGCGCCAAAAATACAAAAATAAGATCATCACCATGCAAATTGCTTCGCATAAAAATATTTGACCAATTTGTGTATAGTGCTCCACCACCTTTTGTTGAAATCGACTTTTCCCGGTTGATGTTCTGTTTGCTCCACATTGTACAATGAATGTACCCTCTAAAAGGGATTATATATATGTGGCCACATTCTGTAGTCCATATTTGCTATTTGACTCCTTAAAGTCAAGCAATTAACCTAAAGTATAATTATTACAAATCCACAATGTATATTTTAGAAAGTTTGTCATTCCGAAGGTTGCCAACATCATTTGACATAGCTCATAGTTTATTCTGCTTCTTCTTATTATTATTATTTTTTTTTTGGGGGAGGCTAAAAATAATTATAGCTGACAACCAATTTTAATCCTCCTGATTAGGACATTTGACATCTCAAAGAAGAGTACGAGTTTGATTCACACCAAGTGTAAATATGCAACTATACGTCTTCATTAAATTCACAAGAAATGTTCAAAAAAAATTATAGTTTGAAAAGAAAAAAAATGTCACTATCAAAATACTAAACTTATTTTAATGTAGAAGAATACTCACTTATTTTATGAAATAAAACCAATAACACATGACTATTAGTTGTAAGCTATAACTAAAAGTCATGTGATGTCTACAGTTTCATGTGTAATTTTGACGAGTAATATTGCATCATTCTAATGTCACTCTCCACTTATGTTAATTGTGCCCCCAAGCTGTATAATTCTTTTAAGGTTAAAACTCATTTTGACTTTATAATTATAAAATTGTCATCATATCCTCCACTTAAGGTAGTTCAAACATAAAGAAATTGTTTTGTCCCCTCTCGTCAATTGCGCGTAGTTTTCATAAAATGCATAATACATCTGTGTCAGCAAAAAAATAAAAATAAATAAAAATAAATAATGTTATTAACCTTTTAATTATTTGTTGTAAATTGGGATAGCTTAATTTGTTTTTTTTAAAAAAAAAAAGAAAAAAAAATTCTCATTCATAAAACCTCGTACATATTATAGACATATATTTATTTTTCCAAACAATCTTAAAAAACTAAAAAATGATAATTAAGAAAACTTCAATGGATAATAAATAACAAAAAAATACTGTCATTTATTTTTTTTGGGGTTTGTATAATATCTTTTTGGCGCTAATTAATTGGTCGAACCAAATCTTGCCAGACGGAATGGAGAAGACAGATTTTTAGGTTTGGATGCATTGATAACCTTTTTTGACTTTTTGATGATTTGATTGCCGCAACCAAACACTATCCTACGAAGTGCTTTCATGTTCTAAGCACCATTTTCACAAATGTATAAAATGTGGGCAGTCCTGTAACTGTGGTTTATAAAGCTTTTCTTATCTCAAAACAACAAAGGGCTCTCATTCATCGAAAAAGAGAAAAAAAGATTGTCCGAAAATGGCAAGGAAAACTTACCTTGTTCGACTGCTTATGTTGCCGATTCTTCTTCTCTGCGTTTCTCGCAACCTCGTTTGCTTGAACGCCATTCCAGTCACAAGTAAGTTCTAACATTCATATTATTGCTTATTTGATCACTGCCTAAAGTTCTACACTTTCTTCTTACTCGTGTGTTTTTAGTTATTAAATTTCAATTAATGATGATAAATATATATCATTGATTTTGGTAACAGGACTAAGAAGTCTAGAGCATAATCTTCATGGCGGTTTTCAATTCACAGAAGAGATCACCAAAGTGACCAAGGTTTGCAGCCCTCATCATGACAATCTTTTCTTCTTCGTCTTCTTCTTCTTCTTCTTTTTTTTTTTTTTTTTTTAATTTTTTCAAGCAAAGGGCTGGAAATTTGAAAGGAGATATATGTAGCTCCGGATATAGTTATAACCAAGATTTTGATGTTCCGTTAATTCAGAATAATTTTTTTTTTTTTTGGGGACGAACGAAATATTACAAACTACTAACGAAATCTCTTTTGTTGACATTGGTTCAGGAAAGTGTAGAAATTTTCAGGCGGCCGGAGAGGATGGATCTTGAGCTAAATGATTATCCAGGCTCTGGGGCTAACAACCGCCACACTCCGAGGGCACAACTCGCTAAAGTTTGCTCATCTGAAAATTGCTAGATAGATATGCGCCGCCGCACATCGACTGATTTGTGTTTCGCAAAGTTCTCCACTTTTCAATCTTCTTTATTTATATACAGAAGTCCGTTATCTAAATCATGACACTTGAGGTCGAGTTATATACATATATATATATATAGATATGTTAAGAATATTGTAATCAAATATATAGTCGCACATCGCACATGAAGAGATGTAATTAGGAATGTTTTAAGTAAAAATATGTAGATTGCGAGGAAGTATCTATCAGGCCATAAGAATCTAGCGGCTTGTGCATTTTTGAGTTTGTGTTGACTTATGACCAAGTAGTTTTTAATTGGATGTTCGTTATTTGTTCACTAATCACTACTACTTTTGCTCGAGATTTCATTTTCTTTTGTTATCTACCTTTTATTGTTTGTGTTTCGTTTTGATTTGAACCAGTAATTTCTTGATTACAATTCTCTGTTCTTGTCACTAAATTTAATTCCCAGTCGACCGTCGCCTCATTGATTATCTTTCGATTTAATGAATATACTTGTCTAGGGAGTTTGTAGGCGTTCCACTAAAGCATTTCATCCTTGAGACTTGAGATGAAAGGGTCAACCGATTTAAAAGGCTGAAAAGAAAAACGCCCATTGATTGAAGGTGGTTTTTTTTTCTTTTTTTTTTAATATGCTGTGGAAGTTTTCGCTTGGTATAAAAGGTTCTCGCTTTTAGGAGGAGGCGGGCAATCAAAAGATAGCGCATTTAACACTATATTCGGGATGATGCAAAAAATATGTAGTCCCGGATTGATTACAGGAGAGTCCTAATTTTTTTAGGGAATCTGATACGTCGTTTCCCTGGCTTTCTGTGTGTGTGATTTCCACTTGCCAGCATAGATTGATTAAAGTCCTAATTTTAAGTCATAGTGTAATACGTTGCTGGAATCAGAGGAGTCCGCATATGATATATATGCCTTTCACCGCCTTAGAAATGTCCATCTCAATCTGCAGCTGGCTGGTGAAGGTGACATTACTCCCTGTGGTAACATTATTTCAGAAGAAATGGACAACATAACAAGTGGGCTTTTAAAATTAAGGGTCCAAGGCCGAATATTCATGTTTGGATTCTTTGGGCTGATGTCAAAGATCTCACATAAGTCATAAGTGACCCCCGCACGCCAAAAGGGCAAAAATACGACTTGCCTTCTCGTTAATCACGAGGACAAAACATATTTTATGTGCAACTACTCTAATCTACACCGTTGAAATTAGTCATCAAATCTAGCTGCCCAAATCATTCTTACATGGACAAATCTTAAAAGGTACTGCTACTGCCTACTTGTGTATTTCTTTTGCACCTCTTAAAGTTTTCGTTATTTGTCATTTTGCACACAAACTTCTCATTTACTATTATAGGAGCAATTAATTGGATAAAAACGGTATAAAGTTTGAATAATTTGTAAAACAATCACTTTTTTTTTTTAATGAAAGAACCTTTATATTGAACACTCAAAGCAATCACCTTATTTGAACATGTAGTTATACACGTTAAAGTAATAACATGTTCAGAGTCTGACTGATGGATTCGCAATTTACAGATGAATATTCACTTAGTCAGGATAGGTAATCATGATTTGGAAAGAAGAAAAAAAGAAAAAAGGTAATCATGATTCGTTCGTATATGAAATGCAAACGTTGCTTCAAAAAAAAAAATTGGTGAAAATTTGAGTATAACTAAAATAGAAGGATCATAAAGTAATCAAAACCAACGGCTGGGATGATTCTAGAATAAGAAATGGAAATTTCATATTAAAAAAGAACAAAAAGGAAAATCCCAATCACGCACGTACCGGTAGTACCTACTCACAAACGGACGTCAGCTGGGAGGAGAACAAAAGCAGTTTGTCCATAGATTTTTCCCATCGGCGGAAATATTAATACTACAGCAATACTACCAACGAACCAACAAAAACAATCCCCCGATTTCTTCCAAACCCCCAGCGGTTATTACTAAGAAATAAAATCCCCCCTCCATTCATTCATACACACACTCGCCGTTTTCTTCGTTGACAGAAGGAATCTCGTCTTTACTCTTCACTGCCTTTTCGTTTCATTCCTCCCAACTTTTCTCTCTTCGCGGCTCTAATTTCATCGTTTTTACCGGTTAGTTTAATCTTCTTACTCTGTTCTATATTTGTTCTGAATTCGCCTTTATGATTTCATTTTTGCTTTTTATTTCAATTGTTCTATCTCAAGTTAGCTTCTGCGCGGTTAATTGTTTTTTCGCGGTTTCTGGATTTATTTGATGTAATTTTAGAGAAGCATTATTTGAATTTAGTGCGTAGCGTTTTTTTTTTTTTTTCTTGGAACTGACTTTTGGTAGATCTGTGAGTACGATTGAGTTTTTACTTCTATACTGTTAGTATTTTCTAAAATTGTTATGGTTCAGATGTGAGGTGTATTTTTCTTGCAGTTTCCCTTAGTTCTGATGGTAGATTAGGTACAGTTAGTTGGTTTTAAGTGATGATGTGGTGAGACCTGAAAGGAATGTGGTATTATTTTCTTGCTCCTTAATTTGAATATATGAGCACTGTAGTTCTAGGTTGTGGAGTATCAATCATGATTTGTTTGATACATTTAAAAAAATAAAATTCAATTAAAATTTATTGCACGCAATTTTTCTCTGGAGCTGCGTATTGCTAGATCTGTGACTGCAATTGATGTTTTGCTTCCTTACCGTTAATATTTTATAAATTAGTATAGTTCATCTGTGAGGTTTTTTTTTCTTTCAGTTTTCCCTTTTTTTTTTTTTGTTTATGGTAGATTGGGCGCAGTTTGCAGTTTATTGGTTTTTAGGGTAGACTAGTGAAGTGATAGAATATGAGAGAGATGTCATGTGGCTTTTCTGCTCATGATTAGATTTGACTTTGATGCGCCTAGTAGCACTGAAACTGTTGTGGCATCTGAATCATGTTTATATCGTTTTGCACAGCCGTTGATGTCTATTGTTCTATCCCAATTTAGCTTATGAGCTGTTAATTTTTTTTGGCATTTTTATGGATTTCTTTGATATACTTGAAAAACATTTTCAATTTCATGCATGCGATTTTTTTTCAATTATTATTTTTTTCGCTGGAGCTGCGTATTCGTGGATCTCTGAGTACGTTTAAGGTTCCTCCTTACAATTGATATTATCTAAATTATTGTTGTTCAGTTGTGATGGCTCGCCACTCTGACATGTCATTGTTGTTTTTCTTGATGATCTTGTGTATGAGATTGATGCGCGTCAAAATCAAAAGAGTTTTTTGTTTGTAGCTCATGCATGGCCAAAAAAATTTAGGCTACAAGTTTATGTTGTGTAATTCTTTGTTAATCTCCTTTGACCTATGAGGCTTTTGGTTTGTCAGTTCTTTTTTACTTTTTCCTTGTAATTTTTTTCTTTTTTTTTTTTTTGGTTGAAATTTGCAATTTTGTTTGAGGTTGGCAACGTTGAGCAGTATTAGAGGAAATAGTGCTTATGATTATTGTTCTGCTATATATAGTCCATGATCTTGTTCCGTGATGATATCTCTGTGCATCCGTTTGTTACAGCAAGGTTGTGGTGTCTAATTCATGGTTTATCTCTTTTTGACCGATAAAGTGTGTGACTTGTCAATATTTATTGCCTGTGTGTTTCAATTCTTACATATTGTCTTTTGAACTTTGTGATCATGGTTTGAGAACTTCAAGCCGTTTGGTTTTACAGGAAACAGCAAAATTTATGATTATAGTTTTTCTGTCACGTATACTTGGCATTTCTATTCGGCATATTTAGCTTGCCACATGCTAATAGTGATGGAAAGTACCATTAAGAACGTTGCATATCATGTATTGGATTGCATAATTGAGAAGATTTTGCAATTTGGTGTCTCTGAGAAGATTTTGCATAATTGAGAAGTGTTTGAGCTAGCTTATTGATATTATGTAATGAAAATATCTCTTTTGCAGTGTGTGAAATGGCAGCGACATCAGCAACCACCCTCTCAATTGGATCAACCGCTTATCTTGGTCCCAAAAGCAGCTCAGTTTCAAATGCAAAGCCTTTTGGTGTAAGATTCAATTCTTCCAGCTACCTTAGAAGTTTCAGTGGCCTCAAGGCAGCCTCCTCTGTTAGCTGCGAATCAGATTCCTCTTTTTTCGGGAGGGAAAGCTGTGCAGCAATTCGACAATCTTTTTCCACAAGGGCCCAAAAGCAGGAGAGGGATTCATGGAACTATGTTCAGCCTCAGGCTTCTTACAAAGTTGCAGTTCTGGGGGCTGCTGGTGGTATAGGCCAGCCACTTGCACTTCTGATCAAGATGTCACCATTAGTGTCAGCTCTAAACCTTTATGATATTGCAAATGTCAAAGGCGTTGCCGCTGATCTTAGTCACTGCAACACTCCAGCCCAAGTTTCAGATTTCACCGGTGACAAGGAGCTCGCTAGCTGCTTGAAAGATGTTAATGTTGTGGTAATACCTGCCGGTGTTCCCAGAAAGCCTGGAATGACCCGTGATGACTTGTTCAACATCAATGCCAGTATAGTCAAGAGCTTAGTGGAGGCTGTTGCTGATAATTGCCCGGATGCTTTCATTCACATCATCAGTAATCCAGTGAACTCCACAGTGCCAATTGCAGCTGAAGTTCTGAAGCAAAAAGGAGTATATAATCCTAAGAAACTCTTTGGTGTTACCACCCTTGACGTTGTCCGGGCAAATACTTTTGTTGCACAACAGAAAAAACTGAGGCTAATTGATGTTGATGTACCTGTTGTTGGAGGGCATGCAGGGATTACAATTTTGCCACTCTTGTCAAAGACAAAACCCTCTGTCACTTTCACAGATGAAGAAGTACAAGAATTGACAGTAAGAATTCAGAATGCTGGTACCGAGGTGGTTGAGGCAAAAGCTGGTGCAGGTTCTGCCACATTGTCCATGGCATATGCTGCAGCAAGATTTGTCGAGTCCTCTCTCCGTGCTCTTGATGGTGACAGTGATGTGTACGAGTGTTCTTATGTCCAGTCAGATGTGACTGAACTTCCATTCTTCGCATCAAGGATTAAAATTGGAAAAGATGGGGTCGAGGCTGTGATTAAGTCTGACCTGCAGGGATTGACTGAATATGAAGAAAAAGCTTTGGAAGCCCTCAAGCCAGAGCTCAAGGCCAGCATCGAAAAGGGGATCAATTTTGTTCACAAGCAACCTGTAGCTGCATAGAACACTACGAGTCTTGCAGCATTTAGAAGATGAATAAAGTAGTTTCCATTCACAGATTCGTTGATGCGAGCAACATCTTCAGATCTTTTAGGTGACTTGCAGCAAAAGGCTTCCTGCTGGCTTTGTTTTGAAGTACTTTTGTAGTAATCAAATGAGCATACTAATTGTAGAATTTTGTTTTGTCCCCATATGCGGCTTGCGATAGTGCGAAATAACATTAGTGGGGCAGTCTAGCTCCATGAGTTTCTCCTTAATGAATTTGTTTTGTTGCTTCGTCATGAGTTTGCTTATACAGATATTTGACTGGAGGTTCTGCTATTCACTACATAACTGTCATTGTGCTGCTGAATAGTATGCTTGCAGATGGAAATGTTTCAAAAACTTGTTAATACCTATGTGCTTCATAATTATGAATGGAGATGGAGTTGCCCAGACAAATAGAAGAATATTCTAGATTCCTAAAATGTTCTTGTTAGTGTACTACAGTATATGCAGCTTGTTAGATTTGATGATTGTTATTTGACACTTAAACAACAGGGAAGCCAGTATTTTTGGTTCGTCTTACTGCCACCTACTGAATGACACGTACAACATGATCGCAAGAAATCGGTCCCTGCTACTTCTCTCTTGCATCATATACTTTGGCTCGACACAGTAAGGTGTTCCAAAAAAAAACCACCACTGCTACCAATTAACTTCACAGGAGCAGCCCCCTCCTACGAAATGATGAAAACGATTGCAATCTCTGATAATCACGTGTCGATTATAAACCGCAGAAACCATTTTGGCAAAGTTGTGACAGTCGAGACATATTCGTTGGTCTTTCGCGACGTGTATCCTTGTTCCTGGTGGAGTTACAAGTATCCCGAAAGCGATTGCCAATTTCTCACTGTGGTAAGATAGTCTGGTTCTTCGTTTTTCCTCACCGTCACCACCAGTATGATCGTGGAACTCAGGTGTAATTTCAGCAACATAACCAGCTATTTTCAGTTGATGATTGATCTCATCAAGTGTTGCATAGATTTCTTTCTTCATAGGATGTGAAACATCATCAGCTACAAACTCGTGTACTTTGCCTTTATATTCAATGGTACTGCAAGCAGGGTTACTGTGGATTCCTTTTTCCTTCATCAACTTCCGCACTTCTTCAACCTTCTCAAAATTATTGAGCGAAGAGTAAATATTCAGCAATAGTACATAATCCCCAGTTTCTTCAGCCTTCATTTCAATCAAATGTTCTACAATTTTCCCTCCGAGGACAGCATGTCTATAATGTCTACATGCGCCAAGAAGAGTCCTCCATATTGCTGCATCTGGCTTGAGCCTCATCGAGCATATAACCTCATATGCTTCGTCAAGCAGCCCAGCTCGACTCAGCATATCTACGATACAACCATAATGATAAATATTAGGCACAATGCCAAGCTCTTGCGTCATGATATCAAAAAAGATCCGACCCTCGTCAACAAGCCCTGAACGACTACAACCTGAAAGAACTGCCGTACAGGTTTGTTCATCAGGAGCAATGCCACACCTCTGCATCTCTTTAAATGCCTCAATTGCCTGTCTTCCGTAGCCATGACTCGCCAAACCCGAAATCATGGCACTCCACGTCACGACATCCTTATCAGGAGAGCCTACAAAAACTTCATAAGCCTTGTCAACCCTTCCACACTTAGAATACATATTTACTAGCGAGTTCCGAATTTTTTTAGAATCATCAAAACCATGTTGCTTTATAAACTCATGAACCTTCTCGCCAAATTCTAAAGCATTCAATTTTCCACAAGCCTCGAGTAGAAGCAAACAACTAATGTCATCAGGTTGGAACCCAGGCGAATGTTCCATGATATCGAACGCAGTCAAAGCATCCCTAGACCGCTTATTACGCAAAAAGCAAGAAAGCAGGACATTCCAAGCAGTAGTGTCTCTGTTGGACATTTCATCAAACACTACACATGTTTCAAAACCTTTCCCATTGAAAGAGTAAAATTCCATCAAAGTAGTCATCAAGATGCTATCGCCGTTATACCCATCTTTTAGAATCGTGCAGTGTAACTGCAACCCACCAGAAAAAGACCCCATCTTTATACAACATTTTAGAGCGGATAACAAACAAAATCCGTCTGAAGGAAAGCCCAATTGACGCATCTCTTTATAAAACTGAAATCCTAATAATACTGAATCACGCTCACTTAACGAGTGAGCTCTAATCATTACTCCGTATAAGGAAACATTGGGTTCCGGATACTGTTGGAAGATTCTATGGCCATATTGCAAGTCCTTCAATGGAGGGAGGGAAATGCGAGAGAGGAAATGAAGGAAGATTTTCGTGTTGAGGAGATGAGACGTGCGAATAAGGTGGGTATGAATTTGTAGCAAATGAGATTTCCGAGTGGAGGATTTTATCAGAGAAATCAATTCGTTCTCTGCGTCCCTTTCAGGGTTCGGGTTGAGGTGATGACCCGGAAATTGCTGCTTCCGGTGGTTATTGTGGGATTGGGGGGATGCAGATGCTGATTCTGCAGAAAAGTAGCGGGTGAAGCGGCGGTGACGGACAACGCCGGGGTAACGCATTCTCAAGTGGCAGTGGTTTTCTGGTGGAAGAAAAACTAAAGGCGTTATTATTTCAGGGGAACCTGCATTTTAGACTTCTTCGTCGAGTTATTTGTTCTCGGCGATCAGGTCGACGAAGTTTTTTGTAGAAAAAAATCCTAACTGAAGAAGTCTGAACTCTGAATTTAGTGATATTTTTTACTCATGCATTATCCAATTGTTCTGTTAGTTCAATAAAGTGGTTTATTAAAATGAGGCGGATGGAGTATGTAGCCTTCTGTGTTCATCATCCTCCAATGCTGTCCTCTATATAATACTATACGTAGTAACATAATTTATTAATTCGTGAAGTTCAATTCCTTGTATCATACTAGCAATTCTGTTTTTCCACAATGAATAACAACACCAAATGATGAAAAATTTCTAATTGGTTTGGTCACTTGGAGTAATAAGCCTGAGATTCATGTTTACTTGGATTCATTTTTCAGTTATATATAGACATCTCTGCCATATAAAAATCATCCTAGATGATGAATCTAAGTAAATACAGTAACATAGTCCCATGATTTAAGGTTCTTAAATAGTTCTCGCGGGATCTTAGAAAATCCAGAATCCGCGCGCTAATTCTTCTTCTTCTTCTTCCCCTTCCTCTTCTTATTCTTCTTCTTCTTGTTTTACTTTCCCCAGTTTTTGCCCATGAAGGCTCATGCAGTTTCTTTAATTGCTTATCTGCCTGACACAGAGGTCTTCGGGTGAGGAGTTGTAATCCGATAGCGAATAATATTTTCTCTTATTGTTACCAACCAGAAAATAAAATTCATGTGATAAGAATAATGCGATCATGATTCCTTTTTTCTTTTTCTTTTTTTTGAGTAAACCACACCATGATTGATGATTCCTGGGCAAGCACATATGGACCAATGGATGCATGTCAAAGCATCTGATCATAAATGCATCTGTTTAATTGGTTAGAACAGCCGTCCATTCTACTAAATTAAATAAAACCCTTTGGTCAGCACCTAATTTGCTTGAAATTAGCGTACCTGGCTACGTTTGTTTTCATATTTTCTGGGGGTTTTTATTATCGGTTGAAAAAATAAAATAAACATTTGTGTGTGGGTGTGGGTGTGTGTGTGTGTTTTGTCTTTTCTGTCATTGGAAGTCCATGGCCAACCCATTAACAAATCAGAGGAGAGTTTTATTTCTTTATCGTCAGGTGTAATATTGTTATGGAACTGTCCGTAAGTCCGAACTCATCAGAAGTACAGGGAATGAGTGGGTTTGGTGCTTCTGGTTGGAGAGTTCTTCATTCACATTGGATCCCGGTTTTCCCACCAAATCAACCACATTCCCTATTCTATTCGAGAACTTTCCTTGATTATAATAATTTCAGAAGCATCATTCCATCCAATATTCATAAAGTTTTTTTCTTTGTTTTTGTGTTTTTCATTGGTTGCTCCTCAAAGATTTTGTCAGCTATAGTGAGTGACATTTCCGTATGAGTTTTACCTCATGTCACCTTACTATTCACAATATGAAGAAGAGTGATGATACACAACTCACTTAAGTTATCTCACCTTCCCATTTCACCTTACATGACATTTAGTTATTGGATGAAATTTAATAATTTAATTAATTATTAGATAAAATATAATAAGTTACTATAATTATTTTTTTTGTTAGATTCATTCATTTTTTGAATACTTCTATATCTAAAATTTTACAATAAATAGACCCTAACCCCTAAAAAAGTAAACCCTTTAGGGTAAAATTGTAACTAAACAAAATATAATCAGTAGGCCGAATATTAATAAGAAATATATTTATATTTTAATTAAATTATATAAATTTAAATAATAAATGCATTGCCTAATCAGTAGATAATGTAAGGTGAGATGATAAGGTGAGTTATTTAGGTGAGCTACCTATCATTATTCTATGAAGAAATTACATTCCAGTATTCCACAATTCCAGTACGGAAACGATCTAGGCCATTGTGGAGAGGGAGAATGCAATGTACCTCTCTTACTTAGATTTTCTTATTATCGGTTTTAATTACTTGAGCTGTTTCATCATTTACCACTCCACCATACTTTTGGTCGCTTAAGTTTTTTGTCATCCAAAACTCGAAACTTAAGCAACTACTTTGACACACCTAATCAGCAGCAGTTAATATACTAATTCTTTTGTGGTAAAAATATTTTTTATTAAGAGCAGTAACTTATTTGTCAAAAATTATAAAATTAAAAATATTTTGAATTGACTATAAAACCCTTATAATTTCGCACACATAATAATAATAATAATAATAATAATAATAAACAAAAGCCAAAATCCATCTTAGAGATTAATGAATAAGATTAATGAATAAGAACCTTATTCTGAATGTGAGAATCCAGTCTCCTCTTGACGGTATTCGATTGCGAACCTGCTGAATTCTTTCATGACATTACAAGAACCCAAAACCCACAGTAGCCAAAGGTAAACTTTTATCTTTTGATTATGTGTTTTTTCGTCTATTTATGAATCGAAAATTAATAATAGATAGGTGTTGGATTTTAACAAGATCAATTCTCCTAAGAGTAATCATGTCATTATACAATTAGATTGATTTTGTAATTTTTAACAAATAAATTACTGTCTTTCATAAAAAATATTTTAAGATCATACTCGTTTTATTAATTTGACATATTTTACTGTCTTTAGTCAAATTTTCCCATATAATTATAAGTAGACCAAGCAACGGGTGATTCACCCGGAGGTAAACATGCCAAATTGAGTCCATTGAGAGCATTGACGGGCTCACATCAAAGAGGTCAAAAGGGTTTATGCTCCAATCCAATCAGCCAATTCCAATAACCAGTGTGGGCCACCAATCAAAGACATTTTAGAAGGTGCCTCGCTTTCAGAATTAATTCGTCAACCTATAACCACAAAAATGAAATTGAAAGCTCCTTCCTCTCTATTTCCTCGTCGTATGCAAATAAAAAATGTCAGTAGTCGTCTTCTTCTTCTTTGAATTTGATTTTCTGTTTACAACGATTACAAAATAATGAGCGAGACCAAAAATCATAATCTGAAACAGCTTTACATATTATAATCGTGATCCCATCTTGCATCTTAGAAATGATCTACTCATTTTAAAATTGTATCCAAAAGAAAATAATCGTTTCGTTATTAAGAATAATAGAAATTACAAAATACAATATAAATTATTTTTTCTTCATATGAAAAACATAATGATCATATCCATGTTGGTAGATGCCTCCGCGCATGAAATATTTTTTTATTAAATTTGCTAAGCGACTTTCTTGGTCATTGTAACCAGGAAAAAATAGCACTCATTTTTTGGTTGGTGTTAATATATATATTTTTAAAAATAAAGATGATATAAATCTACCTAACGTATTAAGAATTTTTTTCATTAAAAAAATCCTCAAATCAATAAATTATTGATAATTTATTAATTTTATAAATTAAATAAATCTGGTGACTATTAATTTAGTGAAGTTTTAGTTTAACACTTAAGTCTTAAGGATGTTTTGGAGAATAAAAGGCCATTGTAAAAATATTGTGAAAGCGTTTGACTTGGAAAGACTTGTCAACAAAACCCAAAAACCACGACACTCAATCAAACACTTAGCACTAATATTTTAGTATAAAAAACATTACTTCCAATACGTATGTTTGTTGGTCTCAGTCCCCAACGCTAAAAAGCCCCCATTTTTATTCTTTCTTTCCTTCCCCAAATTTCCATGGCTACCAAAATCCTCACTAAACCACCTCCTCCGCCACCAACAATCACCCATGGCGGCGGCGACGAAGAAACAGAGCCGATGGTAATCGAGGACGTTTTGACCTACCCTGTTCTCCTCTCCGAACGTATTCGTGAGGCCACCATGGAAGCCAATTCATTCAAATCCGAGTGTTACTCCATTAGAAATCTTGCCGAAAACATCGGCCAAATGCTCCGTACCACCAACCGGATCGCCACCGGGATCAGTAACGGAATGATTTACGAGCGACCCATCAGGCGAATTGTGTCGGAGGTGACAAAAGTGCTTGAGAAGACTCTAACCCTCGTCAGGAAATGCAAACGCGGCAGTATACTCCGCCGTGTCATGGCCATCGTCTCCGCCGCCGATTTCCGGAAACTGCAACTCCTCCTCGAGAATTCCGTCGCTGATATGTCGTGGCTCCTCAACATCTTTGAGAGTGGCGGAGGTATAACGCTTTCCCTTCCTCCAATTGCTAGTAATGATCCTATAATTTCGTGGGTTTGGGCTTTTATTGCGTCTCTGTATATGGGTCATATTGATGATAAAATTGAGGCTGCAAATGAGCTGGCATCTCTAGCTAAAGATAATGATAGGAACAAGAAATATATAGTCGAAGAAGGAGGGGTTTTACCTTTGTTGAAATTATTGAAGACGGATTCCTCTGTTGATGCTCAAATTGCTGCTGCTACCACCCTTTTTCTTATAGCTAACGATGAGGAAAAGGTTTGTGCTATTATTAATGAGCTTGGTGTTCCGATCATAGTTCAAACTTTAGCAAGTTCCTCAATGAAAGTTCAAATTTTGCTGGCTTCTTTAGTGGCTAGTATGGCTAAACATTCTCCACTCGCTCAGGAAGATTTTGCCAGGGCTAATGTGATCAGGCCAGTTGTTACGCTTTTGTCCGCAGACAGTTCAATTGAAGAACCGAGTTCGAGAGTCGGCACGCATATGCAAAGTTTTCATTCGGTTGTGGATGAGAAAATGGAGATTTTTAAGGAAAGGGAAAATAATAAGTTGAACAGAAGTCCAGGATTGGCATCATCCTTGTCTATGCAATCCGTAAATGGAAGCAATGGTGGGAGTAGCCGGGGTGGACTTCACAAGAAGGAGAGGGAGAATGAACCACCAGAAGTGAAGCTTAGTTTGAAGACTAAGTGTGCAGAAGCATTGTGGATGCTTGCTAAAGGTAGTGCGTCCAACAGTAAGAGGATAACAGAGACAAAAGGATTGCTTTGTTTGGCTAGGATTGTTGAGACAGAACAAGGAGAATTGCTGCTTAATTCCTTAATGGCTATTATGGAGATAACCAGTGCGGCTGAATCAAATGCGGATCTAAGAAGGGCAGCTTTTAAGACAAATTCTTTTGCTGCAAAGGCTGTGGTGGATCAGCTATTGAGGGTCATTAAAGAGCATCATGATCCCAAGTTGAGTATACCAGCTATAAGGGCAATTGGTTTCCTGGCCAGAACATTTCCAGCAAGAGAGACGAGGGTCATTGGGCCGTTGGTAGCGCAACTTAGTCATAATAATGTAGATGTGGCAACAGAAGCCGCCGTCGCTCTTTGTAAGTTTGCTTGTCCAGAGAATTTTCTTCATGTACAGCATTCAAAATCCATTGTTGAGTTCCAAGGTGTCCAGCCTCTCCTGAGACTGTTTAAGAGTAACGAACGTGCACAAGTCAATGCGTTTGTTCTCCTTTGCTACCTTGCAATGCATGCCAGGAACAATGAGACTCTGGAACAACCATGGGTGTTAACTACTCTTAAAGGAGCAGATTCATTAATCGCGCAGCATCACGAGTTGGCAGAACTGAGAGCTTCGGCTATAGGACACTTAAATGTTTACAACAGTGGTCTACTTCGTCAAAGGCCACCTTACCCACCTTAAAATTTACGAAGTCATGCATCTGTTATGGTAGAGGCGTATATATATTATAGTCCATTCAATATGATTTTTTTTAGATGGCTGTTTTGCTTTCAAAATTCTTCTGATAATGTGATACCCTATTAGATTCAAGAACTATTTGAAAATCAGGACTTCTTTGCTCTGTAATTGGAACTTAATAATTGATTGGCGTATACCTTGAAGGTGAGTATGTACGACTTAGTCATTGTGACAGTGAAGCACTGCCTCTCTGAGTCTGCCTTTAAGATGATCGTGATTCATGTCATGTGTTGTGACCACTGGATCCAAATCTAATTAAGAAACAAGAAATTTCGGTGATGTTGTAGCTTTATGGGATTTGTTTGAGATCGTGGGAATCATGTTCAGAACTCAGAAGATCCCCAAATGTATGTCTGTCTACACCAGTCCTTAGTTTAGTTTAGATTGTGGCTGTCATGTTGGCAAACTGGAGGGTAACATTGAAATTTTTATCATGACTAGGAAAATAATAACAAGACAATTATTTTAAGACATTTTGGGATGGAGGTGTGTCACCTGTCAGTACTCAGTAGTACATCAATGTACCAAGTACTCAGAAAAACAAATGGAGAAACCTAACTTCATTTTCGGCTATCGAAGTAAGCTGGACCAATGATAGAATGGGCTAGTTTGCCTACAGATGGACATTTTATCTTTCCCAATCATCACTTTTTTTATGATTTGTAAAAAAATAATAATAATAATAAAAAAATTTATCAACCTTGACTGATATTATCGAATAGATAGATACACCAGGGCAAGTACAGGATCACAATGAGCAAACCATTGTGTCTATTTTCACCTTTATATCTTGGAAACTCCATAGTTCCAAACAAGGAAGATACCAATCAGACAATAAGCTCTTATATTACAGAATTCTCCCGGAGGGGGCTATACCACATACATCACTGTGAAACTAAAAAGGCTGGATAGCCATCAACTGCAAGTTGTAACCATTGCACAGCAGGCAAACTACACTACACAAATTTACGAGAATGAAAAATGTAGGGTGTTTACAGTGAAAGAGAGAGATTTCCACACAATTCAGCGTGATGAAGGCAAGGGGCGCCAATTATCGGCATTTCGCATGGCTTGTTCACGGGAAGCTAAGGACATCTTCTGAAGTACAACGGCTTTTACGCGATCAGCAGCTATCTCACCAGCTCGACCAGCTAGCTCCAGGTATACCACAGCCTTCATCATATCCCCTTCCTGACCAAGAATAGCAAGTGATATCAGATTTGCACGACGTTACATTTTATGGGGAGAAAAGCATTCAAGTGGCGGAGAGTATTGTACTTACAGCAAACAGACCCAGTCCATGCTCAAATTGAGCTCTGACATGACCACAATTGGCTGCTCGCTGCATCCACTTCCTTGCTAATTGATGAGACTGTGAAAAGCCTACGCCACCAGAGTAGCACAATGAAGTATTATACATAGCACGCGCATAACCACCTACGGCAGCTTGCTGATACCATCGAGCCTGTAAGAGAATGACATCAGTAACTGAAACGATGAAAAATTCATGATGCACTCCATGAAATACAACTGACATTCAAATACGACTAGCATTTCACTCCAGACGAATATACACAACTAGCAACAGGGCTACGGCAATGAAGAGAAAACCAATGATCCAAATTGGTGACTAAAATCACATAGCTCACCGATAGAAATAAAACACGCAGAAATAAGAAATCTTAAGTAAAAAGCAAGTTTAAAAAGAAACTCAAGTTTATCAGAAATTTCCAATTCGAAGTCACCATAGCAACTCATTTAAAAATTTAAACTTGAACATGAATCAAGCTTTTGTCTGGAAAACTAGGTTGAAAGAGCAAACTTACAGCTTCCCTGAGATTCTTCGGTAAACCACGCCCTTGATGTAGACAAAGTGCAAGTTGGTATTGAGCACGGACATGTCCAGACAAAGATGCCTTGTACAACCATTTCAAAGCCTCATTGTAGAATGGTGGATCAGCTGCGAAAATTAGCAGACACCACGGAAATTATCAAATGAACTATGAAATCATCAATAATGACCAGGCAAAACTAGGAATCACTGCTGCATGCTTTAACATGAACAATGAAAACACTCAGGATTATCACACATGGAAGCAAGACCATAGGCTAATAAAACCTCCTGCGATCTTTGATAAATCGAGTAGGAAACAAGAAAAACTTAACAAACACCTAACCTATCATGTTTTGGTTAGTAAGATATCAGTAATGCATCATAAAAATGATCAATAAAACATATGAAAAGAAGCAATAATAACTAACTTAATTAGTTTAAGACCAAAAATAGCGCATGCTTGACAAACACAAACCAAAAATTCATGTCCTTATATTGAACAAGCAACTAAAGATTTCAATTAGAGCATACCTTGCAAGTAAGAGAGGCCTAAATTGCACTGTCCAGCTGGATCACCAAGCTCAGCTGCCTTCCTATACAAAGCAATGCCCTTTTCTTTGTCCCCCATGTCCCAATAAAGAAGGCCAGCATCCACCATGGCAAGAGTGGACCCACGCGCCGCGCCTTTTAGGAAAGAATCTAAAGCCTTGCTCAAATTGGGCTTCACCCCACCCCGGCCGTGCTTGTACCGCTTGCCCCACCTCAAGAACAACATGGCTTCCCTCAACGGAGCAAGCGCGTCCCTCCATGCTTTGCAGGCCAGCGACGCCGCTCGCAAATCGGTGTACTTGAAAGAGGCGGCGATCTTCGAAACGACGTCGTAAGGGAGCGCAGAGTAATCGTAGCGATGGGTTCTGGAAGAAGAAGACCGGGAAGAAGGTCTATGTTGGTCGGATGAACGGGTCGATTTCCTCTTCGAGGTGTATGCGGGTTCGGACCTGGACGGCGGATATTCTGATTCGTATCGGGGGTGGGATTCTCTTCTGTCCAAAAGGAGGGCGGTGAAGCGGTGGTTGCCTGAACCGGACGGCCACGTCTTCTGCTTCATCGATGCAAGGGGATGCAGGAAGGGAGGAGCAGGTGGGTTTATGAGAGGACTCGAGGATGGACGTCGTCGTATCGAGGTGTTAATCTAATTGGATTTCGACACCATCATGTCGACATCATTCTTCTTGAAAGCGCTGGGAGAGAGAGGTGACGTCGGAGTCGGACGACACACCGTACGCGTGACTTTGTGCGCACAGAAAACATTGGGAATTCCTTTGAATAAATTTTAGTATTTAGTAATATATCTGTCCACTGTGTCCTTTACCCATAGGGAGCAGGAATGAAGAAGAAGGAGAAGGGGAGAGTTGACCCTGAGATTTATGATGTAATAATAACATAAAATAGAAGAACTTAAAAAACGAAAATTCAAACTTGTAAACTGGGTTTTTAAGGCGGCTTCAATATACTGTACTACCCTTATTCTTCTTTAGGATTTATTTTGGCTATTTCGAAACAAAAATTATCATCCACAATAACTTTTACTAAAATACCCTCGTTACTGAAAAATTTAACATCTTTTCCCGTTTCTCTTTCTGATTTTGAGGTCTCTTTTGAAAATACAATCGATGGCAATATCAACTCATACAGAGCTAATTCAAGATGAGATCAATCAAGATAAAGAAGAAAATTTGTTCTCTTTTCTTCTTTTCTTTCCAAGTTGAATTTTAAAGTCAGAGTAGAGAACCTCTAAATTAAAAATTTCATTTTCTCCTCCAATTATTTCAATTTAATTTCTTATTTGTGACAGTTTGCGCTTCAAAATTATGTCTAAACAACAAGACGGGACAATATATGAGACCTGGGATTTGAATCTTTCAAATATGTTGAAAGAAATGAAGAACATGCATAAAGGAAAACAGAGTGTATTCTCTATATTTGAATTCTCAATTGGTATTCTCTATGTTTGTTTTTTTTTTTTCTTTTTGTAATCTTCCTAAATCATTATAGAAAAAAAAATAATCTCAGTTGCGTAACTGCATAAAAACGAAGATTCTGCCAAAATTTTGGGTTGCCTATATTTGGTTATGGATATGGGAATGTGTTTGGACAATGGAAGCCGAAAGAGGAGAAAAAAAATTGAGGAAAAAAATGCTCTCCAACTGATTAAGGGTACTTTTGGTATTTGATTAAAATTTTGTTTTAGATGCTAATTTTTGTTCCGGCAGAATCATGAGCCATTTATTTCACTTTGTTGTTATTGTTAAAAAAGTGTTGCGGAAGATATCTTAAATTACTAAGTTTATTTTTTCTTTGATCATTATCGCTTTACACAGTTAAAAATTACTGAGTTTATTTTTTTTTAATCTGTATTGCTATACACAGTTCAATTTATACGGATAACTTTAAATAAAAAAAATAAACTCAGTAATTTGGCAATCCGGATCAAATTTGTGTGTAGAATAGTTTTCTATCTCAAAACCAACTGGCAATGAGTGGAGTGGCCTTTGACACTTATGGACAACATTGTGAGAGCTAATTAGTTAAGTTTTGGGTGAACAATTAGCGAAGTGAATTTAACAAAAAGAGGAGAATGTAGAATTCAAATCTTTGGAGAGTACTGCAAATTGCAAAATTTTATCCTGGCCCCTAGATTTTAGATTTTTTTTTTTGATATAAGATTCCTTCTATTAAAAAGAAAAAACAATTCACGTTAAATTTTAAAATTTATTATCTTAACTACAAATTTAAAAATTCAATATGAATTATTTATTTGAAGAAGATATAGTACCCGATTTTCAAACTATATTTAGATTTCGGATTAATTCAAATCGAATTGCGGAAATTTATTCCGGAAATTAAAATTATGTTTCAGTTGAAATGCTAGTTTGTCGATGACGTGAGCATGGATGAATCTAAAGAAATGCAAGATATTTTTGGTAATATTCGAACACGGGCGATCAATTTACTACAGAAATATTGTTATGTGTGCAGATCAATGTACATGAAAATCAGTGCTCAGCAAATATTCTTTCTTGAGGATTTGGGCTCAAATTTGGAGGACTAGACGGGAGTACTGCATTTTCCATTTGGATCTGGACTTTCCCGATCCAGTATACTACCTGTGACGTTACAACAGTCGAGTCACCTACCCACCAATGATTTTTATTTTCATTTTTTCTTTGTCGTTCGTCAATTATTGGACCAATTTTTTTGTGAAGGAATTAGATCTCAATTTAACCATACAGTGGACAATATAATATGTACTCCCTCCGTCCCATAATTATTGTCCACTTTGCCCAAAAAATTTTGTCTCAAAATTATTGTCCAATTTGACTTTTTATGGATTAAGTTACACATTTATCCTTAATAAAAAAACATTATCCATAAAATCTTAGTGGTTAAACAATTACTTATGTAGGGATATATCCGGTTGTTTAAGGTAAAATATAGTTAAGTTTGACCAAAAATAAAATCTTTCATTTTAGTAAAACTGGACAATAATTATGGGACGGAGGGAGTACTTTATTTAACATGGTCTTGACTCTGGATAAATCTTAAACATTATCTTATAAATTATTTTTTTAATTATAAAACTTGAGGATTTACTGTCACACATATACCATCCTAGTTAGTACTACCATCTTTTTATTTTATTTTTACGACAATATTTAATTTCCTAATAACCATTTTTTACCTAGAAAACGTAGGGTGACCTCCCCTCCTCTCCCTTAAGTTATGTCCCATTTTAATGTTCAGTAATTTGTCTGCATCTGGTGCTTTATTTGCTACACACTACAAAGTTTATAATGCTTTGAAATGATTTTTTTTTTTTTTTTTGCAATATATGTCATTATAAAATTTAATCACTAATGATACCAAATCACAAATCACCATAGTCTTTTTAATTGATGGCATTGCTGACGGCGACATCTGGTCAATCTCGCTCTCAAAACATTTTTCTACAGACAATTTGTTGCAAAAACACATCAAATATACATAGTATTACATCATACTCTTTTGGTTTGAAAAAACACAAAAGTACGAGCAAAATCGTGCCAAAATACCACACTTACTCCCCAATGTGACGACATATATTTGTACGTACTCCCTTTTGCGAGACAACAAATATACTCCCTTTGGTTGATGACGGTAGCTGTACAAATTAATTTGTATTATGACATAGTTTCGGGCTTGTGTCTACGGTCAACCATATATACGTAGAAGAGAGGGGGCAAATACTAATCCTTTCTATCTATTTATGCTTTTGAGGAGGAGGAAGAGTACACTTTCATTTTTGTAATAAGGAAATCGAACTCTAACCTTTTACTGAGATTGAGATTGACATTATAAGCATCCATAGGGAAGAATATAAAGTTGTTAAAACACACAAATAATGGTCCATACTCCCTCCGGTCCTTAATATAAGGAATTTTGATTTGTCCTAGGTTTAATCTTGTACGTATTTTTAATTGACAAAAAAACCTTAAAAATGTTTTACCATAATCAAGAGAATACAACGAAGGTAAGAATACATTTTTAAGATTTTTTCGTCAATTAAAAATGCATTGCAAGTAAAACCTAGGACAAAATCAAAATGCCTTAATATATTAAGGACCGGAGGGAGTATCATATGAAGAAACATGTCCCCATTGTACTGTAATGTAAAGTGCAACCGATATTGGATCTAGGGCTGGTAATCCGTGTCGAGTTCGGGTTGGCGTGTTGGGTCGAACCCGAACCCGTGAAAATTGTAACTAACCCGAACCCGACATGTTTAATTATACAGGTTAGGATTCTCAATCCTAACCCGATCTTTTAAAATCCAGCTTAACTCGGATCGACCTGTTTAACCCGAAAAAAAAAGAACATAAGATGAACAAAGAACTAAAATTTGCAGGGAGGAGTAAATAACAAAATTCAATCAATTTCCTTTGACGAGTAAGTTGAATTTAAACAAACCAACAACACAGAAAGAAAAAATCCTTACTAACAACAATCGCTAACTGTTTTTAGCCAGTAAAAACACAACTGCACAAAATAGAAAATCTAATTAAGAAAGCCTACATTCAGCTACATACGTAAACACAATATATATTGAGTACAAGAAACATGGAAAAGAAAAGCAACACAATTTTTTATTCGCTGTTGTTCTACAGCCTTGGATATGCAAAATTTCTTCGACAAAGAACAAAGGTAAATAAGGAGTATAAAGCAGTTCGACATCCGGCAGCCGAACCGGAAGGAAAAAGAAATTAGCAAAATTGGCAAAAAAAGAGGCCAAAATATTAATCTGGAAAATGGGAATGCTGGCCAGATAGTCTTTGAGCTGTACGCCGACGCAACTCTTCGAACCGCAGAAAACATCCGGACACTCTGTACCAGCGAGAAAGGCGTCGGCCGTAGCGGCAAGTCCCTGCGGCCAACTTTCTTAGATCTGGGTTTTCTTCATGACTAATTCCTGTGGTCTAAAATCTAAAATCTATGTAACAATCAGGTGATTTTTTGAAATTTCTCACTTCATGTGCCAAAAAAAACGAGAGAGAATGAATCTGAAGAAGAAAAAAGGAAACTGATTTGGGTGCTTTGGTTCGGCCGCCACAAAGTAGAGAATGAAACAAAAAAAAATGAATCTATGATATATATATATATATATATGTATATAGCCTTAAAGAGATTAGAGTTACTAATGTCTATAACTCCCAAAGTATCCCTATAAAACATATAAATTACATGTAAATGGGTAACCCGGCGGGTTGACCCTAACCCAACCTGTATAATAAACGGGTCCAACTTCTCAATCCTAACCCAACCTGTTTATTAACGATCGTGTTCGTGTCAGGTTATATTGGGTCAGGTTCGTGTCGAAATTCCGAATCGTGTCGGAGATTGACAGCCCTGGGAATGCAAAGCATATTCTTTTCATGTACATGGCTTCAATAATTGAATCCCGTTAAAAATAAAATAAATGAATAACATTCTCATCTTGTACATATATTAAATAATTTGGAAGCTTGTTAGCTTTCTAAGACGTGTTCGTATGTCATAGATTCTGAAAAAAAAAAGGGGCTCAGATCCCTACCACCCTTTGTTTTATTAATTCAAAGGAAGCTAGCCATTCTAGATAAGGTCGAGTTTTTGTGTCAGCACAAACTTAAAAAACCTCAAATGCTTTGGTCAAACTAGGTTAAACCATTTAATTGGTCCTAATGAAAATTTAAGGTTGGATCAATGTTTAAGCCTCCCAAACTTAACTACTACTAGTTTAGAACAAAATGAACACTATTTACATCTCGAGATGAGAGTCTTGTTTGATGAATTAGTACGATATTTTCCGGTGGCCGATGGAGTATGTAATTAGAGGCTATTTAATGAATCCAAATAAAAACCCAAAACATATTATAATTTCAAAGATGAGGAATAAACCAATATGGTGCAAGAAAAATAAAATAATGAAAAATAGTAATTAGTGACATGCACATCACAATATCACATTGGATTCTAATCCATCGCCCCCCATAGTTAGGTTGTCTTTTGCCCACAATCATCACCACACCAAACCACTTCTGTAAAAAAAAGAAAAAACCTTTCTTCCACTCGTTCTTGTGGGACAATCAATCATGGAAACAGAGTCTAAAAAGTAAAGCAAAAAATTTTTTCCTTTGCAGATGATGAAGGAATTAATGACAGAGTCACTAGAAGTATATAAAAAAACCTAAAAGGAAGTACAGAGGTTGAACATATGAAATGGCTTTCAAGCCTATAAGGGGGACTTGTCTTAATCAATCAGACTTTAACTCAATCATCCCTGCAGCATCAATATCATCTCATCTCTTGCCATTGGAAAGAAAAAGTGGAAGAAAGAAATTCCTGTCCATGATTCCATTTCCATCCCATCTCCTACTTTCTTTTGCACTCAGTTTAGGCAAAGCTTTTTTTTTTTTTTTTTCTGATGTACAGTATTTATCCATTATTTGACTTGTACCTCTTCATGTGCATTTATTGAGGATATGGAAAAAAGAAAACAGAAGTACTATAAAGTATCAACATTCTCATGAAGTTGCGTTTCAAATTTTGCATGGACTTAAACAGAGGAAAGGGTAACCTACACAATATCCAAAAAGGGTAAAAAATTAACCAATTGCTATTCTGATTCATCCCATAATTTTGTTGAGTTGGTGTCATTTTATTTGCCTATTATACTACATACTGCAAAAGAACTAAAGAAGAAGAAAAGCTAGCTAATTTAAGCATGGCAGCCATGGCATGGAAATAAGGGACTTTTGAGCTGTAAAAGGAAAGCAATCAGATATTCAAACATAGCTTAAGTTAAAACTTTCATCTTATTGTACATATTGACAGACTCTTCAGCCTTTGATCACAAGTCACAACTAAATCAAGAAAGATCTCCAAGTGGGAAGAAAAAAAAATGGGGTTAAAGTTAACTAAAACTTGGATAAATTAGAGAAAGCTCTGTTTTTTTTTCCCTTCTTTTGCCAGCAGCAGTTTAGGCCTTCTCAGCACGTCTTCTGAATACAGTATCCAAATCATGAGGTGGAATAAAGAATTCCCTAGCTCCAGTACTGAAGTAGTAACATGCTGATCTTGATGAAGGTTTCCTCTTCTTTGGAGCAGGTGGGCATACCAATCTACTTGGAAGTCTTGATCCTTGTGAAGTTGGAGTAGTACAACAGGACTGAGATTCTTCTTCTGCTTCTGGTGATTGTTGGATTTCATCACAAGTTTTTCTTGCAGGAATGGTTGTTAAGATGGGTTTCAATGGACCCCTTAACGCAATTCCAGAAATCACCCAATTCTTGGCTTCAGTACTATCCACAACGTATTTATCCATTTCACTCACTCCCATGACTTGACTTTTACAAACAAACCTATAAATAAGGTGGTAAATTAAGGAATAAAGGGTTCCAATGGAGGGAATTGATTCTCCAAGAAAAGAAAAAAAGTTGAAAATTTCTTGAAAGGAAAAGAGGAAAGCAAAGCGAGAAAGTTTGTGGAAAATATCTTTGTTGGGGAAAGCCTTTTTATAAAAACAGAGTAGTAGTAGGGAAAAGGGGCAATAAATTCATGAAGATTTGAAGAAAGGAAAGAAGAAGAAGAGTAATGGTGAATGTTGTTGGGGAGTTTGATTTTAAGCAGCAGCTGATTCTGAGATCTTTGCCCGAAAAATAAGAAGGAAAAAAGCACCCGAGGAAATCGTGACCTAAGGGCGGTAGCCTCAGATTTTAAAGAAGGAAGGAAATTGGAAGAAATGAAAAATTGGGTCTGAATGAAGAAAGAAATTTCTGAAAGACTGAAACCAGTGCTTGGGCCCGTGAACACAAATTCCTGACCGCCGGGCAGCTCATTAAGCTCATATGAGCTTTCATTATTTCTTTTACTTATTTTTTTTTTTATAATTTTGGTTGAGGGAATTAAAATCATCATATATAAAAAATTGAAGTTGAAGATTCCTGACGCAAATTGTATCTTTCCAGCCGTCAAAGGGGTTTTTTTTTTTTTCTATAATTCTATTATCTATCAGCTTTCCAGTTTTTCTTTTTCTTCCCCTACTATTAGTAATAACTCTGTGTGTGTGTGTGTGTGTGATTGGACATGGATTGGGCGATTTTTGTTTGTTTTTTTGCTCCTACTTTCGTCCCTACCTCAAAATAGTGTTATTCCATTGGTTTTCCACCTTCGACTGTTTCCCCTCCCACTTGGTGAAATCAAATGTCATTTTAAGATTGGAGCAAGTTTGTACAAAAATACCACTAAAATAATTGATATTCTTTTCACAACACCAATAATGAGAGAGAGTACTGTTTATCATTGAAAATTACAAGTAGTGTTTGTAGGAGGAACTTTTTGTTTGTAAATACTACTAAATCTAAATCCCGTAGAGAAGAAAAGATGTGGGCTTTTTTCCATCTCTAACTTATAATGACATTTTCATTTCATTTTGTATTGTTTTTTCAAATCTGCACCACAACATTGTTGTGAAATTTATCTATATTTTAATTATTTTGAAATCCTGAGAGTTGTGTCTTTCTGCTCATGTTGTCTCGTACTCAACTCAATATTGTTCATGCATTTCTTAAACTCAAACGTCTGCCGTTCATTACACGTCTTACATGTCTGATACGAAGGTAAAGTTTAAACTCTTAGTTTCGAAAATTTAGGGCAAATGTTTTAATCACTACGCACTATTTCTTATTCCTCTGTTTCAAAATTATTATCTATTTTAAATTTTTTTAGTACATTTTGAACTTTAACTGAAAATCCTAACTACACAATAATTTTGGGACGAAGAGAATACATATTTGATAAAGCCGATTAATATTCCTTTCGACCTTTATTATAAGTCTGTTTGATTTGTGACATGTTTCACCTTATATGCTTGATTGCAAGAAAATCAACAAGTTCAAGAATGGTGCGAGTGAAGAAGACCGGAAAGTTCAAATTGGTATCAGTGATCCATTGAACCATATGACTAGCCTAATGACTTATTCAGACAAAAGAAGATGCAAGAAATCTTGGCTAATTTAATCATTGCAAGCCATACACCAAGAGTAGGTAACCCAAGTGATAAAAGGGCCTTGGCATCAATCGAGAGGTCCAAGGTTCGAAACCCCACGTCAGCAAAATACTGCCATTTCTTGCAGGTTGCAGTCAAATTATTGTTTTTCATGAAATCTTGAAGATTACAAAGTCAATTTAAAAGACCACAAAGACAAATTGTTGTTTTCAACAAAGTCAATCTATAAGACCACAAAGCCAATAAATTATTGTTTTCCACAAAGTCAATCTAGAAGACCACAAAGTCAAATTGTTATTTTCCACAAAATTAATCTATAAGACCACAAAGCCAATAAATTATTGTTTTCCACAAAGTCAATCTAGAAGACCACAAAGTCAAATTGTTATTTTCCACAAAATCAATCCAGAAGACCGCAAAGTCAACAAATTGTTGTTTTCCACAAAGTCAATCTAGAAGACCACAAAGTCAAATTGTTGTTTTTCACAAAGTCAATATAGAAGACCACAAAGTCAACAAATTGTTATTTTTCACAAAGTTAATCTAGAAAACCACAAAGTCAAATTGTTGTTTTCCATGAAATCTTAGAGAGTGCCTGGTCCGAGGGTTTCATTGCCAAGGAATGACTTTCATATCCAATTTTGTTATTTCTCTTGCTTGATTGAGAAACTGGGAATGAGTAGGTCCCATAAAATTGGGATTCAATCCAAATAATCCATTCTTCCTCACATGGAGGATATGAATCACCACAACAAAAGTTCTCTCTACTACCCTTCTTCAACCTCTCATCTTCCCTCTACCTCTACAATTTCTCCACTACCTCCGCCTTCCTCTCTCCTCCCCACTGCATTCTCACATTTATTTTAACATAGTAACAAAACCACAATTCCTCCCTCTCTATTCCCCGTGACAACTAGCAACTTCTCGTTCATTTTAATACTATATATTAAAAAAATTCCAAATATGATTATGTGATTCCAGTTCAGATTTTGTGCAATTGGAGAGTCAGAAAATGCAATTGATTCACCGAAAAATCTCCGTCTCCGTAACACTCTCGGCGGCCGCTATCACCAATTTCTTAATTGTAAAACAAGAATTCGGATAGTTATGACTTGATTTTCATCTAATTATTAGTTTGCTCCATGATTTGATAATTAATTGTGTTGAGATTTATGTATATTTGAACTATACATATCATTGAAAAATCTTAGAAACAAATTTTGCTAGTGTTATGGAGATACATTTCTCAAAGATGATTTTGACTCTGCTGAAGCAATCTCAGGAAAATTAAAAAAGAAGAAAAAAGTTCTTGAGGAAACAAAATTACGAAGAGGAGGAATTAGGGCATAAAGAGCTTAAGGGAGGGAGGGATAGAAGTGGAATTTTGACTCCATTCCAATCTCATTAACCATGCGAACCAAGTAGTCAGAAGATTACTTTGATACTCTTTGAAAATTATTTTTTCTATCAATCCCATTTATATTCTATGAAACCCATTTCCTGCTATCATAGTAGGGTTGAACCAGACACCTCCTTAAATACCACAAAATCAGTTCAATTGTTGTTTTTCATTGTTAAAGTATACAATCTGTCCTACATCACTAACGTGAAGGGAAGTGACTCAATATATAAGTTCCAAAGGCCACCTACTCATTGCCAATTGGTTTTGAGATGGGAGCCCAAAGTATTTATATACTTTGACATGGTATCAGAGCGTGTGGTATGTGGTAATTTTATATTCTCCCATTAGAGCGTTGACTCGTAGGTTTGTTTTGAATCGATCCAACGGTGTAACTTGCTTTCTCCCACTAAAGTTAACTCGTTGGCTTGTTCTGAACCGATCCAGCAGTATAACTAGTTTTCTTCCACTAGAGCGTTGACTCGTGGGCTATTCTGTTTTTGTCATGATCCAAGTCCATTGGGCAAAAAGTTCAAACACCCATTGGACTTTAGGGTGGGTGTTAAAGTGTTTAATAGGGGTGTTTACGGTCCGGATTGCTCCGGATTGATAGCAATCCATAACCAAACCGTTCATTACGGTTTGAAAAATTTTCAATCCGTAACCGGACCGGATTGATGTATAATCCGGACCAATCCAATTCGTTTTTAACGGTTTGGTTTGGGCGAATTGGCGGTTTGAGCTTCTGATTGGACTTTTTCATTTTGGGCAAAAAATTAAACATTTTTTTATTATCAGACCTTTTTTGGGACTTTTCTTGAAATTTTTTGGGTCTTTTTCAGCCTTTTTTTGGAGGATTTTCTTGAAAAAAAAAAAATAGTTCATGGGGGATTCAAAGACACGACCTTCAACAAGGTTTAATGTAGAGGGAACAACAACAATGCCAATGGGACAACTTAACACTTTCGATAAAAGTCTCTATCCGACGCTATATATACAAAACCAATATATTATTATTTTATAATATATATACGGTCCGGTCCGAATTGACAAACGGTTTGACAGTGCCAAACCGAAATCCGGAACGGATTGACCGGTTTTTAATTTTTCAATCCGCCGGTTTAAAAATATAATTATAATCCGCCCGTTAATTCGAACCGATGACCGGATTGGACGGTTCCACCGGTTTGAGCCAAACCGTGAACACCCCTAGTGTATAATGTGTCCCATATCGCCAGTGTGAAGCGAAGTGACTTAATATATAAGTTCTAAAGGCCACTTCACTCATTGCCAATTAGTTTTGAGATTGAAGCCCAAAGTACTTATGTATTTTGACATTCATAAAATCTTGAAGACCACAAAGTCAAGTCTTGAAGATCATAAAGTCAATCTAGAATACCATAAAGTTGAATTGTTGTTTTCCACACCATCAATCTAGAAGACCACAAAGTCAACAAATTATTATTTTCCACAAAATCAATTTAAAAGACCACCAAGTCAAATTGTTATTTCTCATGAAATCTTAAAGATTACAAAGTCAAGTCTTGTCAATCTAGAAGACAATAATGTCAAAAATCTTGAAAACCACAAAGTCAAGTTTTGAAGATGATAAAGTCTATCTTAAAGACAGTGAAGTCAAATCTTAATTTTTGGAAGAATAAATTCATGTATGACCAAAAGTCACTATTTTTAATTCCTTAAATTTATCTTTAGCTATACTTACTACTATAAATAGGACTTACTTTGTAACTTTTGAAAACAGAAGATTTCCATTACAAAATTGTCAAGTATTTTCCTAACTTTGTTAGGCTCTTTGAGTTAGTTTGAGTCTTGCATATTGCTTACATTATTTGGCTTATCAACTGAATTGCTTCCGTTTAGTTGTGATGTCTTGGCCTATTCTTTCTTTATTTGTGATCTAAAAGTGATAGGTTTGATGTACCTATTGTTGTTGGGTTCATCAAAATAGGAGGTTGGGTAACAATAATCTTTGATTTTATTTTTTTTGTGATTCAAAGGTGCTATGTTTAGTATACCTACTATTGTTGGGTTCAAATATATCCTGGTTAAATTGTTTGTGATCTTTCTAAAAAATTCTAAGGTGAATTTCAAAGGCGGTAGGTTTGATATACCCATTGTTGTAGTGTTCATCAAGGTTAGAGGTTTTGTAGAACTAGATCATTTAAGAATGATCTTAGCATTTAATGGGAATTCTTGAGAAACCCTTATCAATTTGGTATTAGAGTTAAGTTATTGAATTAATCAGATACTTTTGTTTTCCGCATATTTTCTATCATCTTTCTACATTAATTCATATTTTTATCATTCATTATATAGTTACTTTTATTTTTTTAAAAAAAGAAAAGAATCGGCTGAATAAAAAAAAATACAGCTGTTATAAAGAAAAAAGAAAAAAATCTCTGCAAAGTTTTCTTGGTTGTTATCTATCTAAACAAGTGTGCTTCATTAGTTATATTGAGAAAATTTTCAGCTTCATCTTTCCTCAAATTATCTTTTAAAATATCGTTATTCCCTAATTGTCTTTGTGTGCTCTCTTCGCTATTTTCAATTTCTAATCTTCTTAATCCATTATTGTCTTGTGAGCTCTCTTTGATCTCTTCAGTTTCTAATATTGCTAAGTGTGTTTGGCATGTATAAGTCTTAGACCATCGAGAACCATGAAAATGAATCCTACCGAGAGTTTGCATGATCTGATCAAGAAGAGAAAAGATCCGAAGCCTCTCAACCCTAAACTCTTATTTAAGGGTTTTTCCGATGCTAGATAAAACTTATGAAAAATTAAAATATCTTGTAATAAGAACGGAGAGAATATCATTTCGCAGCACTATGTATGACACATTAGGTGTGCTTTTAGAAACCATCAAGGCACAAAGGATGGACTTGGTGAGAGATTTTATTTATTTATTTTTTTTGATAAGTGGTGAGAGATTTGAGATGCATGAATTTAATACCTAATTTCTTTGTTCCAATTCTTTTGGCTATGTAATCGTTACATAGGTCTCAATTCCGGGGATATATTTTTGTTTGAAAGCGGACCAAGAACATCAATTACTCGAGTTCTAGCTCTATACACACTCTTCAATAAATTTATGGTTGATTTTTTATGGCAAAAGGTGACGATTAATGCGAGTCTGTTCAAAGCTGACGAAGATATAGTATTGTTCATAAGATTAATGAGTATGGAAAGTATTTAAACCATGAAATTAGTACATAAAATCAATTTTTAGCGGAATTGCAGAGAATCGTAGTTTCACAATGGATGCAAATGAATTCCCACAAGTTGAGAAGATCTGCAAGCTTTTAAATGGCTGAGGCGAATATACACGCGCAAATGTGGTTCCTGCATTTCTTTACATTCTTGAGTAGCCTCTGTGGTCTTCGTACTGCTCCATGAACTCGTCGTTGAACTTCTTGAAACTGGCCATGATCGCAGGCATATCTTCCTCAGCAGGCAAGATCGTTGTCCTCAGGTGGAATACCCTGTTCAAGGAAATTGATAAGCAGACAACCAACCATTCTATCATACTTACAAACCTAATCAAATCATGCTTGTCAAACCAACACGACAAAAGTTTCTCCTTTAATATCAGCTTAGAGTTAAGTTTTTCACTTCATAGGTTTCACGCTATAACTGAATAGAAAGACTGCTCACCCTTCCTTTTGACCGAACCCTGAACCAGGCACGGTTGAAATGCCGGTGGCTTCTAAAAGCTTAAGACAATAGAAAACGTCGGGAACTTTTCCAGCTGCCTTAGCAGCCTCTATTGCTTTTGGTGGTAAGCGAATTTGAGGGAAGGAGTACATAGCACCTGAAAGAAACCCTCAAGTGTTCACATTCTATATCACTGGGATCACAAGAGGTGCACAAAATAATCTATTACCTTCGGTGAAATTACAAACAACATTTCTGCAGCTGTTAAATCCATCAGTCATTATATGTGCTCTCTTTCTCAGAGACTCGAGTATACCCTTGCTGTATCAAGAAATCAGGGCACATTGATTGGTCTCAGTTATCATTGTCAGATGTATATTTTATGTACAAAGTAAACATAAGCCTATACAGTACGATACCTCTCTCTAATATATTGCTCATAGGAGATATCACCAGGCTTTGGAGGATTGACCATCAGCCCCATCTTGAAAATGGGAAGGATCAAATATCAGCATTGGAGGAAATAAAAGGTAGCAAAAAGTACAACTGGAGTTGCCGGTTTTGGGGAAAACATTCTGTTATACTCGTGAGACCACATTTCAGCTTTGGCTAACTGAATAGAAAAATAACTTACGAAAATCTGGGCAGGGACGTTTGGGCTGAGCGCAATTGAAGCCACCTTGTAGATCTCTTCAACAGCCTGCAAGACAGAATGGTTCCAAAATAAAATTAAGAAGTTTTCATCTAGATATTGGAAATCGAAGTCTCAGTCCATAAACAAACACAACATGGTATGGTAAATTAGAGTGTGATGGCTTTGAAGGTTATTCTGAAAAGCCAACTATGAAAAACACATATCAAGTAGACTTCTTAAATGTGTACAACTAAGCTTCAGAATGCAAACTTGTCTATGAGAAGTCAATATTTAGGGAACACCACCATGTTTAACGGGTTCAACTTTTACTTTGGAAAATTATGGAAATACATCACACTTGTAATAAAGAACCAAATTTCTGCAAACCTTTGGATGAAGATTTGTCATCTCAAAGTATCCTCCACGCTGACCACATTCACCCCAATATCCTTTTGAGACAGTGTGAAAGGACACCAGCTGGAGCTCTTTACTCAACGGCGGTCCCATATCCATCATAACCTTTCAGCAGATGTCATAAAAAATTCTTATTGTACAAGTTTAATGGAACTTCCAATGTAAAAAGATTCAGAAAAAACTTTGACAATTTTACCTTGCGGGCGCTTATGAATGGTCTCTCATCTTGGTAAATATTCTGCTGGTAGACTTCATCAGCGAGTAATGCTAGATTTTCTTGGTAACAAAATCTAAGCACATCTTTGAGATTTGCTTCGCTGAGGCATTGTCCAGTTGGGTTTCCAGGGTTTATTATCACCATCGCTCTGACCTAATCAACATATAAATAGAGATTCAGTCTTTGTATTATGGTTCCCCCCAAAAGTGAAACATGCATTGGTGAAGCACAGAGGCTAACTTACAGTTATTCCTTTATAGCGAGCTTGTTGAACAGACTGGCGTAGGTTTTCAACATCTAGTCCCCAATTTGCAGTCTCTTCAAGGTAGTAGGGAACAAGAGAACCACCAAGTAATGATATTGTTGCGGAGTAGAGTGGATACTGGGGAACAGGAACCAATATCTGGCAATAGAAGGTAAAATGTAAATGAATAAGACCGAAAAATAAGTATTAACAGTTCCACCATAGTTCAAGGAAATTTTTTTACCCCATCACTTTGACCACGAATAGTAGCATTCAAAATCTGCATAACTCCTTTGCTAGCACCATCAGTGAGAAAAATAAGCTCCGGGTCACTGTAAAAATGACATGAACTAATCAACAATCATGTCAAAAACAAAGCTTGGTCTTTTCTAGCTCATGTACCGAGATTGACTTCAACAAAATTAGAGCATTTCGACCTGGGATAACCATCTCGTCTCTCAATGAACTCAGCCACTTCTTTTCTTACCCCAGGAATCCCACGAGAGTCACTGTAAGCACCTTTTCAAGAATCAAGAGGCAAATGTTATGCTAACTCAAGATATCAACAACAAGACCATTCACAGTTCCAACAATGCTAGGAAAAACTTTCACAAGCACAATGCAAAGAGAATACTCAGACTCAGGACCAATTGATAAGCCAAAAAGAGATAGAAATACCAAGAGAGGCAAATCAATTTTCCTGTCTTACATGTAATAGCATTGATGCAACTAGAAAAAGTTAAGCAAACCCCAACTTTGTAGAAAGGAACTTCAAAAATCAGTGTGTTGATATTGACAACAGTTGAATCTTGAGGTAAAACCATTATTTTGAGGACGTGACGTTTTCAAACCATATGTATAAAACAAAAAACTGCACTAAGAAATAGAACTAAATCAGCTGAGCATAATGGTCAACTTCGTCATACTTCTTTCCCTACAGCAAATTAGAGATCTTTATTCTGCTACACATAGTCCACTCATAGTCAATAAAGGTCTGGACTACTGAGAAGTACTAGGATAATTGTCAGCTAATAACAATGTCAAAGTGAGTACCTAGTCCTCCGGGTGCCATGGCAAGGTAATGTTTAGCCTTAGCAATTGCATCTGCAGGGAACAAGAGCCCAACATTTGGATCGTCAAGTAAAAATGGAGCTTGGCAGAGTGCAACCACCTGAGATAGTATTTCTTTCTGGTCAAATGAAACCCATTTCTAATTCAAATTTAGCAAAAGAAACATTGGATATTGGATTAGACCATACCTGGCGAGGGAAAGTCAGGGGCTTCTGGCCAAGAGCATGAGGGTTCCCAACATTTGTGAAAATGATCTAAAGAAGAACGGGAAAAAACATTAACAACAGTAAAGCTAAACAAATGGACAAAAGAAAATGTGAAGTGGGGGATAAATCAACATATTTGAGCTGGAAATTTGCAGCCTATGAAGTTCCTCGCATTCTAATGTTTTGTTTTCACACTGTGAAACTTTTCCATGAAAAAATGTCTCCTACGCCAATAGTTTCTCAAAAATATCACAGAGTAGCGATTTGAAAACTACAAAAGCAGGTGGACATGCGAATGCAACAGTAATTAAAACAAAAAGTACCTTTTTCCCTTCCTTCTGAAGCTCAGAAGCCCGAAGATAGAGCTCACCTCTAACAGCATATTGACACTTCTTAACATTGTCATTTAAGTTGTCATAATCCAAAGGCCTGGATGTCATGATAAGGACTTTATCTTCCTACTTAATCTGCATAATATCCAACTCATTAGGTAACTCTGGTAAGGCATCAATTCCTCTTAACAATAAGCCATCTATTTGAATAAGACAGTTCAGAAAACAATATATGAAGCACAGACAGGTGTTTAGAAGTCTGATGTGATCCATAAGCAGAAAAAGGGAACAATTACAAGAGATTCCAATTATCATCGTCCAAGCACAAAGCATACAACCCACAGAAACTACAAATGGACTGGTATTAGATGAATGAACGAAGTATAAGTAGGTAAGTAGAACCGAATTCCACATATTGTGCAGTAAGAGGGTTTGATACTTAATGTCGTTCATTCAATTGAACAAGATGCTGTAGTGCAATTTGCAATAACGAATATTAAACAAAAGAGGTGAATGGTTCTTGTCAGAAAAATTGTATGATTGATGACGGGTTTTAACCAACTCAACCTTTATAAAGAATCAGAATCGCCAAAAGTAACACAGAAAAAGCGAGATGCCAGAGTGAAGAGACGTCGAAATGGCAAAAATAAAGCAGCAGATGATCGATGTTTGAGAATAAAAAACAGTTCTTGGCATGACTTTCAATCAACTTATTCAAAACAAAAGCAGATTCATTAACCGGAGCCTAAAATCAGAGAATCCCAGGTATCATTGATCGAAAAACTACAAAAAGGATTCCTGAACACGACTGCCTACATACAATGTAATCTTAGGCGTTTACAGTGAAAATTTACCTGATGAACTTGGTAAAGGGGAAGAAGAACTCCAAGTTCAAAAGTGGGCTCCTTTTCCAATTGAACCCAAGTTAGGACAAGTGTTCAGCTGAGCCCTGACACTCAAACTTAAACTGGAGTAGGAAGTAGGAACCCGTGTAGTGTAAACAATTGTTGTTAAAAATGTGGAAAGCCTTTTTTCATCAAAAAAGGAGAGGATATTATTTTGATAGGCAAAAGGGATATTAATCAATTTACCTATTTTTATGTGGCAAAATGGGGACTAGACATTGAAGTGAGGCACAACCACAGCCACTGAAATAGTGGTAAACGGATTATTGGACTTTGGGGAAAATATTTTTTTGGCCATTATTATTAGGAGCTTGCAGATAAACCACATTACAAGAATTGTGGTGCTGCTTCAAACGTGGTCAATTTTCATATGCGTCGTTGGATTTTTGCTCAATTTCTTCTTCTCTTTGTGTTTGTCACCTTCAGGAATGAGCAAATTGGCCTTTCAAAATTGTGTATAAGGGAATACTTTTTGCAATGATTGACGAGAATGCAGTTTCGCGGACGAGGAGGCCAGTCCAATGAAGAACAATTGGGCCTTGTCATATGGACTGAATTACACCACTTTTGGACTAATTGGCTGATACAATCAGTTAGAGCCCAGTTTAAGTAGTCCTATTATTGGGCTAAGGGGTTCAATTGTTCAAGTCACAGTTGGTGCTGTTCTTTAGGAGTCTGATTTTAAAAGTTTTGTAATATCACAGCCTATAATTGGGTGATTGAAATTAGTTAGGCTTTGTTTGCCAACCTTCCATTTTACGTTTTGTCTCATTTTACCTCGTAAACACAAAACCTAATAAAAAATAAAATATCATCCAAACAACTTTCTGATTTACATTTTAAATTCCAACTTGAAACACTTTTTGTTAGTGTAATGACCATTTTAGAATTACAAATAGTTCAGTGACAAATTTCGCAGGATTCCGATGTTGAGTGATTGTTTTTGGAAAAGTTCTTTTTTGCAGTGACTATAATTGACAGTATTTAATTGTTTAGTGATGACTTGTACTTGATATTTCAAAATGTAGTTCAAAATACTTTATTTTCAAAACCAACATCCAAACAATATTTTTATTTCCCATTTAGTTTTCAATTTAAAATACTTTTCACTTTTAAGTGGCAAAATGAAATGTAAGTTGACGTCCAAACAAGCACTTAGTTATTTTACGAATATGCAAAAAATGATAATAATGATAATTAAGTAACACATAAGAATATGCAAAAAAAAAAAAAAAACCAACAACAACAATAATTAAGGGCCTCACAAAAATAATACTTCTAACAATTACTAATACCGTAACACACGAAAAAAATATTTCCTCTGTCCCAAAATTATTGTCCAATTTAAAATTTCACTTTTAATATAATTTGAACTAAAAATGAAAACCCAAAGTGAACAATAATTATGGAAGGGAGTACAACCAAATCGTAAATTTCGAGAATTTTAAGAAGAGTACTTTAACTACTACTTCAACTAATCATTCCCTTCTTTCAGTATAATTATTTGCATAAGCTGTACTCAAATTGTAGTACTACTCACTGCATTTTCATCATTTACCCTGAAAAAAGAGAGGAACAAAATTAGCTGTGAAGGAGGAATACACTACAGAACCCACCGATAAATCACCGAAAATACTGACTATTCGTTTTCCGTTTTTTTCCCCTCTTAAAACTTTTTTATTTATTATTTTCTCCCACTAGAAAATTACTCAATTTATTATAAAACTTAGGTCTAAATATAATAATCCAACGCGAAAGTAACTAAAATTTAATTAGTGGTGATAGTTATTTAACTTCTATATTAGAGACTTTATTATTATAATTTTCTACTACTTGAAATATTATGAAATATTTTATGAGATTTAAGAAGAAAGGGAGAAATTCACTTTATAAATCAAAGACATAAAGAAAACAAGAGGGAGGAATAAATAAGTTCTTCGGTGCATTTTTCACTCTGGAAAATGACATATATATAGGAAAATTTTGGCACATTTGCTCCTTCACATTTAATGTAACTATTTTAGTAGGTAAATATTTTTAACTTTTTGTCATTCACTTATTTACAACACAATTGAGTTTATTACTATTTTACATAGAAAAAGTGAAAATTCTTTGAAATCAGTCGTACTACCATTTTAACCGTTTTCTTCCCCTTCTTTTCCTGAAGGCTGACGAAAGAATGTACAGTTGAATTAGCTACTCATCTCCGATTTGCACGCACAGAACGACAGCGCTGCATTACAAAATGTCGTCAGCCACCGGCTCCGCCACGCCGCCACCTAAATTCTCATTATCTTCCCCAACCAAACCCCGGAATTCCAACTCCACCCTATTATTCCTCCCCACGAAACACAAGAAATTCCTTATCCGTTGCGAGCTCACGCGGGGTTTTGAGAACAATTCTTCCAAGTGGACCGTTGACTGCGTCTCCGGCGCGGACCCAATCCACATTATTCTCAAACCTCCGGCGAACTCCTTGCAAATGACATCTATGGAGTCAAGTTTGAAGAATTCCAAGCGAGTCTTTCTATACTACTGTCAGGAGATGAAGGCTCTTGCTGAACGAGTCGCCGCTCAATCTGACGCCATAGAACTCCGAAGCATCACCTGGAAGTAAGTTTTAATGATATGACAGTGTCTTAATCATGAGCGATTGTCTATATTTATTTAGCTGTCTTTTTAATCAACTTAATTCCACGTTGATACAAATAGCCACAGACAAGCGTATTTGTTTGATCCGTCAGATTTTTGAATGGCATAATTGGGCAGAAAAGTTAAATCGTGCTGGCTCTATTGTCACCTATACGTGAGTTTCAATTTTAGATACATCTACGGGGATGGTTTTAGTAAAAGTTTTTGGATGTTAAGCCTTTTTTCCCCTCTTAAGTATCTTGAATTTCACCTAGAATAACAGAAAACTTAGGTGCGTTATGGATTGAGTTTTAAATCCTGTTCTAATTTCATCTAGGAATGAAATGCCGTTTTCTTGAGTGTAAAATGTAGGTTGGACCTTGAGTTGTAACTTGCACTTTGGCTTGTTTGTTTCAAAGGAAAACTTTCAAAGGGAAGGGGGTTAGTGTTACTTTGGCTTGTTTGTTTCAAAGGAAAACTTTCAAGGGGAGGGGTTTAGGGGGTTTTTGAGGAGACCAAAGTTGACAGCTCGGAAATAGACTTAGATGCAAAATGGAAACGTGTTTTGGACTCTAAAAGCAAAAGAAAAGATATTCTAGCAACATGTTTTGGACAAGGCACCTATCTATTTTTAATCTTTGTGTAAATGTTTATGAAGTACCTCTCCCACATGATCCTATGACGACCATCTGTTGAACGTTATTTTCTGAACTCAGTTGCATCAGAGCTTGTCTAAACTGCAATCTTTTGTTTTCCAGTACGTTTCCTCGTTGAATTAAGACCTTTATATATGTGCATTACATGTATTGCCCGGATCTTAATAACTCAGGACGTTTGAAGATGGATTTCCAAACTTATACATATCTAATGCCCATGGCATTCGTGGACAGCACGTAGCTTTCCTTGCTTCATTTAGTTCTCCTGGAGTAATTTTTGAGCAACTATCTGTCATCTATGCTCTGCCAAAGCTCTTTGTTTCATCATTCACACTTGTGCTTCCTTTTTTTCCAACTGGCACATCAGAGAGGATGGAGGAGGAAGGAGATGTTGCTACTGCGGTCACACTTGCTAGATTCTTGTCAAACACTCCTATTTCAAGAGGTGGACCGACAAGTTTAGTTGTTTTTGATATACATGCCTTGCAGGTACATATAAAAATATAGATTTTTGTGCTTTCCTCAATAAGTCTGTATGCAGTCATTGATCTTTGTAAGATGTTTCCAACTTTTCAGGAGAGATTTTACTTTGGTGACAACATTTTACCTTGCTTCGAAAGTGGGATACCTTTGCTCTTGAATAGGCTTCAACAGCTTCCTGATTCTGACAATGTGAGGGTGGCTACTTCTTTTTTTTCTTTTTTCATAAAACATCTTTCTTATGGTTTTTCCCGAGTCTATTTTTTTTATGTTTTAAAACTTTCCATTTTCCTTTCTTGAAACAAGTTACTACTTTTGTGGATCCCTTCTAGAGAAGTATTAAATTAACGAGAAAGTATTCTTCTAAACTTTGCTAATCACCGCTAGGCCTAGTTACAAAGGGTGGATTTAGATTAGTTAATTGTGGTGCATATGCCATTGTTTTGTTATATTGGATGGTAATTGATAATGCGTTCACGTGAATTGATTTGGGTTCTATGTGTGCAAATGTCTACATCGATAAGGAATTAAGAATGACCTCCTTTCCAGTTCACTGACCACTTGTGCGTGCTCTTATGTTTTTATCTCTGAAATGCTACGATCTTAATTTATTTATATCGAATTTTCTGATGAGTCAAGAGCATAAATTTCATCTTGGTCTCTATAAATGTGGTATTTTATGTTTTACTTGACAGTATGGTATCACATCTAACGTTGCTCGTTTCTTACGTTTCTTATCTAGATAGCTATAGCCTTCCCTGATGATGGAGCATGGAAACGGTTTCACAAGCAGCTACAGCATTTCCCTACGGTATTTCTATATTGTCATGAATTCCTTGGGTATTGCAATGCATTTTCAGTCTACTTGTCATTTCTGCTAGATGTGGAGTGTTTTCTCTAAAATTCTGCATTCTGGAAACTGATTTTTTTTTTATCAATCTATGTGCGTATCATTCTGAAGTCCACTATTTGCTTGGCAGATTATTTGTGCTAAAGTTAGGGAAGGTGACCAGAGAATCGTCCGCATAAAGGAGGGCGAACCTAATGGTCGTCATGTTGTGATTGTGGATGATCTTGTGCAATCTGGTAGCACTTTGATAGAGTGCCAGGTGAGGAAGTTTCTGGTTTTATTTTCTCTTCCCTCATTTTTACTTGTAAGTAAGCAACAAAGGCTGAACTCATAAAACTTGTATTTCCTCATTTCCTCACCTGGGGGCAAGAGTCTAATTATTAATTGTCATTTGGAAAATTTTCCTAGTGTATAGCATTAAATGCATACCTGACATACTACCATTGTTCCAGAAAGTGCTGGCAAAGCATGGAGCCACAAAAATAAGCGCCTATGTGACCCATGGCATTTTCCCGAACAGGTCATGGGAGCGATTTGATCATGACAAAGGAGGTATTACTTGAATTATTGCTTTGTTATGTCCTTTATTTATTTGTGGCTAAAACAAGCTTCACTTCTGCTCTCCTTATTACTGCTTGATGTTTTTAGCATGCCCCAATGGTTGTTAATTCCTCGGTTTAGTCACTTCGCGTGAGCTTGATTGTTCGATATGAGAGTTGCTTACATAATGATTACATTGCTATCTTCAAGCCATTGTTCGATCTTAACATGCATATGATTCCATGGAAACTTTGCAGGCGATCCTGAAAATGGAATGGCTTACTTTTGGATAACGGATTCATGCCCACAGACCGTGAAAGAGGTGAAGAACAGAGCTCCATTTGAAGTTCTTAGCTTAGCCGCTGTAATTGCTTCCTCTCTTCAAATTTAGTAGTGGCCATTTGAAGCATTTGGGAGCTGAGTTCCATGATTCCATTTATGTACTACCTTATGAATAATAATTCTAATAAATAAAGAATCCTCTTTCTTTTTCCTTCTGTTTTTTGAGTAAAAAATTTGAAGGGATTCTGCAGCACTACGTGGATGAGATCACATTAGCCGAATGCTCTATGAACATCAATTATCATGTTTATATTGTAAATTCTTAATAATTGCCCTTTTATTTACTGTTTTATTAAGGCTAAAATTGACAACAGCATAGTGACGAAAACTTGAGGAGCAAAGTAAACTGAAAATTTAACCAAGTGTGTAAGACTTTTTTGACTTTTTGTTTGGAACAAAATTTTTAAATATTACTCCCCCTGTCCGAAAATTATTGTTCAGTTTGATATTTCACTTTTAGTATAATTTGAACTAAAAATGAAAATCCAAACTGGACAATAATTATGGGATGGAGAGAGTACATCAATACATTTCATAAGTGATAAATTCAATCACGCCGTATTCTAATCATGGTTTCACAGGTTCTATTTGTAACTACCTACTTTAGAGTCTGGAGTCTGGACTATGTACAAATTGTAAAATTGACTATTTTTCCAGGGCCAGGATGTGATTTATGATTAATTGAAGGTGATTATTCGAATTTTTAAAGAAATGGTTCCATTTCACATTGTGTGGGTAAATATATACTGTCCATTCCCGAGTCCACGCCATTAGCGTTTCCAGCTTTGAGAAAACGGGTAGAAAATATAAAATTGAGAGCAAGCATTTGAACAGCAAAATTTTCAAAAACCAAAAAAATGGCGGGACAAATTGTTTCAGTCGATAATCAGCAATTGAGCGACGGAGCCATGGCAATGAGCGCGATCGTGGACCGGTGGGATGTGCAATACGCTCGTTTCCTACGCTTTCCTCCTTCCTCGTCGGACTGTACTCAACTCCATCCTTTACTCGTTCGACGTAAATTCAGCAGAGGCGTCTGGATCTCCACGTCGGCATCGGACACTTCTAAGTCCTCCGGCCCAGCAACTGCCGGAGACGCTTCTCTCAAGCTCATCGCCGACCGCTCCGATGATGCTATTCTCAACCTCTCCGTACGTTGCAAAGTTATCGTAAGTTCAATTTCGCTCTCGGAATTTCTGGTTTAATGATCTATATGTTGGATTGGGATTCCTTTCAATTGTGAGCGTATACGTGTTTGAACTCACGTGCTCGTTCAGTAATCGCTTAGAAATGTTTTGTTTCTAATTCAATTCTCATTTGTATCGTATCGTTGATTTGCTGCGGGACGACTAAGCTTTTTGTCCATTTTGTGGTTAATTTTATCTGGATCTGAACGCGAGGTGATTCTTGTGCGTTTTTCTGGTTCATTTATTTCCCCAATAATTTCAAAAGGAGACATGGAAGGCAAATTTTGTATATGGAAGGTGTCATGTATGTTAGCTTGAAGTTGCTCAGAATCTGCTATTCATGCATCTTGATTGTTCCAGATGTATCTAGATTCTACCTAATTGAACGGTACTTTATTTTGATTCTGATTTTCCTGAGGACAGTGTTGTGATTTACAGTTTTTGTTACATTTATAGGAGGAGCACCGTATTTCAAAGCTGAATTTCACATGGCCTTGCGTGTCCTGTGTATCTGGAGTCCCACCAAGAGGAGCCAGAGTTGTTTTTGTGAGCTACAAAGATACTTTTGGACAGGCAAGTTGGTCAGGTCTTGGGAGGGTTTGAAGGATTAGTACATGCCACATGGATAGATAGACTTCATAGTTTGCCATTAAGTTTTAAAGAATAAGAATAGCTATTGAAGACATTTTCGTGGGTCACAGTATACTCCTCTCTCTAGCATGATGCCTATGGCAAAGGATGTCTAGTGGTGTAAGATTCTGGTTTCATCACGTAGGGGACTTACTGTGGCTCACTGACTTTGGTTAAAACATATGCTCAACATGGAATCAGATCGAGTTTGAAGATGCCACAGAAAGATATATGACATTTGAATGATTGCATCAAACCATTTGCATATTTTGGTGTAACTGGCAGATGTTAGGAAGTATAGTTTGATATTCATGCAAAGAAGGATGGTGAAAAATATTTGATCCTGAGTTTCTTTAAAGAGTTTCTTGAATTATGCCCATTCTGATGCGTACCTTTACAGTCATCTTAGACCTAGAAATTTCTTGTTTCTCATACAGGTCCAGAAATTCACATTGCGGTTTTCAGACACTTTTGACGCAGAAAGATTCATTGGTGTTGTTAAGGTGCAACTACAAATATCCTTGACTACATACCCTGTTTTAGTTGCGCTTTTGGTTCTCCAAAACCTTCAAGTTAGTTTGAATTTTGAATCCAGGAAATCATGGATGCACGGAATGGGGTTCAAGGTGCAAAATCGAATTCTGAGCTATCATCTCAATCTGAGTTCGTCCCTTCCATCGAAGTTCCATCCAGGTCTGTTTCTAGGACTATGCATGCTTTAAATTCTTTGCATTAAAAATAGAATGAAAGAAATTGTGCTTCATTATTGGAGTAAAAAGAATTGATGGGCTGTGATTTACCTGTGAATATGCACTTAGGGCGGAGGAAGATTGTAGAAATACAACTTCTGCTAACACTAGCACCTATCAAGGGCCAGAGAGCTTAAGCTATGAAGTTGATACAGTGTTTGCACGAGAAGACTTACAGGAGGGTAAAGCTGCAGAAATTCTTTCAGATATCATCAACTCAAGTTTTGCACAGGATGCTTTCTTGGATTTCCCTCCAAGTTTTACATCATTCCTGCAGAATATTTGCCCTGCATCTGAAAAAGGTAATTGATTCTCGAGGCTGTACTGTATCCCTTTCTTAGTTCTGGTCCATTTCTGAAGTTGGCTTTGATTGACTTTTGTCTTGCAGTGCAATCATCTGCTCCTGTGGAAGTTGACCTAAAGAGCCAAGTAGTGGTACATATCGATTTCTTTCCTTTTATTAGTTCAACAGAAATTTAAATTCTTCAAGTTTGTGATGTCTTATTAGAAAGATTTGTTGCATCAATTAACGATTGGTTTTGAAACATACTTTTGCTGCAGAGGTATCTGGAAGATTCTTCCTTTCAAGGTACATTTACTTTGTAATATGTTGTTGGTTCGATACATCTATAGAATGTGAAGGCAGCAGCATGTAGTTAATGCATTAATAGTACAGATTGGAGCAAGACTGGCTTTGTTGTCCTACCTAAATGATCGTCAAAAAAACTAAAGAAGCTATTTGGCTAAAGTCTTTAAAGCCATATAATACTATTGTTGGTGGAGTCACCATCCCTTGCTTTATTTGTTTTGTCATTGTCGTTTGGATAATTTCTTTACTGCTGATTCTCTGAAATTCCCAGATCTGTTGATCAAGGTGGAGAAAATCATCGGTGAAATCGGGGATACTTAAATTCTGCAGGCAGCTGGCAATCAGAAGGCGTGAAATGTCGGTGCAGTATTTGCATTTTCATTATGTATTTCATGTTTATTCTTTTACTAAGACCCACAATTTCCCTTTGTAATTTACTCCATAGGAACAAGAACAACAGCACTTAGATAAGAACAAGCTATGTTATTGTTGACAGTCTTAGTCTGCTGGAAAGTTACCTCCGCTAATCGAATGGTTTAGACTTTAGAGTTGCCATAGGGTTATAACTTGTGGAAGCCAAAAGCTAAAAGACCACAAGACTCAGAAGTAACTACTTTGTCAATTATAATTGTTGGTCATAGTCTCATAAAGGTTGCAAGTAGTATTTCTGATGTATAACTGTGAGTCAACGTAAGTGTTGATGATAGCTACAAATTTACAGACTTTGCAAGTAGTATATCACATCTTATAATTGTCGCCCACTCAAAGAACAAACGCTATATACATCTTGTTAGATTATAAGAAACGAAACCGAATAATTGGTCGGCCGGCAGTTAGAATTTTTTAGTGGCCCCCTAACCATTGATTCCGTTGGTATTTGTTTAATCTTGTAAGGGCGGTTAGTTTTATGCTTTTAGTTTATAACTAATGCAGTAGGTTTTGGGCGTAGATACTGTTGTAAAATATGGGTTTATTTAGTTATCCAGTAATGTCGTAATTTCTTACTTCCTCCTAGAAAACTAGGACTTGAAGATAAACTTGTTCAGGAAATCGCAGGGTCTATTGGGCTTCGTTCTGCTCACTTCACTGACCTCTTTTTCTACCTTTTGGTTCGCAGTCTTAAAGATCGAATGAGTTCATAATGTATATTTGGATCACCAAAAAATTCAACACAATCAATGCATAGAACGATGGATGTAAATTGTAATATAAGGTACTCAACCACTTCTAACATGGACGGTCTAAGCCAGAAGAATAGACGACCTTAGCTAAGAAATTGTAATAGTTTTAATAAGCATTGTGTTCCCTTAGTCAGTGATTTGGCTTTCAACTGCAAAATTATAGAGGGGATTTAAGATTGGTTGCTTGCTGTTTCATTCAGTAAGACTAGCTAATACGGCATAACCCTACATTTGGCATTCCTCCAGGACCGGACATGGATTAATAATAAGAAGCTAATTGCTGAAAATTGAGTTGTATTGCATTGTAAAGATCGGCAATATATATTAATAGTAGACTGAGGAAAAGCTTTTAAGAAAACAAAAAATTGCATTATTATTGCTCTCCATTGGTGGGCATTTCGTTAACTACAACAGATGATATTTATTGGGCTGCAATTGTGCAAGTTATTTTAATTGGATGCATGGAAGGAGTGAGAGGTAGCATCTCAACTTTCAACCAAGACAAGTTCAAAGTATGTAATACCAACAAGCATGCAGGACAAAATGGAAGCGTTTAACGTATACTAAACTCTTAACAACTAAATTCTTAATCAAAATTGGTTTTAGCCTCAAAGTCCTCCCACAAAGCACCCTTTCTTAAGCCTATTCTTATGGCTTCAAACTATCAGAAATGTCGATTTCCGATCATCCTCTCTCTGTGCATGCTGTTCTTGAGAAGTTGTGAATCAGATACCCCTCCTACTAATATCACTGGTATTTATCCGTTTAACTGCTCTGCGAAGATCAACAAATGTAGTTCTTACCTTTATCAGCACAATGGACTGACAAAAGAAAATATTAGTCACTTCTACTCAGTCAACACATCAGAAATCCAGCCGATAACTTATGGCAACGGAAATAATTTCCTCATACATGTTCCTTGTTCTTGCCAAACTGTTAACCACACTGTCGGATACTTCTACAACACTATCTACACTGTACAGTCCAATGACACATTTGAAAATGTTTCTGACAATATTTTCAGCGGGCAGGCCTGGGAAGTTGGTGGAGAAGAAAAAAGCTTTGTTTCAGGAGTCAATGTCACCATTTACCTTCCCTGTGGATGCCAGGAAAGTGATTCTGTAATTGTGGTAACCTATTCAGTTCAAAATTCGGATACCTTGTCAGAAATTGCAGATTCACTATCTTCCGATGTTGACAGCATATTGAACTTGAATAAGTATTTGCAACCGCATCCATCTTATCTTCAGACTGGTTGGTTGGTTTACGTCCCTATGCAGAAAAATGGATCTCGCAAGAAGAAAGGTCAGCATAATGTGTATTTGTTTTAATTGCTAGATTCCGCAGAAAATAATTGCCATGCTATGAACCCTTTCATCATAAAATTGAATTCAAATTTCCCTGCTGAGGCTGAAACATGCACAAGAAGAGGGATAGATCATTAGAAATTTTCCTCCTAGTACAAATTGTTGAGAACCTAAACTAGACAACCATTTTAGTATAGAGGGAGTATACTTTATAGGATAGATTTTTTTGATCAGGTATACCATCATTAGCAATGCAAGCTGGCACTCAGCAGGCCGGCAGGCACTTTTGCTTGTATAGGGATAACAGATTATTGTATTTCAGGCTTTTCAGTTCAATCATGGTCAAAAAATTTAGATGAAATCCCTCCCTCATTTTTAGTACCAAAATATCTAGAGTTTTTGCAAGATGTTCTGGAAAAATTTGTAATTTACAATCGTGCCTGAGGTACAAGATCATAGATTTAACTCAAACTTATTGTGTTATAGCAATGTTCCTTTAAATGATATGTCTGTTGGTGCAGATCATCACAAGAAGAGGGACTGGATTATATCTCTTAGTATATTATCAGTAGTGACAGTGCTCTCAATCTGCACATTAGTGATATTTATACTCAGGAGAAAGAAATTTGAGCAAATCAAGTTAAAAAATGGTTCCATGAAATCCATGATCAGCAACAGATCTTTGTCAGCCAAAAAGCACTTCAAGAATCCCGAAAACTTTGAAGGTGAAGTACAAGCTCGCATAGACTGCTCCAGGACTGACTTCTTTCGAATTTATGAAAGCCTGCAGATTTTTACTGCACATAAGACTAATTTCTTGGTCCTTCACAAATTTACAGATCTCACAGTAATTGAATCAGAAAAGCCAATGGTATACTCTCTAGAGGAGGTTGCAGAGGCTACCGAGGACTTTGATGAAAGTAGAAAGATTGGGCAGGGTGGATTTGGAAGTGTATACCGTGGGACGATAGGAAAGCAGGTACTTAAACAATAGGCAAGCTTAGTTTACTACTACCTTAGTATGGAAGAGAATTTGAATTTCTTGAAACTTTCTATTGAAACATTAGTAATCTCAGTCTGATGCACTGGCACTCAGGAAATTGCAGTAAAGAAGATGAGATCAAACAAATCCAAGGAGTTCCTTGCAGAGCTCAAAGTCCTATGCAAAATACATCATATAAATGTGGTAAGCAATCATGTCCAAAGTTATTTTTCACTTGTCATTCGTATCAGGATTAGCAAAGACCTTGCTAAGTCTACTAAATATTACTATAGGTTGAGCTCCTAGGATATGCCAGTGGGGATGACCACCTTTACTTAGTATATGAGTATGTCCAGAATGGTTCTCTCAATGATCATCTTCATGATCCATTACTGAAAGGTAATCTGGTAATAAAGCTTACTTTATAATACTAACATGGATCTAGTTTTGGTTTAAGGTCGTAAATTGCATCCAGAATCTGATTCTTTGATAGTCTCTCCCCATGATTATCAGATTACATTGTCAATGTTGGGAATGATTTTTATCAGCGTTCTTACTTCCTGTCTAAAATAATATCTAAAAGGTCATCCTTAATCAGGTCACCAGCCTCTCTCATGGACTGCAAGAACCCAGATTGCACTTGATGCTGCAAGAGGTATTGAGTACATCCACGACCACACTAAATCCCGATATGTACACCGTGACATAAAGACCAGCAACATTCTACTGGATGAGACACTAAGGGCAAAGGTGAGCAAAAGCTTCTGCGAATTTAGTATATTCACTATTCAGTATTTAGCACAGGTTCTACTCATTTCATCAGACTTTATTGGTACACTTAATGTGCAATGGAGTAGATTCGTTCATGTTTATTATGATTCTGAACTGATTATCCATCTTAAGAATTCCTCTTGTAGGTTGCTGATTTTGGATTAGCGAAACTTGTTAACAGAACAAATGAGGATGAGTGGATGGCAACCCGCCTGGTTGGAACACCAGGATATCTTCCTCCCGAGTAAGCATCCATTTGAAGTATAACAAAGAAACTCAGAATTCATCGCTGGGAATAGCTCTGAAGGATGTTCCTATAAATTAAGGCTGTCAGTCAAATGTCGTTGTATGTGGCATCTTTAGTGATTTGGCTCATTGTATGCTCTTGATTTCACAGATCAGTTAAAGAGCTTCAGGTGACTACTAAAACAGATGTCTTTGCATTTGGGGTTGTTCTGGCAGAGCTAATAACTGGTAAACGTGCAATCAATCGAGACCATCGGGAGCCTTCCAGGATGAAGTCTCTCATAACTATTGTAAGTTACTAGCCCGTCCAAAAAGGCTGCTGAATAGGGATTGCAGAATGGTTTTATCTCATTAAAACATAAACCAGATTTTGACTGCTTAGGCAATGCAGGATATTCACCTTTCGTGCTCATCTGGTGCGATGCAGGCACTTACAAGATTTCTTTTCTTCTTTGTCCCTGATTTCAGATAAACAATATTTTTGAAGATGAAGATCCAGAATCGGCACTTGAACGCGAAATTGATGGTAACCTTAAAGGAGGATACCCTATGGAAGATGTGTTCAAGGTAGGACTAATGTAACCTTTTAAAAGCTCTTGTAAGCCTGGAAATGTGTTAATTGTTCTTATTTTGTGGTGATCTTATTTTGTACTACATAACACGCTTGAATCAATGTCGCGATTTGTTGGTGGATGATCATAACAGATGGCGGAAATTTCACGATGGTGCTTGAGTGAAGAAGCAATAAACAGGCCGGAGATGCGAGAAGTGGTAGTTGGAGTCTCTAAAATCAGAGTTTCATCCATTGAATGGGAGGCATCACTTGGTGGCAACAGCCAGGTATTCAGTGGAGTATTCAATGGACGATGAAATGAAACCGTTGCCAATCCAAGAATGCAACCTGAGGATTCTTATTGTGTCTGTAATCTGCATAATTTTATTTAGTTTGGGACCATATCTCCTTTTTTTTTTCATGTGTGCGAATGGCCCATTTTTCATCCCATTTAAGACAAATCTTGTTGGTGTAATGTAAACTAACTATTGTTCTAGGAATTTGTTTGACCCCTGCTTGTACAAAGACAATTGTTAGTTTGTGTTAGCTAATTTCTGTTACGAGTTCAGAAAGGAAAGAAGGAAAGCATCAACAGTTATTCTCCTTATGATTAAAGAATGGGTTATACAGGGTGATCATACTTCTTACTCTTTCCCGTCCTTATATATTTTAATTTCTTCTAAATTTATTTTTTCCAATCGAAAATAAAATCTTACGACTATTTTATAATATCTAAGAAAACACAAGAAATATTATAACTACTTTATAATATTTAAGAGAACACAAAAAATATTATAACTCAATTTTAAAATTTTATTTTTAATTAGAATTGACAAATTAAAAGCTCGTTGTTGTTGTTGTTAGATATAAAATTTAGGAAAACTCAAAATGTCTAGTGGAAAAAAAAAATTGTTATTACTAAATACTAGATGCTTGCCCCGAACGAATGCCCGAGCGACCCCTGTTAACTAAAATTTTGCTATGCTGTAACAAAAATAACAAAAAAAAAAAAACAAATTTTTTTTAAAAAAAAACCTCATATATTTTATCATGAATAAATAAAGAGAGTTTTTACAAAAAATAAAGAAGGGGAACAATGTCTAGTCAACATGATAGTGTTTCGGCTATTAGATCAAGGAACAATGTCTCATCAACATGATTTGGAATCGTTTAGACCATCATCGATTTGGAGAGGGAAGCAAACATTATCATCCCCAGGTTGAGCTGCATTACATGATGAGGCAAGAAATCATTTTCAGTATTGTTTCATTTAACAGCTTCAACTGACATCAATCCTCCATTGCATGTACCTTTCTATACACATGATTTACACAATCTGACTGGTATGTATAGCTTAGTATCTCTAACTGGCCTGTTCTATTGGTTCCAAGTAAATTCAGTAGATTTACCATTCATTCTTTTGACAAATGCAGGAATATCATGGTCAAATTAAAATTGCATCCCAACTCTGTGTAGAAGATACTGTTCCACAAAGTCAACACCAACCATCACTGATGTTCACCAACATGGAGCAAAGACTTTAGTTTCCATATCCTGATCCACATTATTTTCCAACAACGCAAATCCTTAGATGGCAATAAAGCTACAATAATTTTGAATTGGACTAAAAAGAAGCCATCAATTAGTAATACAGATTGAATGGTGTAATACAGATTGAAAGAAGCCATCAATTAGTAATACAGATTGAAGAGCATTTTAACAAAAAATGTATCAACCCAGCAGCCTCGAAAGGGCAGTTTGGCTATTTCAAAGCTAAAAGTCAGCGTACCAGGAATTTTATGAGGAAAGAAGTTTAATATTAATGCAGCCCAAGCAAGTATTGCTCCATCAGAATGTCCAAGAATCCATATGTGCGTGAATTCACTGGTCGATTGATGAATACTTACAACCCCTGAAATGAAGAAAAAAAAAAAACCCAGGTGAAATACATCAGTCGGGCCAAAAATAAATCAGCAAAATTGTGTTGGAAATTTTTTCCAACAACTAATCAACACACATAATTTCAAAGCCATTAGTACCAAACAGATGAATAACGTCAGGATATCTACAAAAAGTTGGCAAATTAAGGTGGGATATGGTTAATTATTCAAGACATGCATTTCAATTGTCAAATTTAGTGGTATATCAAGCACAACTCGACATACATTCATCACCAGTACTACAAATCCTACCTTCAATTTTCAAACCAACAAAGCCTAAAACAGAGACGTAAAAATTTGAACTTTGACAACTATTGCAACTGAAATTCATTCAATCATCAAATGGGCTTGCTTTAAACCCTTCAATTTCTTTTCCCAAAGACCCCAAATTTAAAACCCCTTGTGTCCCAAAAAAGCCCTTGTGTCCCAAAATAGAATCCAACCAAGAAAGACCATAAACACAAAATCTTGCCCAAAACAGTTTGCTTTATGATCGATGTTCTTCAATCAACCAAAATCGTCCAGTAACACATACAATTGCCAACAATTATGAACTTAGCAAGTAAAGATAACAAATCCACCCAAAAAAAGGAAAAAAAAGAATGCTAACATTAAAGTAGAAAAACAGAAGCTTTAGGGACCTTGTTTTAGTTGACCCATTTACCTCTATGCTCTTAACGAACGCTGCTACGACTCCGTGGCAGTGTGTGACTGTGTGTGGGTTTATCAGAGACACGGGAAGAGAAGGGACAGTGACTGACCGACTATTGCCATAAAATACATAAAACAAAAATTCTTGCCGAATAATTCGTTACATTAAAGGTCTAATATTTCTCTCGCCGGAGAAGTTCGGGTTTCAGTTTGGAAGTAACAGACTGAGAAGGAACTGATATTTTATTGGTTGCTCGGATTTTGAAGGAAGGAGAGAGGAGGAAGGCTGGCAGTGGGTATTGGAAGAGGAGATTGCTCTTTTAAAGGAGAAGAATCGTATCTAAAAAGAGAATTTGAACTTCACTTATCTCTTCTTTTTTTAAAATCTCATTATGTTCTGGAAAACCCTTAAATTGGGGAATGTTTTAAGGGGATCATTTTGTATCTTGCAGAATTGTGGAGCCTTTTTTTTCGGATGTACACATGACACGTGGTATCATTCTTTTGCAAAAGATGTTTTTTTTTTATTTAGGAGGGAAAAAAGCTTATATGAAGCTGACACGTGTTCTAAGTGTCATTTGCTTTCATGAAGTAAAATGGATACTAAATTAACAGAGAAATCAAAATGATTTATAATAAAGATTGGAGGAAGTACTTTTGAGTGAAAAGATATCAAACATCAACTACTTGAAACATTATGTTACCCTTCCCCTGTATCACCTAACGAGGTGGTAGTAGTGAGTTTGTAAAAAGTATACTGATAAAAGAAAAATCAAACTAAGTAAACTGATGGTTCACCATTATGGTAAAATTTGTCACTGTTAACTACGTTAAGCAACAGGTATTAGCTTCATTTGACTCGATTTAGGAACTGATTAATTGTAAGATGTTGACTATTAGCTGGATTAAAATTATGAAATCATGAAAGATATGGACAAACAAATATAAGAATCCAAAATTGAGGGACTAAAATGACATTTGACAGAAACAGAGGAATTAAAATTGCCAATTTTTCCCCTCAACGCCACCGTTATTTCTCTAAATTACCAGAAAACCCACCTTCACCAATTTCAGTTGTATTTCGAGTAGATCTCATCTCTGTACTCCTTTTTCCCTTATGAATCCCGATCTGGTCTTTTGTTGAATTCTTACATCAAATTTACAATAAAAGAGAAGAAGAACAAAGCAACCAAAAAAAAATAAATAAAAAAAAATCATATGCGTTGAGGGAGATAATTAAGACCAATAAAGAGGAAGGCATCAAAGGATTTGCAATGGCGGGGGCAGCGTCGGCGCTGTTCCTACTGGATATAAAGGGCCGTGTTCTGGTGTGGCGAGACTACCGCGGTGACGTCTCCGCCGCCCAAGCTGAGCGTTGCTTCACCAAGCTGATTGAGAAAGAGGTACTTTTCTTCCTTTTTTTTCTGTAATTTCATTGCTTTCCCGTTAGTCTCTACTTTTTTCTTAGACTTGAATCTGTACACGAAGATGGGTTTCTCCACAGTAATGATCAGTTAATTATGCTCTTCTGAAATTCTTGAAGAAAGCTGGAAGATCGGATTGAATCAGTATGAAAATTCAATCCCTTTTGGGTTATTCTTTAGATTTATTGGGAAAACCTTGTGCCCAGAAATTCTTTTTCTAGTTTTTCTTCTTCCCCAAAAGGCTTATTCATTGTTCTTTCTTTTTGTTATCCAGGTATCTTTTCTGTTTAATCTTCCTAGAACTTGATACTTCGTGAAAATTGGACAAAATCCATCATCTATTAGGTCAATTTAGCAGATTTAGCACTAACTTACTATACATATTTAACATATGTGCTGTAGTAATCTGTTCTTGTCTTTTTTTGATTACCCAATAGTTTATATTAGCATTATGGACTTTGATTTATGGAATGCTTGTTCTGCTTTAGGGTGATCCACAGTCCCAAGATCCTGTGGTGAGTGATGATGGTGTGACTTATATGTATATACAACACAACAATGTATATCTTATGACCGCATCGAGGCAAAACTGTAATGCTGCTTGCCTTCTTCTGTTTCTGCACCGGGTAGTTGATGTAAGATCTCTTCTCAGTTGATATCCCACGTTATGATCACATTGGTTTGCTATCGTAGTGCTCTTTCTTTATTTTTGGACCAATATGTTAGTGTATTGTGCTTTGTCCAGGTATTTAAGCACTATTTTGAGGAGCTAGAAGAGGAATCACTAAGAGATAATTTTGTTGTGGTGGTAAGATTGTCTTTACTGCAGCTCTTGAAACTGGACTCTTGATCATTTAACGATATTAATGTAATAATGTAACTTATGATTATGATACTGGTGTTTTGTGCCTCTCACAGTACGAGTTACTTGATGAGATAATGGACTTTGGCTATCCTCAATATACTGAAGCCAAGATTCTCAGTGAATTTATAAAAACGGACGCCTATAGGATGGAAGTTACGCAGAGGCCTCCTATGGCCGTTACTAATGCTGTTTCTTGGCGGAGTGAAGGGATACGATATAAGAAAAATGAAGTGAGTGTTTTCTTGGTGTGATATGGATCATTTGTTTGTTCTATATTATTAGTGTACACAAGTTTCATTGATATCATTCTTTGTTCAGGTATTTTTAGATGTTGTGGAAAGTGTTAATATACTTGTCAACAGCAATGGACAGATAGTTAGGTCAGATGTTGTTGGAGCCCTAAAGATGCGTACTTATTTAAGGTATGCTTTCCTCGCAGTGCCTGTTGATCAATGTTCTAAGTTATTTATATAAGCCTTTACCGTATATCTAATAGGTTTTCTTACAGCAGCAAGTCATCTGCTAATGTACTGGTTTAGCAATTCCCATTTCTGTAATTATCTTGTACTTAATTGGGAAAGTACAGTTGTTTATTTCATGGTAAAACTCGATAGTTGGATCTTATCAATTAACATTGCGCTTGGGGTCTAAATAACCTCTGTTGAGAATCAATAACGCAACTGCCTACCATAGTGGCCTGAATTGTTTATTCTGCTGTGGCAGTGGTATGCCTGAGTGCAAGTTGGGCTTAAATGATAGAGTATTGCTTGAAGCCCAAGGACGAACTACCAAGGGAAAAGCTATCGATCTTGATGACATAAAGTTTCATCAGTATGTGTCCTCTTTTCAATAATTTGTACCATGTTGTCTGATAGATTGTTTGTCTAATGCTTAATCTTTGCGGGTTCATGTTTACTCTGTAGGTGTGTGCGTTTGGCCCGATTTGAAAATGACCGGACCATCTCTTTTATACCTCCTGATGGGTCTTTTGATCTCATGACATATAGACTGAGCACTCAGGTTAATTTTGTCTAAAAATGACTCAGTGGTTGTTTAATCTTTTGAGGACCTTCAGGAATTGTTTTGAGCCTTGTCGTATTATCTTACTTCTAGGTCAAGCCTCTTATATGGGTTGAAGCTCAGGTAGAACGACATTCTAGAAGCCGTTGGGAAATGACGGTGAAAGCTCGAAGTCAGTTCAAGGAGCGTAGGTATGGTTGCAGCTATTTCCTAGTTCAACTGGTTCCTCTTAAAGTAAATGTATAATATGCACTTTTTGTTTTTTGTTTATCATGTTTTTCTTGGTTCGTCTGAAATTTCAGCACCGCTACCAATGTTGAGATCGAGTTGCCCGTGCCATCTGATGCCACAAATCCAAATGTTCGGACTTCGATGGGATCTTCAAATTATGCACCTGAAAATGATGCATTAGTTTGGAAAATAAAATCTTTTCCGGGTGGCAAGGTATGAATTAGCTTGAAATTGTATCTTTTGCAAGTAGTTTAAGACAAGATTGTGCAATTCTTTAATACTGCTTTAGGTTTTAGTTATATTAGCTTTATCTTGAAAGATTCTTGATTTTGTCTTGACTGCTTTATGCGTCTTGAATTTCAATATCAGGAATATATGTTGAGAGCTGAGTTTACCCTTCCTAGCATAACGGCTGAAGAGGCGGCTCCAGAGAGAAAAGCTCCAATCCGTGTTAAGTTCGAGATTCCCTATTTTACTGTCTCAGGGATACAGGTTAGCTTTGAACATATAGCTATTTCTACTCTTTCTCTGAAGGCTTGCATTGGGAACTATAATATTGTGTTCCAAATCTACTTTTATGCGCATCTATAGCAAAACTTGATCCCCAACCTTCGTACAGTCCATGGTTCTCCTTGGAATTAAAAAGAACAAGAAAAAGAGAAAAAGAAAAAAGAAAACAAAAGTTTGAATACGCATTAGGCAGAGGAGTTTCTTGTATTTTTATCTAGCTTTGCGAATACTTGGTTGTGTGAATGATGGAAACATTGTGAGGGTGATCAAATCCCAACAGCATGGTGTGTATATTACTTGGGAGCTGGCTTGCCATGCACACAGTTTGCTAATGAGTCGGATAAACTTGACAAGAAAACTTCTAATTTCAGCCTAATCTTCGGTTGAAGCTTTTCTTCAGCAAATTACTACTTTCATGTAATACTTGGTCATAATTAATGTGGTTGAACTTGTTGCACAGGTTCGGTATTTGAAGATCATTGAAAAGAGTGGCTACCAGGCTCTTCCATGGGTGCGATACATCACAATGGCTGGTGAATATGAGCTAAGATTGATGTAAGGCTGCTTGCTGTATGGTATACATATGCGCTAGGTGTTATCATCCCCATTTGTTGAGTGCACTCGGTCTTCTAAGATGCCGGCTCCTAATTGTGTTATTTTGGTGGATTTATGTGGGGATGACGGTTTTTGTTTTTGTATTTTTCCTTGGTTTCATTGTAAAATGGCATGTGTTGCTAGTCCTCAATATACACATTGGAGTTCTATATTCTGGGTTTAAATGATCTTCCTTTTTGACAATTTTACAATACGATCATTTGACGATCTTACACATGCTTTAAGTTACTGGTCAAGACAAATAAAATTAAACACCGGACGTTCCTTTTTAGCGGTTGACTGTGATGAGACAATAACAAGAGAAGCCAAACAGGCAAAATCATGCATTGGTCACTGGCTGGTTTCTTTATGTCCTAACAATTCTTTGGGGGACAATGTGGTCGGGTCTTTTTCATATATATTTTTAATGTTAGGTTTATGCTCGAGTCTAGACTTGCATTGTAGTTGGGCCGAATAAGTATTTGGTTGATCAATTCAAAATATTATCCGGAGAGTCTACCCGGAGACATCCGGGCTCTGTTTTGTAGGTTTTAGATCGTCTGTCACTGTCTAGATATAAAAATCAAACTTAAATTTACAAAAATTTACTTCCATTTTTTATTTTATTTTTTAAATTTCGGATTTCAATTTTGATTATATCATGAAGAAAGAGGTGAATCTTAAATAATAAGTTTGAAAAAGTCGAACCGAGCAAATAGCAAATATTTTGGCTTCGGTAAGTAAATTCATCTCAATTGCCCCTGTCATGCATACAGATTACACATTCACTGGTTGAAGGAAAAAAAAAAAAAAGAATAAAAGATTGATGTCTATAGATGGATCTTTAATTCCTATCCACATTGATTTAAGACCCCCTAGTTAGTAACAATTCAGAAATGTCATCCTTATGCTTTGGAGATGGCTGACAATCTTTGTAAGAAGACATTGAAATCGTCTTCCCTGCTCAGCATACTGACTCTTGCATGTTTAGAATCACTCCCAAACCGACTTCCACTTCTTACAATTACATTTTGATCCTTCAAAATTTTTTCACAGTCTTGATCTTCCATGTTCTCAAACTTGCAACTCATCCATGCATAAGCTGCACAAAATTAATTAGCACACAAGGACATATAATTAGTTCATTATACGTTTTTTATGCTTCAAAAAAAAAAAAAAAAACCCTCCTGTCACAAAATAATTAAAATCAATTCTCAAGATGAAAACAAACTTTATACCTGGACTTGCTTCAACATAATCCTTGGAGAATTGGCAGTACTGGAGAGGATACTTAGGGATGATGAATCGTTGATGCTTCTTTACAATTTCCCTCAATTTCTTCCACTTGTTTGCCATTACATGTCGGCCATATAAGAAGAAATTATTCAAACCCTTTTCTTGGCAACTTTCCGAAGCCACACTAAGAATCTTTGCTGTTCTGAGTTGGGATTCTTTCGAAACTCCAATGGAATTCACCTCGATGAACTTCACCATCTTCTTAGCCACTTCTTCATCTCTCACAAGAGCCCACCTAAATATGCAAAAACAAATACCAAGAAGGAAAATCATTACATTTTTCTTTATACCTTTAAAATTAATCCACTTTTTTTTTATTTTGTGTAAAATTATTAATGATTAAATGTGTGGTTAATTACCCAATTCTGGAACCAGCATGTCCAGTGCATTTGGAAGCTGTAAACAGCATAATGTCATGGTCTAATTGTGAGGTAATGGCGGTGTATTGCGGCCAGTAATAAGCAAGATCATGGATAAGTCGTCCTCCGGGACGGTTTACCACCGGTTCTCTAATAACGCCGTTAGGGTTATTGGGTGAGGTGATCAGCTCAATGTAAGGTTCATCTTTGTTATCATATTGATGAGCATCACCGGCCCACCGGAAAAGCGCCGAGCAAAGCAAATCCACTTCTTCTTGATATGTCTGCTCAAAAATATTGGATCAAAGTAAATTATTTATTCATCAACCAAAAATAAAAGGATCAAGAGTTGATGGAGAAAATTATTAAAAAAAAAAAAAAAAAAGTAAACTCACGGAATAGTAAGGTGCGGCAGAAACCACATCAATGGGGTGAGGTTGAGTATGATGATTAGGGCTGCATAGGGCATATAAAGCAGCTAAGATCAATTGACTGGATCCGTTTCCAACCACTAAATGATGATCATCAACTTTGGCGTTTCCGACAATTCGATGAACTTTTTTTATTTCCTCCTCCAACTTTGGTTCCATGAACCAACACAAAGCTTTAGGGTTTGTTAAATAACTTAAACATTGGTCTCCTTTGAATGTGATTGAGCACCTCTCTCCAGCCTTTCTCCAGTAAGGCTCAAAAACAGTAGGATCACCTCTGCAACAAATTAAATTCATCAATTCAAAAAAAAAAAAGATTAATTAAAACACATTTGTCATCAATTAGTATTATTAGTGTCTCATTTATTTAATCGTATTTTAAATAAACCACAGAAAGTACTGAAACTTACTGATCTAGGTTGACGACTGGAGTTACCGAAAAATCGCCGCCGTCGACGATCCTGGTTGCTTGTTTCACGTTAGCAGTTGCATCATCTCCGGCATTCGCAAATATCTTTCGGCCCATTTTCTTTCTTTTAAATTATTCTTTGTTTATATCAGCTTCTCTACTCTTTTTTTTTTTTTTTTTTTCCTTTTTCACTCTAGTTTTCTTGGAAGGATTTCTTTGATGTTCAGATGGGATGATATTAGGGATGACTGGAGTGGCAGTATATATATAAGTACAATTAGACACGGTCGAGAAGGTCCTCCGATGTTTCTTTCGAACTTGGGGAGAAAGTAGATTAAAGGTAAATCTCCTGAAATAAACAAATGAAACCTGCTAGCTTTTTGAAAGCTTTTAAGGTGGATGATGATCTGGTTTCAATCAATTGATTTTTTTTTTATATGTACTTTTTTTTATGGTTTTACTTTTTATAAATAGCTCGTGCGGATTTGGCCGTAAAGTCGTAAACATAAACAAAGGAAAGAAAACTCTTTGAGCATAGTATTTGCATTATTGTTGTTGTAGAGATAATGAAGATTCCATTCCAAATGTTTCTTTTTTAAAGGTTTAGTTTAGACTTTGCCTGCGACAAAATTAAGGAAAGTTTTGTTAGGACTACCAGCCAGTGACGCGTTTCACTATTGGAAATGATTTTTATTAGATAAAGAATTTAAAAATATGTAATTGCTTTATCCCGACGATTTTGCAACCATTTTTCCATTTCTCAAACCAATCCTTAAAAGTTTCTTACATCGACCTTTTGACCAAATGTTACATGCATGCATGCACTTAGAAGTAGGATCAACAATTTAATGATTTCTATCATCATTCTCGCTTTTCTTTTCTTTTCTTTTCTTTTTTTTTTTTCCTTTTGTGTGGGAATTTATTTTAATTTTGGGTTTTGGAATAAAATTAAAGATGTTATGTACTGTAGTACTTTACTGTGCGTTATATTACCTCCAACAACCGTGTTGTTGGTTTTTTTTGAAGTTTTAAGTATTAAGATTCTGTTTCCTTATAAATTTACATAAACTGTATATAGAAATTTAGTTTCCGAAGTTCATAAGATTTTATTTTTTATCGTTGAATAAAAATTTTGTAATAAATTACAATTATTTTTTAATAGTACAAAAATTATAATGAAATTAAAAATCTTAAAAATATCGCAGCATCGACTATGCCGTCCACTTTGTTAAGTCGACATCAAAGTCGACCCTAGTGGTTTTTACTTCAAAAGGACAAAACCTTAAGCGGCTATCCACGTATCCATTGATTTTTTTAGTCTACCTAGGTTTTAGTTGGATTCGAAAATCATACAGTCAAGATGAAAACGATGTTTGTAATGAACTAATTTTGTGTTTTGATGAATTTACATTGGGTGAGGAAAAATTGACGTATTCGATACTTCAATCCATGTAACATGTGTATTTAACTGTTTCGTAAACTTTTGAAAACAAAGTAATACGTAATAAAATTTTTTCTTATAAATCTTTACAGAGATGTTAGTTTGCATTATCGTTTTGCTAAACTCAAAACTTTTTGTCGTTTTATTATTGTTATATAATTTAATAATTCACTACTCTTGTTCAATAAAAAATTATGATTGAAATAAAGAAAATAAATTAAAATTTCATTACATCAACTTATTCGTCGATTTTATTAAGCTGATGCATATAACTATTACATATAAAATAGGCGTAGTACTGAATGTTACATCAATATCGATGTATCAACAAGTAAGGTATAACATGTTAATTCAATGTAGTGAATGTTACACATAACATATTAATAAGGTATAACATAAAATAGGTGTAGTGAATGTTACATCAATATAGATGTATCAACAAATAGGGTATAACATATAACATATTAAAAAGAAAAAAAAAAACATATTAATTCATCCTATACCTATATCTAACATATAATAGTATTTTTTTTTTAATTATTTTTTTGAGTGTTTTGGATATCTCGAAAAAAAATTGTTCCTATCAATCGTAGAGATACTCTAGAATTTTGAGATGGCTAACAACCTCTGTAAGAAGAGATTGAACTCTTCATCCCTGCTTAGCATACTGATCCGTACATACTTAGGATCACTCCCGAACCTCATTCCACTTCTTGCAAGGATGTTTTGATCCTTGAGAATTTTGGCACAATCCTGCTCACCATTATCATCATCAGTTGTGCAAGTACTCATCCATGCAAAAGCTGCACACAGTTATCACATAAAATATTAGTCCTTCAATTTATTGAGAGAAAAAAAATCAATTTTAGTAATGCAAATAATCATATTTAAATAAAAATATTTTAATTACCAGGATTTGCTTCTACGTAGTCTTTGGTGAATTGGCAACACTGAAGAGGATATTTCGGGAGACAAAACCGTTGATGTGCCTCCACAATTGCTGTCAATCTCTTCCACCTATCTGCTAATAGACAACGACTATAGGAGAAGAAATTCTCCAACTCAGGCTGAGAGCTCTTATTATCTAGACAATTCTCTGAGATTACACCAAGAATTTTGGCTGTCCTGAGTTGGGATTCTTTCGAAACTCCGATAGTGTTCACTACAATAAAGTTTATCATTCTTTTCGCCACCTCCTCGTCTCTCACAAGTGCCCACCTATGTATACAATCATATAAGTAGGTAAAAAATAAAAAAATAAAAAAATTTAATTTTTAACTACAAGGTTATTCTTTCTCACCCTATTCTGGAACCAGCATGCCCAGTGCATTTAGACGCTGTAAATAGCATAATGTCATGGTCGAGTTGTGAGGTAATGGCGGTGTACTGTGGCCAATAGTAAGCTAGGTCGTAAACCGGTTGCCCTCCGGCCCGGTTCACGACCGGCTCCCTAATGTGTCCGTCAGGGTTGTTAGGGGAGGTGACCATCTCAATATAGGGTTCATCTTTGTGGAATTCAAGTGCATCACCCGCCCATGTAAAGAGTGTGGATCGGAGTATATCGGCCTCTTCTTGATACGTCTGCCAAATAACATGATGCACTAACCATTATTGTCCGTGTTATTATTACAACTTATTATGACCTAAATGAATTTTAATTGAAGCTCAAAATGTTTCCGTTTACCATTAAAAGACCCCAACTTATATCATCTGAACCGCAATGTTATCCCCTTTCCTTCCTAATAGGATCAATATAAACCGTGCATGACATGTGCAACTAATAACTTAAGTTACTCATCAATCATCAAAACTTTAACTTCTTATTTGATTTGACTTGAAACTAATGAAAAGCTTTAAATTCTACAGCTAACGAAGTACTCCCTCCGGTCCTTAGTATAAGGCATTTTGATTTGCCCTAAGTTTAATCTACTACGTATTTTTAATTGAAAAAAAAAACTTTAAAAATGTTTCACAACAATCAAGAAAATACAACGAACGTGAGAATATATTTTTAAGATTTTTTCGTTAATTAAAAATACGGAGTAAGTGAAACCTAGAACAAAATCAAAATGTCTTATATTAAGGACCGGAGGGAGTAATTAAGAAATTTCTTTTAATGCAATTTTCCCAATAGTTTGGCTCCTCCCAGAATTCATCTGAGAATAGCATATTTGGTAGAGCATACATCATCAATTTATTAACTCAAAGTGGTTTGAAAAAAAAATTAAAACTTTTCAACAAAAAATAATTGTAATGCCTCATTAGAGTAATGATTTATTAGTTTGAAATTATAATTAAGGTAATTACCGAATAGTAGGGGGCAGCAGCAACCACACTAGTGGGATGAGGTTGATCAGGAGAGCATAAAGCGTAGAGCGCAGCCTGGATCAGCTGGCTCGATCCGTTGCCGACGACAATGAAGTGGTCGGAAACGTTTGCATTTCCGACCACTTTATGCAGCTTCCTTATCTCCTCCTCCAATTTTGGTTCTAAGAACCAGCACAACCCTTTTGGGTTAGCGAAATAGCTCAGAGACTGGTCTCCGTCGAATGTGATGGAGCACCTTTCTCCAGCTTTTCGCCAGTAAGCCTCGAATATGGTAGGATCACCGCTGCAGAAAACCAAACTCCCACATTTATTGGTGGCTACGCATTTGAAGTCGTGAAATAATCACGTCCGCTTTTGATTTTTGCAGCAAATTACTAAGGTGAAAACGAAAATAAACGAAAGAAAAGAGATTTCGGAAAATGTTTAAGAGTATTTCCAAATTAAAGAAACCCGCAATACGTGTGAAAAATATTTATACATTCAAGCAACAATTGGATTTTCTTTTCCCCATTAATTAGTTCGATCTTTGTGAGATGAAGAGGAAAAAAGAAAAACCGTGGCAATTTCGCTACACCACCCGGCCCTTCAAATGACCAATCCCAAATGAAGCTTCAGAAATTCGCGTCCCAAAAATCAAATCAACACAATAACATACTCCCTCCACTCCGTCCTAAAATTATTGTCCAATTTAAATTTTCAAATTTAGTTCAATCTGTATTAAAAATGAAAGTCAAAACTGGACAATAATTTCGGGACAGAGGTAATATAAACTTACTGATCAAGGTTGATTGCAGCCTTCGTTGCTTGTGTGGTTCCGGCAGCGGAGTGTTGTTCCAAGTTGGCATTCACCACTGTTCCCGCCATTTTCTTCCTTCCGATATCGAGAAATTAAAGGGTTTTTTTTATTTCTTCTTCGGTCGATAGTTTTTTGAATATCCTCTCAAACTCACTCTTTTTCTGTTTTTTTTTTTTTTTTTAGGATTTTCTCTTGATTAGCGGCAGAAGGCAAAAGGTGGCTGAGAATTGGGGTTTTTATATATATATATATATATATATATATATATATATATATATAGGGAGGATGAAGGCAGCTCAAATAATAAGAAGAGAGAATGGTTTTTGCCAAGTTGAGTTGCTTAATTAATAACAATACTGTGTGTATGGATCCAGCAGAGATGGGGTTTTTTGATGTATATATTTTCCGTAGTTATAGACAGCACGAGACAAGGCTCTTCTCTCAAATTCAACGAACCTCACTTTTATTTGTTGTTACACTCACACTTTTAAGTTTATTAGGTTTATACCTCCTTCGTTGTATTACAAAAATATTTTTCCTTTACCGAAAATACAACGAATGTAACATGTTATTCTCCTAAATTTATGTATTCATCATGAGTGTAGCACAGCTTTTTCTTTTTCCCCTTTCGTCTTTCTTCTTTATTCATTCTTATTTTCTTCTAATTTTGGTGGCTTCATCAAATTTGTTTGCTTTAAAGGAGAAACGGGAAAAAAAAAATAATAATAATTTTCGTGATCAATTCAGTGAGTGAACCGAACTTAATTAATGAATGACGCGCATTCATCAGGGCAGGTCGGTTTATCACGTCGCAACTATTTTTTTTCTTTCTTTTTTTAGGTCATGTTGAAGAAATGTCAATTTATATTTTAATTTAATTACATTTATCTTGCATCAATCAAAGAAACTGAGACACTGATATATGTAGGATAGGGAAATATGTAAATTTTATTTATCCAAGGAAAAAAAAAAGAATACAAGGTTTGACTAATTTGTTTTTGCACTGCTCAATTATTGCACGCGTTTCACCCGTTTATACATTCTTATAAACTTTTAGTTGTCAATTGATGGCAATTGGATCATTGAATGGCATGATATTTACATACCAAATTAAAACTTTTAAAACATAGGCCATCAAAGCAAAAATATACAATTACTTTGCCATCAACCCGTATGCCGATTACACGTTTAAAAAAAAAATAAAAAGAACTGCAAATTTAGAATATCTGGACCATTTTAATAGGTAAGGTGTCTAAAAACTATCATTAAATTGTATTTTAGATGGCTCATTTTCCTAAGCTTATGTCCATGGAGGAAATGATTTGGTTTGTCCTTTCGGATTTTTTCAGTCAATCATCACAGGACGTTTTCCAGCCCATTTAATATATTCCACTATTATATTTTCAAAAACAAACTAACAAAATTGCGTACTTTAAATTTTTTTTTTAATGACTCCAATATTAACTGCCAAACTCGGGATGAAATGCATGTAAGTTAGCTAGAAATCTTATCAGCCAAATAGGTAGATAATTTAGTGCACAAGCATGGCACGGTAACGTCACAACGTTAGAATATACAGATTTTATTAATTTTTTTTTACTAAAAAGCTTTATTAGTAGATTTTTTTCTTCCTTAGATTCCCATAATAATGCAGTGAAAAGAGTAAAAAGCTTGACTTTTATTTCTATGGTAAAAAGGAAAAACAGAATAAAATTTATGGCAAGTGATAACATTAGTGACGAATTAATGTCAATTAACCACATGGTATAATGTATTAGCTGCAAAGGGGATCATAGCAAATGTTAACTCTGATATCGAACCGACGCAGGCTGATTGGGATCATAGCAGACATTAACTCTGATATCAAACCCACGGTGCATCGATTGGGATCATAGCAAATGTTAACTCCGACGGCCACCAATTGGGATCATAGCAGATGTTAACTCAGATATCGAACTGATAGCGTGCCGATTAAGATCATAGCAGATGAAATCGACGGTGCGCCGATTGGGATCATAGCAGATGTTAACTCAGATATCAAACTGATGGCGCACCGATTAACTGAATTTGAATGAATTTGCTTTATTTACATTTTTAGCGGGCGAACCGTAGCTTTAAGTATCATCTATTACCAGACAAATGAAAACAAAAATTAAAGTCAAAAGTTATTTGTACTTCTTACTAACTTACCACTCCTCAGTCACTTCTCATAGTTGTCCTCACTTAATTTTTTATTTTATTTTTTTCTCCAAATTCCAAAAGACTAGGTTTTGACTTTGGAGTAAAAGACTCTGTAGTTGAATCATGGTGGAATTGTATCTTGACCACGGTTTTCAACATCGAGCAATGTCCGTGCTGATGATGTGCCGTGTGCGTGAATTGCTTGTGCCGATCAGCTGATTTTGCTGAGAGTTAGAATAGGGGAATTGTATTTCATTCATATGTCGTTATGTACAATATACAGACTATATATAGACAATAATAAACCCTATACAAGGACACTATAGTAAATATATTAAATATTACAATACGTCCCCTCAAACTGACAGCGGAGAAGAGAGAAGCCGAAGTTTGTCCCGGAATCGAAAGAACAACTCCTTGGACAAGGGTTTGATCAGAATATCAGCAAGCTGATCAGCAGCAGAGACAGAATTGACCGAAACAAACTTTCGCCGAACATGATCTCGAACAAAGTGAAAATCAACCTCAACATGTCTGGTACGAGCATGAAACACGGGATTAGCAGCAAGGGAAATTGCCTGTAAGAATAATGTCATCCACATAGACCAGCAGAAAATACAACTGAGACCCACGACGATAGACAAAGAGGGAAGGATCACAACGAGACTCCACAAAATCCAAGGTGATCAGAAACGCAGCCAGCCGAGAATACCAGGCCCGAGGAGCTTGCTTAAGACCATATAAGGACTTATGCAGTTTGCACACATAATGAGGGCGCACCGGATCAGCAAAACCCTGTGGTTGAACCATATACACAGTCTCACTCAGAACACCATTAAGAAAGGCATTACTGACATCAAGCTGAGAAATCGACCATCCACGAGCCAAGGCAACTGTCAAAACCGAGCGAATAGTGACCGGCTTAACAACCGTACTAAATGTGTCAGTGTATCAACCCCAAAAGACTGAGTAAAACCTCGAGCCACCAACCGAGCCTTATAACGCTCAATGGAGCCATCAGCATGGGTCTTAATCTTATAGAGCCATCAATTGCCGACAACATTGCCAGAAGAAAGAGGGGGAACTAAAGTCCATGTGTTATTTTTGAGGAGGGCGGAAATTTCATCCTTCATGGCATTCTGCCACAGAGGAAAAGATTTGGCTTGGGTGAATGATGTAGGAGCAGTAGACAAATCTGGGAAAACAGAGGTAAGATGAGCCGAGGGATCAAAGATTTTCTTGGGCTTGGGGTTTGGACGAAGTGCCATTGAATACGGACGGAAAGAAGGAGGAGGAGGTGGCGGATGAGAACTGGACTCAGATGACGAAGAGCTGGATGCAGGAGAACTATCTAAAGATGCTGATGAGTCGGGAGGGATGGGAGGAGACGAATGAACTGGTATACTAAGAGGAGACGAGGGCGCAGAAGACGAAGCAAGCATAACAGGAGAATTGGTTACACGCAACCAAGGGGTAGCAAGAGCCTCCAGCAGCGAAGAAGGAGAACCAGAAATCGGACGTTTAAAGGGAAAGAGTTTCTCATCAAACTCAACATGACGAGCAACTTAAAAACGGTTATTCACCACATCAAAACAGCGGTAACCAAGATGAGATGGAGAGTACCCAAGAAAGACACACTGAGTAGAATGATAAGAGAATTTATGTCGATTATAAGGGCGAAGAAGAGGATAGACAGCACAGCCAAAAACACGAAAAAAAGTATAATCAGGTGGCTTGTGATATAATGTAGTGAAGGGTAGGTGACCTTGAAGAGGTTTACTCGGGTGGCGATTAATCAAAAACACAGCGATTTCAAAAGCAAAGTCCCAAAACTGAAAAGGAGTACTAGAATGGCCAAGGAGAGCAAGTCCAATGTCGACAATGTGACGAATTTTGCGTTCAGCAGTGCCATTCTGCGCATGAGTGTGTGGGCACGCTAAACGATGAACAATACCGACATCCTTAAAGAAAAAATTGAGAGAACGAAATTCACCACCCCAATCAGAGTTAACACTTTTAATGTTAGTGCCAAATTGATTTTCTACGAGAGCTTTGAATTGTTTGAAAACATGGAAAACATCACTTTTATACTTAATGGGATAAATCCATGTGAATAAAGAAAAATCATCAATAAAAAGCACAAAGTAGCGATAACCATTAAATGACAAAATAGGAGCAGGGCCCCAAACGTCAGTGTGAATTAAATTAAAAGGTTTAGAGCTACGCGACGAAAAGTAGAAGGTAAACTAACCCTATGCAACTTTTCTAAACAACACGCCTCATATTTATCAGTGGACATGGACACAGAGGAATGAGGGAGTTGAAACTGCCTAACCAAAGTACGAAGAATGACATTATTAGGGTGCCCTAAACGAGCATGCCATTGACCTAGAGAGACAAGATAAGCTGCTGGTGACAAGGAACCACAAGCAGGAAAATCTAAGCGATAGAGACCATTATCAGCCCGACTGCGGAGGAGTTCCTTGGTTGAAAGATCCTTAACACAACAAGAGTCAGAATAAAATTCAAAGAAACAGTGATTATCACGGGTAAACTTTTGAACAGATAACAGAGGCTTAGTAAGAGAAGGAGCATGCAAAACACGATTTAAATAAAGAGGACGAGAAAACGATGACAAAACAAATTGACCAACATGCTGAATGGGTAAAGCATCACCATTACCAACTAAAATATTATCCGTACCATGGTAATCATTGGAGATACTAAGAGGACAAATCTGGCGTGGCATGATCGGTAGCACCAGTGTCCGGATGCCAGAGAATGACAGGAGAGGCATACTGCACCATATGAGCTTGAGGAGGAGGCAACAAACCAGCCGAATGCTGTGTAAGAGAAACTGCCTGAGCATAAGCAGCCGACCGAATGGCAGGGGGTCGAGGAACAAAATTAGCATCAAAGCAGCGTCGGCAAGTGGCGGCCGTGTGATTCAAGATGCCGCAAAGCTGACACGTCTCACTCGGCGCGGGAGGGATGTACCCACGCCGATCACCACCACGACCAGAAAACTGATTGCGCTGACCGCCGCGTTGCGAGCGACCGGCACGAGAGGATTGAGGTGGCATAGGAGAAGATAGCGACTGCACAAGCATGGCCGTCGGCTGAAAAACCGGCTGTTGGGCGTGAAGAAGCACCTCATACGAAACTAACTGTCCAAGAAGATCTTGATAGAAAGGGGGTTCGGATCGCTGCTGCAAAGCACCGATGATACCATTGAATTCGACACTAAGCTTGCGGAAGATTATGGCATTGAACTCCGCTGGAGATATGCGATGGCCGGCAAGCTGCAGTGTATCTGCGATACCCTTCGCTTTGGAGACGAGAGTCATGACCGATAAGTCACCTTTTTGCAAGCTATGGAGCTCCATAACAAGCTGGGTCTGTTGGGCATAAGAAAGAGTGTCGAAACCTTGCTGAAGAGCTGTCAATGTTGTCGCCGACGTTGTGCAACCCTGGAGAACGGGAAATATCTCTTCAGCAACAGAAGAAAGAATCCAAGAGAGGACCAGCTGATCCTTTTGCTGCCAGATATCGAACTCAGGATTGAGTTGGGGCGCGACACAACTGACGGAAGGAAGAAAACGTGGCGGTGTAGGTTCAGTGCCGTCGACAATACCGGCAACACAAAACATAGTCAATAGAGGAGTAAACTGAAAACGCCAAGAGGAATAGTTGACCCGAGATTGCAGTTTCACAGTAAAAGAATGATTGAGAGACTATAGACTAGGTTGAAGAAGTGAGACTGGTGTCAGTGAAGGAGGTGCCGCCGGCCGAAGATGGGTAGCCTGGTCGGTGGATGAAAGGTCGGTGATAGTCATCTTCGGAAGTAAGCAAGCAGCAACACAAAACTACTACGCAACACTTAAGCAAATATTACGCAAAATCAGGCGGCCGCCGAATGAAAAAAACCAACACCGACAACAAACAAAGATCAGTAGCAGGCACGCAAGACTTAATAAAGCTCAATTGAGCTGTTGGGGAATTGATTGAAATTTGGCCAGAGGAAAGGAGAGAAGATGTGGTGGCACCGAGAAGAAGGGAGAAGGTGCGACGGAGGAGAAGGAAGAAAGGAGGATCGGCGGTGGTGATGGAAAGGAAAGAGGAGGCAGACGGCAAATCAGCCGCAGCAAAGATCAGGAAGGAAGCAACCACGACAACAAGGACAAAGCAGCAGGAAGATCAGGAAGATCAGGCAAACCAGCAAATAACAGCAGCAGCAAGGAAGCAACCACGGCAACAAGGACAAAGCAACCACGGCAAACCAGCAAAGCAGCAGCAACAAGAAAGCAGCAAGGAAGCAGAATTAACAGCAGGAAGCAGCAGCCACGGCAAGAAACAGCAACGGCTGAATAAAGAGAACAAGGCGGTCGGCGGCGGAGAGGGCAGACGGCAAGAAAAAGGAAGAAGAGACGGCCGACCAAAAAAAACAAAACAAAACCCTAGCTCTGTACTAAGTTAGAATAGGAGAATTGTATTTCATTCATATGTCGTTATGCATAATACACAGACTATATATAGACAATAACAAACCCTAAACAAGGATACTATAGTAAATATATTAAATATTACAATACTGAGAAAGTCGCTTGATTTTGTATGTTCTGAATTCAATAGCGTTAAGGTTTGTCGTGGTTTCACTAGTTGGAGTGATGATGATGCAGTATACTACATTGGGTATAGGGAGAGTCAAACTAGCTTACTTCCTGAGGATCCTTCCTCCTTGTCCTGCCCTCATTTGGTCAGTCCTTGACGTCAATTCACCATCATTTTACATCACACATTGTCTAGCATCAGGCTTTACTCCACAGCCTTCATGTTTGAGGGGAAAGGGTGGGTAGTTAGGGGACTATCCTTTGTAAAAATTATTAAAAAAAAAAAGGTTGCCGAATTTCCGAAATCCAGATGGGATTTCAGCTTTCATTGATCAAATGTTCATTTTTCCTAATCACTTTCATTCTTTTCCTATGACATCTGAACTGCAGAACACCAAAAATGCTAATTGTGTACTGCAGATCACTTTTCTTAACTCTACAAACTAAGTGTAAAGAAGCCCAGATATTCATTCTAAGACCAAAACATCAACAAGAATTATTCACATTTACAGCCACCTACTAGTGGGATACTAATCTTTTGCAGTCAAATGGAGGAGCAGAAGTGTGAAAGAGAGAAAACTACCACTCACATTTTCAGAAGTTTATCTACCTGTGCCTACGAATCTTCGCTGTATAGCAGAAATTGCAGCATATACAATCTATTGCGGTGTATGGTCCGGTAATGTAGGTGTTTTCCTAAATGCATGCTTCCTGCAGCGTTCAAAAATGCTGTCGTATATTAAATCAAAATGAACTCCGGCTCTTTCCCGGTTGACAATGAAAAGAATATGATCGCCTTCAATGATCTTGTAATACCTGCATTGGCAAAATAGTAATACTTTACATAAGTAATTCAGATCACTCGCCAGTGTGTTAGCACATCGAACACAGAATACATTCAGTTAGCTCTAAACTGATGACTCGTTTCAAGCTGATGCAATAACAAACTATGAAGAACTCCCTACACCGAAAAGTCTCCGCATAAAAAATAAAAAAAAATAAAAAAAAAAGCGCCCGATAGACTGACTAGTCTCTACCCTAGCTGGCGAGAAATACCTCATTTATTAAACTTTTACATCTACAAGAAATTCAGGGGCCATTCATTTAAAAAATCTGATAGTGAGCATGTCACCATGCAGCATTCTTTTCATGGTGCACACATACTATGTTACAACTATTTCAGATGGACAGACACACAGAATTATATGATCTAAGATTATTCCAAAAACAAAATCTGCATGAAATTTCCAACTTAATTTTCTATAATCACATATGTAAACAGAGATCTTTCAAATGTGGAAAGAAACTCTAAGATCAGGCTTACTAGCTAATAACAAGAATAAAATAGAGTTCATAAAAGTTAGGTAATAATCAGAGTTATCTACAGGAAAGGATCAGAGTTGTCTACAGGAAAGGAAACGGAGTCTATAAATGAAGTATGCTAAAAGAAACTTCAATGTGAAAAAACAGGGCAACGAAATACTCTCGAATTTAGACCATCTGAAAACTTGGCGTGGAAGGCAAGAATGTCCCAAGCTGAATAACTAATATACTGTAAAACTTGGATCCAAAAACAAAAAGTACCGAAAATGTAGAGAATTTGCATGTTGGTTTTAATGCCAAAAAACAATCATATGAAGAGCATCAAATGACAGGACGTTTTCTCAACTGAAAAGAGAATCCCAATTTGAAAACAGACATCCATTGCATTCCAAGAAAAATAATAAGTTACAAGAGATGGTGACAAACCAGATGCCCGGCTGCAAGGGTTGGCATTCTGAGTCCTTGACAACATGGTAACTTGGGTGTTCAACAGGGAATCGGGGGTGTGTCATTGATATGGTGTTAAGGGCACCATCATTGTCCCACCAATCTTCATCCCTACATTTAAAATAAATATAACTCATCAAGCAAAGACAAGTAAAGAAACTTACTGGAAACAACGGCAGATCCACATCCTTATTGGTAACAAAATATTTAACGATTTATGTGATGAGACACTTTTTATAAGGTTAGATAATTTCTTTCTGTAGATTGTCCTCTTCTTCAAACTAAGCCTTTATCGCTTCTTCCTAACCTTTTCGCAAGCAAATGCTGAAGAAACTCAGAACCATGTCAAATGGGAAGACAAAATATGGCCAAGGACCCACCTATAACCTTTGTAAGGAGGAGGGACATCCGTGGGGTACCGCCAAAGGCACATCTGCAGGACTCTGATAAAAAGTAGAGGATGTATACCAAATATTCCAGAAGGAATGGTATAACCCAGGAATTGTCGAGTTCGTTTGGTAGCATAACTGAAGTAGTAAGTGTTTGGATATGTTTGTAAATGGCTGTTCAATCTGATAGCGCCTTGCAGGGTAAGATCTGGAAGAATCCAATCTTCTGATGCAAATGGACCGGCATTCCCCAAGAGGCAATCGATAAGACCCCAAAGGCCGATCTTCCTCCAGGACATGTTAAAGTGATCAAAACCAAAATTGTAATAGGCTTTCAGCCACGGAATGTCGAACCAATCATAAATAATAACACCTATGCGGCACAGCTGAAGCAAGCAGATGGGTTTCAAGGACCTGCCATTTTCTGGTCTACGACCACATTGGAATGTCAGTGCTTTCAACATCCAACAGTAGTAATATAGAGGCTATGCAGCAGCAACTTGAAAGCAAGAAATGCAAAGCAGGTGGCACATTGAAGAGCTTTGGTCAGTGCAACACCATACTGAGACAAATAATGTCATGCAAACAAATTAAAAATGTCATGGAGCGGAAGCATTTACAATTACGGCAGTACAAATCTCAAATAAGTATTTATAATAATGGCCACAGAAATCAAAAGTAGCAATTTCTAGAACAGCAACTTCTGGAATCAGTTGATCATGGTTATCACGTGATATAAAAAGTAAGCATCTACACTTACATAGATAGTATCAAATAAACAAGCTTAGTTCTAATAAAAAGTTTCAGCAATCAGGGGACTTACTGCATTCCGTCAAAGTAAGTCCTAGTTGTTCCATTGAATGCTCCTGATAAGGCAGTTATGCTTAGAACCCAGTTTGCAGAAGTGTTTTCATAGCCGGGGAATGCCTGAAATTTTGTATAGATTCGCGTCAATTACATAAACAACACTCAAAAGTTAATGTGCAGAATCGATGAAGCAAACTTGGGAAAAATACACAAACCTTATCTTCAAGCATTTGCTGTAAAACCCGAACAACCTGCGCCCCAGCTGAATGCCCTACGAAGTGAACAGGGTGATCCTCGTCCCATTCAGGATAGTGCCCTAAAAATATCGGTAATTAGCAATTAAACGGATGCGAAATAGATTGTAACCAATCAAATCTTATAACAAAGGAAGATAAGTTGAGGAAAAAGGGTATGCAAAAGTTCAGACCATTTTCATAAATCCTTCCAAATCGGGAGTGACCACAAGCTTTGCTATGTTCTTCGCCATAATCAACCTGCCCTCCTTTCAGATAATAGAACAATTCCCGGGCCCTGAATCGAAATGCACTCATATGTAACAAAACCCAATATAACAGAACAAATGCAGACAAGAATAACAAAAGCTCTACTTTCCAGGGAGCTCCCGAAACAAAACCAACATCACCAGCATTTGAGCCTCGACTAATGCTCACCTGTCATAAACGCTCGTCAATGAGCCTAAATCAGGAACAAGAACCCTATCATCCTTTTTCTCCGCTCCGGCAAAATAGGACAACCCTCCCAATCTCTGCGAAAGAATACACGACCAAAATTAACATAAAACCTTAATCGGAAAACACCAGTAAACAAAAGAAAAAAGCAGAAATAACTTGTGAAACCAACATACCCCTTTACCGAAACCAAAAATCCCATGAACCAAGACAATAGGAGGAAGATCAACAGCATTGGTGGTGGCCTCGTTTGATCCCCCTTCTTCTTGTTTCAAAGACGCGTCTACATTAGGCTTATAAAGCAAATCACTCAAAGCCTGAGAAAGATCCCCTGCCACAGCCGTGCTAAATATGTAAAACCCATATGCCAAATGCACCAAACTACTTATAAACAGCTCTGTCAATTGCACAGCAGACGTCCAGCACCTAATCATCTTCCTCTCTTTTTTCCGCCTCCGACAATTATATATACATAAACGAGAAGAAGAGCCTTCTTCGAGAAAAAAAACAGAAGAAGGCCTTCTTCAACCGAAAAAAAACTAGAAGAAAACTCAAATGTAATGGGGGAAAAAATCGAAAACCGATTCAAACTCTGGATGCAATCAAGACAACCCTCATTCAAAAATTCTTTCTTTTCCTTTGCTGATTGTTCTGAAAGCCTGTAAACCTACAAATAAGTTAATATGGTTTTGGGATGCTCCCTTTTGGCGTTGGAAGAGAGCCCAATGAGAATAGGAAACTAAAAGCAAATTGCAGAAGCCGCAGAAATGGGTTTAAATCTCCACGATTTTCTCGTTTCCTGCCTCCTCACAAAGTCAGAACTACTCTTGACCAGAAGAAATGAGAAATACTCAATGTCTTTTCCTTCAAAAAATAAAAAAAGAAAAAGAAAAAGGAAAGAAACAAAAAAAAACAACACTTGTTGATTGACCAAATAGATTGATAAATTCGGCCACCCGTAAAAACGCTCTCTTTTTTTTCTCGTTCCAATGGATTGATTATCTTTCCCTCCGTTTTATGGAGGGTGGCTGGCAGCAGGCCATGGCTATTAAAGAGTTTGGTGGAGGTTGTTGCCACGTGGCATGGTGGATTACAAGAATCTTTTGCTGAAATAGAGGGAGTAATCGCTTGTCAGAAATGTGAAAAATATTCATTAAATCCATCTTAAATGTGTTCTAAAGTGCAGCCGTTTCTAATAAATAAAACTTACATGTACATAAGGGAAATTGTTAATCTCATCAATGGAATCGTGTTTAGTCAATGAGGGAACGACTAATTTTATTGCAAGATGGGAAATTGTTAATCCTATCAATGACTAAATTTAATTGCAAGATATATGCAAGTGATCTAATATGGTACTTCTGCCTCAAAAAAAATAGTTTACATTGAGTTTTAAAAATTTATACTAGTTTAAGTATAAATTTAAAGATTCAATATACATTACTTTACCGAGATCGAATACAGTATACTAAACTTTGTTGATTGAACCATTCATAATCTCTTTGAAAGCCTTTAATATCTTGAATGGAACTGGGTTTTTTTTTTTTTTTGGATAATGGAATGGTTGTTGATGTTTGATAAAAAGTCCAACTTTTGTAATGTAAAGTACTTGGAATAATTTTTGTGATTCTAATATATTTAAAATTTTTATATAAAAAAAAAAACTCTAAGTGAGATGGAAATCCCAAAAGGGACAAAATAATTGTGAAGAAATGAAGAGAATGAATATGAATAGTCCAAAGCTTTGACCTCACAATTAGCGATGGATGTTTTGTAGTGCAGTTAAGATATTTCCTAAGGAGGATAAACGATTATAATTTATTATTATTTTTTAAAAAAAGGATAGAATCTACTAATCACTATATTTAAGGAGGGAGGAGGGTCCTAAATACATTTGGGGGAGCAGTTGGTGGATGATTGAAAATTCTAGGCGTTTCTTCTTGTACTAGTACATCGTTTGCTGAGCTGGAGAGCAGCTGGAAGGTTCTGTTCCAGTGGTTTGTAGTGTATCGTATCATAATTCCAAAAATTGCCACGCATCATCGGGCCCGCTACTTATCCACACCACCGTGTCTTTCTCCTTTTGTGATTTTGTCTAATCACTGCGCGACTGTTCCCACGCTCCTAAATCTAAAACACCGTCCAGTTTTTGCTATAGGCAAAATTATCCAATATTCATTTGTTCCGAAATAATTTAAAATAGAGGTAGTATTTCTTAAACCTAAAAAATAATTGCCTTTTCTAGACCCCTTATTTAAATTTCAGGGACTAAAATGTAGGTCTGAATAGAGTACAGTATGTGAGTTTTTTTGGATCAACATCTTTTTTCTTTTTTTTTTTCTTTTCAAAAGGGAATCAAATCAATGTTGTGAAAAAACAGGAATTGATTGATATGTGTCGATGATGCCAAAGAAGAGGCACAATGAATGTTGCGTTGCTATTAAGATTCATTCACCAACAAGACTACAGTGTTTGTACAATGTGACAATTCCCTCTTCTCGAATCACATTGATTTGAGACGTCAATTTTCTTGTTGCCCATTTTGCTTGTTTTTCTCACCAATGGAACATGGCTAAATACGCAAAGGTGAAAGAAAGAATCACGTCGACCCAAAATCAATGACAATATACAATGTAATATGATGAGTGTTTTTAATCCACGTAATAAACTAAGTTGATATCGTAAATTTTATTTCTTCTAACGTAACAAAACAATTAACACAAATGCATCTTTTCCAATTAATCTTAAGTAGACTCTTACACACAAACAATTAGTAATCTTTAAAATTGTTTCATTTCACAACTCATCATCAAAAAATTAAAAGATTTATATGGCGTGTACTTATTTCATATCACCATGTTTTGAATTTATAACTTTTACTGTCAGTATGTGAATATATCATTATCTTCTTATCGTGAAATTAAATTAAATTTATCACTATGAAACTGTAGTAATTAATTACAACAAACGTGGATGTGATGATTCCGTTGATTTTTTTTTATTTTTATATATAAAAAAAATCTATCTCAATAGATCTCACTTAAATATGGATAAAATCCTCCTTATATAGTCGTTAAAGTTAAGTTTTGAGTGACTGGAAAACTTTTAATCGTTTAGTATTATTACTTCTATGTTAAATCAAGTTTACCTTTCACTGAAGTATGCATTTAGTTGATAAAATTAATGATGAGCGTTATTAACAATAGAAGAGAATTAGAGATAACTCATGTACCTCTTAAAATATAACGAACCTAATAATTGTAAAAACGTTAAAGAAAGATGTTAACATGGTATATTTATTTTCTTTATAAAAAAATATGTTGTGAGTTCTATGTAATTGAACCTTTATGGGCAAGTAGTACTATTAATTACAAAATTAATGGAAGAATGGGAGTTTGGACGGTTGAAGCACAATCGCAGGGAGGATGGTGGTGTGGCGCTGGTGATTCCATTGGGAATTGTGAAGGACTCAAAATTTCTGCGGCGCACATGCCGCAGCTACCACTTTGATCAACCCACATTTTTGGTTGGCTGTTGTTTTCAGTTTCCTTCATTCTTTTTAAATTATCGTTTTAAGATTTAATATATTTTCTAAAGATATCATTCTCATAAATCAAAGCATAATTGACCATTCTTTTTAATCAAGGAAATACAATATTGTTTATATTGAATTTTAACACCATGCATACAATCCACAGAGACAGTAAAACTCGTCACTCGGATTGGATTGGATTGGATCATGTATGTGCCAAGCATCCGATATCGGCATTCCAAACTTATATTGAGTATAATATAATATAAAATTCTTGAACTTTTCCATTCATAATTAATTGGTTTTGGCACAGATGAAATAAACCCACTAATTCCACTAAAATGTGTAAATAACAATGGAAGAACACGAGTCTTTATTCCTTGCGTATGAAATACAAACAATTTGTATAAGATGGGTCCAACGGATCAACTACAATAGGTTTATTCGGCCTGACGTACCCCAACGCTTTATATAGAAATGCTGGTCTCAATACACGTTTATATACTATATGCTTTGACTTTACAGAAAATGAACTCCAGAATTCAAACCCAGTTTTCAGGGCCTAAAGGGCACATTTTATGGTTCATCAGCCTCAACTGCCTGAAAGTATGTGTTTCTATTGCCCTATTGAACTTTTCAAAACACGCATATTCTAGTCAACTTCATTTTTTTTGCTATGGTTTGTCAATTTCCTACATGCTTCACGATGCTTATGTCGCTGCCTACGTTTCCAGGTTATTGGTACATGTGTATATATAAAGACACATGTAGTAACGGAGCTAGGAATTGTGATAAGAAGTAACAAAATGTAACCAATAAAACTTTGCAGGGCAAAACATAAAATTTTCAAAATATATAACTAAAAATTATTATTATTATTATTATTATTTTGCTTCCTTGTAAATATTTTAAGGAAGGGAGGCGATTGCCCGTACTGATCCCCTCCCTCCACCATGGAATGCATGCATAATTTGAATTTTTATTTCTAATATAGTGTATTTTATAAATAACATATAACCTGGACATTTATTTTTTCAGAAGTATAATACTTACTTTCAAACAAGATTCCACAACTTTGGTGAACTAACCATTCCAAAGCTGAGATTCATTATACTTTAGGAAAAGTGAGAGCTCGTATTTAGAACCGTCTTTAGGTTAATTTTGTTGTCACCTGCAACGTTTTGGCTGCTTTCGAAAAAAAAAAAAAAACTAATAATCTCTTAGTACCAAAAAAAATTCTCTCTGCCACAAAAAAATAAAAATAAAAATCTGTATTGAGTTTTGATTTTTAATAATTTTAAGTGGAATATTATTTAACAAAAATCTTAAAATTTATTGAGAATTAGAATATTTTTTAAAAAGTAGAGAGAGTACAAAATAAATATGAATTACTCTTATGGAACAGAATGATGGAGTACAATCCTCAAGTTGTTGTGTTGCGTGAATAGTTTATGTTGGTTGTGAGCATGATAACTGGATAAGTTAATATTGCAGTTGGAAGATTCACAATTTGATTTGTGAGTCCACAATTGTGTTGTTGGCAGATACTATTCGATTTGACCGATAAGTTAGTTTTTTTTTTTCCCTGTAACTGTGAAGTTGTGAATGGCGAGTCATCTCTCTCTCACGTCACCAATGCACAGGCTCATGCACCATGATTAATACACCTATTGGCTGGGTGATTTGCGGCCTGTGGTCAGATTAAACTCTTAGATTAATCGATAACTATTTGAATTATAGGAATAAAAGAATTGTTCAAGACAGTCTTGATATTTGCAGCTTAGGTTGAACGCATGATATAGACTGGAAATTGTTTATTTAAAGTTTATAGATCTTTATCATATTTGAACGTGTTTAATGATCTGCTTAAGTAATTTTATGGAGACATTATTGGGGGCGTCAAATATGGGATCTTTATTTGGGTTCTTAAGGAATTACTCCCTCCATTTCAAAATGTAAGTCTTTTAGACTTGGCACGTAAACTAAAGAGACAATTATCTAACAATTAATTTATGTGTTAAATATTTTTTTTACCCCTCATTAATTACATTGAAACTATAAACAAGACTAAATAAAAATATATTAGCATCATTTATTAAGTATAAATTTGAAAAAATAGTCATTAATTTGCCTAGAATTTGTAAAACGACTTACATTTTGAAAAATCTCTCCAAACCTAAAACGACCTACATTTTGAAATGGAGAAAGTAATATTCAACAACTTATATTCCATTTGTTAGAAAGAAATTTAATTTAATACTGAATTTTATAAAATGTCAAGGTTTAACTTATACTTTGTCCGTTACTTATAGTCATTTTTTAACTTTGAAGTCGGAGCTATTATTTTGAAATGTAACATATGCACAGCCCTTATATATTGCTTCCAAATTCGACCTAATTTTACGTATCAGTATTTCTGTTGGATTGCTCTCCTGAATAAAATCGATTGGAATTTGGAACATTATCAACGCATAACAATTAACAATGTGCATTGTTTCAACATAGTTAATGCTGTTTCTATCTTATTTATGTATATATAGGAAGCCAGAGGCTTAAATACAAAAATCCAGAACTTTTTAAGGACATGGATAACTTATTAAGAGCTAAATTATTTACGATTTTAGAAGGAGGTGTTGACAATATATGTCTACCTACTAGACAGGAAAAATTAAATTTGGCTAAGGCGTCTGCTAGCTTATTTGGATGGCGACGGACATAGCGTATAAAACATGCCAGTTCAATTGAACAAGCTCAAAACCTTGTGAGGAAAACAGAACGTCCCCTTGACCCGGAGTTAAGAGGCATTCACAATCTTTTGTTGTCAAATTGAGAAATACGTTTTGTTCATATCTATTAAGAGAACAACTATTGTATTGATGCGTTAGTCAAGGAGATGCTTAATATAGATAGGGGGTTTTATTTTTTTTTTGATATCGCCCCTAGGTGTATCTTAATGTTTGTAGAGCATGATCCTAGATGCTCAAATTTACGTATTAGTTAGGATAATAGCCTTCTGGCCTTATTTATTTACAAAAAAAAAAACATGCCAGTTGAGAAGCATACTTCTAATACTGTGGAGCACATTACTATGTACGAACACAGAATCCTCAGCAGACAAATAATGAACGGCTTCCAAGCAATCTAGTTCTAATATAACTCTTCTAAAACCCAAATCCTAGGCTATTTGTAGCCCAATGAAAGCAAACAATGCTCTTTACACATTCTAACTCTTCTACAGACAAAAGTTGGACTGCCTCTAGGCTGTCCATTTCTATTATAAGGGTTCTAAAACCAAGCCCCCAGGCGATTGGAAGGCCGAAAAGAACTGTGCATTTGTTTCAACACTGATCTCTCCAATGGAGCATCCATGTAAAATAGCCCTTAATGGGCTGCAATGATTGTTAATAATGGGTTAGGCCTACAATATGGATTTAGCTTCTGTGTGTCTATGACCACCAACGTCTTCTCACTAGTTCTGGATAAAATTGGAGACACTTTATGTCACAAGACACAAGCTATAAAAGCTATAGAGAAGAGGCCAACTGGATTTAAAAATACCATAAAAAAAATGAAACAAACAAAGCCTTAATTAATCACTAATAAGTAAACGACATGTTAGCTGTTCTGAAAGTCAATGCGACATAAAATGGGAGGCCAATTCGTACTTTCCTAAACTTAATGGCACATGAGGAGTCGCCCTCAAAAAATGAACAAAATCAAAGGAATTGGACTCACGCCTCCACATATCATAGTATTCGCTCATATAGGAGTATTTAAGAGGATCAATATCCTCGAATGCAGCACAAATTAGCTAAGTGCTGTAACAGTAAGTTCAAGAATGGGGACAACAATATTACTCGTAATACATTATTATCATGGTCCTTCATCATAAGCATTATCTCAAAGGTCCACATTCTTGAATATTTGATTGCTACTTTTGCAAGTACTGCACCCAATATTATCTACAGGGTACCATTTTTCAGATTTCAGGCCCACTATATTCTAATCCCCTTTGCTGCCTCTCTCTGTGAATTCAAACTTCTGGCGTAGAATATAGTGATGAGTTGTGAATTCCATATTAATTTTGTTTGTCAGTCACCATTTCTGCTGGTTGGTAGATCCATTGAAGGAAGAATGCAGCATGAAAATTTGGATCTATCTAGTAGTATTCATATTTCCGAAAAACAGTTTATTTTGTTATACTATTTGACTAATTCAACAAATTAAAGAAAACTGTTTTTCTGAGACGGGATGGATTATTATAGCTTCTGGTCGAACTAATTAATTAGAGTTAACACATAGCTTTCCCTACGTTGATCTTTTAACTGGAACCGTTAATTCCGCTAATCATGCTCATTCAATTGCCTGAATGAATCTGTTTCATTCACATTTGTAAATTACTCGATTTTCCTACGATCATCATATTCATTCACTTGTACATCAAGCAAAGAACTTTTAGTTTGTGTCTGTTTTCTGTTACCTCCTCATATATTAATGGTGAATTACTTTTTTTGGGGGGCTAGAAAAAAAGAAACGGGCAGGACTTCACTGTTGTTCTCGACATATTAATGAGAACTAATAATGACCAATGCCTTTTCATTTGTCTTGGCATGATTAAAGAACAGTATTAGGATCAATTTGGTGGTTTTGTGAGTGAAAGTTTACAGTAGAAAGATACAAATATTCCTTGTGAAACAGTGCATTAGAATTATATAACCGTTTGAGAACGAAATTTAACTCACTCGGTAAGGACATTCAAGATCTCAATAAAAATCACGAGTCCGATTCAAGTGGAGTTTACTGGGTTGTCGATATCAAATTTGAAAAAGACTTTAATTGACCGTGATATTGGCCCTGAATTCATCATGATATATAATTTATAGCTCTCTATTCATCGATGCTTGTCAAATACGTATAGATGGTTTGCATAAAAATTTGTCTTCGAAACTTTAAAAGGATGAAACTTTTGAAGCACGCTGAAACTATTAAACCAAAACCGAAAGGCAAGTTGACAACTAAAAAAGGAAAGGAGAAGAAGTTATATGCACTATTTTAAATTATAATTAATTATCACAATTTACACAAAACCCCTAATTAAACTTTGATAGCTAGCTAGCACTCCTATAATTTATGGACCAAAACCCCTTGTTAGATTGAAAAACAATAGCAAAGAATCACCCACAGTCGTTCCAATTTTTGGCACGTACCACCCACCCAGGAAAGAAAATCGAAAATAAAAAAAGATGTGTAACACTAAAGTAACACTATAATTTCCACCATATAGATATATATTTAAATTCAAGGACATCTTGAATTTCTACCAGGTCCTCCATAATAGAAATAATTACCCCAAACCCGATTAATTCCGCCCTGAATGTTGTAACAGGTAGGATGGTCAGCCAGAACTCGAAGATTGTTGAGTGGAATCAAACTATTGTCCCAATCCACAACTTGTAGATTCCTGAAATAAGAAGCTTTACCGAAACCTTCTCCGGCGAAATGTCCACTTCCCATCTGGGTTGATGTATGAGCACCAGAAACCCTTGTGTTCACAATCTCCCCACCAAATTGTACCATACTTGCTGAATTCTTAAGGTGCGTAAACAAGAATGACGGCCAGTACCCAACTAGTATTCCTGACCCGAATTCCAGCCACCAATTCCCATGTTTTGGATCCTGCAATTTAAAAAAAAAAAAAAAACACCACGTTTAATCTTTGGAAGTTGTACTATATAACCTCTTTTTGTCTATTGCAATGTTAGCAATTCATACAATGTATAATTACTAATGAAATGATCTTGAGAAGGGGTAACATGGAAAGATCAACAAATAACTCATCGTAACCAAATTTCTTTTTTTCTCTTTAGTATTCTATCTGTTTCAAAAAAATATCACCATTAGTTGTAAACATAATTATTTGGCGAGGAAAGATGGAGTAATAGCTGTTGTTGTCATTATGGTCCCTTCTCTAAAGACATTTATGAACGAGGAGGAGGTGGCAATAAATCGACTAAAGCATATGGAGTTTGCTTGGAAAGGAAGGTCGGAGAGAATCTGGCAAAGTTGTTAAAAAAGAAAAAGGAAAAAAAAAAAGGGATAAGAAATAATGGTGACATCTAGTAATTTTAGAGGGTTCAGAAGAGGAGTGGGATAGTGTAAAAAATGGCGGTATTGGTGACATTCATGGCACGCGTAAAAGGACCTGACTTTGTGTGTGTTAGCTAGTTGGCATACATAATGTTAAAGAGTATACTCGAAAAATTCCAAAAATACCTCGGACCTTTTTCAAGCTTATTACTACATTGTGCAACCACTAATACCAGCAACCTTCTTCCACACTTTTTGCTTTTGTTTTCATGCAAGCGTTGTTGCCAGATTAAGACTTTCACATTGTGAAGTAGCTATTTGTTATGCATTTTGTTAAATTTCGTAACAATTTTTCATATTTATAAGTTCGAGTTTATGGAATTGTACACTATTATATAGGATCATATTCAAAGACATCTCTTAATTAAAATCGATTTAAATTCACTAGCTATTCATGAAATTCAAGAAGACATGGAAAAGGAAAAAAAAAAAAAAGTCTAACTTCCATGTGCATATCATGTGGGAACACAATTTTGAGGGGGAAAAAACTCTTTAAATACATTGTAGTGCAGTATATGAATTTCTAAGTCAACCCCATGTTTAATTTCCGACATCCTATTTTTATTTTTTAAGTCAACGAAGAATTTATAGCATTTCTGTTAATCAGTTTTTCTTATTCCCCCTCCTTGTCTTTTACTGTTGTGAAAAAAAAAACTTATTTCCACTAATTTTCACATTTTCTTCATATTTTCCACCTACAATTACTAGTAAAGGTGATAAATACACTAATACTAATCAAGGGGAGTAAACCAAAAAAAAAATAAAAAATTACGTACCTTCCAAATTAATAAGCTGATATCAAATTGACCACCGTTGTACGCAGAAGTTGGAGAAATAGCTGCTCCAATTGCTATTTTATTATTTGTCTGAACAAAGCCTGAGCATAGCAAATTATAACACCCTGTGGCCTGATACGCATCACTCTGCACAATTACATCATACAATTATTACTCATTGCCATAATTAAATGCCAGTAATAAGTAAGTGTAACACACAAAAGAATAAAAAATGTGACGGTAAATTGACACTTACGGTCCAATATGTGAAAAATCTTGGGTAGTTGTCCCCATACAGCTCTGGACTAACCTATACAAAATTAAATGTACATTATATTTATTAGGATGTCAATTGGTACTAATTATGGCAACTAGAAACATAATTATTTTCAATAAAATTGGGGTGGTAGTTGAAAGATGTCATAAGTGCTTTTAATGGTAATAATCGAAATTGAGAGGGGAAAAAAAAAAAAAAAAACACATGCCTGCCAACCAGCTTCGATGGTGTTAAGATCATCATTGAAAGAGCCTGCAATCACCCAAATTTGTGATAAGCTGAATTCATACTGCGTTACAACTTTTGGAGCCCATACATTTATGCTTGCTTTTGCTCCATAGTACTGATCTCCAGTTACGTACCCAACTGCATGCTGTAAAAACCAGAATGTACCACCCAAATAAAAAAAATTACTACTACAACAATTTGAATATGAATTTTAGTTTTCGAAGATTATTAAGCGGTATGCAAAATACACGAATCGAAAATTTACTATTAAAATTATCTAAGATCTCGGATATTATTGAATTGTATTTTTTATATTGGTGTAAATGATTATCACACCAAATAGAAAGGAAGAAGGTAAAAAAGAGGCGTGAAAGTCAGTAAAAACTGAAAAAGACTTCTGACACAAACTTATGTATGGCAAGCAGTAAAACTAGAAAAACCTACCATAACTTGTCAATTTATTTATAACCAAATCGGAAATTGTGGGGTTTGAATTTTCCCCTGTTTTTTCAACCTTTCCAAAATGTAGTTATTAGTAGTGATGGGAGCAGGAGCACTAACCTCATGGCCGTTGCTGGTGGAATCCCTTCGGATTGGTCTTCTCAACTTCCTGGCAAATCTTCTCAAATTGCTGGCTCTCAACATATCTTGTTCGGAAGTTCTTCGGATTGGAACTGTTCCTTCAGGGCATGATTCACCAGACATGCTCCACAATTGAAAATCCTCTGATAAAATGCCAGTTGGGTCACGTCCTTTTGGCCTTTCAGGTGGATCCTACACCCAGTATTTATGAGCCTTCGTGTTAATAACGTTTCAAAAAAACAAAACAACACTGATGAATTTGGGTACAGAGTACTTGATCATCATCACAATTCAAGTTTCTTCTTTTGCTTTTTCAGCCAAAAAAAAAAAAAGTTTACCATCGGTTTTTGGCCTATCAATTTAGGATGATCAAAAGCTGGTTGTTGATGAGACAACACGCAATCAATAAGATCACCATCTGCACTCTGCCCACCAGAAAAGAAAAAACCCAAAGAAAAAGAAAAAGTTTGAGTTGCAGAATTCATCAGATAAAATAAAAAACACCATCAAGAACCAAACTTTGTAATCAATCTCCATTGAATTGGGAAGAAAATTGGGGGTACCTGAATTGTCTTGACGGGAGGCTTGTTGATCTTCTTGAGATGGGCTCGAATCAATCTTAACTTTTGCAACTCTTCCTCTGGCCGGAGAGTGGTTGTGTGATTGGAATTGTGGGAATCATGGAGTGAATGAGCAGGACAACAAACAGAGAAGAACAAAAACAGAATGCAAACAAAAACTGAAACCGTCCGGAAGTTGCTGCTGAATGATGAACTTCCCATTCTTGAGGAGTTTGTTGCTGCTGCTGTTGTTGTTTGTCTTGTTGTTTCTCCTTCTATAACCTCTGCTCCTTCTTCTCGTACTGTCAAAATTGATTTTGTACATTGGAATTGTGTTTTTGTCGGATCATCATGAAGATTGCATTTCCACCACCGAGTAGTACTATTACTATTCTCTGTATTTCCGAATTGCAAGAAATCCTCCATCCCAAACACAAATCCACCAATCTACTCAAACTCAATACTATTATATTCACAGAAGTTGTTGTACCATTTCCTAAGCTAACGAATAAAAACACCAAAACCAATAAGAACCAACAATCTACTACTAGTTGTTCTTCAAAGCTTCTATTCCTCGGTTCTGATATACATGGTCTGACAATCAACAACTTCAAGGCAGAAAAAAGAATTAAATTGGAAGGGTGGCTCTGTAAAACGAATTGAGTGTGTTTGTCTAGAGGTTATACTACCCCATGTGGTTGTGGGGGAAATAAATACTGGGTCGCTTCCAAATTGTGAGATCAAGACATGCATTAATTTAATTTTTTATTTTTGGTGTTTTGATTTTTTTTTTTAATTAAATGGTAAAAGAAAGAAATGGGGAGGGGGAAATTGAGTGGAGAGAGAGGGGCGTGTGGGGGTTGTGTTTCCAGTCTCCAATACAAAGAAGACTGGGTTTACTTTATCTTTTTTGTAGTATCAATTTTTTTTTTTTTTTGTAGGGTATTAAAAACAGAATGATTTACTCCATATTTTTTACAGGGTTAAATTAATAAATTCATGCACTACCACTGGATCCTTTTCTTTTTGGGGGTTTAAAGGCAGATAGGGAATTTGGGGGGAGTTTTTGGATTCGATCTGGGGGTTCTTGTTTTAAAGTTGTTTTAATTACTTTGGGTTTGTGTGTATGTGTTTTCCCTTTCCCACTTCCCTAGATGTTCTTTCTGTCAGCTGCTCTCCCCCTCACTCACATTCCCTCCCTCCCTACATTATTCACATTCCACCCCTATCATGTTATCTCTCTATGTTCTCTTTGCTGGTTGATTATATATATGAAATTCGTTTTTTTTTTTTTTATCGACTTTTAGTTTGAGACGGAGAGAATATAATGATATGTTATTTACTTTGTGAGAATGTATGGCAACCAAGTTAACCAAATTGAAGGATTTGAACTTGATTTTCACTTAAATGTTTTTTTTTAATGAATGGAGCTTGGAACAAAAATTGGGCGACCAATTATAAGTATTTTTAATTTATCAATGTAGCTTTGCTTTTACTCCATCCTTGTAGTGTTGTTGATACTACCATGTATGCTGAAATTGGAGATAACCGTGCATGTTTCAATTCCCAAAAAGAGTTCAAATCAATTGCATCCATGCATGGAGCTTGCAAATTTATGTAAAATACTCGCGAAAAAACTAGTATTTGTAATAATGCCTTCTAAGTTTTCGATTTTCCACGAATCCTTTGTTAGTCTTTTGAAAAATGAAAATTTAACAAACCCGGAGCTATTATAATTTATTTAATTTACCTTTTAATTAGGCGTTTCCCTTTTTCTAAGATACACTAACATTGAGTTTGTGTTTGATCTTTGCGGGTTATTCTAAATTATTTTAGTTACTCTTTCTATCCCTGAAAATTACATTTTAATTCAACAGAATTGACTAAAAAAAGAGTAAAATCGATAAAGTAATAGTATCAAGGTTGGCCACAGATTATTAGTACTAGAAATACGAAGATATCAGTACAACCCTCCGTATCATACTAGCATTTCCAATACATGAAACCATTAGGGGGGCTAACTTAAAGAAATAAACTCGAAAAAGTTGTTATTGGCTTAAGAAGCATATAAAATATATAACACAAATACTAACAGATTTTAGCTTTTTTTGAGTGTAACTGACTCACTGAGTAAGATTATGTTGCCCGTACACAAGCTTTCAAATGTGCACTTTTCTTCCTGTGGATTTATAATTATTTTAAAGATTTTAATTATCTGTAATTCTTAATGGATTAACTATATTATTATTGGAAGAAGCCCTGCTGGCATGCGGAGAATTAGCTTAATTCCATCTCACACAGAAGCATGCTTAGGTTAGCACCCAAAAGACCCATGCATGTGCATGCGCGTTAATTTTGCTAATACTACTATTATTTATGCTTCTCGGCTTGGGTGCTAATGCTCTGGTAAACCCAATGAACTCTTCCAAAATATAATTTGTATCAAAATGAGTAGATGAATATACTCTCTCTCTCTCTTTTTTTTGGTATATTAAGCACTCGGTCTCCGAAATCATTATTCATATTAATCTGAATTCGAATCGGGTAAGTCTTTTTCGGGAGACAAAGCTCTCCCAACAAGCATTTTAATCACGGTTGCATACCTATGCCCAGGTTCGAATCCGGATCATAGTTAACTTGGTCCAATACCTTCACCACATGAATCAAGTGCTTGTTTTGTTGGTGATTCTCTCTTTGATCATGTATTTTATGTATATAAGACACAAATTTGATAATTAATCAGAAAAGACTCTTTTTCTCGAAAATTTAGAACTAATTAATTGCTACGAATTTCATATCATTTAAAAGCTTACAAAATCACTACTTTTCTTTAGAGAAATTCTCTCAACACCCTTTATATATGTTGGCTGATGAAAGCCTCAAAAACATTATGCCTAGGAACCAGTTGTTGGAGAGAAAGGGGGAATATATTAGATCTCTGGAATGGGTGCATGAGATAATGGCTATGAAACTTTCGAAAACCGAAGAACTTTAAGGGTATGATGTAAAGGGGTGATGTTTGGTTTATGTTATGCCATTGAAAAAGATGTTTCTTTCTTCAATTGGTTTAAAAACATTGCTTCCGCTTCTGCCTTAGATGATTCTACACCAATATTTTGCATGGGGATCATATCTTTTCGTCATCTGTTACGTATATCTGTGTGACTAAATTTAACCAGGATATCAGCATTTTGTACCAAAAACTTTATTCCCCCTTCCTTATGGACCATTAATTAATCTATACTTACAGTAATTAACTTTACTTTTTTTTTTTTTTTCTCAAACACAACTATCTATCCTTTGTCCATCCCCATGAGACGGTTGATACCATATGTTTGCATTTGCAGTATTTCGGTTCAACCAAATGTTATTGAAGATTAATTAATGTTAGAGATGGTAAAATTCATTTTGATTCGTAATTTCATCATTTCACATTGTTCTCTTCACAGTTTCACTAAATACACAATTTTCTTACCGTTATTTCCTCGCGACTCTGCTATTCACCTACATAGCTAAATAATTGTGTTGGACGAAAGTTGAAAAGTTGTTGTTGAAGATTTAGAATGTTTTCCTGGAAGTTGGGTCAGGAAGACTTTAATTTGCACGTCGTGTTCAACTTCTAGTTTTAGCAGCTATGATTGTCGAAGTTTCAAAATGGGCATGGAAGATTTTCATCTTTTTCCCACATCTCTATTCTCTATCCCTTCACAATTTTTATGACTCTCTCCACACCATGCGCCCATCCAACCTTACTTGTCACCTTTCCCTCCCTTAATTTTGTAATTTATATCTGCCTCTATCGATTTGAAAAGATAACTGTATAGTCTGAGTGTGTTCGTTTAGAATATCACATGGATCATGTATTGTGGCAAAAAAACAAAAATAAAATAAAAATGTTTTCAACTTTCTTTTCCTTCCAACAATAGTGGATCGAGTTTAATTATTTCATATACTCGCTTAGAGGAATGTGAGAATTTAGAGTTTTTTTTAGCTTGACACCTTTTTCCATCTAAAATTATACTCCCTCTGTCCTAAAATTATTGTCCACTTTGAGATTTTACTTTTAGTACAATTTGAACTAAAAATGAAAACCCAAACAGAACAATAATTATGGGACGGAGGGAGTACATGAATTAATCCCGTTATTTTTTTTCTACATTTTTTATGGGGAAAACAATCGACCTTCTGGTTTTCTTCTATATAAAAGTGGTACGCCAATTTGAATTAATTTTAAAAAACAGGATTGCATTAGAAAAGTTGTCAGCACCTAATAGCATAAACTATAGAGACGATAGCTTAATTCATCATATATAGAGAGAAAAGGGTCTTCATGGAAACAAGTTAATAATTGTAATGTTTCAAAAATGTGTAGATACGTAGATTGATCAAGCCGGCAAGATGTTGGGTTAGAAGCAGATATATTTGCCTTTAAAATTTTTTGTTTATGAAATCTATGAAAGCAACATAAGGGGGAGTTATATTACTTTGGTACATAATACTGTAAAGTCGATGATATAAAAAAAAAAAAGCTGCTAAAGCCATAGTTACTTTTTTGAAGAGGGGACAATTATAATTTTTCAAAACCAAAAGGGGCCAGAATTAATTATAAGGTCACATGCCCAAATCTCAACTCCAATTTTATAAAATTGCAAACAAAAGTCTCAAAGAAAAGATAACTAAATACTATTTTTAAAAAATTTGAAAGAAATACTATCGAGTAAACACAAACATGCGTACAATGTTGGATTTTCAAATATTTTTTTCACTCTATCATTTTTGTGAGGTACTTTCGGTCTAGGTAATATCACAATCTTTTCCCCTTTTTCTTTTTCTACTTTGAAATCTATTTCACATAAGTAATAGTAAAATTTTTTATTTAAAATGACAAGATATAAAACCATAAATTATTTTGTATGTACTGAATAATCAAAATTATTACTAAAATGATTTTTCATATACAAATAATACGTAGTAATAGTATATTCCTTTTTTTTTTCTTCTTACAAAAAATAAAAAATAAAAAAAAATCACTGTGATCTTTTTACTTCACTTCCTGAGGCCCAAACAAGGGTCCACAAGAAAAGGCAGCCCACTAAAACTTTCACTGTTTTGCCCAGCCTTATTCCATTGACCGACCGAATAATTTTTTCAGTTTTTCCGGGAGGTGGTTTGACTAATTCTGTAAACAAATCAGACGATACAAACATCATCCAAACACATCACATAGAGAAGAATGAAAGGACATGCTCAACTAAGGAAGAGCCCACAAGAGCCAAAAGTGAGCTTTTTGAAGAGCAAATTTTTCAGATGTACTCGCTGAATCAATACCATCTTTTTATATTATTCTATTTGTACGAAAATAATTGTGACGTTACTTAACAATATACAAATGATATACACACGAAATAAAATATGTACGTAACAGATGAAGAATTTAGTTGGCTCCTTTTACACATTAGTGGTAGTGGTGACAAAAGGATTATGGTGAAAGTTTAGAAAGACCATGTTTGAATTCAAAATGGATCAACGTCTTCCAAAGATCAAATGATGACAATATGTGGATAGTTTTTCATTGACTTCAATGTCTCAAAAATCCTGTTTATGCCGCAAATTTGGTCTAGAAAGAAAGACTTCCATTAAATAGCATCATTAGTTCAACCCACGCAAAGAATATTTATCATGGTATTGATAACTAATTCTCTTTCTCTTGAAGAAATAAATAAACTATACCCATAATAATTTGATGGAATTCACTGGTAAGGCAAGAATATAAGAAAATCGGCGCCCCCCATAGAATATTTTCAGCTTGTTGAAGATCATAATCAAATGTTATCTTGGAATATTTATAGGTTGGCGTGTAATTCTTTTTTTTTTGGGGGGTTTCAATTTGTTGGTCAACTAGGTAGCTTGGCAGAATATACGCTTCATCAAGGATATAATTCTGTCGAATTCATTCCTAGTATATGGAATTATGGACGAACATCAAATCAACTTGACTTTCGAACATGATTATTAGTTGTGGATTTCGTAATTTTTTTAACCTCCCTTCCTTATCAAACTAGGACGACAGAGTCATGAAAAGTAGTAAAAATGGAATCATGATGAAGAGTGGCTCTACTATTAGAATTTAGAATATGGATTCACTGTCCAAACAAATTTAAGGGGAAACGATAAGAACTTTCGGAAGCATCTTTGCTTTTTGATGCGGTTGTCTAACAGGACTGGATGGACATTGTTAAAGAGCTTTTTAGGGTTTACTTCTACATGAAGAGAATGGTATTGGGGAATTAGAAATTAGAAGAATTGTAACTTCATCAAGACTGATTTAAATTTGTGTTGTTTTTTTTTTTTTTTGGGGGGTGGGGTTAAAGGGGATTATTTACGTTGGCATGGAAGGATTGAACTCAAACAATTCGTTCCTTCGTCACTTCGAATTCATTTTGCGTACACATTTTGGAGTAGGACAAAAGTGTGGGAGTTGATTAAAAAAAAAAGAGAGGAATATTTATACCATTTTGGGGTACTTGGACCATTAGCTAGTGTACTGATCATTCTTGCATGTGTGCATCACATTAAGGTTATAATATATTGTAATGGGATGACTGGAAGAAAACTCAAAAAAGGCAACACTTTGAGATGAGAATTGAAGAAACGATTTGGCCAAAGTAATGGGTAATTTAAGGCAATGATTATGTCTAAGCAACATGGTCAGCTTTCTAGTGTAGCTTTATAACCCTAAATAATTACTTGGACGTTGAAAAACATTAGATTAGCAAAATTTTTTTACAAATTGGTATGAAAGAATAGTGAATGTGGGAGGATAATGGGCATTGCGAGATGTCGCTGACCATCCCAAAAAGACCCTAGTCCAACTAAAGTGGACATTCTCCTAATAATTCATAAAATTTTATTTCATTTTAATTACTTCCCCAATTCTAATGTTGAGTTATGAAATTTAAATAGCTCGACTTATATTATTATAACTACCAAACCAAAACGATTCGACAAAAGGTAAAGATGTGGAAGTGGGATGGTGGAAATTTGGGAATAAAACTAGTCTTTAGAAAGAATGTTTCTAATAAGAATAAAGGATAAAAATCTACCCAATTAAGTTCCTTTTTTAGGTGTGTATAGCAATGTAGCATGCTTGCAGCATCATGATCCCATATTTCTTCTTCCTCATGGACCAACTCTTTATTCCCCCCTATTGCATCATCATGATGCACTTGATGATGTTCCTCATGCCAGCAACATACATATCCACACAAGACATTTCCTTTCCTAATTGCTTCATTTTGTGACATCCCACATTAATTATTCTCCTCAACTAATTAAGTTAACAATGGTACTGTTTATTATATTTGATTAATTGATTGTATGTACCTCATCTGTCGCCATTGAATTAAGGTTAAAGGTCGACATGCATAAATATTCTCTTCTGGACGAAAAACAATGGCAATTTGCACTTACCTTTTCCAGATTTTGCTGAGCTCTGCAGGGCAAAGTATGGTAATCAGGTAGGCCGGAACAGCCTGTTCCTTGTTGATCATCATTACATGATATGAATTATAATCATTCAAGGCCTGGGTTGGTGCCTTGTTTGCTGAAAATATAGCTTAACTTTTGAGAAGTGACATTTGACGGAAAAAAAAAAATAATGATAAAAATCAAGAGCATTAAGAGCTTTTAAAAATGGAGAGAAAATAACTAGTACTTTGTCTGTCTCAAAATTAATATCCAATTCATATTTTCACTTTTAGTTCAATTTGTATTAAAAATAAAAACTTAAACTGCATAATAATTTCAGGACGGAGGGAGTACTAGATATGTGAAATTTTTAGCATGCCAAAGGAAATCTGAGTCCAATCCAAGTGGGCAAAAACAAATCAGCGATGAGGTGCTTTGAATGTTATACCGAATGTCACTTTAAACTCCTAATTTTTTAGGTTTGTAGTGTTACATATTAGTACAATATCAATGTTAATGGAGGACAAAACTTGAACACCATGGTAAGATGACTGTTTTGTGACTGGTTGGTTAGTTAAAACCAAAATTCGTCTCTTTGTAAAATAAAACACTATAGTTCTGGTGGTGTAGTTTGTGAGTGCCGGTACAAGAGAGATTTCTCCTGAACTTTTATGTCAAAGGTCGAAAGTTTATTTGTTTGGACTTGCAAAATGGAAATAGAATAAACTCCATTAGACAGAGTATATTTATTTATTTATTTTACACACTGTGGAAGCTTTGAGAAGCTTGGACTACAGGCCCATTGTTTGAGGTACAAATGAGCTATCCAAAACTAATTTACTTAAGACTAGACTCGGGGGTATCAACAAAATATTCATCCCCGGTGGAGCACACCATCTCCCCCCATGTGTTTGTAGTCAACGTCAACGGATGATTGGAATTGAAGCTACATCTGGGTTTGGATCCTATTCGTTTAGGCCATCTAAATGTTAGACTCTGGATTTATGATTTGTGGGCTTTAAGCGTAGTGATACTGGGCTGGATTCTCTCTTATAGCTATTCTATTCAATAATAGCGGTTATTAGTAAACAGATTATGTCATAATTATGTTCCATAGGCGCAGGGTGTCCGAATGATTTACTACATGCAAATTAGTTTTCAGTTAACCAAATGGGTTGTATTGTAGTGATAAAGAACTTCTACCCTCTTAATCATTGGTCGAAAATTCAAATTTGAGAATAGAGTAAACTTTACATTCTTTGGCCAACTCTCCCAATCATCAATGTGCTTACAATGCGTAAGGAAATTAGTGATTGTTGCCGACAGTGAACATTCTGTAATAAAAAAAAAAAAAAGTAACATGAAAACAAAAATAGTTATCACTTCTCATTAATATCTAAAAACCCACTTTTAAATAGCAAAATCGCCTAATATTGTTATTCTAAGTCATAATTTTCGAACCCGACAAGTACTTAAAACCAATTCTTTTAGCTCTTGGACCAAATAAGTATAGATAGATTATCTTCATAATTTAATACCAAAAAAAAAAGTACAAAGTTGAAATTTCACAAAAAGAAATTGAAGTGACTAATATCATCATCCAAGTGAACTTATAAAGCACAAGCTGTAACTTCTTTAATTAACCGCATTATGCATCTTAAACTTGATAACGTCGTCGCCAAATTCAGCTCCATCATTTGTGTTGATTGTTGGCAGTACAATTTTATTTTAAATTATCTGATAGTCCCCTTGTCTAAAAAAATAATCCACACAGTTTTTAAATCTGTATTAAAAGAATTAAAAATTTCAAAATGCAATGTAAGTTATTTTATAGGAACAAATGTAGTACTAAAATCTACATTAATTAAATGTATTAATCAAATGCAAGCAGGTACCTTATTTATCGTGTGCTTTCTTTAGGTAGAGACGGCATAAGAGGCAGTGTGCAACCCAACGGACTTCCTATTCCTAATGGTGCATATGAACCATCTTTAAGATATAATACACATTGATAACCGAATTTTTTCTCTTTTTTTTTTCTTTTTTCTGGATACAATATCATTGAAAAATTTAATGTAACATATTCACACTTTCACGCATATAAAATTGTACAAAAAATATTTCATCCAATCTTTTTTATAATTCTGAAAATTAAAAGTAAATTAACTCAAACTTCTGTCTTATAAATAACGCGGGAGGGATTAGATTATAGAAATATCTTGTAAAACCCCGTAAATTGAAGTAATATACATACTAAATCAAAGTCTAAAGCTTAGCTGCCATGGAGATGGGATTAAGATCCACCTGAGCTTAGCGTTTGGGGGTGGTAATGGTATTGGTTTTGTCATTTGCATGTCTGGGGGGAAAAACTAGGATGATTAATTAGGAGGAACTGAGAGATTTGAAACAAAACAATGGGCGCTACTTGTGATTCTTTAATACGCCAATATCTCAATCCTCGTAGCCTTTCCAGATTCACTTGTCTGCCTCTTCCCTTTATTTATCTCCCATCATCTACTCTGGTGGAGCTTAAAAGTGGCACACTAACAATCAATTTGCTTTATGTTATTCAGATCCACAATATTGACTCTATCTGAATGATTTAATTTCCTGCTGAATTAATTCAATGTTATTACTTGAGACTTGAGAGTAATTTTGTCTTTTATATTCTTTGAATTGAACACTTTTTCATAAGTGATTAAAGTTCATTATCTTACCAATCCCTGACCGAAAAAACTTCCCACAATTTTATTCCCTCCGTTTCTAAATAAGAATTTATACAACAAACTAATATGAGCAGTATAATAAATAAAACTTCTTTTTCAAAAAATAAAAATAAAAATTTACTTTAGGATGGAGTTTGGAGTAGTAACGAACTATGTAACCTCGGATGATTGCTACACTATATTTGATCTTCGATACTAAAATCCATACACCGAAAATAACCGCCCTTACATAAAGCACAAGAAAATGCTGCTTAGTGCTACTATTAAAAAGGAGCAAAAGCCGAGACCAACAAACAACAGGGAATTTCAGAGGGAAAAAGATATGGTTGGTACAGCGGCACTAGTCAAATACCAAAAAGTTACTACTAATTAAAACCCAACTTGATTAATTTGTTCTCACAAATTGAAAACTGTTTAATATACGTTCCTATATAAAGTTCATATCAGCATGCATGCAACACAGTCAGTAGTGAGTACACAATTTAAAACTGTAGCACAGAAAAGATGAAGACCGGACGGATTTTAGCGGCTATAGATTTCATCATCTTCATCACCCTGATCAACTATGCTAAAAGCATTGAATCCCCCGAGTACCGTGTGGTGCTGCGATTGGATTCTGATACTGAGATCAGACTCTACAAAGAATCGCTGTGGGTGGCTGCCCTGGTTAAGAATTCTACTTCCTTCGAAAAGACCACCAAAGATGGTTTTCACAGGTCTCTTCCTCATTCTACATCACATTTCGGATTTTTTTCGTTAAATTTTTTCACATTTTAGTAATCACTTCGTTTGCTGCATACCTGTTCGATCACAGGGTGTACCAGTACATTCATGGCGCCAACCTCAACTCTTCCCAAATGGTGATTACTGCTCCAGTTTTAACTACCTTCTCTAGTGCAACTGGTGCCACTGATTCTTATGTCAAGTTTTATATGCCTGCAAAATTCCAACCGATGCCTCCATTCCCGATGCCTGAACTTAACCTGAACTTTGAAAGGTGGAGAGCTCAGTGCTATGCAGTAAGGAAGTTTCCTGGTTTTGCTAAAGATGAAGGCATTAGTAAACAAATTGGTGCTCTTGTTGCAGCATTGAATAACGACCTATCTGGTGTGGTGCAGATTTTGGATGATAGAGCATATTCCTTTACAATTGCTCAGTACAATGCTTCATCTCGTCTTACTGGCCGCTTGAATGAAGTTTGGTTTAATGTATCAGCTTTCGCACTTGAGGGATGCCCTTCTTTTAGATAGAAGTCTCCCCTTCCTTTAGTATGAAAAGAATAAACTATATTTCATGTATTATTAATCTGCAACATTCCCATCGTGACATGTATCAAGGCTGTTTGTTGAACTTAATTATTGCTAACAGTACATCATACCATACATTTACTATGATCTTAGAGCAAAGCAATGTTTTTGCTTTGCAGTATAGTGTGGTGTAAGAAATTCACGTGGGAGGTTTCAACTTCATCTCCAATTTACTACAGTGTCTCCATATTTCAGAACATGTACATAGAAGTATAGACTCACATCTGAGGCCTTGTCTGCACGACATATATTTTTCCGTCCTTCACAACACCTTCTATGTCCTGAGGAGACCCATATAACTTTTCAATTTCACTTCCTGTACGTGCGATGTCTGATAGGATCGATTGACGGAAGCTATTATCAATTATCAATGGATCAGATGTGTAGTCAAGCACAATCTCCTCTTCTTCATCCATGGGGACACTGCATGAAGGAAAAATTACATTCATAGTGATGTTGACTGTAAGAGCTCAAAAATAGCTAACGCAGAACACTTTGGGTCAGTTAACTCCTTTTTGTGGTAAACTGTAAAGATCTATTGACAGAAACCCAAACATAGTTCACACATAACAAAAGTCGGGGAGAATATTGACTCAGTATTTGCTATTCTGCACTAGTCAAACCTTTCCTCATACATACTGACTTGGCTGTACCTCACTATATCATGTTATGACATATTTTCCCAGCGGGCTAAACCTCCAAAATTCAATAGTTAGAAATATGCTTTAGGGATCAGAGAAAAGCTTAGGGAGGGGTTTGTTCAAGATAGGTGGAGGGCTCATCAGAATGGTGTCTATACTATAGCCTCTGGTGTCCAATTCCTGACAGGGGTGGTACCAAAGCAGAAGGCTTCAGTAGTCATAAATATCCCAAGACACTGCTGCATTGTTTGGCTGACATGGCAGGGAAAGTTACTTACAAGAGAAAGACTTAAACAACTTGGCATGGAGATTGATGATGACAGTTGCCCTCTGTGTAACCAACATCAGGAAACAGTAGAGCATCTGTTTGTCAACTGTCAGTATGCAAAGGAGTTGTGGCAGAAATTGAGAAATTGGATAGAATTCCCCGTGAATTGGTTGAGGGGGAGGAATTGGTGTAGGCTGGATTATGTTTGGAAGGGGAATTGTGTAAGGAAAAAAGTGATTATGGCGGTCATTGTAGCAGGTTATTACCATCTATGGAAGGCTAGAAATCTCAAAATCCATGAAGGTGAACTCAGAGCTGTTGATCAGATTGTGGCGGATATTGGCAGAGAATTGCGATGGAAGGTGAGAGGCAAGTTGCAGAAGATCAAAGCAAGTGATCAAGTATTTTTGCAGGCTAAAGATCTTTGGTAACTGAAGGTGGACAATGGTTAAAATCATCATATTTCGGTTCTTTTGTTGCCAGATTATATTGTATAGAGATATAGCAATGTTAGGCGAATGTATATGTGTGTAAATATGTGAACCTTTTGTGATGAGTAGCAATATAATTTACATTTTACCCAAAAAAAAATATGCTTTAAATCTTACCTGTCATAGAGACCAGCACCAGCATAACCTTCGAGGTCCTCACCATTAGAGTCGGATCTAAAAATTATGGATCGCCTTATGAAAAGTCCAATGGGTTTGCTGGGATAACCCAATACCTGAAAATTTCAAATCATGACTGATGTTAACAGAAAGAAATTCCAGTAGTATGAGCGGCTACAATTTTCACATGCATGGAACAAAACAACATTAAGAAAAGAAGTGCAATCACGACATGCATAAACAGATGATTCCATGGTTGCCTAATCCTGAGGCAAATTACAAAATCGGCTCATGTAAAGTCCACGTGCTAAAAATTACATCTGATTAGTAGTGATTTAATCAATGGTTGCTCCCCCTAAAAGTTATTAGCTATCCAAGGTTGTAGTATGACCACAATTTTTTCTTTCAAGTACTTGTCTTTAGTATGACCACAACTTCCAACTACAAAGTTCAAGATACAATAGCTATCTACCTGTGGAGAACTGAGGTCATGTTTCTTGGAGATAAAACTCAATGCCCGACCTGGATAAGCACCTACTAGCGTTTCTCCAAGTCCCTTTACAACCTGTTCCAGAAGAAAAACAAAAATATAAAGCATATATCATTAGTCACCAAGCATCAGACACAAGCCAGAAGATTCAGGAGATCTAGTGAAATTGATTTGATGGTCAATGACTGAATAAACCAAAATAGGAAGTTAACCATATACCTCTGCATATATTTCAGACGAGTCTCCTGAAGATGGGTTGGTAGTATGAATAACAAATGCATAATCAGCATTTATTATCTCCTGAACAAGGACAGCCATGCAAAGATAATCATGGTCAAGTTTGACCTTTCTAGTGCTGAAGTATGCTCTTTCATTCCATTTTGATGCCCAGACCTAGAAGGGATATTTCAACACATCAGTGCTCTTAGTGCTACTTGTAGCAACTCTGAGAAGCATATCAATGTCAAAAAAAACCAGCAATATATGGCCACCGTGCTTTACAAGCCCGGTTGTCGCTAGCAAGCTTAACACAGGCTCTAGGAAGATGAACTTCTCTGGTGCTTGGAACCTAGCAGCATAAGACCTAATGAACATACACTTGAACATACCTTCTTTATGGCGGTCCATGCTTGTTCCCACCGCTCCTGACCTTCATCACCAGGCCAAGGCATGCCAGAAGTCTTCATCTTGTCTTTGAGTTCATTGATCTGAGTGACATTAAGAAATGAAATTTCATGATAGGTACAGCAGACATTAATAAAATGACTGGTACTAGAAGATGGAAACTTAATTGCTTCATGTTAAAATCACACTCCAAAAATACAGGCAAACTTTCCAAAGCAGAGAGCACGAGTCCCAGTCACGACCAACATAATTATCAGATAAAAAACTAAGGCAAGTTAGCACGTCTTGGACCGAGCAGTCTCTTTCAAAAAAGAGGCTAAACACGAAGATAAAAAAACTTGACGATTTATGGGGGGAAAAAATGATTTACCAGCTTGGGTGGTGCCGAAAGGTCCAAAACTGTCCTACGAATTTCACCAAGGACATGGAAGTCTTCTCTATGTAATTTTTTCTTCAAATCTTCAAGTTTTGCTGCCACTTCCTGCCAAGAACGATTGCAAATCAAAATCTTTGATACAACAACAATGAGCCTTTATCCCTCTATGTGGGGTCGGTTATGATATATCACACTAATATTTGATTTCTGGTAATGATGATCAGAAAACAGCAAATTTTGTAATCTTCAAAAAGAGAGTGCCATAAAATTTTTCCTTATTTAACTAGGTATTCAAGTGAAATAACAGTAGACTACATTATAAATCCATTAACTTCACAAAATGAATGTACCTTATTTAAATCATCTGAAACCACCTCCTCAAAAACCCCAAAAGGAAGAGCAACTGAGGTAGGAATCCTGATCCAAGATGGCAATTTTCCCTTAAGATGTGCAATATTACGAGACTTGGCTCCAACCTTGAGGAGTGGAAATAATGAAAATTAAAAAGGCCAAATTGCTGTATTAGTGCATTAATTTTGTAACAGCTTTACCCGTAACAAAATAAGGGATATCATTGTGGACTAACCATTTCATTGGTGAATTCCTCGGATGATATGGCGTACCTACCAGAAAACTGTTTCTTAACTAAAGTTATGGATGGTGAAGGGCCATCAACAGTTAAGTTACTTGAACTGGTCAGCTCATCTTCATCTACCTCACTGCATTCGGGAAGTCACAAGCATAATGAATTTCATTTTAAAAGGCATCTAACTGTGAGGGAGTGGAAATCCATATCACAGAGCTTCAAATGGAGTCATACAGAAGCATACCAAAGAAGCACTAATGAGTAATGAAACCAGAGAATGTGAATCCTTCGGAGTTACCTATAAGTGATATCAGAAGAAGTAGGTTTTAAACGCAATAAACTCCCCTCTTTGGCTTGCAAATCAGCCAATATGCTAGAGTCAAAACACGTGGCGAAGCACACCTGTTTAGGTGCAGATATATTAAAACAGAATGTTAGAGTTCCTCACAACCACTAGGCATTGTAATCTTGTCCAAAGTCTAACCTTGCTGTTTCTTGCTCGAACAGAAACATGAGAGAGAACATCAGGCATATCTGGAGTTAACACAGCAACAGTGCCATCAGGAATTTCTTCCTCTCCTTTTACAGATTTTGCTACCAAAATTGTTGGTCTTTCATAAGATTTATGTTGGATGGAAAGCAGCTCATCAACAACAACAACATATCCAACAGCTTCAACTGGACTGATAACCTGCCAACTGTGTAGGCCATCAAACCCAAATCAATCAGCATATAAACCTCGAAATCATATCATATGGCACAAAAAATTCGCTACTGCTCTATCATGTCCATCCGGCATCACAAATACAGATTTCAAGCTCACCAGAAAGATCATAAGTTGATGGCACACTTCTAAATCCCATATAAATGACTAATCGAGTTATATTAAAGCAATTAAACATAAACACGAACAGATATCAGATCAACCTTCCCAAATGAGCAGTTTTCCGAAGAATGGGATCTAGCCTATTGAGAAGGGCAGATAACGAAGCTGCAGATCCGGCTCGAATCATTTCTTCGGTGAATATATTCACCTGCATCCAATAACAACAGAAGATTAACAATGTCATTTTCTAAGGTGAAATCAAATTTTGTTTTGACGTTTATATCACTTCAATAAACATACAGCCCATCGATCCACCCCAAGCTGTGACCCGAGATACTCGGCAGATGGTTGTAATAACTCATGGTACCACTCTGCCTTGCTTGCGAGTGCGAGTCTCGTGCGGTCAAGAACAGATTTTGCAAATAAAGCCGCATTAGTATCTCCTGTCTTGTACATGTTTAGTGCTTGATCCCATCCCTTGAAGGAAAACGGGTTCGTTAATCAATCACTCAAACAAACAAAAGTCAGAAGTATATTAATGCAAGGGCTAATGCATGTATATGTTCCTAATGCAGAGGTTAGTGACTAATAACCATCATTTAGAGGTTCAATGTAACAAGTAACTAAAAGCTTTTGCTTGATGCAACTAAATAAAACAAGCAATATATATAAATAGACACATACACACAAACAAATACATTTGAAGGGTAGTAGTTCTGAATTGAGGATTCAGGAAGATAAAAAAGATTCTGTTACATTTTCATTTAACTCTTCCAGACATAAGGAAAAAAGTATATCGGTGAAGCAATACCTTTGAGCAATAAACGAGGTCTTCATTGTCATCAACTGAGAGCACAAGGTTTTCCAGGACAAGAGAAATGAAATACATAACTTTCTGCAGAGTAAAGAGATACATGATACCATAATATGGAGAAAAGCAGGAAAAGCAAAAAAAGGTTTTTCGTCTCAATGGAATTTGAGACCCAATAGAATGATTATATATAGCAGTGAAAGGTAATACCTCGGGCCTGGCATTATTCAACTCTTCATAACCCCTCTCCACAGCAGTTCTCACAGAAGAATCCAGTGCAAGGTCCAAAAATATAAGGTCCTTAAGTCGGTCATTCGGCTTGAAAAGCAATGGCTTAAGCTCCTGACGGGCCTCAAGCAAACCCTAGTACAAGATTTTCACAATCAAATTTAAAAAGCTGTTAGCTAATTATACAAGTTTTTTGAAAAATAAAAATTGCTAGAAGGATGTGATACCTCAAGTAGAGCCTCTACATTTTTATCTTCAATGTGATCCAAAACAAATTGAAGCAGTTCCTGCAAAAAGAATTCAATATCCGTAATAGAATGTCCAGAACCATTTTGATTAGGTTATTATGATATATTGTGCTGAAACATGGATCTTTTTCTGTCATACCGGGAACCCAGATGGCAAGCCCGAAACAGGATTTATTTGCACTCCGACCATGAAACCTTCCCCCTGAGAAGAAAGAGATTCTGCTTAGACAAAGTGGGCATAAATATAACTTTATTGTCTAAGACTTTCTTACTCATCCAACTACCTCTGCCCTATATCCCATGCAATTTGCAACTGCGGACTCAAGATCAGCACCAGAATGCACTGCCTGGACAGATACAAGTGAACAATAGCTCAAACATTATCATTTAGGGCTAAATATCAGAATGTGGTGTTATCTGCGCAAATGACGAGACTTCAACCCATGACTAAGAATGCAGATAATATATAAGAAAAAATTTCAACTCACAACATTTCCTGTAGAAAGTCATAAGAAACGAGCAAATATAAGAAAAGGTTATTAACAGTTTCAGAATATATTGGAATGAACAGCTATAATAGCAGCTAAAGAAGCCTCAAATGCATTGGATCTCTATTACTACTAGTAGATGAGTATAACAACAAATAAAATTCATAAACTGTTTCTTTCAAAATCTCAGCAGTGAAATTTACTTTTAGGAAGAACATCACTTTCAACGGCAAACTCAAATTTATGGAAACGCGATGCTGACAATCGTTCAGGGAGAAATAATAATAAAAAAGACAACAATGTAGTATTGACCTTCAATGTTCTCATGTAATTCCCAAGATCGCGTAGAAGACCTTCCTTTTGATCGCTCCTAAAGTTTGGTTCTGAATGGATTGCGCGATCATAACTGAGGAGTCGTTCCTTTGTTATACCATTATCATTAAGAGTCTTCCAGTAGACACTAATGTCCATGTCACTTTTGATATAGTCAATTAATGCCTATGAAAAAGAAAAGAAAGGCTAAAGAAAATGGAGGAAAATGGAAAGAATGCAAATTTGCCACAATTACCTGACATATCACCACATCATCAGGGCTTGTGTTGTTATGCAACTTCTGATGCCACTCCTCCATCATCCCACCCTTGCAGTCGTTTTTCCTCTAAAGATTGGAGAACAAGGCTTATTAAAGAATACAATGTCAGGAGTCAGAACATGAGAGAGATGCATAATGAAGGATTCAGATGTTCACCTGGATAACCAGGATTTCATCCCTTATTCTCTGTCCCACATCTCCTTCACCTCCCCGACCAACTGTTGACATAATCATTCTCAGAACCTCACGATATTCTGGATGACTAATGTACGTCTTCTGTAACAGGTCTGTAAGCCTGTCCTGAGCCTTGCTAATCTCACTACACCAAAAAAAAGGCCAAAAATTGATTAAGTTTAAGATAAAGGATCCAGGGGTAGAGTGACGCAGATTAACAGCACAACTGAGCAAGAAACTTTTTAAGAGAGAAGTTAGCTAGCCTCAGCAAATGCTCCAGATAATAAGCAGCAGGGAAAATAGTAAAGCTCCAAAACTTCTCCAAAACTGATCAATTATTAGCATGCATAAAAGAGTTGTTAAGGTGCTTGTAACTTTACCGTGGCTTCACATTGTAGTTCTTGTTCCATATCAACTGTCTTGTAGCCATAAATCTCATCCAAACAAGAATCCCAGCAAAACCCAGTTCACCCCAGCGCGTAGCTTCTTCCACCAAGTCCGCTGCAATATTAAATCTGAAAAATAAAAAATGTCACCAGCAACAATAAGATGGACCTTTTATTCAGAAAGTCGAAAACCATAAAAAATAGTTGAAAGTATATCCATATATTAAAATTTCAATAACAAAATCCATAATATGACCATATATCTCTACTCAGAAGGAATATATAACAGAAACTCTAACCGAATAGCATATAAAAGACAATATTAAAGTACAAGGATGGGTCAGGAGCAATCTACTTCTTGGTATCAAAGTTATTTCAGATAAGATACTTTAACAACTTGGGAACGTTATTGGACTGCTGATGAGATATGAGCAACAAAAGCACAAATATTCGAACAAAAATCAGTACTCAGCATAGGAGCTCAGAGAAACTAGACCATGATCGTCTACAATTTCAAGTCAAGTCAACTCATCCTCGTTGAGTGCATTTTATGCAAGGATTTTATTTCCAAGGTAGAACCAGAAGTACCAACTTAGTATTTAATCTTAAGTTTCCACACCATAATGACGGTCAAGTTACAAATTTCAAACTGGCAATAATGTACTTCTGTATAATCAGACTTAGGATTTCTCGTAGTAATGTACAAAAGGCTGACAGGTACAGAACAACAGAATCCAATAAAGCTCCTCACCTATGCATGAAAGACTTCTGGGCCTCACCTTCCAATGCAGCTATTTTGTCCAGCAAAGCCTTAGCTGTCCCCTCACCATCACCAGATGCCTAGTTATCAACAAGGGCCAAATCTCACCACATTTGAATCGTGATATAAAGGAATTATAAAGTAGGTGCTGAACAGAAAAGAAAGCAGTTGTTCTTTTTGGCCATTTATGTTTGGGTGAAGTGAGGGACATAGAGAAAGGTACCGGCTGGAACTGAATTGGTTTGACATCAAACTCAACAAAAAAGTCTGAATCATTGTTCTTAATCCATTTCCCATCAGCGACAATAACAAATGGCATCCCCAGATAACCATCATCTTCAATTTCTATATCAAGGGTCTGGACCTGAAAGAGCAGTTGCTAAATGAGTGATACATCATGATTTCCTTATAGTTTTCTTGCTTTCTATCATCTAAATTTTAAAATTCAAGATACAGAATACCTTGTCAGTCATGTGATCAGAAAAACTGTGCGAAAAATTTGTTTGGACAGCTGTACCCAAAGTAACAGAACCAGGGGGCAGAACATCCAAAGGAGGCTCCTATATTTGCATCCACCAAAAACTGTCAGCAATTCACTTAAGAGGTATATTTTCTCTCATTCTAAAAAAGTACAAACTTATCACTGGGGATCTCACCTTCCACTCTCCATGGTTTTTGGATAGAGCCCAGTGAAGAACCACTGGTTCTTTAACGTCTGTGCCCAGATAAACTTTTATCATGTTAGCTGACCTCGTAACGAGCACCTTCAAATGACGAGGAATGGAATGTCAGTGATACCAAGTTTTCACCAGTTTTACCAATCTAGGCATGTAGGACACATTCTTACCAGAAGTTTCCCGTTAGAAATATCAAACATTTTTTGGTTCACTATATCACCATCAACTTCATCTTTCTTGGCGTTAGCAAATAGCTCGATTGCAGATAAAGGCTGAGGTTCCGAAATAATTATCTCTTGTTCAGACCTAGAAGCATACTTGTTAATTAATTGCTCTTTGTTCCTCTTCTTCCGCTGAACTCTTTCCATAGTAGAGTACTTCTTCTTCTCAGGTTGTTTAGAAACCTTGGTTTTTATCTCTCCCTTTTCAATCTTCTCTCTTATCTCATGAAGCAAAACACCTTTTTCAAGCTCAAGTTGAAGCTCTTTCCTTGCTTCTTCGAATTCTTTCTGCAGTCAATCAGACATTGAATGTAAACAGATCGTGATAGGTTAAAAGACTTAATGTGTGTTGGTGTTAAAGCATCTAAGTTGTTTCCAGTGCACAAGATCAAACTTAGGTTTACCATTTGTTGCTCAGGAGAATAGTTTGGCTTTCCAGCTTTTTCCCATCTTATATAAGCTTGTTTTTGCGCAAGATCATCAGGTATGCTGATCCTTTCTGGAGGTGCGTGATCCTTACTTTCATTTACTTCAGTCTTGTTAATTATTCTTGCTCGAAGGTCCTGTATAGAAGTACCCCTAGCTATTTCCTCCAGTAACTCAGTTCTAGCAGCCTCATATTCCTCCTGCAAAAGATAATAACATGCACAGAAGTCCAGCAATAATCATCTGAAACTAGGAGAGACATGGCTGAGATTCATGACAAAATACAGCATTCCCATTCATTAATCAATGTGATAGCGTAAATGCTGCTGAGATACTACGTCAGTTAAATATTCCTTACAGAAAAATACTTTTAAGCATTATGAAAGAATTGATACTGTTTTTAATGTTAAATGAATGGGTGGTCCTAAGCGGAGGAGCAAAACTATCAGCAAACCTGGAGACTTGAAAAAGTGAAGAAAAAGCCATCATTGAACAAACAAACTTATGGCGTAACATAGGGGAGAATTGAACTAAATATTATGCCGAAAAGACAAATTCAATGATTAAAACATAAATTAGGAGGAGTAACTGACCTTCTCTTGCTCAGGAGTATACATCTGTTTTCCCTTCCGTTCCCACCTTAAGTATGCATGAAGCTGCACAAGATCTTCCGGCAGAGATACGTTTGAAACGCCTGGTTCTCCATGAGGCAGAGGTAAATTAATGCAAAAGTTGCCACCATTATCTTTAAACCTAATGAATCGGTACAAAGGAACATCAATTATTGCATTCAGGGAAAGGTGTCATCAGGATAGCTGATTGAATAGACACATTACCATTTATTCCTGGCTTCATCAAAAAGAAGAAACTCGATAGCTTGTATTTTTGGATCATCAATCTCAATTCTTAGAGAAGCAGAGTCACCAGACTGCAATGTAATAGTATTAGTAATTATTACAGAAATAGTTATTCTCAAACCACAGAACTAAAACGCATGGCAATGCTGGTTTACAATATCAGTTAAAATGTACAGCTGATTATAACTTACTTTAGAAAAACGACTCCTAAGGGCTTTGTTCTTGTACACTTGAGTTTTGTCTGGCCGACGATTAGGCAGGACCCATTGACTGATCACGTAAATGAGGTTAAAATAGGTTAAGACTGCATAACGTAAAGTGGAAATGTACAAAAGCACACATGTTAATGGAATAAACTTACCCCTTCCTAGAGTGTAAAGCACCCCAATGCAGAATAAAGTTATCTCTATAAGGTGTAACTCTAATATCAACAATGAATCCAGACCCTGAATAAGGAGCCTTCACATCAACCTGTTAACGGCATAGAAATTGCATGTCAAAACAAATGCATCCTAATGCAGTAGTCAAAGAAACTAGTTAACATTCATGGAATGAAACTCAACATGATAATCTCATGCATCATATATCATCAGAAGATCTAAGTAAAATACAACATCCATACCTCCAAGTCAAAGTTCCCGTCTAGTTTGAACTTTTCTACAACCTGTTGGTAAGGATGACACATCCATGGTTAATGAACAGATCCACAATCTTTATTATCCACACAATTCTAGAGAAGTCTGAGAAGTGAAAATTTTTCAGCATTCATGCTACAAGATATTTACGAAGCAGATTGCACAACAGTCAACATGATATAATCAAACCTAAAGTTGTACTCAAACTGGCAGTACTTAAAAAACTAATAGATTGTACGATTGTACATGAGTAATGCAGTGACAGAAAGTTAAATCACTAAAAAGGTTCATCAAGTGTATTACTGTCTCATACGATTACTAAGTGCTGAAAAGGGTCTAATTGTCCATCCATACAGACAGAAGACAATGTTTATCAAGGCATGGAACAAAAATGCAAATTAAGAGTTATACAAGACCAGCTTATGATACAACGTTGGAATTCAACATTTCTAAGTACAACCAAAGCTTGTACACTTAACTCAATTAAGAATTGGTTATACTTTTCACCATAGCTAACATAGATTAAAGAAGCTAGGTTATCCCAGTTAATGAGAAAGCATAGAATCATTAAAATTACACATAAACGTTTCAGTATCCTAAAGTCTGAAAAAGGAGACAAAAGATTAATTGTGTAATTATCAAAAGTGACATCATAACTCCAGGAAGCTCACCTTGGAGGGAGGATCAGCAGCTAAAACAGCCTGCGGAAAGACCAAATGAGAACGATGTTTTCCCATAGATAATTTCTTTGTCTGTGTGGTTAACTTTATGCCCCCAAACTCAGTTGATAAAGGCGATTTCCGTGCCAGAGAAGTTGCTTGAGGTGGAATTAGAGTATTGCCCCCAGTGCAACTGGAATTTATTCTGCTCTGCGGCTCTAAAACTGTTGAAGGTAGCCAACTCTGTTGCATCAAGTTATTCCCTATTGAATTGCTCATACTCCCAAAACCTATGTCATCACCCAATATTCCAAATTAGTGAACTGTTCACACCTCTTCAATATTGTACATGTACGTATTGATGCACTGATTCTTTCCAATCATTAATGAATGAAATTATAAGTGAAACTTTCAACAAGTGAGGGTGACACAGTTACCATTTGTAAATGCATAAAAGAAAAGGAAGCTTGTGCAGATATGCAATTCACAAATTTCAGGAGCTTGAATATAGAATTTGAAGTGAAAAAGTTTAAATGTAAAACAATTGGCAATATTCCAAATCTTAATTAACAATTGAAGTATCTTTCAACAGAATTTAACACGCGTGAACACTTCAAAGACAGTCAAAGAATTAAGCAGGCATACATGAACACACCGAAAGATCGCTTGCAGGAGGAACACACTGGACCACAGAATGAATGACGACAGTAAATTAGATTCCAATTTGATTCCTCTATCAAGAAGCAAACGCGTGAATATCCATAACCTATTAGAACTAATCACATTTTACTTCGATTCCACGCAAAAGCTGGCAATACGACTAAAACATGCTCCTCCGAAGAATATGCATGGAAGCACACTTCCATCGTTCATCGATCACACCAAAATAAATAACTAAATAGAAATCCAATCGCAGTTCACCTCTAAATTCGTTCTAACATGTTAATCGGAGCAACTGTGAAACAAAGAGAATCAATGCAGTGGGAATCGAGCTAACTTTACCTTCAATTGACAAGAATTTCCGAGTGATGAAAGTCGAGGAATGAATCGCAGGTGAATGAATTGGTGTTTGAGAGTGTGAGTGTGTGAGAGAGAGTAGAGTTTGTGTGTGTGTGAAGGCCCGGAGGTTTTCTGGAGAATCGGACTTTGGAAATGGAAGGAAACAGAGACGACGTAAGAGGGGGAAGATTTTTAGTAGCAAGGAGGGAGGCGATGGGAAACGTGTCCAGATATGATTAGGACACGAGTGATTCAAAAGTGTGGGAGTGCGTACTTTGATCACGTGCGGTGGTGTAAAACGGATACCCGAAACGGAAAAGCTGGGGCGGGCCGTGGTGGGATCCGTGACTACAGGCTTCCATGATTCGTTGATATTTGGGCCCTATTTGTCCAATAATCTTTTTCTTTTTTCTTTCTTCTTTTTGTGATATGATACTCTTACTGTATTAATTTTGGCCTGGCTTGATTTTGATTGTTTGGCTGATGATAATAGAGACAAGAAGAAACAATCTTCTTTGAATCTCTGATTGATTTGTGGAATCTTCTCCCCCTTGGATATTTTATTGGCGATATTTTCAGGCGTACCATTATTATGTATATTATATGCAGTTAACTAATTTTCTGTGACATGTGGTTTGAAAATGTTGAATATTCATTTATCACCATTACAAGAGAATCACCATAATGCATAAAACCTGCAAAGGAAAATAGGAAAAATTTCGATATGTAAAAGACATCCAGAATTTAAAACTAACATTAAAATTGTACACAAATAATAACTGATATATATACCACCAAAAGAAAACATTATTCATTACTAATTAGAGAATCTTCTATAATTTTGGAGTTGAAACTTCTATGATTGTGATTACTTATAACCTGCCCACTGAGACTGATCATCGCTCAAATCAAATCTGTGTACGTGTTTTCAGACATTTAAGTTATGGCGCCAGTCAAATGGATAAAATTTAGAGCAAACGAAATTAGTCCATAATTAATAACCTTAAGTTTATTGTCCTCTCCTTCAACGTTATAAAATAGAGTACATGGATTCAAATGAATAGAGAGGGCTTAAACTAAGCTCGGCATGTTCATAAGAGATTGTCCATTAGTATCGACGTTTAAAATGAACAGTGACTAATCCAAGATTTAAAAAAAAAAAATCATAAACTGATCATTAAGAGGAAAAACTTTTCCATCGACAAATTTATTTGAAGAAAGAAAAACTAAAATTCTGCATCTGCAATAAGAAAGATCAACTGATTCCCGCATTACGTTCGAATACTAGAAATCTGCACCTGATTAATGAAGAAAAATAAAAAGCAACGTGTCGAAATTCAGTAATTCACATGAGTCAGCAATGTTCAATTAACACTCAAAACTGTTCAAAGTTAAACGGACGTAATTACAACATTTGTGGCTCAATAATCCATGTGATTTACATTTTCGTAATGTTCCTTGCGCCAACAATGCAGAAACTAACGGTGGAATAATCCGTGGCAATATCCACGTACTTTTGGACTTGAGGTGATTTGAGTTCGTTCATTTCGAGCACATCAATGCAACCATGCAAGGAAGTAGCCATAGCGTTAAGCCATGTTAGGAAATTATCGTCGAAGGTAGCTCCATTCTCTAGGATTTCGAGAATCCTAGCGATGTTATAATTGAAACTGTCCAAATTACGATTACAATCTTCCCTGAGCAATCCTTTCACCTCCTTACCCACTGAACCAGGTAGAGTATTGGGTAGATTTGCGATCTCTTGCGCTACCGGTGCCGTTTCTTTCTTGACGGCGTTGAGGACGTTTGCGAGCGCCACTTCCCTGGTTGGGGCTCCGTTCACAACAGTGTTGCAAAGTTGCTTTCTCTGGGGATCGACCCTGGAGCAAAAAGGGCTATTAATGGCGGCATCAGCTGTCTTACTACTGATCACAGCCAAGAGGAAGACCGTGATGGGTAAAAACGCATGGGAGAAAGAAATGTGGTTCACCGCCATCGTTGTAGGAGTTGTTACACCTTTCCTTTTCTTAGCTTTCCTCTTTTCTTTTAGCTTACAATAGATGTTATGTTTGGAGTGATTTTGCTCGAGGATGTTATTTATAGGTGGTGAATGCGAGGAGATCTAGGAAAAGTGAAACCAATGTGTGATACACCGATAAAATAGTTTGATCAAGTGATCTTAATAGTATATCATATCAATGACCAAATGACAACTCTTTTCATGCATCGATCACTTTTTGGAGGCTTTGAATAATTTACGGCTACCATTGATTTTTGTGCCTGAGAGATTGTGACCCATCTTTTTACTCTTTAGGAATGGATTACCTTTACAATTTTCCAAAAATAGTAAAAAGGAGAAAGTATAATTCAATCAACTCGCTTTATTTTATATGATTACCTAATCTTCTCCAATGAAAAATAAAAATTGACTAAGACTTTTTCCTTAATTTCTTTTTTATAGAATCATATTGTCAAGCAACTTAAAAAGGGTCATTTAATTTAAAGTTTTAAAACACTATTCCCAACCATCAAATACATTAGAAGATCTAGGTGAAAGACAAAAACCGGAACTGCAAGCCAACATTCTCACGTATCTAGTTTGAACTTTTCTACAAACTGTTGGTTAGGAATGTGATATATCAATGGCTTAATTAATGAGTACATCAATTATCTTTCATCCCTGTCTTCAAATTTTAGTGAAGACTGAAAAGTAATAGATGGAATATATATTTTCAGTGTTTATGCTATATTGCCACTGCATATTTGTAGCATACTGCACAATGGGGTATAAATATATATCATCCTTGACTTAGCTTTTATGTATCAAAACCTAACACTATATAGAATGCATGAAGAGTCAGAAACTTAAAAAATGAAGAGGTTCATAAAGCGAAGTACTACTATCTCGTTCTCGTCTAAATAATATTTAGGCGGTGATGGAGGCAGAGAAATAGAAAAACGTTAAAGCTTTTAATTATTACTAGGTGTTAGACCCGTGCATTCGCACGGGTGTAAAATAGACTAATGTTTATTGTTTCTAGTTAATTATAGATAAATAAGAAAATAAAAGTTTGGTCACTGTGTTATTTTATTTTGACAATTAAATTGTAGGATGATGCAATAAAGATGAATATATCATAAAATTAATTTATAAATATATACTTCCTCCGTTCTATAATTATTGTCCAGTTTGTATTTTCATTTTTAGTATTGTACTAAAAATAAAATATCAAACTGGACAATATTTTGGGATAAAGAGAGTACTAACTATAACCGTCATATAATAAACCGTTATGAGATGAAAAAGGAAACATTGAAGTAAGAATAGAAAATAGACAGAGGTAAAATTTATGTACTCGCTATTGAAAATTAAGTGTTCATTAAAATCTGAAGTGAGAAGTTTGCAATACGTACAAACTTAAATCTCTTGAATTCGGACTTATGATGTCTCTTGTAAGGGTATTTTGACAATAATTTTATACCGCCTTACTTTGCAACTACAATGGGACCTCCGAGCTCTCGAAGCTTTCTTTGTGAAGGTTAAAAAAAATCATTTGATTGGATTGCGACAATGAACCTTGCTTGGCTGTTATATTGTTTGTCTTAGTACATTTAACTGAAACAAACCAAATTACACAATATGACACTGAACAGTTTCTGTACAATTAATTAGCCATGATTATAGGCTGAATTACAGAGCAAACTTAATAATTTTCACTTATCGTCACAATTGAACAAATGAAACAAAATAAACTTCATTAAATGCTTATAATCATAAGAATAGTGCTTAAACCTATGATGAATAATTAAATCTGGACTTATCTACAGAATCAGTGTTCATAATGTAAGTTCTCATCAAGTAACAAAACACCTACGCCTCATTGTTATGAATTAGAATAACCTCATGCATCATGTTCAAGATTAACTACATAATCATTATGCAAGACTACACATAATACTAAAAAGGATTTTTAGGTGCGTGTTCAACAAAACCTTATGATCGTCGTAACAGTTAGAATTTGACCTTGACATCTGGATCTAAGAGGAAAGGCATGTGTACTGAGAAAATGACTAAAGAAACTGCATGTTGATTTCAATAAAAGAATTCTCTCTACCCGTGCAGCAAACACTTCATTCTCATGTTATCTACTATAAGTCCAAAAGTATGAATGATAACTAAAGTTAAAAATTTGTTGAATACTTCACTATATATAATTTCATACAAACCCAAAGCTATCTTCAGTGATGGAGTATGTCTTTCCATTACTTGTTTATGCATAGGCAAAAACAGTTACTGATAAGTGACAAGAGCATTTCATATACAAAAAATGTTAAAAACTGTATTAATTAGAGGGTAACTTTTATTAACCAAAAGTATGAGCACATGGATTGAGATACCAAAAAGAAGCTCAAAGTTGTCACCTTGCCATTGATTTCACTGACTACGGAGAGAGCTACTTCGTTAGCTCATACTTCATAGACAAAGCTTCCAATGCATAATTGGAGTTTCAGCTCATGAATCTCGGTAGTTCATAATTGGATAAGAAGAAAAATACTAAGCTTGCAAAGATTGAATCCTTATTAAACAAAGTTTTTTTTTTTTTTGGTTAAAAAGTGAAAACCTTTACTGCCCAAATTTATATGGAATTTCGCTAATATTGGCAATGCAATCCACGCCCAAAAATAAATAAATAAAAAAATAAAAATCAGCTTCTAAAATTAAATGGATACCTTCTTTCCTTCCTCCAAATGAACCACATGTACTGCAAAAGCTATCTTTCTCCGCTCCAAATCAATTAAATTTACAGTTAGTCATAATTTGATTATTTCATCTTCAGGTCCTGTAAATCCTATCAAAACAATAAACTTTTGATGCGAAATTCGATATCGAAAATACGGAATGTAAAATAGTATGAAAAAAAATCCTAAATTCGCACTATTTATTGATGCCAAAAAATAGAAAAATTATTGTTTTCCTCATTATTCCCTCAAACATGGGTATAATTTGTTTTTTTGCGGATGCCTAGAATGCGGGCCTCTGCAATATCATTGGAGGAATACAATTTAAATTTATGAAATTGTAATCATAATAATGAATTCGCACATACATGATAAGATTTGTAGAAAGATGTTACATTGAATCCGCACATAAATTTTTACTCTTGGGATTTATTTTTTCCTATATTACAAAACCTTAATATTTAACCATTTTTTTGGGGTCAATTTTCCCAGAATTAACAACATCAATGAAAATCAAACGGATGCGCTGCAAGCCATACTCCATAATAATAATAATAATAATAATAATAATAATAATAATAATAATAATAATAATAATAACAACAACAACAACAACAACAACAACAATAATAATAATAATAATAATAATAATAATAATAATAATAATAAGTCAGCACCGTCCTGATAGAGGTCTTATTATGATAATCAATAAAATCATGTTAACTTAGTGTAATAATTTGCCCAAAAGGGTTTACTTTTTTCGTGGCTTGGGTTTTAGTACCTATTAAAAATATATATAATTAATTTAATTAATTTTAAATATATATATTAAATATGGAAAACTTAGTTATCATAAAATATTAAATATTAAGGTTAATTTTTAATTTTTATGGTGGAGTCGGATGAAGGTGGATGAAGAGTTTTGTTTTTCTTGTTTTTTTTTTTTTAAGCTATGTAGGATTTAGGATATAATAGTTATATTGTAAAAATTATCAATATGAGTGGTTACGGATTAGAAAGAGCTAATTAGAGCTAACTAATTATTAGTGAGTAAGTAGAAACATTAATTAAAGAGGACACTTGTCACTCATTTATATAGTGTTGTAGGAAGTGGTGTAGAAAAGTGGGTTAGGTGATCCTTAGCATCAACAAAGAGGATTGAAACAAAATTTGAGGATGAAATTAATTTCTTTGACTTAAACATAGACTGTAAATAATGGGGTCAGAAGTACTCATAGGTAAAACAGAACAATTAAATATTAAGGTAAAGAATTATTAAAAAAAAAAAATTCTTACGTGTAGGTGAAGAATCTAATCAGAATACATTCACGGCAACAATTGAATCTCTCAGTTATGCAAGCCTTCAATTTGACAGGAAGTATTGAATCGGAAGGTTGCGGGGGGTTTTATTTTTTCTTTGGGGGAAAGGTTGAGGGTTTAGTTTAGGAATGGAGGTTTTTGGAAAAAATTGGGGAAAAAATGTCCTGTACTTTAATATGTTCTGGAAACGTGGGATTCTATTAGGTATAATTCCCATTATTTTTTCTTTTCTTTCAGAATTTTGTTTTTCATTTTTTTTCTTTTCTTTTAGATTTAGGCGGGGAGAATTTTAAGCAAAGGCTGACACTTGAAATTTTGTGAAAAAAAATAGTTTTTGTTATTATTATTATTATTATTATTATTATTATTATTATTATTATTATTATTATTATAGATATATTTCATGGGGTTATTTTAGTAATTTTATTATTAGTGATTAGGGTTTATTTTCGGTTGTCTTTTCTATTTAAGGTTTTAGTCGCCGCTCATTGTAACTCAACTGTTGATTTTATAAAAGTTGAGAGTTATCTCAGAAAATCCCTAGGTGTTAGAGCTTTGGTTCCTATTTTCGGATATTCTTAGAATCCATGTGATTTAGGAATGTCGTATTTCTGGGTATTCTTAGAATCAACGGATTTATGATGGGTTACTTGTTAGGGTTCAAGATCGAGGCTTCCGCTAGCTACATCAGTTGGCATCGAAGACGGGTTCGTTCTTGATGATTTGTCGGTAGCGTTTACTTTTGTTTCCGATTTGGTTTGTTTGTGTGTTGTTGGGGTTATTTTCTATTTTCTTGCTTTTAGTCGGGGATTGTGTGGTGGAACAATCGGCTGGTTTTATTGGTTTTTTCTTGGTTTATTGAAATTGGCCCCAAACTAGATCATCTTGTAATTAAATTTGCTTCAGTTAATTGGTAAGTTTTGTTCGGTTTTGTGAAAGAAAGTGTGCGGCTACATTTTGTTGAAACCATCGGTGCGAGTATTTAAAGGTTTTATTTTTCGATATTATTGTTGGTTTTGGTTGGAGTGATTTCTTAAAGTATCGAGATGCCTCCGGAGACGCACCAAACGACTTGATGAATTGGAGGGCAAATACAAGCAATTAATTCAACCCATCACACAACAAAGGTTGGATCAAATGGTACAAGCCATCATGTTTAGTATTCGGCAAGTTTTGCGACATCGACTAGATCAATGGTACTGCCGCCGGAAGACGTGTGTTGTTAAGAACAAAGTATCGTACCGCCGCAGATCATATTCCATTGAAGAACAGAAGCAATAACTTCGCAGGATGAAGCGTGCAACTGAGAAGGTTGTGCCGCACCGTGACAGGGGTTACATCATTGACCAAAGGAAACACACCGCCGCATGAAGTTTGATTCCGATGACCGCCTAAGAAATTACGGCGTCCGTCTAGTCCGCCGAACGGAGGATGGCCGTGGACAAGTTCTGCAACACCGATGCATGGATTATGGCCTCATAGAAGGGCTACAACGAAACCACGAGCATAGGATTAATGATGATCAACAACAACGGGGAGGTTGCAGTAGGCGCACTAGTGTTGGAAAAGGTCGACGCCTGTGAATGATGATCAAGAAACATTTCAAGGCTTCTGGAGATACTTCCTTCATAGATGATGATTGTGTTGCGCAGGTAAACGATTTGGTCAATGTAGCTGCCACGAATTCCTCTCTAGATGAGGAGTATACCTCCAAGAAAAAATCCCCGTGGGTCAAGGAACCCCGACAGTTGTCTTTGCATCATGAAGAGATTATTTTTCCAGAATTGGATTACGACCCTTGGGGGTCCAACTAACTTCGATTGGTGTTCCCCGCCACGATTAATTTGATGTCTATCTGGATGACGATGAAGGTGATAGCAAGGACGACCTCAATTCCTTTTGCATGGTTTTCAACAGTGAAGCCCCAAGAGAAAAAACAATAAGGTCAAGTTCTTTCCTAACTGTAATGGTCATATACATTCTACAATGGCAGCTTCCTTACCTCCGGGGGAAAATGAAGTTATTGAAGTTGAAGTTAGCCCTTTCCCGCGTAAATTGATACTTGGCAATCAATTTCTCTTTCCCAGTAGCTTATTCAATTGTGGTTATCAAGTGGGTACTTTGCAGCTACGGGAAGTTGGTGACATCAAGGATTGGACAAGATATATTTTTTCTGTGGTGATAGCTCAAGGTTCTTCTATGCAGCTGGAAGTCCACGACATCGACCTAGATGGCTTTTTCCACTTCGCATGCGATATCATTTCCACATGTTGGTGGCAATTGATATATGGCCAGCGGTCAGGAGGTGGCTTTGTCGGCGGATTTCCATTTGATCCGGGCATACCTACACCTAAACTCGAGGACGAGCTTTTCTCGTATGGAGGCGGAGAAGTAGAAACACGTTAGGGTTTTAAATTATTATTTCATAGGGTTATTTTAGTAATTTTATTATTAGTGATTAGGGTTTATTTTCGGTTGTCTTTTCTATTTAAGGTTTTAGTCGTCGCTCATTGTAACTCAGTTGTTGATTTTATAAAAGTTGAGAGTTCATCTCATAAAACCCCAAGGTGTTGAGCTTTGATCCCAATTTCCGGGTATTCTTAGAATCAACGTAATTTAAGAAGGTCGTATTTTCGGGTATTTGTAGAATTAACGGATTTTATGACGGATTACTTGTTAGAGTTCAAGATCGAAGTTCCGCTAGCTACATCAGGCGGGCTGACAAGTGTTTAGCCTAACCGTTCATACAAACAGAATGAACAATTTATCAAGCCGTGAAGAAAATGCGAATCACGAGCTATCTAATACGTCTAGTTTATTTTTGAAAAAAAAAAAACTATGAATATAGGGTGTAAATGCTCATGAGATTGGGAAGATATAAAGTATTCCCTCATGTCTTTATTATAAAACATTTTGATTTATTATATGTTTCATCTAAGATATCTTTTTAAATAAAAATTTTTTTAAAAAATATTTCTTAATAATTAGGAGAACACAACAAATGTGAAACTATATTTGTAAAATTTTTTTTCTAATTAAAAATATATTTTAGGTAAAACCTAAGACAAATCGTAAATACTTTAGAATAAGGTCAGGTGAGAGTACGACGAAGATTTGTTCCAAAGGAGAAAGAGAGTATATGTGACATATTTTGCGTATTGGAATGTTTTGCAGTGAGGAAACAAGCATTCTGCATTCACCCATCTACTGAGATCTTCGAGAGGGAGTGGATATTGTTTGTTATTCAACACTCCTGATACAAAAAATGGAAACTGTTCTTTGATATATACAATATCCACTTTAATGTTGAAGTGAAACTTAAATGGTTGGTAATTATAAGCAATAGAACCACACTTGAATTGATCACTAAAAAATTCGTTCAAGTTAAGTTTGACAAATAAATGAATCAACCGGGTATGATTCTTCATTTCCCATAAGAGTCTAGGATAAAAAAAATGCGTTCAAACGATAAGCAAAGGCCTACGATACATTCTTAATTTGTATCCAAGAACTTTGAATATAAAAATGATAAAAGAAAAAAAAGAAGAAGATACATTTCACATATCATACCGATCCGTGCTTAAACAGGTGAAGCCACATACATTATCTACATTTGTCCGTCGAAAAGACCCAAAATGTATTTGGGGGTCTAACAGGTACAATGAATCCCCCATCACCAACAATTAATATACATTTTTTTATTTTTTATTTTTTACCGTGTGCGATAAACAGCCAAAGCAAGGGTGAAATATTTGGAGGTAATATCCACATACTTTTGAACTTCAGGTGGTGGAGTAATTCCCTGACGGACAAACCCAGAAACGCAAGCGTCTAAAGTATTATTCATACCATGAATCCCTTCTCGGATATCCTGGTAATTACCAGTATCAATATCCTTCAGCCCCTCCACTCCCTTCAAAGCTCTAGCTATGGAACTGTCCAACTGAAACAAGCCACGTGGATTGACGCAGGCTTCCTGCATAAGTTTGTTGGGCCGGGGTCCGGGAAAGGCGGGATTGTTGGGTATGTTTGTGATCGCCGGCACGAGTGGGGCCACTTCTTTTTGGGCCGCATTGAGGACCTTTGTCATGGCCTGTTGCCAAGTCTCGGCTCCCTTCACGACATTGTTACAGCGTTTTAGTACGTCACGGGATTCGGTATGGATGACGCAGAAAGATTTATCCTTCTTTGCATCAGCGGCCTTTCCGCCGATGACCAAAAGTAGGACCAAAACGGGCAAGAAAATCTTTGAGAAAGAAATGTGGTTCAATTCCATGGTTTTTGGGTTGTTACACCTTTCCTTCTTTTAATGTTTTCTTTTGTTTCTTTGAAAGAGTTTTGTTCCATGATCATTTTTATAGGTAGTGAATTGCGAGATGATCATCTTGGGGGTTACCAAAACAAGAATTGTGTGGAACCCCGAGAAAATAGTTTTGATAAAGTGATTTTATCGTTGACCAAATGATTGAACACTCTTTTTTTTTTTTTTGGATTTTTGAAGAATTTACGGCTACCAGTGATTTTTTTTTTTTTTGCCTTTGATAATTTGATTATATTGTATATCATCCCTTTTTTGGCCTTGAAATTTCAGAATTCAGATATTTGGTGTAGATAACTTTCTTGCATTGAGAAACCAGAATTCAGTCTTCGCCGTTCCGAAAACAAAATGCTTCTTTCGTATTGGACAGGAAGACATGGATTAATCCTCCGGCCAATTTGACAGAATTATACTCCCTGCATTAATTCCAATTGAATAGAACCATTCGACCGTATACACAGTGATTAAGAACAACTAGGTAATATAGTTTACATGTAAATTTTAATAGAAACATTTTACAATATTCCTATGAATGATTTGAGAGTTATTAGTTATACTGAGTGAAAGTGAAATTAATTAAACAATCTTTATTTCAGTGGAGGGAAATATCTAACATTGCTTTAATACTATTTGAAAGCAAATGTTCTTACGTACATAACTGGCTGCGCATAAGTTTACATAAAGGATAGAAATAAAAGCCTGGCTGATCTGTTGACTGTTGTAATACAGGCATTGTGTATGGTAATGGATATTATCTTATTAAACACTTGTATTACATATTTTATCAGTGGGATCGTAGATGTTGTATTATTTATTTATTTTTTTGGTTAAAGAAAGTGAATTTCTCCATTTTTAGGGGAATATGTGGATTATTATATTTTGTTCTGCGAGGTTCGTACGTAAGCACATACAATCGATCAAGCTAGCCAACACGAAAAGAATATATGCAAAAAAGATATATAGGCTTTATTCAAGAATATCTTAAAACAAACAAAAAAAAATTACAGTTCACTTTGACCGGTGCCCGGACCATTCAATAAGCGCGTAATTACATTTTGTACCTCGATCACCCAATATTACTTACAAGTCACAATTAATAGAAAAACTATTGTAGTACCAATCTTGTAATAAAGGTGATTCAGTGAAGCATCTGAAAGTACAAATAAACTAATAATAATTATATTAATTGTATTCCACATTTGTTAATGTCTGTTTATTACCGTATTAAGTCATCAATGCTACAATACATTTTGTCTTGTGAACAAAGGATCGCCATAGAAAGGGCCGCATAGTCTGCGGCAATAATCTTAAACTTTTGAATTTCTGACAAATCGACTCCTTTACCCTCGAGCGAATCAGAGCAAGTTGACAAGGTACCATAGATACGTTGGGTGGATTCGTCAATAGTCACCAGATCACCTCCCTCAATGCTGCCCAAAATTTCGTTAATGCAGTCGTTTAAATCGGTCAACGAGTCGTTGCAATTTGATCTGTACTCTTCATTGGGTAACTTGGCTATCACTGCCGATACTGGTGCCAGATCCTTCTTTGCTGCGTTCATGATGTTTGTGAGTGCCGCTTTCCATGTCGGGGCTCCGTTCACGGCGGCGTTACATGAATTCTGTTGGTTCCCGGGCTGAGCCGGGGCGCAGAAAGGGCTATTAACCGCTGCAAGAGCTGATTTTCCGTTGACCGCGAAAAGGAGGACCATTATGGGCAAAATTACACGGGAGAAAGAAATGTGGTTCACTGCCATAATGATTGGAGTTGTTACACCTTTCCTTCTTACTTTGTGCTTTTCTGAAAGAATTTTTTTTGCAAACCTTTGTTTGGAATATATGTGTAGAGTTTGCTGGATGGTCGTTTTTATAGGTAGCAAATGCGATAGTATCTCGGCAGCAAAATGAATGTGTGAAACACCAATGAAATAGTTTGATAAAGTGATCTTATCACGGACACCAAAAATTATGATTGATAATGGAACCTTTTTTCTTTTTCTTTTTTTTTTTTGTTTTTGATGAATTTTTCGCTACCAATCAATGATTTTATTCCTAATTGTTTGTGAATCAACCATTTTTTCACTTTGGGATTTCATTAATCTTTTATTAGGATCCTTGCCTTCGATAGTTTTTTCCGATTACCACGTACCATTTGTCTTGCGTGGTTTTCCTCCACTCTTTTTTTTTCCCCAATGTCTTCTTTCAAAATCATATAACAAAATTAAATTAAAATTATATACTTAGTTATATATAAGATGTTTCTCTCTTTTTTTTCTCAAAAAAAAAAAAAAAACCTTATATGTGAGGAACAAAACTGAAATCGGCATGTTATTAGCGTTTTCTGTTTCAGAAGCTTTTTCCACATTAATTTTTTTTTTCCTTTTTTGTACTAAAGTCTAAATTAACACATTTATGGCATACGCTTATCGCGTTCGATTTGACGGATTCAAGGGGACAAACATCCTGGTTTGAGTTATGTTGATCGGTTTGGTAAGAAATTTGTATTTCTCTCTATTCAAAAACATTATTACTCACAAACTGGGGTTTTTTCATGATGGCGGGGTGTATCGAAATTACGAGTTTTCCAGCCTAGATTGTTTAGTTGCCATAAGAAAACGAGAAAAAGACCATATATATTGTTTAGTTGTAATATATTTATAGCTCTTAACGAGACGTTATTTCGTAACAAAACCACTATGCACCGATTGTAAAAAATTTCTTGAGTTCAGTTTCTCATTCTAATCTCGACCAACTCACGTATGAATTTTCGATTTTGCACTTGTGTCTATTACGTATAACTTTCCTAAAGTAATTTGTCTCTTATTCGATGCTATTACCATGAGCTTTACGCGGGGGAGGGGGTGGGGGAGCGGGGGAATGTTTTTATAGCTAGAGATGACAACTTTATAGCGACTTTCTTGATTTTATTAATTTATCATGTGCCTTGAGAGAGTTGCATGACAACACGGGCAATGATGGTGTCATGCATGCCGTTACTTTCACTAAATTATACTACCTCTGATCCTTAATATAAGGTATTTTGATTTGTTCTAGTTTCAGGGACAGCTTAAGAATTTTGGGGTTGGTTTAAATTTTGGGCCTTTCAAAAATAAAACAATTAAAAATAAAAAGTTAACCCTCCTCTTTTAATTGAGCTTGGAACCGGCAACTATAAACTTGATAGTCTATAACAGGCGGAGTTAAAAAACTTTTTTTGGTTTAGATTAAGTTTTATTTTTCAAGATTTTTTTAATTAATTTATGATTTTATTCTTTTTATTTCTTTTAATTAAGTTAAATTTTCTTGCTTTTATAGATGCAAATTCCTTAATGAAACTTTCATAATCTAATTCTTGTAGTAAGTCACTTTCAGTTGATAAACTAGCCAATCCATTTAATCTTTCTTGTGACGTTTTTGTTCTTAAATAATTCTTTATTAGTTTTAGTTTTGAAAAACTTCATTTTGCTGAAGCAACTGTTACAAAAATTGTTAACATTATCCTATAAGAAATATACGTATTTGAAAAATAATGAAGTTTTTTAATGTAATTAAGAATATCAATTGGAGTACTGATCTCAACATTTGTATTTTCTCATAAAATTTTTCGTGCAAAAAATAAATCCAAACTATCAATAACTAAACTGTCATTATTTTTTCCTTTCTAAATTTACATCATCAAGTGATCTCAATTTTTCCAAACTAAATAAAAAGGCAAAAATATTTTCGTACATCTTAAATTGATCTTATCTACTTTGTAATGATGAAATAGCTTGATCTACTATGTAAAGAAAATAATTACATTTGAAAGTTTCTTGAGGGGTTCGAATAGCTTCATTCTCAACATTTTCATCAAATCGTTTATTTCTATAAATGTGACTCTTTTCTTAAAATTTAGCTTTTACATTTATATTTATAGCAATTTCATTAGCTGCAACGATGGCATTCTCAAATCCATATTTTCTGTAATTTTCAAAAAAACTAATGAGATCTTTTAATTGTTCTATAACATAATCAATACACATATCTTTTGCTTGTAAATTTTTATTAACAGTATTAATCGCAAAGAATATATCATACCAAATAATCATTCCTAACAAAAACTCAAATTCTCAAGTTCAAATTTTCTAAACATTTTGCTTCACTTTTTACTTTAAGTTCTAAACATTCACTTTTTTTGATTTGGTTGTTAGGAAGATTAGGAGTAGGATTTGATTGTGGGATTCTTTTTGGGGGAGTTGCCGAGATATTTGGAGTTAGAGAGTGATTGGGTTTTTTATTTCTTACATTACGTTGGTTTTTTTTTTAATAAAATTTATAAATTTATAATTCATTAAACTAAAAATTAGGACCCTGAAATCATTGTGTGTGTGTGTGTGTGTTTTTTTTTTTTGGTTGAGAAGTTCCGTAATATTTGGAGTAGTTGAAATATTCGATTGTTTTTTTGTTTACATATAACTAGACTAGTGATGTCTGGTCGCGCAATGCGCGACCCTGGCCCAGTCTATCTGTAGATCTCGGAAATGTTTATATTTGAAAAATAAAATAAAATTTTGTATTTGGAGCGACATATTTTAGAAATGTTTGAAGGATTTATAAATGTTTTATAAGTGTGATCATAGAAATATTTGTATTTCACAAAAAAAAAAATTGTATTTCGCCATGTATGTTTTAGAAATGTTTTATAAGTGTTATTTATTAAATATAAATAGACTTAATCGAATATATGTGTTGAAATAAATGTTAGATAAAATATAAAAGTATTCTAATAAGTTTAAATATTAGTAAGATGATTTATTGATGTTCTCCATTGGTCGTGCCAAATCAATACTTAGTTTTGGAGATTTTTAATAGCTTTGTAATAAGTTTCATCCGAAGGGTATAAGCTTAAAACAAAATTTACACTTTGTAACAAAAACCTAATTGATCAATTCAATTTAGAAAACAACTCTAATTGAATGAAACATAAAGAAAAAATTCAAAAAAAAAAGTGTCAGGTAAAGTGCAAAAGGGAATTTAGTAATTTAGTTATAGTTAGACAAAAGGACAATTTAGTACTTTCTTCATGCCACATGGCAATCATATGAGATGTGTGAAAGGGAAGTTTTTGTTTCTAATATAGTAGGATGTGCCCGGGCGCCCCTTCTAAATTATTATTTTATTAAAATCTAATTGAAGTACTATTTTTTGAGGAATTAATTTGGCGTATATATCATTTATGCTATGGTTTGGGGCTTAAAAAAATATACCTATAAATCTGAGTTATAAGGGAATAATAAATAATTAGTTTATAAGGCATTATTCTTAATTGCTAGATTTAGGTATTTTTATTTGTTGTTTATATTAAGCCTGCAAAACTGTACGATTGGACATTTGAATTTGAATTAATATATCCATTCGTTTGAAATGTAACTGATCCTTATTTGTAGAATTTTTTCATTGGACTCGGGTCACATAGCAAAACATGTGTTTTTTTTTTTTAAAAAAAGAATTTATATAGCTTCTAATCAAAAGAGACTTACACGTGGCAAAAAGACTTCTGAAATCTGAAATATGGTACATTGGAGCCAAAACTGATGCATAATTAGTTGGCACATAAGCTTCATGTCTTCTGCTTTGATAGGGTAAAAGGGATTCGGTAGATTTTTTTTAATTTTTAAATTTATAATATTAATAATATATATAATAGTAGTATATAAAAATTAGGGGCCCCCAAAAAGCCATGGCTTCACCTGCTTTATGGTTAAGCAAGCTCTGCCTAGATTTAATCTAGTACGTATTTTTAATTGACAAAAAAAATCTTTATAACATTTCATAACAATCAAAAGAATACAACGAATGTGAAAATATATTTTTAAAATTTTTTTACCCATTAAAGATACATTCTAGGTGAAATCTAAGACAGAATCAAAATGCCGTATATTAAAGACTGGAGGGAATAATATGGATAGTTTACTTTCATAATGTTAATGTAGGAGACCAGCAAAGAACTCCATTAATGGAAAATTGGAGTTTCTCACATACATGGTCAATGTTTGGAGAAATATTTCAAAATATAAATTGTTTTAAGAATTCAATACAAATTAATTATTAATTTTCTAACTTTGTACCCGATAAACAATGCCAATTTCTTTTAGTTTAGTCTCGTTTATAATTCTTATGCATTTAATGAGGGGTATAAAAGATAAGTTAGACACGAATTATTGTTGAATGATTGTCTATTTAATTTACCTGTAAAATTTAAAGTGACTTATATTTTGAAATGGATGGGTATCATGCTCTAAATAAAAATTCAACCACCCTTTAAAATTATATTTAAAATCAAATGTCCGATTATATTTAATATTATATTTTGAAGTGGCTCATATATATATAGTGAAAGACTCTTTTGACCCCGTTTAAAATTATGTTGTAATCGTGACGCGAAGATATATAATGTCACGTGATGACCGCCCGGCCAATCAGATTGTAAGAAATTAATTGGTCAAGCGGCTTATATTGAGGGGATTTCGTTTTGAACTAACCGCTATAAGCCTCGACCACTACTATATGGTCTAGCTAATTCAAGTCCCGGTTGCAAAAACAAAAGAGATCAAAATTTGATGTAGGAAATTCAATAATTAGGCCTATATATGATTCAAAAAGAAAGAACATGATCTCTGTGTTTCAAATTCAGAGTCTTGTTTGACATTCTTAGATGATGACAAACTGTAGAACGGGAAGTTATCCAAAATCTTCCAACATTATAAAGGAACCAAAAATTTCTATGTTCTTAGAGTAAAAAAAAACTAACCCAATATCAAATAATGGCTCCAGAATATAGTGCTATATCTTTTTCGAAAATGAATATAGTGCTATATCGATAATATAATTATTATACCATCAGGGGGGAAATGGTTGAATTAAACGCAGGATGCGATAACAACCCCCCCCCAAAAAAAAAACATATATCCCCCAATAATTAAATTTACTTGGGCTTGGTGGCGGAAACAGCCAAACCAAGGCTGGCATATTTGTAGGCAAGATCAGTATACTTCTGAATTTGAGATGAATCGGCTCCAAATTCATTAAGGCCATCAGTGCAGGTTGACAAGCTATTAAAGATAGCGGAAAGCTCGGTATCAACGGACACATCCGGAGGCCCTCTACCCTTGAGGTTGTCCAAAATTTTGGTGATGCAACCGTTGAACATGTCCACGGATTCTTTGCAAGTTGACACCATTGATTTTTTGGTCGCGCTCGCAAAGTCTGGTGGAATAACTTTGGGTAGATTTGAGATCAATGCCTTGACTGGCGCCACTTCTTTTGCGCCGGCCTCGACGACGTTTGTGAGCGCGGCTTGCCATGTTGGTGCTCCGTTCACAAGATTGTTACAGAGGATCCTTTCATCCCCGGGATTGGTCTGAGAGCAGAAAGGGCTCTCGACCGCGGCGAGAGCTGCCTTTCCGTGGATTGCCAAAAGGAGGACCGCGATGGGTAAAAACCCTTGGGGGAAAGAAATGTGGTTCAATGCCATGATTTGGGGTTGTTACACTTTTCCTTCTTTCCTTTTGGGTTCTTTTTTTCCCTCTTTGTTTAACCTTTTGTTTGAATGATTTGTTCTGAGTTTGCTCAAGAATCATTTTATACACAGCGAGCGCCACGGGATCCCGCAAAACAGACTTGTTTGGAACACCGGTAAAATTGTTGGATAAAATTATCGAGTTGCTGGATTAAAATGATAATTAGTGGTTGTCAATTTTTTTAGGCTCTCACAAATTTACGGTCTCCAACGATACTTCTTTCGGTCTAGTAGCCGTAAAATCCTCCCTTTCTAGGCCTTGGAATTTTATCAATGTGGATGCTTTTGTTTGAATTTGTTTTGGTGGATGACGTTTGTTGCGATTGGTAGAACATTAAGTTGGTAATAGCGTGATATCTAAATTAAGCAAAAACCAGTAGACTCAGGTGATCACATCTTCCCAATGAAAAAATATTTTATGCACTTGGTGGTCACAATATAAAATAAAATAATTGAATTTCTTTTTTGCCCCCATGAATTTTAATAGACTCCCCCTAGGTAAAATTTAGAATTCTCCTCCAAACGCTATATTGCAATATATGCTCACATGGTTGAGCAGGTGCCATGAATAATCTTTCCTTCCGAATTATCTTTTCTGGCAGGGAAATGAGGTTCACATCAATTTTCGTATACGACCTACATCTGAATTAAAGAAAATCTTCTACATGTGTGTGCGTTTTTAGTAAATTTATTTCAAAAGATCATAATTAATGTTTTAAATCCAACTAGCTATTTCAATGTGCAAAAATTGATGTCTTCCTCTTGTATTTTTTTGGTTTTTGATCTTTCAAGATGTTTAATGCTGGAGTAAGATCTATTGACCTGATTAGGTGAGGTTGAATTTAATGAAGTCTTGTGTACTTTGGCCTATAAATAGAGAGTACCAAAACATTATTTTGGTCCATTCGAAAAGCAAAATTCATTTCTCAACTTTTTCTTTGAACTTTGAAATCACTCCTCACGAGTAAATTACTTTACTTTTGTTTCTCTTTTCTTTCAAATAGTTTTTCAAACATTAGATTAATATACTTGTTAATTCATGTGCCCTCTAAACTTAAAAAAAAAAAGATTTGTTTTATCTTGGGAGAACATTTTGTTACATCAAAATAGTTTCTTTAGTACAATATAATTTTATGCGACTCAAGTATTTTATTTATATAGTATTTTTTGGAGTATGACTTGACAGTACAATCATCTTGAATCAAACCACATTCGCATTAGAGCTTTAGCGTACATAAATAATTTTTTTTTCCCTTATCAATTATAATTAGATCGTATCTAAACGACAATCATATTATATACAATTAGTACTAACGTGTGGGTGATATAATATATTTTATATTAGTTTCATATTTAAAAATATATTATTCTAGAACTAAGCTGTATGTTTAGAAAAATTATTCTTACTGATTGTAGTATTTGGTTTATTCCCCTTTGTATCACGGTTTGGCTATAAGATTATTTGTTTATGTATCTAGTAATAAGTCTTCGATCTTTCATAGTTTTTTTTAGGTGTTTTAGGACGCTATTTTATAAATTTAATCTTCCAAATTACAAAATATCTTAACAAATATCACACCAAGAAGTTTGTTTTACCAGATGATTGTATATTATCTTCTGTTTATTGCTAATGTTATATTCTCTTTAAATACATTAATTTTTTAATTATCCACACATTATCCATATAAAATTGTAATTAAATTTCAAATTAAAATTTTTCTTTCACATTAAATAGGCTGACCTTAAAATTTTTTTTCAGATTTGATATTTTCAAAAATTAATATTAACAATAATAAATAGATATGAATAACTAAGTTTAAACAAATTACCATTTGTCTTTAAATATTACAATTACTATTTAATGATCATTCAATAGCCCAATACAGGTGTCAGTTAAGTATATTGATGGGGTAAAACTAATTTTTTGTTTTTGGTACCATAAAGGAGGTGTTAGGCTTGAGTTTTTAGTTTATTACATAACGTTGGTATGAAATACCAATAATATCATGTTGTAACCAAGGCTTTACACAAGTCGGTCGTTCCTCCAGCCATTTTTAGTCCTAAAAAGATGGGAAAAGAAGTAAAGGAACCGGGTTGTTATATTTTTAAATTACTAGATCATACACAATTATCATTAGTCAAAACAAAACGTTAAAATCTCTCTTTATCTTATTCAACAAACAATCCCTTATTATCTTGTTTTCTGTTCTGATCTATGTTATTAAAACTGGACCACAACGCAAAATGATAATTCTGTTGGGTCATTGGTTTACTGATTCAAACTATTCTTAAAAATCAATGACATCATTACAATGTCATATATAAATTTGAAACTAATTATGTATTATAATAAAAAAAAAAACAAAATCTCACATTTATAACACATAAAAAATACAATAATTTTTCAAGCTCAAGGAAAAAAATGACATTTTGAACAGATAAAAATAGGTATCATTTCATTCACATGAAAATATAACTACTTGAGTATCCATAATATTTAACATTCTATAATCTTAAAATCAATTTTCATATAATTGACTTGCACTATGATTAACAAAAATTAAAAGATTATGAAAAAGTTATTTAAGATTTTTTTGAATGACTAATTTTAATAACTTTAAGGATCATTAGATTTAAGAGTAAATTTCTGGCCTAATATGCAATATCTATAACAAAACCTTATCTCTTTTATAGTTTTCTTCCCCAGCCGTCATTCCCCCTCTCAATTTACTTTTTCTCATTTTCTTTTTCTTTTATTCTCTTCTCTCGTTCTTCTTCTTTTTTTTTTTTTTTTTTGTGCTGTTCTTCGTTTTTTATTTTTTCTTCTTCATTCAGTTTGTTGTTTATTTATTTTGGAATTGATCCTTATAAACAGTCTCCAAGAAGTCTTTGGTGTTCAGTGTCGGAGGCATATGCAAAAAGTTCATGAAGGCCAAATCAATTAGCCAATATGTCAGAACCACCGTTCAAACCAAAACCATTCAAACCAATGTTGTTTCTGTCGAAGAAAAGCCCATGAGATTAAGAACGACGAGGAGGCAGAAGCAGAGCAGACAATGGTGGTTGTAATAGCTTTTGAAGAGAGTGAAGAGTGTGGAGATATGGAGTTGATATTTGGCGAGGAATTGAAAACGTAGGATGAACCACCCTGTTACTGCCACCGATGATAATTTCTGGCGAAGAAGCATAAACAAAGACGCTTGTGTCGTCATTACCCATATTTAAAAAAATAACATTTTATTAAATTAAATAGTAATTATAATATTACGTATTTTACCATTTAAATTTATCACGAAACCTATTAGTAATCTAATTGAACGACACGTGTCATATGAAAAAAATTTCTTTCATATATATATATAGAAGATATGATAAATTCCTTTCATATATATACATAGAAGATATGCTAATTGAACTGTACACTAAGGTCCAATTGATTGGACAAAACTCGCAGTCCTGATTGAAGTTGGGGTATAAAAAAAAATCGAAAAATTGAGTGATATATGGAATACTAAGAAAAGTAAATAATTTTAGTTTTTATTATTTTAGTCTTTCACAATTTTAGTCATTATTATTATTAGTATTATTATTACTCAAAAGTCTTTATTATTATTATTATTATTATTATTATTATTTGAAAAGTAAATAATAATACTAATACTAATAATAATAATAATAATAATAATAAAGACTAAAATTGTGAAAGACGAAAACTAAACGTCTAAACCTCATTAATTTCTAAGAAACTTTGCATGTGTCTACAGTAAACTCTAATAACTTTTCTCTTTATATTTTTTTTCTGATGTATATTCTCCCTTCATCATATGATGATAGTTATACATTTAAGGCTAAGTTTATAATATAAGCTATTTTAGTTATACAAACCCGAACTTTGATTACTTTTCAAGTGGTGGGTAATCCGTTATCAAGCATCAAGCGAAGATATAGACGGTTCAAGTTTAATTTAATGCCCAAGTTAAGATCCTTTTTTTTTTTTTAAGTTAAGATCCTCATAGATGGGTTCGCTTGGCTTCTAAACTGTATTATGCCCTTCGTCACATAAAATATTGTACATTGAGTTTTATATTCACATTAAAAAGAATACAAATTTTAAAAGTCAATTTGGAATATTTTGAAATGAAGGGAGTACATTTTCAGTGTAGTATTTTAGTGTTTCTTATTGTCAGTATTCATTGAAGATTAATTGTAAGTTAAATAAATTTAGCAATTTTACAAAAATTTAACATTCAGGCCGAAATGTGATGGGTGATACTACTATATATATTGAAATGCATGTATTCTTTTCGTTTAAGAAAAATTGTCAAAGTGAATTTTTGTAACAAAAAAGATGTTTAAAAGTCTAAAGTATAAGTAATAAAAAAAAACTACTCAAACAGTAGTAGGATGTAATAAAAACCAAAAACCAAAGAGCTCTTCTTGAACATTCCAAAAAATATGAACAAACCAGCATCCAATCGTACAATTAACCAAAATATATATATATAAAAAAAAGAATTAGAAAAAAAAAGACATATAATTATCTGCCACCTTAAAAAATTTCATAATGAAAAAAAAAAGCGTGGTTTCTAGGCACCACGCCTTTTAATCATAATGTATATATGTTTGCTGTTTTGTCATCAATTGTTGAAGAGAACGGCCATGGCGGTATCCATGAGTTTCCCAAAGTTATCGTTAAGCTTATCCATGCTGAAAATGTGGATACCCCTTTCTTTCAACGACTCGGCGCAAGCGCTGTCGTAGGAGGCGCTCAACCGGGTCCCGGCGCTGCCAAGATCGCCCTTGTTTAGCGACTCAACGGCGAGGTTGAGGTCGTCGATGGTGTTGGCGAAACTCTCGGTGCAGTCCTGAACCAGCTCGGTTTTCGTGTTCGGGTCCAACCCGACGGTGGATTGCACCACCTCCGGCGTGAGCTCCTGGATCTGCTTGGCCACTGTCAGGGCTTCCGTGACGGCGTTCACCGCCGCGTCGTGCTGGTTGGTTGCGCCATTCACGACTCTGGTGCACAATTGCTTGTTGTCTGCGGTTTGGCAAAACGGGCTGATTCCGGGTTGAGCAGTCCCGGTCTTCGACCCGACTAGGATAAGGGAAATGGTTAGAAAGAGCATTGAGAAAGACCTCGAATTTATTTGACTGGCCATTTTTTTTTTTTTTCTGGTTTCTTTAAATTCTTATTGTGTCTTTCTCCCTGCTCTTACTTCTTCTCTTTTTTATTGTTTTCCGGGTTGCTTTTCTGTTTTGCAAGAAGACGGGAATCAATGTGAAGAATATATAATGGAATAAATACGGCGCGGGGGGAATGGTACTTGAAAAATTGTTATGGTTCACCGTAATTGTAGTACATTTGAAGTGTGTATTCAGGACCTATCTTTGAGGCCAATCCAATGAAAGTTACAATCATCGTAGGTCTATCTTAAAATGGAAGACACTAAAGTGGACTAACACATATTTCCATTAAAAAAAAATCTTTATCATTCAAAAATCAAAACCAAATGAAAGGGGAAAAAAGGATAGATTTTTACTCTATAGAAGCTTCATTTTGAGAGAGAGAATCTTGTGAGCTAGCGGTAAAACTTAAAAGGAGGAAGGAAAAATAAAAAAACCTAGTACAACACACCAAAAAAAGGTTTGCAAAAAGTAAAAAAGAAATACGTAAAAGAAGAGTAATAATAGATATGGTACTTATATAGAGTGAAATGAGATATTGATTGATAAAAAGATACAAACATCACACTACTCTGTTAGTAATTACTAACATAAGGGGTAATTATGTATTTTCTAGATGTCACATCCATCCCTATCCCAATTCATTATCTATTTTTTCTATACATATCGTTTTAATTATTTGAAGTCAAAAGGCAAATAGAGAAACGAAAAAATCATAATCTAAACAAAGGATAAAAGGAGGGGGTTTACCGTAAACAGTGCACTTCAATTTTGTGGATTCAGCTGACTCAGAAATCATAATTGTGATCGAGGGTCGAGGTGATACACATACACCTCAATTGAGTTATCATATGAGTACGGGAAGTTAATTATTCCTTCCATCTCAAAAAAAAATTCATATTATGATATGTGAATTATAATATTTTTAATACAAATTACAAATTATAGTGTAAACTACATATTTTATTTGAACAGAGAGTATTTAGTAGAGTAAGAGAAGTGAAAGTGACTTATCTTTATCGGACAAATATTAGAACTAAACTCTTTGGATAACTTAGTGGTATAGCAGGATTAGGGTCCAATCTGATTGGAGGATCTCCTGGTCCTGGTAGAGTTGAAGATATGGTCCTAATACTCTCTCCATTTCAAAATGTAAGTCGTTTAGGTTTGGAGAGATTTTTCAAAATGTAGGTCGTTTTACAAATTTTAGGCAAATTAATGATTATTTTTCCAACTTTACCCTCAATAAATGATGCTAATCTATCTTTATTTAGTCTTGTTTATAGTTTCAATGTAATTAATGAGGGGTAAAAAAAATTTAATAATACATAAATTAATTATTAGATGATTGTCTCCTTAGTTTACGTGTCAAGTCTAAAAAGACTTAGATTTTGAAATGGAAGGAGTACAGTCAAATGAGGTTAGTTAATGCTTGTAATATATATCGCCCTTGGAGAATGTGTAAAATGACACCAACCAAAAAAAAAAAAAACCCTTTTAAAAAATTGTTTTAGGAACTTGTTTGGGTTTTGAAATGATCCCTCTCTGTGTGCTATACGATTGGGAACTGGTCACTGGTTTGCCTCTTATCTCTTTGGTGAGGGCGGATGTGAACTTCAGAATAGGTGGTGACTATTTCTTTGGAGGCTTTGGAGTTTGCACTTAAAAAAGTTTTCCCTTATTGGCAAATTGCCATATTTTGGGCGGTTTGGCCTTGTGACTAGCTCAGGGTTCTTTTTCAAGTTTTAGGTAGTGGTGGCAACGCAACAAGCCATGTAGAATTTATAGTTGAAGAATTCTGATACTATATGCACATGTATATAAAAATGTCACTGTCAAAATTTAATGTTTATTTTATCGCATAATATTTACTGTTATATAATTTTAATTTAAACAATACTTAACAAATTCTATAAGATATAAAAGGTGTATGATATGTACTTATAACGTCTCGATTGGAGCAATGTATATTTTTCGTACGGACCATTCGGGTAATTAATCACAGCCCGATGAAGATGGATTACTAATCGTACAACTTTAATTATAGAAGTTTTGTTAATTTGACAAGTAGTCTACTGAATTAATTGCCAAGCTAGCTATCTGAGCAGTATACTCAAATTCCAATGGTAAAACGCCAAGAAGACTTCCATGAAGCAAAAGAATAAAGTAGTAACCAAAGATACTATCGGGTTGGAATCTTGCGCAAAGTTTGAATATTCTTTTCCACATTACAAAAATCACAAGCAGGCCAATGGGATCACCTCATTATTTTTCACCATTAATTTAACCATGGAGAAAACAGAGAGTTAATCAATTAGTTTAGAATATCTCAGTTATACCCCACCCCAGCTTGTCACATCCTGCATCAATTAATTTCAAATATGTTAGCATCACCAGCAAAGGTGACAGCCTACCTTTTTGAAGGTTCCAAATGTCATAAATATGAAAGAAAAGAATTCCAAAGTAAGAGAAAACAACCGATCGGAAAATGTGAAATGGAAAGTTTGGAAGAAGATACTCGTGCCAAAGTAATTAGAGTTTCGGCAAATTTTATCTCAGTTTTAGTCCTCAATGTTCTTGAACCTGGTAAATTTAGGTCTTATTGTTTTAGTGTTTGGCAGAATGTGTAGTAGAATGATTAACATCGACAATAGTAACACAAAGTATATTAGCCACTCATATTTTACTCAAAAAAAGAAAAAAAATAAAGAGCAAAGCAATTCTACCTAGATTTTAAATTCAAGCAATTCATTTGTGAAATAAACAGTCGTAATTAATAGGATTAGTTGATGACGAATGAACGAAAAATAGAAATCATTTCCAAAATTGTCCGAAATTGACATATTACAGACTAAATTTGTTGTTTCTCAAACATTAGCCGTTGAAAAATTTAAAACCTTCAAACATAGGGGACTAAAAGTGTTGAGATTATTTTCAAAAGCCACGGCCAATTAAAAAAAGCAAGAAAAGGAATCTTCCCTTCATTCGGCCGAGTCAAAAACTGCATATTCAATTGGATTCTTCGAATCAAATGAGGAGAAAAAGTCAATGCCCACATGCATCAAGCAAAGCAATGCCCCCATCAAGTTGGTTTCATTGTCCAAAGGAACGTCTCTTTCCTTAGCTACTCAACTATCTTCTTCTTTCTCATGGTACTAATTATAACTACAACTACATCTCTGTTAACAAGTTGGATTTTACTACCAAAAAAACACTCATTTTTTCAATTCAAATCTTTGATCAGTCTTTAACTTTCTGCTTACTTGTCACTCCCATTTACGCAAATCAAGACTTTCACAGGACAACCCCCCAATGAGACTCGGCGATTACACATCAATCTTTGGTTCCCTCAACATTGGAAAAGATACAACAAAAAGTCCAAGAATATACTTTCGTAGATTCACATCAATACAAACGTTGTTCCTTGAAATCTCCGGTACTACAAACATGAAAACAAGATCCCTTGTCTTATTCCCCTTTAACCCTTTTAAACTTCCCAAGAGGCAACCCCACAGCTTTGGATTCAAAATCAAAACTCACAAGTTTCCCCTTCCCCTGTGTCCTCCTCTGCTCTGTGTATTGAAGACTTTGTGTTCCACCCCACCTAGAGTTGAATTTCTTGCCAGCCAGCTGGTTCGGAATTTACTGCATTTAGCTAGACAGATAATTTTGACCCGGAATTATTACTCTTTTAGTGGGATGGCCACCACATGCACACAAAATTTTAACTTTTACCTCACTTAGTAATTTATATGCCCTCCATCCATCTAATAGAAGAGTTTTGATTTGTTATATCGTTTTAGTAAGGCTTTAATTTGAAGACATAAATGCTAGTCCTTGTGTCCCCAATCTAGTTTAATATTTAACTTTTAGTTGAATTTGATATGAAAATAAAAATTCAAACTGAATAATAGATTCGATACAGAAGGAGTACCTTTTTTAACTGTGAGATAAGTTAGCACTTTGGCTCTTCAAATTATTCAAGCTCTACGCATCATTGTTTGTGGCGGATGTAACGTGTATGCAACTAGTTAATTTTGCTTATTTGATTGGTGTTTCCATAAATGACCAATCACTATTTAACTTAATTTAACTGTCAATTTTCTGTATCCGGTAAATTATTTGCGGTTAAGATATACGACGACACTCCCGAAGGTGACATTTATGACAAAGTTATCAACTTAACTTCACCAATCCTAAAAAGATCTGAAATAGTAGACATTTAGTTGACTTACATTAACTAAAGCCACTTGTTACGTCAATTAGTTAGCTACGTTTCTGTATATAACCCCAAATACTAGGCTCTCTTGTTTGATTCACACTAACTTCTATACTCCACTCTAGCCATAAAGAAACAGAGGAAAACCACCGCAATTAATTCAATTGTGCCTTTTCCAAGCTTAGTTCTTTCCTAGTTCTTACTGATAATTGCTTAACCAAATTCTCTCCAATCCAAGTTTAATTCTTGTTGAAGCCAAGTAAAAAAAGAAACATGGATTTGGAGCAAACAGCACCGAAAGATTTTCCCTCCCCAAAAAAATTTGCTCTTCCTGTGGATTCTGAGCATAAGGCAACAGTTTTCAGACTGTTCTCAATTGCTTCACCCCACATGCGGGCTTTCCACATTTCCTGGGTCTCATTCTTCGCCTGTTTCGTCTCCACTTTTGCAGCGCCACCCCTTTTGCCGATCATCCGTGACGACCTCAATTTGACCTCCACGGACATCGGAAATGCCGGAATAGCTGCCGTTTCCGGCGCGGTATTCGCCCGTATCGCCATGGGAACCGCCTGTGACTTATTCGGGCCCCGGCTCGCTTCCGCATCCCTCATCCTGCTCACAGCTCCCGCAGTTTTCTGCACTTCCATCATAAACTCCGCGGCTTCCTTCTTCCTGGCCCGTTTCTTCACCGGCTTTTCCCTGGCAACGTTCGTTTCGACCCAGTTCTGGATGAGCTCAATGTTTACAGGAAAAGTTGTGGGAACTGCAAACGGGTTGGCGGGTGGATGGGGAAATCTCGGAGGCGGGGCGACCCAATTGATCATGCCCCTGGTTTTCTCCGTCATTCGGGATATTGGCTCAACCAAATTCACGGCCTGGAGAATCGCATTCTTCATTCCAGCCCTTTTCCAGACTTTATCAGCTTATGCAATTTTCTTTTTAGGCCAAGACTTGCCTGATGGGAATTACACAGCATTGCATAAATCAGGGGACAAACACAAAGACAGCTTTGGAAAGGTGTTTTACCACGCGGCCACGAATTACAGGGGATGGATTTTGGCATTGACTTATGGATATTGTTTCGGCGTTGAATTGGCAGTGGATAACATTATCGCACAGTATTTTTACGACAGGTTCAACACGAATCTCCATACCGCGGGGGTAATTGCTGCCAGTTTCGGATTGGCGAACATATTTTCGCGGCCCGGTGGGGGGATGTTATCCGATTTGGTGGCGAAAAGGTTCGGAATGAGGGGAAGACTGTGGGCGCTGTGGATTGTGCAAACGGTGGGAGGATTGTTATGTGTTTTGCTAGGGAAGGTTGGGTCTCTGGCTGGCTCTATTGCTGTCATGCTTGTGTTTTCGGTGTTTGTGCAAGCTGCTTGTGGGCTTACTTTTGGAGTTGTTCCTTTCGTTTCCAGAAGGTAATCAATTTCTCAGTTCTGCCTTTTTTTCTGATCCACTCAACTGATATCTTTTGATTCTCTCATGAAGTCATGCGATGATTCTTCTCTATCTTACTAGGATCTCTAAGCCACCTTGAATCAATAACTGTTGCCTCATTTCCTCAGTTTCCGGCTTGGTTACAAAATTAAAAAAACGCAATCAATTACATCATCATCTCTGTTGAATGTTAGTTTCCTGAGTTTAAATACTAAACATAGTAAGTAAAGGACAAGAATTTATCTTACCCGTTGACATTGTCGATAAGTATTTGAGATCATCGTGCTTTTCTCAGTGACGGCTTCTTCATTTAATGTGATGATCACCAGTCCTGAGTCCTGACAAACTGTGTAGATATAGAGGCATACTTTGTCCTGTTTTTCAATTAAAAATGGTAAAGAAAGCCAGTAAAACGTGATATTGTTATGTTTTTCCAATTGAAATGGCTCATTGATTGCATCACAATCAGGAAATCCACTCAGCCCTTTTACCTTGTCTATTATAGCCAAGCTAAGGGGATGATTTGAAGAGCTTAATTCAAAAACCAATTATTTAGCTGATTGCATGAGGTTGTCTATATGGATTATAGTTCGCCATCGTGCTCTTTCACGATCAGAGTTTGACTATGTGCGTCAGTACTAATTTTTTTTTTTTTTTTCGTTATTGACAACAGATCGCTGGGAATAATATCCGGGATGACCGGAGGCGGTGGAAGCGCAGGAGCTGTTGTAACTCAGTTGATATTCTTCAGAGGATCAAGATACTCGACGGAAACCGGAATAACACTAATGGGAGTGATGATCATAGCTTGCACACTCCCAATTATGCTAATATACTTCCCACAATGGGGAGGAATGTTCTGCGGCCCATCAGGAAAAGGGGTCACGGAACATGACTACTACATGAAGGAATGGAGTGTAGCAGAGAGAGAAGAAGGGTTCCACGAACAAAGCGTTAAATTTGCAGACAACAGCAGAAGCGAAAGAGGCAGAAGGATTGAGTCTGTCCCAACCCCTGGCAATGGCACACCAAATGCCACTCCAAATTAATTCAGTTTGAGTGAACGCAAAGTTAATCCTTCGGCCTTTTTAAGGATGTTTTAAGCCTTAATTCGTACGGTGACTATATACTATGGTCTACTAATGTGTGTAACATGAAATCCTGCAACAATGTATGTAAATGTAGCGATCTGATTTTCATTTCAATGTTTGGTTTCTTCCCATTTCCCCTGTATTTTCCTTTACCGATTCTTTCAGATAAGCTTGTACATTATGGTTGATGAGTGGCTCTATTAAGAGAACACAATGACTCCAATTTCAACTGTACCCAAAAGAAACAAAGAAAAGTCCAACATCAATGTACTTGTCTTGATGATTCTACTGTCACTAAATTGACCAGTTCTAGACCATCTTTGTATATTGCACCCTGTGTCCCAAAACTATGGACTAATCCGAATTCTAGTGAGGTAAGTTCTTTTCCAGAAGTAAAACTATCAGTTAATTAGTACTCTCTGTCCCAAAATTATTATCCAGTTTGAGATTTCACTTTTAGTACAATTTGAACTAGAAATGAAAACTCAAACTGGACAATAATTATGGGACGGAGGAAGTATTTTAATGCATGTCAATTCTAGACCTTTAGTGACTGTCTTTTATGTAAATTATCAAATCCCAAAATCCCCTAGCATGAAGAAACGGCAAACAGGAACTATCAAAGCAAAGCTAAGAATGATCCTCTACAGCTCTGGTTATATGGTCATAATTAATCTGCCAAACTTGGTGCTTCTCCTTAAAACTCAAGAATGCAGGGAAGGAACCTATTATTAGAACATATCCTGTTCAAGTAAGGTCATCTCAAATCTTATATAATGTGATCGATGTTTTTGCCTTCCACTCTAACGATGTGGGATAGTTGTCAGTCTGCAACCTAAAAGCGAGCAGAGACGATTTCTTCGACTAGACGGCTGGAAACATAATAATGTTTTCAGACAGAACTAGTGCATATTTCATAGGTTTCTCCGCTGATCTAACTTAAAAATCCTTTGGCAAAAGCTGAGGCAACTTTATCATGCATACTTGTTTCTTCCCCTAATTTATCGTCTATTTTAAAATTTTCTTGCACGCCTTCATGGAGGGACTTGTTTTTTGGGCTTAAGAACACAACTAGTTTAACAAATCAAAATTTCATAATGTGTGATGCTCTCCCTCTATCTATCTATAACTATGTCCGGGCGCCCCTCTAGTTTAATTTTGTGTTAATAGATAAATGAATTCTTGATTTGAAAAAAATAAAATAGCTACACATTTATTTTTTCCCCTTTTTTTAGCCAAAAATTAAAATAAAAATTAAAAAAAATCATCTGCCAAAGGAGAAAAAATATTGAAAAGTACAATGATGCAGAAATCATACAAAAATGTGGAGTAATAAAGGGGATAAGTTTATGAGTAAATTTAAATGTTATTTTAATTTTATTGATAAATGATAAATGTTAGAAATTAAAATTGCGTAGTTATTTTTGTAAAGTAGCTTTTGTTTTTCCAGATAAGAATTTTTTTTTCTTTTAAAAAGGGATGACACGTGGGAGAATAGTTAATGCAATATGGTGCATTTGGAGCCAAAAATTTTTAATAAGAAATTTCCACATCAACATCCTGTATTCTGCTTTAATAGGGTAAAAAGGATAAATATTTTTTTTTAAAGGACATAGAATATCTATAGTATTTAATTAAAGCAGCATACAAATTGTTGATGTGTCAGCACCACAATGAAAACTTTCTCGCCAAAGATCATTTTCAGTACAAAATCATTTTTGACATGTGAAACTCTAACTATTCAAAAAAAAAAAAAAGATGGAATAAATAAATCCCTTAATTATAGCTCCATATTAATCCTTTAATTATAGCTATATAATAATCCCTTAAAACAAGAAACTTGAGTTGATAAAATCAAATGTAAAAAAATCTCTTTAAATCACGTGAAACATTATCGCGAGTAACGCCTCTTCAATCTCTGTGAATACAAAATGGTTAAATGAAAATTGGCTCCAATATACAATTGGTTCAACGAAATATATAATATACCACAATCAAGTATTTTTGCTCAATGTAATACAATTGGCTCAATAAAAATGAAGACGATCCCCTTAATATTTTTGCTCTAGCAGATAACTGACTCAATCAAGAAGACATCAATGCTTAAAATTTGACTTAAAACATAGCAACGGAAAACCCAAGGAAATTCCATCATGCTATCACGGGAGATCAATACCGAGGAAGCAAAAGATAATTAGCTCTCCATTATGACAATCAGGATATTGTATTCAAAGATTCTACCACCGAATATTTATTTGTTAGTTCAAGAGATATTATCTCAATAGTATTATAATTTGTTATTAGCTAACGAACATGACCGCGGGTAAAAAACAAAAGATTTTTTATACGATTAGAATTGTATAAAAAAAAGAATTGTCATTTACTTATACGTACAAAATTTTATGTTATCGTGATCTGTGTTATAATATTATATTATACATATTATTACTCTAAAATATACTTTATCACTTATAATTTTATTATTTAATAATTTTAAGACACAGGCAATGCCTGCGGGGCAAACATCTAGTATATTTTAAGGAATTACAATCCGGCGGAGAATTTCCTTTCTCATATTTTGTGTATTAATTGTATCAATTTTTACTAGATACTAATTAGAAGAAACAAGTTTAGCTACAATCTTCCAATAGTGAGACATTCGGAGTAAGTCATCCCATTTAGCTATTTCAGCTTTGCATATCAATTTACAAGCTTCCCTTCAAAGTTCAAACCAATACATACGATTGTAATTATATATTTCAACTTGCAGTACCCGATCTTAGTTACCACAGTACCAATTCCAATAGTCAAGCAAATGGTGGTGGGGGTGGTGCTGGTACATGTGACATTAAACAATAAGATCCAATATCAAGAATACTACTGAAACGGATCTCCATTTCTAATTTACTAAATACTAAGTACCCATAACAAGAAAGGCAAGAAATTCAAGCAGGTATTACAAAGAAAAAAGTATTCATTGTATGGAAAAGGAATAGAAATATTAATTTCATTCACAATCTGCTTGGCAACACGTCACCGGCTCCCTCGTGCGCGTGCAACGTTGAGAACAAGAACTACAAATATTATTATTAGATGGGGGCGGTGGAAATAGAAACGGAAAACACTTATTGAGCTTTTTGAGTTAGCCACCATCACCAACCACCACACCCACCGCCACCGCCCCAGCTAGCTAGTTTCTTCCACAACCTCGTAAATTAACACTTTCTGCCATAACCAAAACCCTATGAAAAGCAGTTTGCCAACGCTTTTTTGTTAGTGGTGGTGTGGACTCCAATAATAATTATACTTGTAAAGTGTCTCTTGTACATGTCTGTCTGTTGTTTTTTAGGTACTGTACTAGTATGTGACTGTGTGTGGGCGCTTCCTTTGTGTTTCTTTAGTGGACTGCGCGCAGGCCAAAGTTAAAGCACAGACTGTTAGTTTGATTTAGTTTTGTCACCTTTACTCTGGCAAGACACTCTCTTCATGAAGTGTATGTTTTAGCGATATATCCACATGTCTCGAATAATAATTTATATTTGTGAATTGTATTGTTTCTAATACAATTTACAAATTACAATAGGGATAATTTTTGTGTGCAAATAAAATAAAATATTAGGTCGTCTTCGTGCATTTTTTTTGTTTTGGTACAAATCTTTTTGCATGTTTGAGAAAACATAATGGAAGATCGAATATTTATTTTTCAACAAAGTATTTGAGCAAGCAGGAAAAAATGTTCGTTCAGTTTCCCATTTTCGTACTTATCTCTACAAAATTGAATGTACTTGACTTGCATTTCTACTCTGGAACGATGTGCCATCCATTTTGAATTTTAAAAATCATTAATTATCATCACACAAAGAACCGATGAATATTAATTGTTGATCGAAATGAGGAACAATCACAAAATAAAAATATAGTTGCTTTGATGATGAATTATGTAAAATTTAAAGTGCTGCTATAAAGCTCAGTTCAAGTAGGTCTATCATGGTGAACTTACGAGTTACGACATCTATTCTAGAGAGACTAGTTGGAAGAAATTAGTTGGGACTTCTATTTTTCTATTAGTTTTGATACCTATATTATCTGGTGTACAGTGTGTAATTCGAACCAGGAAAAAAGTCTAACAGACTTCATCTGAACATGAATAAACTTAAAAACGAACAAGATAGAACAAATTGAAGTACTGATTTGAAATTGAAAAAACAGAACAAACTGGAAAACAAAACCAAACTAACAGATAGATTTTCCAAATTGAAATGTCAAAAGACGATAATAAGAATGCATGGTCACTAACTATCGACATAATAAAATCTAAACCATCACCATCTTGCAATATTCAAAATTAAAATATTGCTGAGGGGAAGCAATGACAAACCTAAATTTCAAAATCCGAACTAACAAACCATGCACATTTTATCTAGCTAGCTTGCTCGCAATAATTTTTATCGTGGGATTTGGCTATTTTTTGCAGCGAGCTACTTCCCTTTTTAAGGCAATAATCGATGCCCTGTGGCACAAGAGGTCCCTCCGACGTCCCAAAAGAATTCCAGCAGAATGGCTGCCGGATTTTACCGGATAGAACTCCCGGCGACGGTGTCAAATCAATGTCACTAAGAGTAACATCACTGCATGGAACCGATTTGCTGCAAGCCAAATGAAGAGGTTGAGAGGTATAAGTTCCGGTGATCTGGTCGAATGTAACTCCGGTGATCGCCACAGCTTCGGTATGATTCTGGCAGGAATGCTTGTCGCAGTAATACTGATCTATTATTACCGGGACTTTAACACCCGACACTTGAATATTGGAAAATGTCACATTCTTCACTGCTCCGAGTCCACCCTACACCATACGAATATAATAAGAATTCAATAACATATTTTAAAATACAAAAAAAAAGAGAAAAAAAGACTACTTGGTCTAAAAACTAATTATTAGAACACGATAGTGTTAGTGTGTCTTACTTACGATCTATTTTAATTTAATGTTAGGTATTTTGACTCATTGTATCAAAACGAAAAAAAAACGGAAAAAAAAATCAGAGATTAAATTACTAGCCAACCTGCCATGTCTTGATCCGTGCACCATAGAGGGTGTCGGTCATGGAGACTTTCTCAACGAGAATGTTAGAGACACAAGCAACACTTCCATCTTTCCCTAATCCTCCTAAGCTGCAATTTTTATTTTATTTTTTTGACAAAAAAATTAATTAATTAGCATATAAATTAAAATAATAAAATCAAGGACCCTTGTGTCTTAAATTAAATAACCAAACCGTATAAAATTTGTTCCTACTATTAAATTACCTTATGCCGTGTCCAGGTCCACAATTGATATCATGTATATGAACGTTGCTGCAGCCAGTTTGAATGGAAACGCAATCATCTCCTGTAAATATTCACATTTATCCACAAATCAAAATCAAAATCAAAATTGTAATGGTTACTTTTTTAGAAATTCAAAGCAGATAATACGGGGGGGAGATTATACTAAACTTTGGATACATGATAGAGTGAAAAAACTTGCTTGGAAAATAGTATACAAGTTTGTTCTAAAAATTGTATTGTGCCAATCATTTCGGGTCAAAATGAATTATGGGAAAAAGGCATTATGCTCCCAACAAGCTTTTAAGGCAAAAGGGATGTACTCTATATTTTTTTTTTTAAAAAAAAAGGAAATATTCCTCACATGCGTATCCCACCGAGTGCATCTAAATAATAATAATATTAACATTGTTTGGGACTACTTTTTCAAGTGAAACAAATCAAAGAGTTGTTTGTGGTACCACAAGCGATGTCAGAATGGTGGATCTCGACATCTTGGGTGTTCTGCAAGTGAATGCCATCAGTATTTTTGCTGTCTTCTGGGGCTGAAATCGTGAGGTCGTGGACCTTCACTCCTCCAGATTTGTCGAACTTGAGATGGCAATTAGGGCTATTCTTTATCGTAATGTCACGAACTGTAACATTGTAGCTTTCAAAAAACCTCAAAGCCTTCACAAAACAAATAACCAAAATTAACTGATACGGCACTAAATTATTTGTCACCAAAAAAAAAAAAAAAAAAAACGGAAAGTATTGGAGGGGATCTTACTGTGGGTATAGCTTCTGGACGGGAGTTGGATTTCTGGATTAAAAATAAAAGATGAAGAAAAAGAAAAAAGAAAGAAAACTGTTACAATCAAACTGGACATTAATATTGTTATATATTTCAATTACATTAACAAAGTTGAAAATTTAACCTTCATGGAATCGAGTTCATCAAGATGACGATGAGAAGAGGAAGCAAGATTCCACCACTCACAACCTTGGCCATCAACTGTACCACTTCCTCGAATTGTGAAATTTTGAACCCATTTGAGATTTATCCACTGATACATTACGTCTGTTGGACCTGACCAAACTTTTGCCGGAGCCAAAATAGTCCCGTCGATCTGTTCAGTATTAATATTAATTTCCATTTCGTCAACAGTAATTTACTATAGTGCACATTTAATTAATAACTAGGTTATATGCAAAAGTACAAACTGAAATTTGAATTCCTCCGGGAAGATTAATAATGCGGCAGATAGAGAGTAAGGTTACCTGAAGACTGATATGGTTACATTTTTTAAGTGTTACGGGCTTAATTAAAAACTTTGATTCGGAAGGAAACTCTATTGTAGATCCATTGACCATACATGCAGCCTCCCATGCAGCTAATAGTGCCTACATCAAAATAATTTTTTTTTTTGAAAATAAAAATAAAAATGATCCATTAAAGTCGAGATAAATATTTTCAAAAAAAAAAGCATAACTCTAATTAAGGGAAACGAGATAATCAAATACCTCAGAATCATCGGATACCCCATCGCCTACAGCGCCAAATGAGAGTAAGTTGAAGTTCTTGGTGGAGGTGGTAGGAAAGGGATCATTAGTTGGAGGAGGAGTAGGAGGACTTCCATTTCCAGGATCTTCTCCAGGATGTTTCTTTTTCTTGTGGTGGTGCTCTTTATGATGCTTTTTCCCCTTCTTCCCATGGTGTTTTCTAGCCTCCAAGACAGACATTTCTGAAAATATAACTAGCACAATGAGCAAAATAACAAGGAAAGAAGTTACTTTGTTTCTCATTTTTGTGGTTTTCCTAACAAAGGTAAATATATATATTTATGGATGGAAGAATGAAGCTAAGTGTGAGTGAGTTTGAACAAATGCGATCGGGGGAATGTGTCTGCATGGGTATATATAGTGGTATATTTGCAGAAATACCCTTCAAATATTTGAAATTACAATGGCAGCTATGTTCCTTGAACCATAAGATTGTCTAAAAGCCATGTAAAGTTTGCAGAGAAAAAGAGGATTAGTTTCAATGAAAAACCGATATATGGATAAGATAAAGTGATAGAGTAAACATGTTTTAAATGAATTTCTAGATTAATTAGTTCATATTATTTCTGATGAAATTGTTCCAAAATTGTTTTTTAATTGAGTTTAAAATCATTTGCTTTGATTCTTGTGCGGATAGAATTAGACAAAAAGGATTAACATTAATTTCAATTGGAGGATAAGATAAAATATGAGTACTATGAAACTAGATTAAGGTTTTCTTTTTCTCGAAATATAACGCACACTAATTTGAAATTTGTGTTTCGTAAAAAATAAATAAATTGAAAGACAAAAAATTTTCCTATTAGGCCTTTTGAGTACACGATACAGGCAAGGTGTACACAGACAACATCAATTTTAGACTTTTCAGTAGGAGACAATACATGCATTAGCAAGTTACGAAGAGATTATGTACCTTTTGAAACTTTTAAAAATAAGAGGCTTTATAGAAAACTTAAAAAACATTTGCAAAATGGATAAGATAATCAACTACTTATATCCAAATGAGCAATTACATTAGTTACCGCTGACATAGATACTCGTAAATATGGGGGAAAAAAATCTTGAAAAACCAACTTTAATGACGTTAATTCATTAACCATCGATCTATTTCATTGATGGAGGAGATAAAAACGTGATTGAATTATTATCACTTTGATAAGATTTATCACGGGCGATGACCATGTAAATAAAGCCGATGACACTTTTTTTTTTAGGTATATTATGCATCCGGTGATCTAAGTTATTGTTCCGATTAATTCGAATTCGAGCCATGTAGTTCCCTTCATTACTTTTACTTTGTCGGTGATAAATCTTCAATCTAGTTTTGAACTTTTTGAACACTCCAAAAGAAAAAAAAAACAAAGGACTTTTCTTTTCCTCACATATATATACAGGACTTTGAAGTACTTCATTTCATAAGTTTGCGACTTACAACTACGAATTTTATGCGAACAAGTACCGTCCTAATAAAAAGAAAATATGAGGATTCTATTGCAAAGGGTATCTCACGTCTTCCTTGTAATTTACTCTATATCAGCTAATTGGCCCATGAGTTCTTTTTAGTTTGTATATAAAAAAAGTGAAATAAAATATTTTCTTTGTTCTAAAATAAATAACACATGTAAGAATTATTTTAGTGCGGATGAAGTGAGATAAAAAATAAAAAAATGAGGTGCTCAGAAACAGATAACGTGTTCAACTCGAAGTTACCATTCAATGAGTAAAACAGGAATTAATCTAACCTGATCTTTCGAATACCTTCAAAATAATCAAGTAGGATGGTCTTGGGAAGACTTCAAATTTATTCAAATTTAAATGAAAGTATGAATATAGTGAGAATGGATCTCCCACATATAGCGAGATGAAGACTTGTTCTTGCACATCCAATATCGGATATCCCCTTGTGGTTGGTTATCTCAGGTGCGCCAAATAATTCAGTCGGTTTGATTGAGAGAGCTGTATTTTTTCATTCTTTTTTGAAGGAAATGAGCTCCATTCGTATTGCAGAGGTCTGTAGGTTTTGTCTTTTTACAAGAGTAAATACTGTCACATCACATGATCTGAAGTGCAGAATAAGAATTGACGGAACTATTATTGCCCATGATGGAACAAATCAGGAGAAAACTAAGATTTGACATTCAGAGGCTAATAACGTACTACATCACAAATTATAAAAAAAAAAAAAAAAAAGTCAATGCCAATATTAACTCTTGGAAAGTAGAGTTAACAATATCATCGGTCTCAGAATGATGCAACAGCACGCCCCCGTTCATAGCGGCTCAAATTTCTGAAAATCAGGTCTGATGGGAGTCTAAACAGAAGAATGGATGCTGCCAGAAAATCATTGCAGCAACTCTCTAAAGACGGGACAACAGGTACGGATATGGTGGTGGGACGTGCTGACTGGCCATGAAAAAAGGATGGAAGAGGATCTGTTTGATCGAAGGTCTGAAAAATATAGTTGAAAATAAGGAAAATTTCTACCCTCAAAATAAATTTAAAGCATAAAATTTCAATTGAAAAAAAAAAAAAAAAAAAGGAAGTCTCACCTCTTTTCCGGAACATCCATGACAGCAGTTCATAAGCTTGAGGTAAATGTCTCAATTTAGATAGATCAGGAGAAGGGCTGAGTATTTCTGATGGGAAGATGCAGTAGAACGCGAGGCATGCTAAACTGTATATATCCGTGGCTGCTGGCTTTTCCTTGTTCAGTAGTAGTTCGGGTGCAATCCATCTTATACTTTGACTTTCCTATATATGCCTTTGCCTGAAAGCATGGGATGCAATTCTTCTCCTCCATCTTCCACAATGAGGACGTTTTCAAGTGCCACACCTTGATGAATAAGCTGGCACTCATGGAAACATCGCAATCCCAGAACTGCATATCTGTCTCTCACACAGATTATTGAATAACATGATTAAACAATATACCATAACAACTTGTTCGCCCAAAATAATAATAAAGCAAAACACCATAAAGACGAACAAATCTTGCACTGACCTCAAGAATACTAATAAACTCTCAGTAACTTGAATATCATGGGTATCTTTTTCGCTCTTCCACAAGGAGATTCTGTCTGTAAGAGATTTTGTCGTCACCGAGTTGGGGCTTAGAGAGCTTGGAGCGGTGCTCAGAGCGACTGATAGCTTCAGCTCGAAAGAGATCAAGCAAGGTACAGCTATATCTCTGTCACGAACAACTGTTTTCAATTGCTCATATAGCAGGCAAACCTCCCCAACAGCTCTTTGCAATTGCTCCTGTTGGCTGGTCTCGACAGCATAGCGGCTCTCTGATTTTTATGTCTCAACTGATCCTGAGACGCCCTAACCACCATTTGGGCTCTCTCCAAATCCTTTTCCAACTTCGGAATCTGTTTTCCGCGCCTCCTCAAGCCTTGTGTTCACCTGTTCATCAAACAAACCAAATTTCAAGAAGAATAAAAGCTTATGTAAAATCAATCCCATTCTATGATTTTCAAAATCCACAGCCTACAAAAAAACTAAAATTAAAGCCCTAAACCGGAACATCAAAACATGGAAACAAAAACAACAAGCAAACAAAATTCTGAGGCATGCAATCGGGAGTTCAATTCTCCATTCAGGTACAATCAATCAACAAGAAACCAGTGTACCTCTTGAGTGGCACTCGGGGGATAATTTATGCTAAAAATACGTCCACGTCCTACAACTTCATTAGCTTCCATCCAGCGTTTCGTGGGGGCTTTCATCCGCATTGGGAGTAATCCTTTCTTCCTTGTGACTGCTTCTGCTCCTAGATCCATCGGGGAAAACTTCCCCTCTCTTCAGGGGGTGTGGAGGAGATGGTGTTCAGATTAAATATTGGGAAATATACGGACAAGTTATGAACACAAATTTCGTACTTAAATTTTCAGACCGATACACAAACGAACGAATATTCCGATTAAGTTTCCCATGAGTTCCAAACTCCAACCAAAGAAGACAACTTTGTGTTCCTCAATTTTAAAAAAATCCCAAATTAAATCCCAAGAAAAAAAATTTAATAGATATAGAAACGTGAGAAGAATCAAATTGATACCGAATAATACCGCAACCAATTAAAACTAACGAAAGAAGGGATATGTGTGTGTATATATATAGTACAACGCGGTAAATTAATGAACCATAAATTAATAACTTATAAAAATTAATAATTTTTTCCTGTCCCAACTTGGGACCAGTACAAAAAGTGATAAAAATCGATAAAATGATAAGATAATAATGTTTTAGAAAATCTCTTAAATATCTATATGTCCCAACAATACCATAAATTAATAAATATCTTAACAATAAAAAATAATACTAATTACTATAAATATTTAGTAAACTATGAACTATTAATACTTGTTTTCTAGTCCTTGGAGATGATATGAAAACTATATATGGATTTTTCTTGTTCAGAATAGTTTTAATACTTGATTAATTCGGATGTAAAGAAAATTGCAAATTAAGTACTTCAGTGACGGTCCTTTTTTTCTCGTGCAAATTCTTTAAATTAATAATTTATGAATTAATTAATAATTCACTAAATTAATAAATTTTAGTGGTCCCAATACTATTAATTCTATTAATTTATAGAAGTTCTACATATAAACGACCGACATACAAAGATCGGCTATATATATAAACGACCGACATCCAAAGGTCGGCAAGAGAATATCCAGCCGAACTACTACTGACCATTGTCAGGAATCGAGTTATCAGATTCCAGAAATTGAACTAAATTCGTGATTTAGTACTCAATTTATTGAACAGAAATTAATAATTTGCAACTTTACCAATTGTGGAGTTAAAAGGTGAAAATCACTCCAACATAAAAGCACAGATGGTCTTAGGCAGAAATTCCACCACACAACCCTCTTGGCAAGAATCTGTAAAGAAAAACTTCAAGAAGAAATAGCATAACAAGAACCCCCTAATGTAATTGTTCAAGCAAGCAAGCAACAAAAAAAGTGTAAATGGAAGGGACAACGCAAAAAGGCAGAATCACTTACAGTTATAGTCACAGAGAGAGAGCAAATGCAAGAGAACCCGATTCTCTTCTTTCCATTAATGAACTTGAAAATCAAGAAAACAATGCTATTATTAGCTCCCATTAGAAAGGGAGAATCTTTCCTGCCTGCCATATCAGTCCAGTGAACCAATCAAATTATTTAAGCTGTCATAAATATGCGAAAATTGAGAAAATCAACTGGCAAATATGGAATTGATGAAACTTCAAATTTAAAAAATAAAAAAGAAAAAAAAAAGAAAAAGAGGCCAAGAATCAGATATCAAAACAAGAATCAAACAAGCAAAATGTACCACTCACAGTGCAGTACTTTCTTTGTTTCAGGTGCTTCAGGGGATATGGCCAGGTGGGTCAAAATTGACAATGACTAATGTTACTAAATTCCAACTCCTTGTGTGAATCATGCTTTGATAAAGAAGAATACGCAATCTATCGAACCACTTAAACAAGTCTTGATCCTTTGACCTCAACTTCTGTAAGATTATAAAAATATAAACTAAGGGGGTGAAGCTACTTTAGAATCTCAGTGGATAAACTATTTTTTATGATGTGTATGAACATTTGGAAATGTGAATTCTTGATCTTCAAAAAATACTTCGTTTCATATTTGTTAGGATTTAGGAACTTATTTTAATTGGTAATGCCAAAAAGAAGATATTAATTCAAACATCTAAGTAGCTAATTAGATGTTGGATATTCAATATAAACACTATTACAGTATAACACTATACACATTCAAACAGCATCACCATCTGTAATTGCGAGAGGTGAGAATTCAGTGAAATTTTAAGACATTATTATATATTAACATTTTGTTATATTACTTTAACGAGTTATGAATTGTTGGGGGAATGCTCCAAAAATGCTATATAAATAAAATATTTGAGTCGTGTAAATTGTACTGTCTAAAAGGAAATATTTCGATGTAACAAATTTCCCAAGATAAAACAAGCCTTCATCCTTTAAGTTTAGAGGGCACATGAACTAACAAATATATAGATCCAATATTTGTAAAAATATTTTTTTTTTTTTTGGTTTACAAACATACAAGTATGAGCCTTAGCTCAAAACTTATATTCCCGTCCTTCTCGTTATCTACTAATAAAGTTATGCTACTATTTGAAAGTAAAGAGAAAGAAAACCAAAGTTATTTGCACGACTCAAGTAATTAAAGAGAAAGAAAATCAAAATTATTTACTCATGAGGAGTGACTTCAAAGTTTGAAGGAAAAATTGAGAAATGAGTTTAGTGTTTTGTGAATGGATGAAAATAATGTTTTGGTTCTTCCTATTTGTAGGCAAAGCACACTAGATTTCATTAAAATCCACCTCATCTAATTTCGTAAAAATCAAAACTTTACTCCATTAACTCTTTAGTTTGATTAATAAACCTTTTGATTTATTGAAAGATAGATACTTTACTTCACCTGCATTAAACATCTTGAAAGATCAAAACCCAAAAAATGCAAGAGGAAGACTTCAGTTTCTATACACTGAAATAGCCAGTTGGATTTAAAACATTAAATATGATCTTTTTGAAATAAATTTTAGCAGAAGCCAACATGCATGAATCACTTTCCAACCTTCTCTAACATTACTTTCACCTCTCTTAAAATGATAGTCTCTAATTTGAATTTTTATTTTTATTAAGCTTATACAAAAAATAAAAGTTCAACTAGACATGCAATCATTTTGGGACATAAAACATATGAATATAAAAATGTTTCTTATTATGCTAGAATTTGTAATGGTTAATAACTATTAACAAATACTCCCTCCATTTCAAAATATAAGTCACTTTAAGTTTTGCACATAATCTAAGAAAATAATCATCCAACAATTAATTTATGTGTTAAATATCTGTTTTACCCCTCATTAATTACATGAGAACTATAAACAAGACTAAATGAAAATATATTGGTATCAGTTATTGAGGATAAAGTTGGGAAAATGAACCTAGAATTTGTAAAACGGCCTACATTTTGAAAAATTTCTCCAAACCTAAAACGACCTATAAATTGAAATGAAAGAAGTGTATGTGTTGCATTCCAAAAAAAAAAAAAAAAGTAAACCAGATCTATTGACCATGGCTTAAGTTTGCACAAAATGAGAAGTCGCCAAAATTGGTTCTAGTTTGGGTTACTTCCGGTCAATTGTAGGGATCAAGTAAATGTCTCATATGCAAATTAGTTTTTTTTTATTATTATTAAAGGAAGATTCTATGATCTTGGATTTTCCTGGTTTCAAAATAGTTTTCAAGTGGGTTTTCAATCCATAGTCATAAGTCATAAACATTGGTATCCAGTCACCAAATCGTTACACGCCAACAGAGAAGAAGGATTTAGGTCGAGAAAGAGAGGATTGTGGTATGCTACCATTGCCCAGCTTCTACCTGTCGCGTATCTTTCCCCACAAGAAATCCCTGCAACATCTTTTAATTAGTTTAATGACAGATTGTGGCAAAAGAAGAACACATGACCAACATAAGAGTGTGAATTCATGAGGACAAAATTTACTTGAACATCTTCAAGCATATGACAAGCTCCTAGTGAACCAACATTTCAATCTTGCGGTAATTTTATCAATAACCATTTGACAATCTTCCTGTGACATAGCATTCGTAGATATTGAAACTCCTAAATACCTGATTGAAAAAGAGCCAATCTGAAAACTCATGATCCTCTCTATTTGAATCTGAGTTACAACCCCAGAGTAGATATTAGACTTCCCACATATACAATCAACCCAGTCACAGCGGAAAAATGCTCTAACTCCTTTTTAATTTTCAGCACAGATAAGGACATCAACTTCACATATTATTATGAGATCATCTGCAAAATGCATGTCAGTTATCCTAAGTTTCTCGCAGAATGGATGAAATTGAACACAAATTTTTATTTCTTTCATTTTTTTGGATTACTTCATTTGCACGATTTACTTACTTTATGATCTTTCCCATTAAAACATCCAAACAAAGACATGAAAATGTATGTGTTCAATCCAAGAGAAAACAATTATTTACTCATACCGTCCTCATGTGATTGTGTATTTTGAATTTCACTTTTAGTAAATGAAACGATTGTTCAATTTAGAGCATCTTTTGAATTATAAAATAAAAATTCAAACTGAATTATTATTTTAAAACAGAGAAAATTCATAAGATGTTGTAAATATCATTCTCGCTCTAACTAAAGTACTTAAAATTACATATCTCGTCGATATCAGCAGTGTTGCAAAACATCATATCCAGGATCATTGAATCAGTAACCACAGAAAACGAATTCCGAACTACTAGTTAAATATAAATTATTTTCCTCAAAAATCAAAATTGCGAGTCACTGGGTTGTCAGACTCGGCTTGGACCAGCCTGTTGAATCGGTTAAACCAGGAACCAAGCCTTTAATCGAACGAGTCAGACATAAACTTGCTTAATTTAGACTCGGTCAAAATCGGTCAAGATTTTGGTCAAAGCGGGAATCGGATAAAACCGGATCGTCTTTTACTTTTTGACTTTTGACCAAAATTTTTCACATTTTTCCATGGAATCTAACATCTTCCAAGGCCAACATTTTTCCTTTTATTTACAAATGGCCCAAAACTTTCAATATTTGTTTTACTCAAACTATCAATTTGGTTTTTTAGTCCCCAATTTTTAATTTTAACTATCAAAGCCACTATTTTGATTTTTTTAAAATTTAATTTTATCGTACAAACCAAATTTTATCATCTTATTAGCAAAAATTAAACTATAACTCTAATATGTTGAAGTTGATTTCAAAGCACATTTGTCTTGATATTTAAAGTTAATTATCTTACAAATTTAATAATTTTTTTCAGTAATAATTGATTTATCTTAATAACCTTGTTAATATACTTATTTACTTCATGAAAATTATAATTAAATACAAAAAAATATCAATATTAACTATTACAATAGAAAGGAATATAAATTTTAGGTTTTTTCTAATTTTAAACATATTCAATAACTAAATTTTATTTATTTAGCAAATAAAAAATCATCTTAGACGACCATACGAGTACAATTTTGTCCTAGCAAAACCCATTTGCAATATATAAAATACTAATTTGATTTTAACAATTGAAAATTGTATATAAAATTTAATAAAAATTTAATGAAAATATAATTATTAATTAATTATTATTTATTACATCATTATGACGTCATTCGAGTCAATCCTCGAATCGCTCGACTCCATGCTGAGTCGAGCTCCGGTCCGACCTTGACAACATTGCTTGTGACCTGTCAAATGCCATACGCGGAGGAGCAAATGGTTGACTAGTCAACGTCACTTTTACCAATCCCCATCCCATTTCTAAGGCATTGACTAGTTGACTTCAAAACGACAGCAGCAGCAGATTTGTACCAAAATTCAAAAAGAGTGAAACATCAGCTTCTAACGACGTAGGATGCAACCAAACCTCGGATAAATTCGTTTTGCTTTTTCAGTTTTCACATCGGCACCGAATCATAGACGATTGAGTAGAAATGATGATGAATAGTGGATACAACTGGTGGAGTATGTGTCATTTGGTCAAACCAAAAGGATTTATGAGCTTATAATCTATATTTAAAAAATTAATTTGTCTCGTATTTAATTGTTTTAACTATGACTTTTATAACTGTACATGCACATGAACTCATGAAGGGATCAAATTATCATCACTTTGATTAGATTTATCCTGGGGCGATCACCAAGTAAATAAAGCCAATGACACCTTTGTTTCAATTTCCTTCATTACTTTAACTTTGTCCATGATTAATCTTCAATCTAGTTTTGAACTTTTTCAACACTCCCAAAAACTAAAAAAAAAAGACTTTTCTTTTCCTCACATGTATATACACAGGACTTTGAAGTACTTGATTTCAGAAGTTTGCAACTCGCAACTACCAATTCTAAGCGAACAAGTACCTCAATTCTTCTTTGTAATTTACTCTACATCAGCTAATTGACCTATGAGGTCCTTTTATATATTCAAAAAAAAATAAAAATAAATTTTTTCTTTGTTCTAAAATGAATAACCCATATAAAAACTATGTTAGTGCCAATGAATTGGATATTTGGATTATTAAAAATGAGATAAAAATAGTAACATACTCCTTCTGCCCCAAAATTATTGTCCTGTTTGAAATTTCACTTTCAGTACAATTTGAACTAAAAATAAAAATCCAAACTGGACAATAATTATGGAACGGAGGGAGTACAAAATGAGGTGAGTCGTTTACCATGAGAAAAAGAAAAGAAAAGAAAAGGTCGGACTCGCCGTTATCAATCCGACGTTCATTCTAGAACAGATTGTGGCCGGATAAAATAGAAAAGAATAGATTGTACGGGTATCATACTTTCATTGTCACCTGTCTCCATTCCATTTTCTTTCTTACACGCGCTCAGTAAAAATTGGAGAAAAGTCCCAAAAAATATATAATGAGATATTCTTATCTTTTTAAACACTAAAATAAAAATTATCATCATCATTCTTTGTGTAACTTTTTGACTGTTTATGTGACGGATATACAAAGCTAAAAATCCATCCATTCTAAATCCTACAGAAAATAATACAAACGCACAATACGTTAAAATAATGATTTGTATTGAAAACTAAAATACTGTAGTTGTTATTCTTTTTACTTCAAAAGAATACTTTGTTGATGATAATAATTTTTGAAACGATAGAAATAGACGATGATACTCTTTTCTTTTTTTTTAATATTATTAGGTGTCCATTATTGTTGATGTAACTAATCCTCTTGCTCATGATAGCACTTTAATAGATAAGAAAATTAGTCAAAAGATTTAAGATTCGAACCCTCATAAAAGATGGTACTTTCATTTCATACAACTGCGCAGCAATTTCAAACAGAGACGCGCACATAATGTATCATATATAACGACCTTTTAGAGTACTTTAAGCTTAAGGCTTCATATCATCTAAACCACAAAGAAATTCTCATTTCTTTATTAATAATAATAACAGCCCATCATCATCTCAAACTCTTTTTAATTCTCAAGTATTCGTCAGACTTTCCTCCCAGGAATCAAAACAAAAACCGTCCATCAATGGCTGCTTTCCCAATACTGATAACATTACTTGCTCTGACCTTATTATTATTCCTCAACATAAGTCCTTGTTTATGTGATCCCAGAGCAACTGAAGCAGCTCTAGTATGTACCAACCGGACGGCGGCCCAATCCGATCGGCAAGTTTATGTGGCCAATTTCTTAGCTGCCATGGATGCAATAACTCCCCTGATTGGGAGACAGGGCTACGGCGGCGTTGTCAACGGAACCGGGAACAACACGGTTTATGCTTTCGGACAGTGCATGAAAGATTTATCTCAGACGGATTGTAATTTATGTATTGCACAATGTAAGACCCAGATTCTCCGGTGCCTCCCTTTCCAGAAGCTGACCACTGGTGGCAAGCTTTTCTATGACGGGTGTTATTTGAGGTACGATGATTACATGTTTTTCAACGAGAGCTTGGGTTTTGGTGATAAATCCGTTTGTGGGGCGAATGATTTTACTGGGAATCAGAGTTTGTTTGGGAGTAATGTTAGGGAATTGGTGAGGGTTTTGGATGTTGGGGGGAATAGAAATGGAGGGTTCTTCACTGGGAATGTTAGTAGAGGGAATTTGACGGTTTATGGGTTGGCTCAATGTTGGGAGTTAGTCAATGGGACTGGTTGTCAGAGGTGCTTGGCTGATTCTGTCTCAAAGATTAATTCTTGCCCTCCTAAGGATGAAGGAAGGGTGTTAAATACTGGTTGTTATATGAGGTATTCTACTCAAAAGTTCTTTGACAATTCTTCTTCAACTCCTGCTCCTGCTGGCAATGGAGGTCAGTTTGGTTTCTTTTCTTGCCATAATTCTAGTTTTATGTATTTATCACGGGGATGTTTCTGATTTTTTTAATTTTTTTCCTGGAAATTTCACTATTCATAGAATGAAATGTTGATTATGAAAGTTGGTGTCTTTATTGGTTTCGTGATGATGAATTGAGGATGCTAATTGGTTTCTCTCCCATGTATTGATGTGTACTAGGTAGATGTTCTCCTGTACAACTAATGTTATTTCTTCACTTTTAGTCATTCCCATCCAACTTAATTCATAATCACCTTATACAAAACAACTGGAAGCAAAAGCTAGTATTCATTAGTGGACTCTATGTGGAGATGCTATCTACTTGAATGGACTTTGTCCAATCAAACTTGTTACTTGGTTTATAATTTTCAACCAAGGTAAGCAAGTTAACTTGTAATGCAGGTGGATCTCGCAGGGTGGCTATCATTCTGGGCACAACCTTCTCTGCTGTTGCCCTTTTGCTGATTGTAGCTTTTGTCACCTTCTTTTCTAGAAGGAAAGCTATAAAACGAAGGATAGGTACATGTTCCTGAGCTATAGACAGCTGCTATCTTTAATGCCTTTACTGTGAAGCTTAATACTGACTACTGAGTACTGTGTTGTTGCAGCAAAGAAGCGATTAGGCGTGTTTTTGCAGACCGTGAATAAGTCCAAACTCAATATTTCTTATGAAACACTTGAAAAAGCAACAAACTATTTTAACAGCAGCAATAAATTGGGCCAAGGTGGATCAGGTTCTGTTTACAAAGTAATCTTCTTGTCACTGTATCTTCCTAGTTTTGATTCCTAAAGAAGTAAATACTGATGCAAATATTCATTTCAAGTGTGCCGAACAAACAATGTCTGATCAAAGTTTCCCTTTGTACTTGTGCGTACTGCAGGGAATTTTGCCAAATGGTCAGGCTGTTGCCGTAAAGAGGCTTTTCTTTCATACCACTCAATGGGTGGATCATTTCTTTAACGAGGTCAATCTCATAAGCGACATTCACCATAAAAATTTAGTGCAGCTGTTGGGTTGCAGCATTACAGGGCCGGAGAGCCTCCTCGTATATGAATATGTGCCAAACGGAAGCGTTCATGATCACATATTTGGTATTTCAGCAACTAAGAACCTCATTAAACTGTCAAAAGTGTATATTGTTTTTTCTCTTTTTTGTTGTTGCACTTTTGTAGTACTCACTCTTCTATTTCTATTTGTTTGATTCAGGTAAGAGTAATGCCCCACCACTTACGTGGGAGGAGAGACGTAAAATTATACTAGGGACTGCTGAAGGATTGGCATTTTTGCATGAGGAATCGAAGTTGCGGATTATACATCGTGATATAAAATTGAGCAATGTTCTTCTAGATGATGACTTTTCACCGAAAATTGCTGATTTTGGACTCGCTAGATTATTTCCAGAAGACGAGAGTCATATTAGTACTGCTATTGCTGGCACACTGTGAGTCCCTTCCTGCTTTTAATTTGTTTGCAATCCTTAAGTCAAATTTTTATGACCCTTTCAGGGTAAAGTAGTTTTTGCGCTAGAATTTGCATATAATTAGTTTTCTTTTCGGTCACAAGCAAGACTTAGCGTCACTGTCGGTTCTCAGCGTGAAACTGGTTTACATGATTAACGAGTAATAAGATTGTGATTTGCAGAGGTTACATGGCTCCAGAGTATGTGGTTCGTGGAAAGTTAACAGAGAAAGCCGATGTATATAGTTTTGGAGTTCTCCTCATAGAAGTAGTTTGTAGAAGAAAAAACACTTCCCACAGTGATAGTTCCTTTTCCATTCTGCAAAAGGTATTTTCTCTAACATATGCTTCATGTTTTTCACTTGACGGACCAACAACATCTAAACATTTTTGGTGTTTGATGTCTTTACATTTATCAGATATGGAACTGTTATGGTTCAAAAAGTTTAGGCGAAGCAGTAGATCCAACCCTGCAGGGGAAATTCAATGAAGAAGAGGCATCTAGGTTATTACAGATCGGTCTGCTATGTGTACAAGCCTCAGGAGAACTCCGGCCTGCCATGTCGGTTGTTGTTAAAATGCTGAACAATGAGCATGAGATACCAGAGCCATCACAACCACCGTTCCTCAACTCCAACAGCGAGGAAATCAGTCCATTAATGAAGCGCGGGGGTTCTCCCTATTTTCAGTCAGACTCGTACACACAATCATCTGGCAATGAGATGACAGAGAGCTTCATGGAACCAAGATGAACTGAGAAGGTATATGAACCATTTTTCATAGCCCTCTTGTCTTTGGATTGTCTAAAGCTGAAGATGAACAAACTCCAACTAACCGCATTCGGCCATGATGCATTAGTAGTGATTCCTGATTGGTTTGACACACTGATAGAGCTACCACTAGTAGTACAGTATTTGAGGCCATACTTCACCGGCACATGAATCCGATAATAAGTTTCTTGGTACATTCACGGCGACAAATGTCAACTTAGAACATAGTGGTTGACAATCATCGTATTGTATATTGTAGGTTCTTGGTGGTAACAAATAATTCCACTTGATTGATTCTGTATTCGTAAAGCCCGCTGTAAAGCATATTGATACAATCTTCCTGCCGATTATAACATAATTGCGTAGGTTGAATGTGCAGAAATGTAAGTATATTGTATTAGTTGATTACATAAGTACACACTCCTTAGTCTTTCAGGTAATGTTCAAACGTATAAGACTACTACCGATTCATTGGGCTCAAACTCCGGACCTCAAAGTTACCATTCAGTGAGTAAAACAGAAATTAATCTAAACTGATCTTTTAAACACCTTCAAAATAATCAATTAGGTTGATCTTTGGGAAGACTTAAAAAATGACACAGTTTTATTCAATTTTAACTGAAAGACTTGGTTTTTGCCCATCCCAAAAACAGAAAGAGATGCTGCAATTTTGCAAATGCAATGACTTGAGGTCCCAATATCCCCTTGTGGTTGGTTATATCAGATGCTCCAAAAAAATCCAGAGTCAAGTAATTCGGTCTGATTGCGAGAGCTGTATTTCTTTGACTTTAAGGAAATGAGCCAACATTTCTCAATTGGGGGAGGGCATTCAATCAATGAGAACTATACTACTCCCTCCATTCCAAAATAAGTGTCGTTTTAACAAAACGGAGAACTTTCAAAATAAGTATGTTTTCAGATTTCAATGCACTTTTTCTCAAAAATTTCCAAACATACCCTCAAAAAAAATACTCCCTCTGTCCCAAAATTATTGTCCAGTTTGGAATTTCACTTTTAGTACAATTTGAACTAAAACAGAAAGTTCAAACTGGACAATAATTACGGGACGGGGGGAGTAATATTATTGGTGAACATTTATTTTAATGGAGTTGGTTGAGAATATTCTAGTAATTTTGCTACTATATTTAATATTTTTTTAAACTGTGTGAAAACTCTAGAATGACACTTATTTTGGAACGGAGAGAGTACTAGATTGGTACAAGTGAATATGATGGCATTTGGCAATTACTAATCTGTCCGCATTGATGCAAATTAATGACCACACCATCAATGGAGTACATAATAATAGCTCCCCATTTGTGAAATATAATACGTCAACGGTCAACCACTTGGTCATTTTCGAATTTCTCATTCTTCACGGCCTTTCTTGCATCATCTTCTTGACAGGTATGGACCGTGGTGAACGAGTGAACTGATTTATTCCTAATCCTAGTTTTGATTGATCCGCTTAACAAGCAAGAAACTTTTAATTAGTTTTGACGAGAACAAGTGATACGATCATACTGTCCTTGAGTACATTTAAAGTATCAAAGAAAAAAAAAAAGAACTACATTGCGTAATCTGTTTGGCATTATACTATTTAGGGGTAATTGTTGTCAAATTTCCGCAAGAAAATTAGAAATTTGAAAACAAAAAGATGGGAACGGGACTAGGCTTCATTGCCATATCCATGGTTTACGTTGGCGATAAAACTCTTCCGTGTTTCTGTCTTTTTTTTGCCATTTTGTGCGTCGACCGAAATGGTTGACTTGAAAGAAGAAAACGTGCAAAAGGCCTCATTTCAAAACCAAAAATGATTAACATAAAGGTTTTGCTTTTGGTTTTTCTTTTTCTTTTTCCCCCTTTTGAAATGGGACTCCCCACGATCATTGCTGGATTATTTGATGCCGTTTAAAATTTGTTTAAGGACCTACAAACTTAACACTCCACCTGAGTAGTATAGAGATATGTCAAAGTATATAAGTACTTTGGACTCCCATCTTAAAATCAATGAACAATGAGTGAGATGGCCTTTGACACTTATACACAGAGTCACTTCTTTTCACAGTGGCGATGTGGGACGAGATAATACATGCAAAAATTGTTCTTTGTCCTTTGTTCTATTACACAAAAATTTACATATTACACGCAAAAAAAAAAAAAAAAAGACGTTAGAGAAAACTTTCTCAGCTTCTGCACATCGTTGAAAGTATCATATGATCGAACTTTCAATTACCTTTCTTCTACATCTTAATCCCCAATTGCATGCCCAAGGAGGCACATTCCAATTCGGGATGACCGCGTCAATAGATAAAATTCCAATCATATCAAGTAAATGTCTAAATCCTAATAATCATTCATCTGAATTTATGATCTTTCGCTGTCATTTCACTGTTGACGACTTCGATTCGTGACTGACTTCAACGGTTATACGCCGTCAATTGTACAGACGAATCTTGTGAATTTGCGACAAGAAGACAAAACATTAGCCCAGAAGTGGAGGACTTTGAAGTGTTACACCATTCATTTCATTCTCATACGCATGATTATAAAAGGATTGAATGAAACTTAGCCTGTAGCGATCCCAACTTGTACTCAGTGCCCGACCCACCATAATTGATTGGAACTCATTCTCGATCATTATATTAGAGATTAATGTTCACACTTACTAGTAAGTGATGTTATGTAACTTGTAATATCATTTTGTTAAAACACCATAAAATACAATACAATCGTCATCTTAGTGTTTGATGGGTAATTTAAATATTTTGACAATGTCATGTGTGGAAAGACAGAAAACTAAGTAAAATATCCTTGGCAATTCATTATTTTATGAATCATTGAAGATTTGGAGCCTATCACAAAAGAAGGGTCGGTTAAACACATTCAAAAGTCTTGCAGTATATATATATATATATATATATATATATATATATATATATATATATATATATATATATATCTTGAATTAGTGGTTTTTTGAGTTTGAAGCATCAAAACAAGACCGGGGTGGTATATCTAGAAAGCATCACTACTTGTAGATAAACTAATATTGAAGATTTTGTTTGTCTCAGTACAGTTGTAAAATGTCGCTTTTACATCTTGTGCAAGATTTCTTCAGTTAGAATTTACTGGCAATCGATTAAAGTTATCTTATTGCAAACCATATTCAACTTTTCCCTATTTTATTATATATATGCTCTTCGCAAGGCATTGAAAACACTGTCCCAATTCCCATGTTCTAACACTGAAAAATTGTAGGGACGAATTCCTTGATTTAGACCTATGTAATATGTACACCTTCTTTCTAGTAACAAAAAATAAAAAATAAAAATGATTCTGATCAATTATATAACATTAAATAACATAGTGTAATCCTCTGTTAAAAAAAAAACATATTGTAATCCCGAAATACAGGAGGAAACAGACGGAGGCTCACTCTCCTAAGAATATATTACGAAGATTATCATCTTACAAACATTACAAGTCACGAAGTCAATGCACAAGCCATAAAGTCTTTTTTTTTTTTTGGTACACTAAGTCACAAAGTCTTTCTTAACTTTACAAAAATAGACTTATATAGAAATAGCAAGGCCTAGATCAGCCTTCACTGGCAAATTTTATGAGCTTTCTAGATGCCCTTCTCAAGCACCAGCAGGCAGCGCTTAAATCAATTTTTTTTATGTTCCTCTTTTTCTTAAGAAAGTTCAATCACATTCATATTTTTATCAGTTCAAAATCTTCTTTCGGTTATTTTTTTTTTAATTCCAGTCCATCAAATGGTTAAAATGCATGTATCACGCAGAGTCATGTGTTAAAATGCCCCTTTGAAAAAAATAAAAAATAAAAAAAAATGAAAGACATTTGTTGCACATGAAAGATTAAAACAGTTGAAACCAACATATAAGTCTTATGTGTTATTCTTCTCATTGTCAACTTTTTTTTTTTTTGAAAAGGTATTGCCAGTTGATTATAAGGCAAAACCATACATGTAGGTTTATATGAACCTTCAAGAGAATTTATTGCAAATTGGTTTTGAAATGAAAACACATTATTTTATTATTATCAATTAATCTACTAAGTATTCGTCGCTATTATTCCATCTAGATGTGACAAATCGGATACATTACATTATGCAATTTTTATAACAATTTACACACTCAGATTATTAGCAAAATATTTATTGAGATCGAAACTCATTTTGAATATCTTTAGACTGAGTCAACTCCAAATTCCAAATCATGGTCTGGTTCAACCTATATCAGTTGGAGTAGTAGTACAGTTTCTCTGTTTGGTTAAACACTGACTTTTATTTTCAAAACCACCTTTCATTCAAGCAATGGAGCTGAGAGCTGAGAGCTGATTGGCATTATGTTTGGAATTTTGATGAAATACAAATTTTCTAAAAGAAGATTCATGATCAATGATATAGTAAAACCGTGTGCGAAGTTAAAGGTATTCTGGCCTACAACATTTCTCACATACGACACTTTGATATTTCACCTTTGATTTTTCTTTTAATTCTCTCTTGTCTTGACTAAAAATAGTCAATTGAGTCAATGTGTAAGAAACTTGTATAAATCAAATGATAAATGTTTAAATAAAATGGTTCACATTCTACACTCTCTTTTTTTTAATTTATTAAAGTAGATTATCTATTTTTCCGGAACAGAGGAAGTAAATGTTTGTAACAATTACTTGGAACAGTTAAATTTGTGTTTAGTTAAAGTAGAATAATAAAGTTCAAAAAAAAAAATGGTTAAGTAGGAGAGACTAAAAAACGAAGGAGTAGGCCGTCAAATTTGTGAGGTAAATAAAACAGAGTAAAAAGGTAAATTAGAGGCAATTCATATTTTGCGCAAGCCGCCAGTCAAACGTGTTAATACCAGTTTTAACAACTAAGCACTTAGAAGTTTCTATTGGAAAGAAGCGCGTTTTGCTTTCAGTCTCTTTCATCGATTATTTTGATCAGTCTTTCTTCCTCCTTTTTTGAAATAACTCTCTGATTTCAGCCAAAACCAAATTTCATCTCAGCAACAATTCCTTCACTTTGACTTCTGCTTCACTTTCTGTACCATTCCTCCACACTCGTGATCTTACAATTAATATATACCTGAGCCTGAACTCCATTTTCCCATTTTCCATTTCTCTCCATAATTTGCTGTCTTCATCGGATTTCTTCCCAGCCCATGTAGCGTAAAACAGGTAAGAAACTAAAGAACTTTTTTGATTTCATCTGTCTTTTCTACCTTCTCTTTGTGTAATTTCTTTGAGAAAGCATGTTTTGATCTCTCTGTCAACTTGGGTGGCTTTTAGAAATAAGAATTGAGAGGGAATTCACTTCAGGAAGGCCTTAAAATGTTTCTATGTACCGCTCAAATGATCATGGTCAAAAGACTGAAAACTTGATGATTTACTGTTTTCTCTTTTGTCCCATGTGATTATGAATTGTAGAATTCTGTTCCTCTTTTTTGTTATTTCTTATCGAATGAGGGATAAAAATGGAGTCCTTTATTCGTTCTTCATTTTATTCGTTCTGGACCCTAAATGTCAGTGTCTAAGTGGCTTCAATTGGTGCTGATTTCTGCCCTCAATCCATAATATACAATTCCGAACTTCACCATGTAAGGAAAAAGAATCGCTAATTTCACCAGCAACTTGGCCAATTGGGATTTATTATTGTAGTTTATTATAGCATTATCAAGTACTGAAACTGGCCCTTTTCATGTGCTTAACATTGAAAAATTAGCTGATGCTTCAAACTTCAATTCCTGCTGAAACTTAAAATGCATATATAGCGGGAGGAGTTGCAGAGGTTGTAAGGAAATTGAAACTTGGAGTCTTAATTGAACTTCACCTCCAATTAAAAGAAACACCACATAAGAGCTGAAAATGGGAATAATCTTGCCGTGTGAATCAGGAAACTGTTTGGCTTATCGCAGAGTACGAAGAATGTGAAGTCAAAGCTCATTTGGGCGGTTCTTGATGTCTACAGAACGATGTGGACCACTTTTCTTTAGAAATTCAATACCGACCTATATAATGAGTCATGAAATCTAATTTGGTTAAAACACAGTAACAAAATTGGTTAATATCCATGTTTTCAGCTAGCTGGTCCAATTATTGGATTTTCTTCTTTTTTTCTTGTTTATGGGTTTGGTCCCACTAGCCAATGCTCCAAGTCTTCAACTTGTACCTATCAATGCATTGATTAGGGGGTGGGTGGTGTAAGAGTTTGGTTTAAGACTTTTAATTGAATCACCTTTTGCCGGCAACTGGGGATTGCTTTTTCAATCAGTGTTTTGGCCTGAAAATGAAATTGGATGCTTTAGATATCTTCGATGAGTGTGAAACTAATTTCATCGGAACAGAAGCAGAAAGTGTATTGATATCATTTGTGAAATCAAATATCGGCGGTGGCTTTTTCACACCTTTGTTCTATCTCTTACTAGTCTGTTCCAAAAGGTAGGTGCTTTATCTTTGGTTGCTTGACTCTTTTTGGATTTTGCAGCCGTATGAAATGATTCTTGTAACCTTGAAAATTGAAAAGTTTGATGTCATAACTTAACAGAAATGAGGAAAATGAGTTTGAATTTCGACATCTGTACTGAGTTTACAAATAGTTATATGATCTGTTCAGTTTACTTCCCTTAATGAAAGAAGATGTGAATTCAAAAATTCCATTTTGTTATCAAGTACCTGATCAGTTTTATCCACCAGCCAGGTTGATAATTAGCTAAGTTGGATTCATCCCAGACATGGCAAAGTCAATCCAGAAAATCCCACTTGTGTTATCATCTCTTTTTCTGTTTGTGATCATATTGGTGTTACCGGATGCATCGGTCGGAGATCCAAGAGCTCAGACTGTGAAATTCATGTGTGGCAATCAGCCTGAGCACAATACCACGCTTTTTGTTCCAAATTTTGTTGCCACAATGGAAAACATCAGTGAACAAATGCGGACTAAAGGTTTTGGAGTATCTGTCACAGGCACAGGACCTGATACTAACTATGGATTAGCCCAGTGCTATGGTGATCTCTCTCTTCTAGATTGTGTATTGTGTTATGCCGAAGCACGAACTGTGCTTCCCCAGTGCTTTCCTTATAATGGGGGGAGGATTTTTCTGGATGGTTGCTTCATGAGAGCAGAGAATTTCAGCTTTTTTCAAGAGTTTACGGGGCCACTGGATACGGCTGTTTGTGGTAATAGAACCAGAAGGGATCCTGAATTTCAAGACATTGCAAGACGGGCAGTGCTTCAAGCAGTTGCAGATGCACCAAACAATAACGGTTATGCACGCGGAGAACTGCAGAACTCAGGGACAGGAAATGTGTCTGCTTATGTTTTGGCAGACTGCTGGAAGACATTGAATGCCAACTCATGCAGGGAATGCTTACAGAACGCATCAACGTCGATGTTGGGATGCTTGCCTGCAGCTGAGGCCAGGGCATTGAACACTGGATGCTTCATGAGGTATTCAGACACCAACTTCCTTAACCCCATACCGGGAAGTGGAAGTTCAAGAGGTAAAAATGAAGTCCTTATTCATCTCTTTCCTCACATGATTAAGTAAGATAGATCATAAAGTTGGTGCTTGTTTGATGATGAGTTCAAAATGATAATGATCGCAGGCACGGTTATTATCATTGTGGTCGCTGCAGTTAGTTCGGCCGTTGTTTTGGTCGTGGCAGCAATCATTGGAGCATATTTCTGGAAATTAAAAAGAATAGAGCAGAAGAGAAAAGGTACGCTACTTCTGTCGGCATTGGTCCTTTTATGTATTCTACATTGGTCTTTGAAGCATGCAACAGTCAGGAAAACCACATATTGGAGCTTCAGTTTTAGTGCTGCAAGTAATAGTTAGAAAGACAAGGACTTGCTGTTTTCTGGAGTAGATTCACTGTTAATTTAGTTACATTTGAGGATAATTGCAGCTTTTTTTATGTTTATGATGCTTGAGGATGACTAACTTTTGGTCTGATCATCTGGAACGCTTCAGGTTCAAATGATGCCGAGAAAATGGTGAAGATTCTTCATGATAGTAGTTTGAACTTCAAATACTCCACTCTTGAGAAAGCGACCGCTTCATTTGATGAAGCCAACAAACTTGGGCAAGGTGGATTTGGCTCTGTCTACAAGGTAAACGCTGTTATCAGATGATACAATTTTCTCTCACAGAAAAGATGTAGGGGTTGTCAATTTCAAGTTTTTGTTAAGCATAGGCCTAAACTCGAATATTCTGCAGGGAGTTTTGCCTGATGGTCGAGAGATTGCTGTCAAGCGGCTATTCTTCAATAACAAACACAGAGCAGCAGATTTCTACAATGAAGTTAACATAATTAGTAGCGTTGAACACAAGAATTTAGTGAGGTTATTGGGATGCAGTTGTTCAGGACCTGAAAGCCTTCTTGTCTATGAATTTCTCTCTAATAAGAGTCTTGACCGCTTTATCTTTGGTAAGGACTGATCACGTTACCGGCCGGCTGCTTAAAATTATCATGTTTGGAAGTGAATATTATATTTTTGAAGATTATGAGGATAGTAAGGTTCAAATTTTATTCATCTTACAGATGCAAATAAAGGAAAAGCGCTCAACTGGGAGAAGAGATTTGAGATAGTCATAGGCACAGCTGAAGGTTTGGTTTACCTCCACGAAAACAACAAGTGTCGGATCATTCACAGAGATATCAAGGCAAGTAACATTCTGCTGGATTCAAGGCTTCGTGCCAAAATCGCTGATTTCGGGTTGGCAAGGTCATTCCAAGATGACCAGAGTCACATAAGTACTGCCATCGCTGGAACATTGTAAGCGCCGAGTAGTACAGATTTTACTTCTTTTAACCCATAATTCCAAACACAACTTTGATGAAGTTCATGATAAAGGGCTTCTATTGAATCTTTCCATTTTGTTTAAACAGAGGATACATGGCTCCAGAATACCTAGCTCATGGCCAGCTGACTGAGAAGGCCGATGTTTACAGCTTCGGTGTGCTGTTACTGGAGATAGTTACAGGAAGGCAGAATAACAGAAGTAAAACTACAGAATACTCTGACAGCCTTGTTACCCTAGTAAGTTTCAATTCATGTTTTTCTGTGAATTTTCCCATTGGACAATCTATTCTCCGAGTTTTGAAATTTGGATTTACAATTTCTTGCTGGTGAAATTGTAACAGGCCTGGAAGCATTTCCTACAAGGAACAGCAGAGGAATTGTTTGATCCTAATCTGATGTTGCAAAACTATTACAATTCCACCTTTAAATCTGAAGTACACAGGGTCATTCATATAGGACTATTGTGTACTCAAGAAGCTCCCTCGTTACGACCATCCATGTCTACAGCATTGCGGATGCTGGCCAAAAAGGAAGAACCACTTCCAGCACCCACAAACCCGCCCTTCGTAGATGAAACTACAATGGAATTCAATGACACAATGGAGAACCCACGTCACCATCTCAGAGATGGCGATGCTGACTCCAACGCCAGCATGACCTTCAGTTCGTTTCAGCCAAGGTGACATTTCATGAATTGCTGTAAATTCAACTCAATGAACACGTCTCAGGGCTTAAACGACAAGAGCCCAATTGGCTAGGACATTGATTCTGCCTTCAAGCAGGAAGGAAGATTGATTCAAAACGAAATCATATCTTCTGTCAAACTGCTGTGAAGGGTTGATTATTTGCCAGGAAGAAGTCCTCATACCAGAGTGTTGAAAAGTGTTTTGCTTCAAAATTTTGTTGCTGCAGTTGGTTTTTGCAAATGGTTGTTTGTTTGTATATATTTATAGTCTCATCAAATGGGCTGCAGTTAATCTGGACAATATCCTTGAATTCTGATTTCTGAGTTGCAAAGCTCCATATTTAGGCTTTTATTATTTCTTTCAATGTTTAATGCCGTTTCTTCAATTTGTAAAATTCAGCAAATTTATATTGATTAAGCAAAAAATTAGCAAGCAACAGTGAAAGAAGAATTATAGATACAATCATACGAGAAAGGAGGATACATCTCCCTGGTGGAAGATATACATACACTACATGGAAAAGAGAGGAGCGTCAACTGATGGACGTTTATTTCGTAGCTACCAAGTGCCCCATCAGTCCCAGATCCAGCACGAAATGCTTTGCCGTTGAGAAGCCTGCTTCTAGAGCAAGATACTCCAACTCCTTACCTGCACGAGTAAAGAAACAAACAAGGAACTTAAGCATATACATTGAAAAGTCGACAAAAGACCAAATCTTTGACTTCTTTTTTTTTGACCAAAACTTTGACTAACTTAGGTAAAAGTCATAAAATACAGTCAAGGTACAGTATTTGCCTATTGCTTAAGAATAAAGATGAGCGAATGCTTCTGCAAGTGACATACCCGTTAAATATCCCCGAATGGACTCTTTCAGGTATCTGTACTCCTCGGCAACGCCTTGACTACTTGCAATTGGAACAACAACATTGTCAAGCGTCCATTCCTGCAGATACATGACCAATGGATACATTCAGGTGTAAGAAATACGATCTTGCAAAGGAAATCTGCAAACGCCACTTGATAAAGCCCCAACTGGCTAAGCATATATTGGCAATGCAAAGGACAGACAAAGTCTAGAATGTAAATATGATTGAAGCTATTGATTGGTTTATGCTATACGCATACCTGAAAGGACGTCATGAGTGGATTATCACTTTTATTGAAATCAAGGACAGATATCCTGGACCCTGGTTTTAGAACTCGATATGCCTCTTTTAAAGATTTTTGCCTATCGACCACATTTCGTAGTCCGTAGCCAATAGTAATGGCGTCAAAGTAAGATTCAGGAAATGGCAGATCAAGTGCATCACCCTCAACCCACCTGCACCAAACCAGAAGAAGTCATTTATCGACAAACCAAAATCTCTCTAAAGGACAAGAAAACTTAGCATCTGCAAATCAGATAACACAAAGATGAGCTTCAACCAAAAATGCACAAAACCTCCACAGGTTTTATCTACTATCATGGTTATAGAATACAATGAAACTTGATTAGTATTTCAGCATTTCATTGGCATAAAACCCTCACAAAAGTTATTCACATGATCAAATATGGATGAAGCATAGAGATCAGTGATGACTTTATAATTTTGTGGCACTTCTTTGAGTTTGACTGTTGTCGTGCTGCTGCAATTGATAATTGTTCCTTTGAGAAATCAAGGCCAACAACCTGCAGATAAATAAAAGCCAGGGAAGTGAATTAGGCGGATAACAGTATGAGGTTGGATCGAACAGAAAGACATCCGTAAAATTAAAAGTCTTCGCTGCATGAAATAAAGAATCTGATTTCCCCTTTGTTATTTTTCTTTCAAAATAGTTCATATGGATTATCATCCGCTTTAATCTATGAATATTAACAACTCCAAAATCATAAATTTTTATTTCAACTAAGAAATGAAACTCGATAGCTTAAGAGCTAGATGAATTCAAAATTTCAACATCTAACGAAATAAATGAATGACAATTTCCATAGGGACAACCTGTTGAAAAAATTGGTAGATAGTATACTAGTTAATTTATAAGTTCCAACTGGCACGACATTCAAGAATTTCAAGGAAAAAAATTGAGTGTAGCCGATTTGCTGTTCGACATTCTTCATAACTTGAATAATGTTGCGCATCCTATTAGACAGAAAAAGCATTATATAGCCCTAAGAGAAATGGAATTCTAATTTTCTGTAAGCCCACTAATAGACAAACCTAACAGATCAGCTCCCATGCCATGGAGGAGGATCAAATGACTATAAATGAGCAATCAAGATGAATTCATCCAATTTTCGCTAATTCTATTGAAATCTATGAACCCGCAACCAATCTAGGACTTATTGGTCTGATACATGCCTATATATATTACAACACTCGGAAAACTTCTTAAAATCCTTTGCAATGTCTTGATATCAATCAAAAGTATTCAAATAGTATTTTGATACCTTTTATTAAGTATTAAATAAATAATTAACCAACACAAGCCTAAGTTCATAGCCATTTCAGGGAGGTATAAAATTTAGGCAAAGCAAATTACAGAAGAGAAATAAAAGGCCAACCTTGCCATTAGGTCCAACTTTCTCTGACAATAGAAAAGCCAAATCCCCACTTCCACAACAAATATCCAATACATTATCTCCCACTTTTGCTCTACATTCATAACCACCACAAATTTCAATTTTTTAGATAAAAGAACATGTTCAATTAGAGTATTCAAAACGGCAACTTACAGCACATCTGCTTGAACAACTATTAAACAAACCATCAGGAAAAAAAAACTGCAATAATAAGAGGAAAATGAAGAAGCCGGATCATACCTGCTCCAAGAAACAGCCGTATTTTTCCATTCCCGGTGACGGCCCAAGCTAAACAAGTCATTCAACTGCAAAACGAACGTAAACCAGTTATTCTAATACGGCAGAGAAAACCAAAAAAAAAAAAGAAGGGGGGGGGGGAATGTATTGAGGATTGGTAGATAACAGAGCAAGGCTTCGGCTGACGTTATCATAGACTGGAGCGATTCGGTTGAAAAGCTCCTGGCGGTCAGTAGAAGTAGAGCATCGAACAACCCGGAATTTGGAACGGAAAATAGGCCGGGAATTGGTACCGCCGGGAGTGGAGGGAAGATTTAGCTTAAGTGAAGCTGCTGCTGCCGCCATTTTCAAAGAGACGAATTAGTGGCACATTTTTCCTTCAGGATTGAAATTATACCTTAGCATCAATTTTTTACAAAAATTTATGAACCTGAGCAAGAGGAAGAAAGGTCACATTTTATAGTTCGTTAGCTGGGCTTCTTTTGTCTATTACGTTTAAATTGGGCTTCTGAACTTTTTTTGGCCTGTTAACTGTTTTGACTTAAAGAGAGCCGTTCCTGGGCTGGCAAGATTCTCCATGAAAATGGGCCGGCATTTTCTCAAATTGGGCTAAATCTTACAGTACTAATCTCAATTCTTGAGGGTAATCTATTTCTGGACAAGTTCCCTAGAAGGAGATTACCAACTTAAAAATGAAAATAATGGGGGGGGGGGGGGGGAAGGAGGGGAACTAAAGGAAAAGTGTATGATTATATCAAATCAGAACATATTAATGTCACATTATCATCCTGTATATTTGGTTGACAAACAGCCCTATTTCGGGCGTTCAAGGAAAATCCATCAAGTGGCTATATTTAAAATATATGGTTTTGGATGGCTATAATCCCCAGAATGAATATACACGAGCCGAATCAAATTTCATGAAATTGTCAATACTTTTGAGTTTCACAATAAAAAGTATATTTGATTCCTAAAATAACTAATTATTAAACCTTAGTCATCAGCGAAAAATTGACCGGTCAGACTATCCATTACAGCTAGCTGCATGTTCTCCGATGGCTTCCAGTGCCTCTTCCTCTGGTTAATGAACCAATTGTTTATCTGCTTCTGATCAAGTCCCGTTGTCTCCGCCAGTGATATTTTATCTGCCTCCTAATCAATTTATAACAATTTTATCTGAATAAGCTTTCACAATTGTATCTCAGAATATCTTTTTATCTCGCTTATTATAATGTACCTTATCGGTAAACATGTATATCTTGTTGATCAAATGTGACATAGATTTGATGTGGTTTAATTAGTGCACAAGGTAATGTAGCAAAAGACTCACAGTAGGGTAGGGCCATTTGTAGTGAATATTCCACCAGTCCATTAAGATTTGCCTGGCTTCCTTTGGGAGTTTTCCTTTCTTCTTCTTCTTGGAGAATTCCAATTTTAAGGTACTAATGTGATTTCCATATTTTTTCATCAGCCTTTCCTTGAGTTCTCGATCTTCATTCTTGGTGTGAGCGTCTTGCGCGTCTGTCTCTCCGCCGCTGAATTCATCATCCGACGACACTTCTGCACCGTCATCTGCCCAACGCAACAACATTAAAAATTCGACACCCTCATTATTATGAAAACCTAAAAATTGGTCGAAAATATTACTACTACAATAAATTTCAATAGGCTCTCCGTTGTTTTAGAGATAGGCCCTTTGTCCACTTTTGCTTCATCGTGGCTTTCAGTCAGCGTGGTTGAGTCGTATCAAAGTCAGTAGCGCAGAAAAGTGAAAAGACAATACAACCTTAAAAATGGTGGAAGGGTGTATCTCAGTCAGTGAATCTTATGCTGGGCTTTCTACGTAAGATAACCATTATCAACCACAACTGTATGGGCCTCTGCCACCACCTATACTCTCACCACTATCATTTTGTTCCCAAAAGTCCAAAACCCTGTTTATTGATCAGCGGAAAGAAGAAAAAAGAAAGGGAATGGGAAAAATGAAACCTGCAAAATGACCTAAATCCCTACTTCATCGCAGCCCAAAAATTAGATACAAAATCAATTCGCCCGAATTAATTTCCAGCTAGCCTGAGAAATGTACTGTAGACCACAAAATAAAAAGTAAATGAAAAAAATGATCAAATCTCAAATAATGCATGCAAAAGATTTTACAGGAAGTACCGATGATCACTTTAAAACAACTAAAAAAAAAATGGAATTTTCTAACAAGCGTAAAACATGCACGTGTATACAGATTAGAGGTTTTGGAGGACCCCACGAAGAGAGCATGGGCAATGGGGGAAGAAGATTAGGTTCGATTTCGTAATTTCCAAGCATATATAATGAGATAAGAGAAGGCCAAAGGCACAGAGCCCCATATTACTAATTTCCCAGGATTTGACAACCACTATGAATATGCATGGCATCCCTCTCTGCGTAAATTGCAACTAGTAGAGCAGCCCTGACCCATTCCTCCCCTCCTCAAGAAACGTGCTTCAGACACTGGAATTTTATTTGGTCGGAACGTGTAATATTTTCGTAAGCATGCATTAAATTAACGTGTCATTTTTTAACAGTTAATTTTGTGAATTTTTGAGAGAATTGACCATATAACAGAACGAAATAGATAATATAGCACGCAGAGAATGAGGCTTTTAATAAATAATTGTATGGGATTCGGACAATGACATGAACCGGGTGTATACAGAAGTAACACACGAAACATAGGTCACATAATAATCCTATCTAATCAGTGCGGGACTGCGGGGTTTTGGAAGTGGACGGGGATGGGGAAAAGCAAGCAGCAAGAGCAGAGCTGGGTTTGGTAGTCAGCGCAAAACACGGGAGTCCATGTGATTTTGTGAGAGAACTTCGACCACCCGCTCTATCCGGGCTTTCCCTCCCCCATTTAAAGCCCCTTTCTTTCCCCTTACCCCACCGACCCACCCCGGTTCCTTGATATCATCGACCATGCAAAAACTGCTCATTCCTTATGCAGAAACACAAATCATATTTACATAAAATTTTGTGAGATTTTTTATGGTGTTATGTGCAGAATCTTGCATCAACTTTAACATCATTCACTTGTTCAAGTGTGTAAGTTCAATAGAGAAAAATAATATCAGTAATTATTACAAAGAAAATGAGACATTTTATATTGATTCTTCACAAATGCACATGACGGAGTTTGTTATCAAGAAAACTATTATCACATTGTGATCATAGGCAAGATTTTAGATGGTAAAGACCCATATACTGGTGTCTCAATTGTTATGAGCTAAAACAAAGCTGGTTAGGTGAGCCACTCGTGTAACATTCAAGTTGGAGGAGGTAAAAAGTAAACGCCAAGTATTACGTTATTGAGGTTCGACAAGAGCCATGTACTACATTTTTGCAAGAAGTTTGACTACACAATCACACATTAACACGTTGGTACGTGCACATTCTTACATAGACAAGGAAACTGCTCTTTAGATAACCAACGGTTGTAAAGAAATATCCAAATGATGGTTTTGGTAAAAATGTTGCTTCCTACCACTCGCATAATTGCCCCAAACCATTACATTTGGTCAAACACAAGCAAACACCACACTTTAGGATAGAAACTTTAAATGGCAGTTCTTTGGGGGTAAAAGGAATGGTACTTGGATGGATGTTTTTGACACCAGAAAATCAAAAGGGAAAATTTTTTTGCACTACATAAAATGTAAAGATCGGTATACAAATGGATTCCATACTGTTACTGGAACTGAATCCTAATGCTCATACCCAATGGCTTAATTAATTTGATGGATTTGACTCGCACAACTCGCACACAGAATAACAAGTCTCGTTCACTGATAAGTCTACTATATTTTTTATTATTTTGTTTCAATAAAAAAGAAGAAAAGAAAACACACTAAAGCTAAAGTAGTAACATAAAAATTCCCCTCAGAATTTATAACAAACACAAAGTGATAAAGGGCGTAAACGTAACAGCATGGGAGAAGGCACAGCAAAAGAGAGAAGACGATGAACAACTGGAAAATCAAGTGGAGAAAAGAAAACAAAAAAAAAAAAAAACAACGCAAGAAGGATTAGGCATGCAAGCCAGAGAAGGTATAGCGGCATCACTGAAAAGTTAAATTGTACTTTCACCACTTAAACAACATTAGTTTGAGATCCGTCACTAACTAAAACCGCAGCTTTAAGATGTCATTTTGTACTTAAATCAGTATGTTAATCACTATTAATGGCAGTTCCTGATAACATTGGAGACAACAAAAGCTTTTTACAACAAGAAGATGCATGGAAAACACAGCTTTACACCTGAAACAAAGTTGCATTAGGGATTCTCCCCCCAACAAAAAGAATTTTAAGGCCATATAGCAAATAAAAAAGAGTGTACATTAACACAGATCCCTAATCGTACTTGTCCTAATAAATTACACCAAATTAGCAGGTGCTTAGGAATAAAAGAGTCAGCCTTGACTATAATCACACCATAATCTAGCCAATGAGTAGCTTAGATGTAAACCAACACATCTCAGCATAACCCCTTTATAGAAAAAGCACACATGCATTTCCTATGCTATCACGTGAGACTAAAAGAAACTCTGGAAGGAAGAAATTTTAGTAAGAAAAAATGGGGATCCAGAAAGGAATAAACAAATGGACGTGTGCAGTCAGTGCTGGATAACATTTTCTGAATGACAATGGAACAACTTGATCTCAGATTATATTGGGACCGACCATAATATAATACCATCGACTGAATTCACGGTTTTCCAGGCCAAATATCTTACATGCACGCTCAGTTAAACATTATACACATTGAAACTTGGAACCTTTAATTAAGTTATCAATTTGAATAAGAATTTATTTTTTCTGTCCCAAAATAAATATTATATTAAAAGATTAGACATTTACAAACGAATATACAGGTCAACGTTTAAAATAGAGTTACAACTTTAAAGATAAAATGTGGTGTAAGGAATTCTTAGTATACAATCTGATTAACTTATTCATTATAGTAAAAAGATAGAACAAACAAGACGATCATTCGTAACATAGAGAGTGGCAAGCACCATTCAATACTTGACTAAATTCATGCAATTCTGATTTTAAGAGTGGCCACAAAATAATTGAAGGGAGAAGAAGTTTGGGAAAGTGATGATATGGCCTAATAATATATGAACTTCACAACCTAGATCCAACTAACCAGACAGGACCCAACAGAAAGAAAATACACTATACATTAACAGTTAATATAGTTTAGAGATTAAGCGTGACTGCAAGAAAACAAGAAATCCAGAGAAAAGAAAGATTACATACCTAAATCACTTCCCACCCACATGAGAATGTTTCCATTTTTGGAAACTATGATTAGTGACGACAACTACACAAACCAAGTTGTCCTTGGTAAATACTAGTTATCAACAACTAGCTTGGAAAGGAAAAGGCTATAGTTAGATTCTGTGTAAACCCACATACACATACCAAAGTTTTCTCCTTTTTATTTGGTAATAAATATATATATAGATAGTTTATAGGGGTGAAATTTAGAGGTAGTTCTATCAGACTCAATCTCACATTACAAATGGTGAGTACTGTGAGCAACCGGGTATGCCTAAAACTTATCAGTGGTTGTGACAAAAAGATGAAAGACAACATGTGCGTGCATGAAGTAAGATTAAGCAAGGAACAATTCAGAAATCTGAGACTTTTTTTCCAAAAAGAGTAGGCCTATACATACTTACATGCAAACCAACAACAATTAGATAGGGGATGAAAGATGTACAGCAGCCATGAAATCCATTTTTTAAGAAACAAAAAAGTAGATGAACTGCATAACTAAGAGTCGAATAAACAGATTTGTCAACTCCAGCAACCAGCCATAACACAACCTAACCATTTTCTTTTAGTTCATTTCTAAGAAAATATCCAGCTCTGAGGGTTTCCAAGAAATTTCCCCCCTTCATTTTCTTAGAAACATGACTGATAGTGGGCTATCCATGGAATGTCAAAATCAATAACCTCCTAGTTCGCACACGGTTTCAATTATACTGTAGTTTAGAAGGAGATAAGTTGAAAGATATATAAACCAAACGAAGCACATCCGCATGTACATGGAAATGGCATACCATATCGCATCATTCCTTCAGAATGTTTGTCAAGTACTCGTAAGTAATCTTATAAGAACACGTTGGCCCTTACAGTAAATGCAGGTCTAACGCTCAAATTGGTAAGCTCATGACAGCAAAAACTTATTTTTTTAATTAATTCCAACTAAGTAGAATAGATCAGTTGCTTCCACCATTTTCCCTTGAGGAGTTCAATTACGAATCTTACAAAGTAACAAGGCATACGCCCCTTGAAACTTGAAACCCACCTGGGTTGATAAGTTAACTTAAGTAGATAGATAGCTTGAGACCAAAGACTTAGAAAAGTACTAATAACATGAGTTCAAAACCTCAAACAAGCCCAACAACACGAAAACGAAAGAGTAAAAGCTGGGGGTATATCACACGTAGCAACATGTTAAGGCAAAGTAAGAAAAAATAAATGAGGAAAGGAAGGAAAGAAACCTCGACAAAGATGGCGGAGCTGGAATTGGATGTTGTTGAGGAAAGTGGTAGCTTCATCAAAGGGTCTGGACAGATCTGACTTGTACTTCACCAAGATGTTACAGTAGCTTTCCTAGTAGTTATATATGCGGACAAGTCAGTCACAAATGGGTCAAACAAACCACACACAAAGAAAAATCATGTACTTACATAATACACACAAAAAAAAAACCCACAGTAAATACTAACCTACTCAATCAGCAACAATAATAAGTTGAAGAACAAGAAGAAGTCAAAGGAAAACACAAGAACACAAAAGAAAGAAACGTAGTGGAAGGAAAACCAAAAACAAAGTGGAACTACTACATCTTAAGAGCTGCCCCCAGCAGCATGTCAGTCAGTGTGTGTGTGTGTGCGCCCGCGCGCGTGTGAAAGAGAGAGAGAGAGAAGGTTATATCATTTTATCGCAAAAGTGAGTGAAAGACAGAAATTAAAAAGATCTCAGAGTCTGTGGTGGCAGAGACCATGAATTCGTCGAGCTCCGGATCGGCTCCTAAACACGTGGTATTATTATGATTAGCAGCAGCTATTTCTTTTATAAACCCCCCGTTCTCTGTAATCAGCTCATCCAATATGCTAGCTATCTCCGGCGGAGCTCCCACCTGACCGAAATACATAAATTAGTAGTATTTTTTTTAAGTACGAAAACAAATGAAATAAACTAAACTGTCCAAAGAAGCAATAGAAATGAGATGGAACCTTTTGACAATCAATATAAGCATGAAGAAGTTTAGGATAAGAAGGATGAGAAGCAATCTTGGCCTTGATTATACTATATTCATTTTCTTCGTTTTCTTTTTCTTCATCATCATCATCATCATCATCATCAGCTCCGGTGCTGAGCCTGGGGATTTGTTGAGGAGTCATTGAAGCTGCTTCCGAAATCGTCGAACACTGAAACCCGCTTGCTGACGCCGCGCCTCCGTCATCCGATCCTCCTCCTCCCACGAACATATTATTATTATTAATCCGATTATGTAAATAGTGATCGCTGGACGAGGACAACATAAAGCTTGAATAACTGTTGTAATCTGCTGCTGCCGCTGCCATCATCAAGTTCTCTGGTGACATCATCAACCCCTTGTCTGAATAATCCCCGCTGGAATGAAGACCATACATTTCATCCATCATCAACTCTATATATATATATACGAGTATTTTTGTATATGTGTAGGTCTGGAATTTCTACAATACAAAATTAGCTACTACTACCAAAACTACTTCTTCTTCTACTTTGTTTATATTTCTCTTCCCCAGTATATGCTGCCTTTATCTTCAATGATAAGTTTTTGTTGCAGCTACAAAATGACGAGGTTTTTTTTAGAATGAAGATGATTGCGGTTGGGATTGAAGGAGGCACACATTTAAGTCCCGGAGAGAAAAAGAGTGTGTTATATTTGCTGTGGTTTGATGTGTGTGTGTGTGTGTGTGTTTTTGTGGGTTCGTGCGTCCGTCCGTGTGTGTGTGTGTGTGCGTGTTTAATATTTTTGGTGTACAAAGCGAGAGATGGTGAATGAAGAAGAAGGTGAGGTTCAAGGAGAAGGAGAAGGAGGAGGAAATGGCGATATTCAAGTTGGGGGTAATGATCAGGCCCCATTTCTATTTTATTGTTGTTTGTGGGAGGATGGATTTAATGTGATAAAAAATAAAAAAAAAAAAATCGCTGGTTCCTATTTTCAGTAATCTTTTAGTACCCTCTCTCACTTAAGGCACCAATTTTGCTTTTTCAAATATTATTAGTATTTTGTTCCAAAATTATTGTTCCGTTTAAATTTTTAATTTTAAATTAATTTTTATTAAAAATAAAAATTTAAATTAAACAATAATTTTAAGTTGAATAAAATATTTTTCTTTATCGTTTCGTTATTGCTTTTCCTTTTCTCCAATTGGTAACAAACTAGGTGCTTCATGGGGAGTTTACAGTGCGGCCAAACATCTTGTATGTATTTTACCTGTGTTACACATCATACAGTTACAAATGTTTGATTAATTGTGTAACTTATAAGATAATATCATTTTTCTGATAAAATGAAGAAGGCCAAAAATTTTAAAAATTAAATTAAAGAAGGAAGAAGACTAGAAGAGACTTCAAATAAAAATTAAAAGGACTTCATTGCCTTCTTCTTCTTTATCACGCAAAGTCAACAACGCATCCCCCCGTCTTCATGTACTTTGAAGAAGAAAAAGGACCATCTCGATTGTAAAGTTGGAAAGTTGAAGCTGCATTTCAAAAAAACCCCAAAAAAAATATTTATTTCCACGTTTCCCTTTTGCATCCTTTTTAATTCGAATTATTTATGTTCCATAAGGTAAAACAGGTTGTAGAAAACTTTAAAATAGATTATTTATTTTGGTGTTGTATGTTAAATCTTTTCTTTCTCAGTTTAATTTGTCTTAAAACTCACAATGAATTGAATGTCAAAATTTTAAAAAGAAAGTGTTTAACTTCCCTTATGAAAATTACTCAGTTCCATTACGTAGAAGGAATTAAGTTACAATTTTTTTTTAAAAAAAATAAAGATATCGCTCTTTCTTGCCCACAAAAATAGTCTACGTTATTGTTTGTAAATTATATTATAAACAGTACAGTTTACAATTTACAATTGTTATTTTTTACATGCTAGTTCATTTAATTACCTTAGTGCATAAAGGGAGGAAGATTCACTAAAATGCATCTCAAGTTCATCAACATTTTTTTACTTAATCTTTTTCCGGACCGAGGTTGAATTACTTAAATTGTCTAAAGCTGTTGTTCTCTCTATAACGAGGTCGACGAAGAATCGCATGTTCCAATATCTAACAAGTTGAGAAGAATAAAATGTGAAAGTGAATGATGACAAATAAGGAGCTAATGTTGGTTACTTTGATTTAGTTAATTGTATAAAATTTCAAAAAGCTAAAGATGGCGAACAACTATGTAATTGTTTTTTATTTGTTTCTTATAGTTAGTTATATTATCTCAACAAAAGGCACATCTTCATGGTATCTTTAAAAAGAAAAGGAGAGTGAGTTAACATTTGCAGGGAAATTAAGCCTTAATTTATCATTATCAAATATCGTAATTAGGCAAAGAAACTTCTATTACTAATTTCCCACTCAATTACTTCATATGAATATTATAAGTTGTAAAAAAAATCTAAAATTTTTTCTATGTAAACTTCAAAAACCTCCAAAAAGTGTAAAAGATGAAAGGCCAAAATTTACAGTAAGTCAAACGATTATTATTGCTAAAAATGTTAATATGATTCACATAAGTTATATTAGTTTATTGTGGAGTCAGAAGTGAGATGGTAAAAGAAAAGTAGAAATCATAATTTAGGAGCACAGTGTCAATTTATCGGTATTTCCATACGATATAAAATTAAGTTTTCATTTCCTAAAAAAATGAAGAATTACATATCCAAAAATCGATTTTGCGTGAATGATAGAAAGATACAAATGGATTGACATTCTCATGCATATATTGTGAAAAGTAAAGTTGCCATTCTACCACTCATAAATTCCAAGGGGCGTAAGCTGGGCTTTGTTTGTTTCATTTTTTTTATGGTTTTTTCAAATTAATATATTAATAATCGTTACATTTCAGCATATTTTTTTACATTTCTAACATATTTTTTTATATTTTCAATGCAAAAAAATACATAAAAATACACACACTAAAAAAACCAAACAAACATACCCTAAATGTTTTAAAACTGCTTTTCTAAAAAAGGTACATATTAAAATACCACAAAATTGGTTATATCGTCAACAAAATAATATTTAAAAATATAATAATAATTTTTATATGGAAATATATATCCGACAAGAGATCCTCGAGAGGTTTTGGAATTAATTCTGGCATCGTTTTATATATGTTGGCTCCAGAGTGTGTAGTTTTTAAATGACAAATTATTAATATTTGCTTTAAATAATTTTGAGGGTGGCCGACATTATTCTTCCTGAGGTGCTTTTTTCTCCCCTTTTTTTTAGGATAATGTTCCGACATAGCTTTGGTAGCTACACGTAGAAATAGAAATGAGATAGGTTTGCTCTATGCTAAATTTTGTAGTTAATGCCTGTGCTATATACTACTCCTACTTCTTCCGTCCCATAATTATTATCCAATTTTAGTTTTTATTTCTAGTTTAAATTGTACTAAAAGTCAAAACTCAAATTAGACAATAATTTTAGGACAGAGGAAATAGATTATTATAGAGTTATATTGTATAACTATTTTTATTAGACTGGAGTAGTACTTCTTACGTCTTGAAATTATTATTCAATCAAGAGTCTTTTTTTTGTACAAATTAAATTATAAATGAAAGTTAAATCTGGATAATAATTTAGGGCGGAGGGAATAGTATTATTTTTTTGTTTGTAAATTTTTTTTTTCACTACCTAAATGGTTTGCTTTCTTTTATAGATGTGTATATATATGTATATAACTCCGTATAATTTTAGTATAAATTTCAAAATTGAATGTGATTAAATTTTTAAAACAAAAGAAATGCTTTTTGGTAAAATAATTGTCAAGTTTTATTTTGGGATGGGAGCAGATAATAGTAATATACATGCATGGGATGAATCAATTGAGTTAAAATAAACAGAAATTGATATCCTAATGGAATAATCAAATTTTCACCTGGTACTTTTCCAAATAAACTACACTGGGTACAGATTTTCACTGTAGATCAGTGATATTCCCAAGAATACACAACTCACTAGTCACTATGATTGCTTACGTAGTACTATCCAACTCGTACTCCTAATCAGAATTTTTTTCCTCTCTCACACACACGAAAGTCATAAAATCCTCCTATAACTTTTTAGTGAACCCCCAGGAGTTGTACCATTGGCTAAAATACTGGTTCTAATCTTATTATCTGTTTGGTTTGGTTTTTCTTTTCTTTCAGATTTTTTTATTAATAAATGTGTTATTTCAGTGACATTTTTACAATTTTTTTTATAACGCTGGAACCCCACCAGAGATGGGTAAACTCACGCCTACTGCAATAACTTCCAAACCACAGTGAGAGGTAAACCATCTTAGACAAACCCGGGGTGACAAGCTCGGGCAGTAACGGATTTAGGGGAGGGTCAGGGTGGTCGATCGACCCCCCGGTTGGCCAGATTTGGCTAAATTTTTTCTTAGTAGGGTGTTCGTTATTTGAAATTTTTTCAGTTCGACCCTCCGGTGACGGTTGAATAATCCTATTTTCGACCCTGCGATTTGAAAATTCTCGTTCCGTCACTGAGTTCGGGTGCGAAATCGGGAATTCATTAGTAGGTTAGCCATAACAATCCCCTAAAAGTGTCAATAGGCATTTTTGCAATTGTAATGCACTTTTTTTATATTCTTAATAAAAATACTTAGATAACACACTTTTTTTTTAAATAACACACATCAAAATAACAATCCAAACATAAAATAAAATAAAGTTTAAGCTATGTCTTCTGTCACCACCTTCTCTAGAATTTTTTTTTTCAGATTTTTTAGTTAGTACAGTCTTTATCTCAACAAGCATTTTTTTTAAAAAAAAATCATTTTTACATTTTCAACAGGAAAAATATACATTAAAAAATTCATGGAAACATATTATTCCATTTTCAACACTTTCCAATTTTGAGTAATCAAACACCATTAATTTACCTAATCGATAGATGGATGATTATTACATAAGTAAATGATATAATTAACTGATCTTATTGTCAAAATCTCACTAATCTATTTTCTTAGTATATGTATTGCCTTTTAACTCTCAGATATTCCTGTCAAACTCTTGTCGTCTTTCTTTTCAAATTATTATAGTGACTCTTAATACACAAATAAATAATTCACCTTAAAGGAATTTTCAATTCCTGACATAGATCCACTACAAATTATACCAACCATTTTAAGAATAAAATTTCCGGCACAAATCATTACATAAATAGGTATTTGGAAGTGAAAAGGTAGCGGTGGTTCATCATGTTTTTAAAAATAATAAAATGTGGGGGGAGCTTTTCGCAATTACTGTTTCGTTTCCTTTTTTTTCTTTTTTTTTTTTAATTGTGTTGAGCTCTTGCCACAATCATTTTCGCTAATCTTTGATTAAAACATGTGTTGCTTTTTTTTTATTTATTTATTTTTTTTGCTATTTCTTTTTTAA